GAACCAGGAAAGTTCCAACGCATTTTAAAATTTCTGTTGTTTGTAGATAGGGATCCACAAAGTTGGCGACAAATATAATGCCTGCAATTATAGACTTATTTCGATAATATCCAATGTTGCAAAAATATTTTAGAAATGTTTAAAAGAGCGTCTGACCGAGTTTTTGCATAAAAATAACATTCTCTCAAAAAAACAATTCGATTTCGGAGGAGAAACCAACATTGCGGATGCAATAATGAGGAAAAATTTATTTAATACTACATATTGCCCAAACAGTCAGAGAAACAGTTTGTATCATATATCGGCCCCCAATTGTATAATATCATATCTGCTTATTTACTTATCTTAAAGTATTTGATATTAGTATTTGGGGTGCTTTATTTTCTTTTTTGTTGTTATATTTTTGGAATGGTATGTTTTTTTCTTTTCCTTTCTGAATAGAGTTTCAATGTTTTGAAACCCTTTATTTAGTGTTTATTGTTAATGAAAGTAATATCTAAACCGCTGTGACGACAGAAGTCTCGACAATTAGGCACATACCAGTAATACTAAACCTAAAGGCCGGATTAGCCATAACGATGTGATGTATATATATTAGTGTAAGTATAATAGTTTTAAGGTTTGCTGTGTTGTAATTGTTTATCTCTAACCTGCCTTTTTCCATGAATCGCCCTGTATACAATATTTTTTAAAATACTTAATCATGGGCCTTGGTATCCGGACATACGTTTAAATAACCTCTGTTTTTATGACAAATCTTCAGCATTAAATATGAATTTACCTATTATAATGGCATTTAACAACTCTATCCATTAAAATTAGAGCGTATTGTGCAGCTCAAACCACGGGATATGTCGAAAGGTGTCGCACCTTTCAGGTGGTTTAGGCGAAAGGGGATAACGCTCCCACCTCCCAGTGCCAAATTTTCAAAACTTTAAATTATTTCTTATGTTCGCCTCGGTTTTACGACTAATTTGCTTAGCCTACTAGCTTCAAAACGCCTTGTACAGAATAATAAAATTGTAAGTATATATTAAGCCCTAATAACCATAAAATATAAAAACTTTATTTCGTATATTGTAGGGAATAATTTATTCATAGAATTTTTGAAAATTCAGGGTGTTCTATTTAGAATTATTGCTTGCTCAACTACAATATTTTTAATATTTTTTATTATTTTAAAAACACATTATATTCTGTACAATTCAGAAAATATCTCTATGGTTTAAAAAGTGAAAAAGTTGCAGAGGTGGTCAGTATCTAATCAATAACCCTGCTTCGTTATAGCAAAATAATAAAAGTTTTTAACACTTGAATGCCTATAAACATGTTATAACAAATAGGTTTTATTATCTATATTTCTCGCAATGATAATTATATGTAATCGTTAATTTTCTTTTCCCAAAGCTTCTGCAAAGTTTTAATCAAAGTGGGACAATCCCAGATTAATAAAACACACCGCAAGTATCACGATATATACATGAAGTAGATATTACTTAATACCGGTTCAGACATGGAGATAATAAGCCAGTGCCAATTAGTAAGCTTACCAGAACCAAAGAGAAAACATCACGTACTCAATTTCTCCAAAACACAACTAAGTTGTCCGATCTATACCTACAATAGCGGAATATATGTATTATAATAAGCGTCTCTTGTAATTAGTCTACCTTTCTGGCACTTTTAAATCCTTTTACAAACCTGCAATTAAAAAATCGCTCACCACTTCCATCATAATTACACATACAGCAACAGTTTTTCAGGATTTAGTCAAGCGGTCAACCAAATCAACTCACGTTCCTCTTAAATAAAACATATTCTTGACTAATAGACTGGGCCGCATTGCCAATTTGCTACAGACCACCCAAGTTGTGTATTGCAAGCGACATCAACATTAAATTATATCATTAAGTCAGCTTAGCATCGTTGCATTCGCTAAATGCCTTTTCGAGCACAATGTATATATAGCTGCAACCTGCTGTTCGAATGACTCGTTTATTTGTGGCGATTTGCGATTCTTTTTGTGGCTAAACGGGAATGAAATAAATTGCGTTTGTGTTGAGTGTTAATTTATTTTAGGCTGATATTTCACTTTATTAAAATGGCGAGTTGTATATTTGACAATGAAAAGAATAAAATCACCGGTAACCATCTCCACTGCTTTTTCTTACCTACCTCAAAAACACTTTTTCCCTGGGTAGGTAAATTCCAAATTTTCAACTTCCGTTTTGAAGGAATGATTTTTTCTTTGCTTAAAATTCAAGTGGCAAAACATATAGCCCTCTTCGTCTACATTCAATCTGCATAATCTGCATAATCATAATGTTCTATCTATATTACTGCGTCGCATTTAAAATGTTTATTCGTTAGGGCGTCTTTGAAAAAATTCGACTACTTGTACTGCTAGAACCCCTTAAAAACAGTTGCTATGAGCATGAGTTGAAGAATATGTATTAAGCGAGTTAATTTTAAAATTCAAGCTGGCAAATAAACGAATTCGGGTCATTGTTTTTAAAACGAAGGTTCATTTTTCAAAAATTCTGCAATATTTTCCATAGAAATGGTACCTACACTTTTACAAGTTAGGTTTCCGTAGTGAAAGTATTTTTTTTTTCTATTTGGAAATTTTTTTTTTGGGTTAGTTATAAATCGTCATTCATATATTCATAAATTTATGAATATTTTAATTATTCCATTGATTCTTTCAATTTAAATTAAAATTTCCACGCTTTCATTTCAAACAAATATTCAATGTGAACTACACTACACTTTCCAATTTTACAAAAAAAAATATTGATATGTTTTATTTTATTTAGGCTTACACTCTAAAAAATTATTGCTTTTTAATCCCATTCCAAATGAGGACAGGACTCTTTCTTTTGTCTACAATTTTTAAAATTCGAACCGTCATTCAATATATAAAGTTTTTGCCTTGTGCGATAAAGTCACAAGAGCTTTGAAAAATTTGACCAGGCGTTGATTTTTATATAAATAATTTAATTTATTTATTATATGGTAAAATGAAAATAATAGTGTCATTATTATAACATATACAACATATCATAATATAACATTTAAATGGCGACACACTTATTGAACAATATTAAAAATTGTTTAAGTTGCACTATCTAGTGATAATATCAAGGAAGCAAGAACATCTACAATATGCGTTGATATACTATGCTGACAGTCCTTTAATAAAGGTTCTTTATAACATCAGCAACTCGTTTTTTTTGTTCAAGATTTCCATTAAAAAGTTTGCTGCCTAACTTTATTTTTTTAGCAACACTATCATAATATCCTATAAAACTATAATAGTGAATAAAGAAAATTATTATGGTGCCAAAATTGTGTCTCGTCACATTTTCCATGCGATATATTACATATTTAGAGGCAGGCATTATCAACAAACGGCGTTAGATAAGTCCAGAATTTATGTGTTCCCGTTAAAAACACCCGGCGTCCCCAACAAGATAGGACAAGACCGTTCCAAGTTTCGCCGCAGTAAAAACGATCTCACAAAAATATTTTTGTCGAGTTATTGGAAAAATTTTCACTTATTGCCGTGGCGACATGTGTAAATTATTGTCCATATCTATCTGTGGTTTTTCGTAATTGGACAAGAGGGATATTAATAAAATTTTAGAAGGAAATGTACTACTCGCGGAAGTTAATTCCGAATCAAAAATCTTCCAATAATATTCATATGGCCATGTTTGTTGTTTTAGTTTACTAGACAAAAAAATTTTGGTATAGTTTCATTCAAACTATGTCGTTCACCTACACCGCAATAGACGATCAAATTCAATAAACTCGATTTTATAGAGAGCATCATATTCAAACCTTCTATTTGGGAATTATTCTGGGTGTAAAAACCGCTACCTAAATGAAACAACAAAATTGTCGCGCTTCAATTAAAAACTCTTTTCATTGCCTATAATTTTTTATAAATGACAAGGAGGGAGGGAGATAACGAGTAACACATTGTATTTCTCTCGCCATCTAGTAGCGGATTACCGAACTTGCACGCAGAGAATATTAGTTTTCTAGAATTCATAAGCTCTGTGCTCTGTTAACTCACCAAGGTACGGTACCTATTTGTTTTATGGCTCTGTGTATTTAAAGAAATTGCCTCGAAAATTGGTGGTTTATTTCATATCACGCAATGGGTTAATTTAAACTTTAAAGAAGAAACATTATTGAAAAATGTTAACAAAACCCTAAAAAAAGCACTTTATTTGTAAAAAGTGACATTTTATAGTGTCCGCTTCTATAAGGTTCCAATAACATTTTGATTTATGTACTTATTCTCTCTCACACATTTCATTCTTGGATTTCGAAGACCAATATGACGAAATGAACTAAATCGAAGTGTTTCCCCGCACTTACGATTCCACTCTAAAAATAAATGAAAGATAACAATGTCGGGAATTACATCTCTGCTGTTATGTTTGTTACTACGACGTGTCAGTTACAACAAATGTTACAATAGCGTAATCGATAGTTATGTAAGGCTGTGTTAGGTTATCGAATCAGGCATACACCAAGCATTCGCAAATATAAAAAGCGACACAAATCAGCTTATAGCACTTTATTTATATAAGCAATATAATTTATGATTTGTACTGCTCGAATTGTTCACATTTAAACCAACAGAAGAATTACATTTTCGCTTGATTCGTAGTCATTTTTAGACATAACAGGAATCATACCATTACACAGCTTCAAGCATATAGCCGTACCGTTCGTCTTAAATTTCTCAAATTCTACGAATTTATTTTTCGTTTACTTCTCAGAATAAACCCGACTCCTAATACTTTAGCTTTCGATACATGCAAAAGAGTGACAAACTGCCAATATCTTACAAAACTTCCTTTTTCTAGGAAATATTTTAGATTACCTATCTACATATGTCTATCATAAACCGAAATTTCACGTCGATAATATTCGATCCTACGGTACTGCCACATATATAGAGATAGGTACTAGCATAAACAAAATACAATGAAACAAGTTTGTTTGCCGAACCTTGTTTACGTATCGGCAAAAGTATCCGGCTGAAGAAACAACTACAATCGCATCCGCCTGATGCATCGTATGTTTCGAGGTCTAGCGGTGTTTCACAACTTACAGCAAAGTTTACTATGATGTGGTGGTCAAGGATGCTGATGATTACGTCAGGGTTAATCGCATGTACGGTGAGTGCGTGGAAATTTAAACAAAATTTGGAAAATAGAGGCAAAAAAATTACAATGCACCAGTTTTATTACTACACGTATGAATAGATATTATTATTTCTTTCACAGTTTTCAATTTCGGAGATTCCAATGAATAAAAAAGTGATCTTGTAACTTTAACACTTGTTTAAAAATTTTTTTTTTTGCAAAATTAGAAATACTGAATTTTGAAACAGTCTGAATATTGCATGTACGAAATTTGCATTTGAAAGAATTAAAAATTCAATAAATTGAAACACATATTACATTCTCCGTCGTCTTATAAAATGGACGGCTTAAGTGCAATTTTGTTATGCTCTTTAAGGTGACTTGGATGTTTCATTACATATATTCATGCGTTAATTTTCAAGTAGATGGTCTACGGCAAATTAAGTAACCGTCAACTTTTCTGAAGGAGACTAGCAAAACGTCTTGACGTTTCAAGAATATCTACCCCTAACACAATACGCAGTTTCTTTAGGATTATACTTATTTAGGATTATACTTGCAGTTTAAGAAGCATTTTTTAAATGACAAAACTAATAACGCACAGACTTGTCTCTATTTAAAAAACCTTATTATAACAAATAATGGAGTATAATATATTAACAATTATATTAATTTATCCAATTTAAGGTCCTGAACGCAAAGGGGCAATATTTCGGTGTCGATGATGGTAAGAATAACAATTAATTTATATGTTAAAACCATAACAAAAAATTTTTGTAAACCGTATTTGTTTGAAGTTAATAATACTTACAAGTATGTTAATATGTTCAAATTCTACACCTTGATACTATAAACAGTAGTTTCACTCACTAGTATCTCGTAGTCTCAATTTGTATTACCTCTTTTTCCAAATGAATAATAGGCAAAATTCCTCTCCAACAAGAAGAAACTAAGTAAAAGTAAAGTAAAAAACAAGATGCGCTTTTTCCCTTTTTTCAGGATTAGATACCCTTGGACAAAGGATTTCTGCCAGTGTAAACGAACAATTACGCCCTCTGCAACATTTAGGTTCCCGCATTAATAACCAGGTTGCAAAGCAAGTTAGCGGCTTGGAAAATTTGGATTCCCAAATATCTCAAAGCGTATATCAAGGCTTAGAACCCGTTAGAGCTATGGAAATTATGTTCAAAATGATAGATGGTGTTGGTGGCACAACAATTACTACATATTACCCAAGTGGTGAGCATTTGAATACGTTAGATTATAAAGTCACTCAGTCAGTGTAGTTGTGCAATTAAGTCACTATACGTGACGCAATCGAACCTGTATGGCTTAGCTACATTGCTACCATTTTTTAGATGCGTTCTGATTTTAATTAATTCATTGGTTTAAAGTAGTTACGATGCAATCTTAAAAACTAAATTAAAATTCTATTTGTAAGGATTTTTGCAACGTGGACATTAGTCATAGTGTTATAAATGGTAGAACCTACTAGAAACACGGTCATAATGCCATGTACTGGAGTACATATTATTATTTGGTTATAATGAGATTATGGCAACTTGGTTCGGTGGCGTATTTATAAGAACGAACGCAATGAAACACATGAAATATATGTTAGAAAACAAATATCGATTAGATAGGTTTATTTGTGAAAAACTCCCAATATTTCAACAACAAAAACATCCAAAGACCCATAACGCAAAGAGCAAAGAAGGGAAACAAAAACTAGTCCTCATCGAAAAAGATATCTTCATTCCTTCATGCATATCGATAACAGCTTTAAGATCAACTTTTTCCTTTCCCAAATCTTACTTATCAGGTGGCCTGCTTGCCTACAATAGTTCTTCCATTTTTAGGGTGAAAGTTGAAAGAAAGTGTTATGAATACTCCATGAGAAGTATCATTATTATTTTACTAGAGCAACTGCTTCAGTCTACAAACGCAGTACAGCATTAGATATTGCGGGATTGATGGAACTTATTTTGGTATCGTAATACCGTTTACAATCTGACCGAACCAACTACATATATCGCATTAAATTGGCAATGGTAAGGCGGAAGCTTTAAAAGGCGATGGGGATTTTCCAATGCTAACTTGTTTCATTCCTAAAAGATATTTTGAAACGGAACATTCCTTTTTTGCAGCCACTCGACGACAGACTGCTTTATCCAACTTTCATTAGGTACTGGCTCAGCAAGTCAGCATTGTCCATTATTATTACTGAAGATTCATTAAGATTGGGGAATAGCTGTTGACGGAACCACCTTTTAAAAAAAAAAATTACATAAGTGACTTCTTCCCAAAGCATATTAGTATTCAGGAAATGAAAGTTTCCGTGGGTACAAAACTACAGGTTCGAAAAAGTCTACTTAATGAACCATGTGACATATCAATAACATAAATTTCGTGTAAATTTTTGCTTAACGACTCCACTGTGACATGTTCTATAAGGGAGAAAAAGCAATTATTAACATGAATTAATTTTTTCGATCCAAAAACCACGAAAAATTTATATAGATTTTCTACTTTACACAAATGCCACAAATTATATAATTTGCTTATGCGCCGATCTTAGGGAAATATCTAATGCATCGGCAACACGCTACAATAAGACCTAATAAGTACCTATCTAATTAATAATTTTCAGAAACCTAAATTGCTTGTTCATAAAAATGGGATGGTTTCAAGTAGCTATTTAGCTTTAAGAGCAAAAGCGGTTTCCCCGCATTTTTTCTCGAGTGAAATAATGCTCAAGCTTTAAAGTAAAGGCTTGCTCTTTTCACCAAATCGTTGGGGCTTTTGAAACGAGTTAATTATCCGCTAAATTTAAAAAGTTTGATCTTGATGCGGCTTTTGACGCGGATTTCAAAACTGACAAACAAAATTCCTGTCTCAATTTACGACATCCAGTAATGAACTAGATAAAGATGTCATGCTATGACGTAACTGCACAATTGCTCTGACTGGACTTTTTCTTCCGTGTGTATTTAGTAGATACAGTAGACAGTACTATAATATCGGATGTTTTACACATCGCATACCATTATGACTACTTGACAAAGTTGCCAATGAAACAAAAGTGAAAAGTATAATTTTTAGAAAAGTATGACTCTGACATAAGTAACCATGGCAACGTTCACAAGTATTCACATTTCATTTGTTGAAAAGTGAAGACATGAGGCAAAAATTGTTTCAACAAATAAACTTGTAAGTCAAATGACGTTTCTTGCTTGCATATATACTATTTTCCTGTCATTGCTAGGAGCTTGTTTTTTCTCTCCATCCATATAGCTATTAAATAATATAAGAACCGCTAATATTGTAAAACTGATACACGTCAGATAAGTCTGACAGTTCCGAATGATCTTTCGCGCATGCCCCTAAATGTTACAGTCTAAGCTGCAATTCGCTTAATTTTTGTTTCTTAACGGCGACAGATACGTAACTCTTTTTTCCAATTTTTGAAGAAATACTGCCGAACACATGCCATATCCGAACAGAAAAGTGTCAGCAGCCATAGTTATTCTTGAACGTCGCAAAATTTTATTGGTTGGTTAGTTTGAAATGAAAAATATTGACTTATTGTAAAAATTTAATAATAAACAATAAAAAAGTAAATAACATCCAGAAACCAACTTTATCAATTAAAGGGTGATAAAACTGCCAACATAAAAGATGGTAAAAATTTAAATTACCCATCTGAGTATGTCTTAAATCAGTTTTTGTACAAAAGGAACATCTACTTTTTATCCTATGGGAATTTGACTTCATACCTAACTTAATGAAAATGTTTTATTGCCACATCAGAAAAATTTTGAAATTATATCTGGTTTTAATACTGCCTATATTTACACAATTTACATCCTCTAAATCTCGAAAACGATTATACAATATGAACAATAATTATTCTTTATTTTTTAGACAAGTAAAAATAATTTGTCCTTTGACGTTTCATTTCATCAGCATCAACTTAAATATATAGAATAAAATTACATCAGTGTTTTGTTAGATGTTCAAAGGGCGTTGTAGTTCTTGTGTATAGAAAAAAATATTACGGTAGCCTTACAAAATTCACTAAATCAAGTTTAATCCACTTTTAAAAATTAATTCGCTCAGAGCGTCAATGTCAAAAAATTGTTTGAAATAATTTTTACTTTGTCAACGCCGTTTCTGACCTTTTTATGAAAAGCTATTCTGAACCCGTCTTTTTTTAAAGATATTTTTAGATAGCCAAAGAAACAGGATCCAATACCAGTCGAGCAGCAGATTTTACGGGGTATTTAACGCTTGCTTATTTTTAGGTAAAAAATTAATAGTTATGAATCATCAGCGCTATATATGCGAGGGAACCGTAAACCAGTCAACTGGAGAATGTAACGGAAATCTGAAATACTTCCACATACAAAATCAAAAAGATTGGTGCTACGGACCAACAAGAAGTTACACCCACATTAACGACTATATTTGCCTCTCCGTAGGCAATATTTTCGTTCAAGTTATCAATGACCGAGTAACATGCCAAAGCACGGATAACAGCAGCATTTTGTTTCTAAAGCGGGAGGATTACCAAAACTTGTGCAGGGATCAAGCGTCGCAAGTGGAAGTGAAGTATATCGCAAACGAGAACGATCCCAGTCACGTGGAAATCCCGAATAAAAATCCGCATGTGCGTTGCTCAAACAACGAAAAAGGCGTTTGCATATTTACTCAGAAAACCAGCTTCGACAATATTAATACGGGCAACGTCGTAAATAATTATGGATCGTCATTGTTTTATAACAATTAAACTGGATTAATAAGATTTTTAAATAACGTTGACATTTGGTTTTCATAAAGACACCAGTATATACGGTAAATCGCGTAGATAACCTTCAAGAAATAAAAACTTACAATATTTTAATTTAAATCTTATATAAAATTTTCAATAACATGATGTGGTGACGCTTTTTCAAAAAGATATACCTACAACAAGCACACATATGCTTAGGCTACCGTTTTTAAAAAAACCATTAATCATGTAGGGGTCTTAATTGTTAATTTACTCTTGTTGTGGGTAAGTACCTCTTTGAAAAAGAGCAATAATTTTAATTCCGTTTTGTGTTTAAAAATGGGTATGGACTGAAAATATTGTAAACATTCAAACTTAAGACACCCTGTTGTTGGTATCTCAATCATAACGTTTTAAATTCATGGTATTGTCAACCCAAATAAACAAATATAGTTCCAGACCTAAGTACTAGACTTTATTTACCAAGGAAATGTTAGTTATTTTACTTTATTTACGTAGAGATTTTTTTTGTCATACAAGCTAGGAAGAGTTCATGTCTTGACCAGTCGGTGGACGAATTACCAAATAAATTTAAAAAATAAAAGCTAATAATTACGTAAAACAGATAAAAATATTCATTGTCAAAGTGTCAAACGAGCGTAATAGGATTATAGATTTTTATCTTTATTTGTCCTTGTTCCACCCAAGCACATACACAAATCGTTTAGTGACAAGTGTAAAATATAATATTAGAGGAAGTCAATACCTATAGTGGTGATAAAAAAAAAATGCGCATGGTTATTTTACAAAAAAAAGTTCATAACAAAGTTATAACAATTTGAAATTGAAAGTGTTATTAAGGATAATAAACAAAGTGGGAAACATGACTTATTGGAACTCAGAAATCAACACATAAGTTTTAAATAGATATTTTATTTTACACATTTTCCGCTTACGTACACCTTCAAGACATTCCTGTCGTCTCCCAAATAAATAAACTTTTGCAACAATTCCAGCGGATCGCATGGTACTAAATAATCACAACTACTGCTCCCAGTGGCCATATCTACTATAAGCGCATCAAATTCTTTTCCGACTTCAAAGCTCCCCACTCTATCATCTATTCCCAGTGCTGAAAACAGGAACTACATTAACTAAAACAAATATATATATATATATATATATATATATATATATATATATATATATATATATATATATATATATATATATATATATATATATATATATATATATATATATATATATATATATATATATATATATATATATATAAATATATATAAATATATATATATATATATATATATATATATATATATATATATATATATATATATATATATATATATATATATATATATATATATGTGTATGTGTGTGTGTGTGTGTGTTTGTGTTTGTGTTTGTGTGTGTGTGTATTCCCAATGAAATACTCAACCCACCTTTGGCACCACCCAAAGTCCCCAAATAAAATGCTTCTCGGTAAGTTAACGGTTCATAATTTTCGTTCTGAAACGATAAATGTACAGAAACGTCCAAAGCTGACCTCATAGCTCTGATAATCGAAGGCAAAGGACCACCGGAAACATCTGAAAATAGGTAAATGATAACCGAACGAAGTTCTTTTTGATAAAAGTTATACCTGATCCCAAAGCAACATTTACACCAAAACTATGGAGTCGTTTTACATCACACAATCCCGACTTGAGGCAAGTGTTGGATTCGGGACAATGTGCAATTGAACTACCTCTGTTAGAAATCAGTTTCAATTCATCATCTGTAAGATATATTCCGTGGGCTAAAATAGTCTGAAATTTAATCCACGTAGTTAGATTCGTCGCCTCCAAAATGCAGTTTTTTGAAAAACTCTAAACTTTCAACTATCTAAAGAAACTTGGATAGCTAAAATTTTTAGTAATTTCTCTTAATTCTCTGAGCTAAAGCCTTTTTTCTGGTATGGTAGAGTCATGGGGCCGAGGCGAATAATATATCGGAAAACGAAAGAAAATATCAAACCTAAGTAATAGAAAATTAATCAACAAGGCAATTTGAATGTTTTCGAAGTATTTGTTTGAGTCAAATTCCAAGGTCCAAGTGTACCAATAACCGTGAAATAACTAATATCAACAAATGTTCGAAAGAAATTAATCTCTTTCATTCGTCCGATTTTAGTTGTATATATTTTGAACTTGGGGTATTTATTCCAGAAAATTGAACTAAGTCGGCCAAAAATAACATTTATAAAAGTGACTGATTGCGTATTTTTAGCTGCTGCAGATGCGCACTTACTTTTTTGGTCAACAAGGATGTTTCGTCGTAAACTTCCGCATAGGACAGATTAAAAATATCCCTCACCAATTCCACTTCTTCGCGATTTTCCGAAACGTGGGTCTAAAATATAAATTACAAATATAATTTAATTAAATAAGAAATTATCAAAGTTAATTTGGGGCCATAGAAAAATTGCCAATTCTTATTCGACGACATTTTCTGCAAAAGTTTGAAGAGGTGAAATAACCAGCACGGTTATGACGCTCACCAAAATTGTCCTTTTCTTCCATTATTTTTATTTTATAATATTGCGCTTTAGTTTTACAAAATATATATCCACTAACACTAGAAATGAGTTTTATACACAGTTATATTGTACAAAGAGCAACGTCTTAAATTAAAAAAAAATAGTTACTTTACATGATTTAAACCATATACAGGGCAACTTGCAAAAACCTATTTTTTTATATGCATAACTTTGCTTAAATGTCATCTAAATTTTATTGCCGCGAAAACTTCCTTTTAGTGTTCATACTTCAAGTTTGTGAAAAGTGCTTGCAGCATTAATATTGATCATAATCTTGCTTTTTTCAAAGATGTGATAATATGCAAACACTATATATTTAATCCCGGATCTTTTGTTCTAGGTAATAAATGTGTGCTACATAATGTTCATTCTCAAATGCCGACCCGTACCTGGATGTGTAAATCGCTGTTCGCTGCAATTCGACCAAGTTCCGCCATTTCATTCATATTTAAACTCAAAGCAAACCTTGGAGTTATTATTGGCTTAACTAAATCCTCCTAAAAGATAAATATTATTGGTACGGTAAATAGACTTTTGCATATGATGCAACTTATCATTAACGGCGAATTATTAGGAACCATGAGCTATTTTTGTATTTTTTGTATCGTGTTAGTTGTGTTAGTTCTGCTGAGAGAAGTTACCTATTAACAACCAAATGGAGGTTGTCCAACTGGAATACACAGATGATATTCCCAAAGAAATATAAAGTTGTTAATAATGTTTACGAGAAAACTGTAGATTATACTGCCGCTTTTAGCGGAAAAAAAAATTAGAACTCCAAAACTAGATCAAACACATAATTTGCAGAATAAAATAATAAAAACTCTACACTTCATTACCTGAAACAAACTGTACAAAAACAAAATAATTATTAGTATCAGAATCGACAGTAGGTTTGAGAAAAGTAGTAGGAATGAATTATTTTAAAAGTTAGACATCTATTTGTTTATTAATAATTAAGGTGTGAACAAAAAGATTTTTGATTTGTAGCTGAACATATAGTTTTTTCGAAAACAGTTATGTGCCTTGAAACTACCTACAAAATGAGCTGTGGTTTGAGTGAAGTACTCTTGTACAATATTTTTGGCACAGTTAATTTTTTAGTAATCAGGCAATTCTACGACGGTGAGCGTGTGCGCAAATCAAAGTTCAAGGCTTATTCTAGTAATATCAAAAAAGAAAGAAACAACGATTTTAAATTGTTTAAATCATTGTAACCAAATCGGATTATAATGCCATCGAAAAATGAAGGTGATGCTAATATTTTTTGACATTAAAAAAGAAAACTCGATACAATCAATGATAGCTTTTTTTTCAAAATTTTAGCTGTGAAATTTGACGTCTCGTATCCTTTTTAATATTAACTTTTTACCTAATTAAACATAAACCGAATCGGATTATTTTGATTGCAAAAATGCGTTATTAAAGGATGCTCCATACTTTACCCCGTATAAAACCAAATTAAATTTAGTACAATTTTGGTAGGATTTAGTTCAACATACTTACATTTCGTGATATGATGTCATTAACAAATTTAATAACATTTGCTACGCATTCTTCTTCGGTTTCGACGTAATCTGCCAAAGGAGACTTGGTCATACTCACTTTGCCCACAAATGCTCTTTGGCCGTGATTTATACACGAATCGGCAAGGATAAGGCTAGCGTCCGAAAAAAGAGATGCAAAATAACATGCGGTCGTTGTACCACAATCCAAAGTTTTCCTCTAAAAAAATTGGTGAACATGTTAAGCAGGGAATTTCAATCAATGACAGTCTGTGTAATTTATATTTTTAAAGAGAAAAATCGTTCGCAAGGTAAATTTATTTCTAACTTAGATTTAAATTATTATAGCAGCATATAGCATTATTAAGCGCATTTTGACAGTATTTTTTTTAATGTGTGATGACATAACATTCATTATACCAAACCAAATTGATTCATTCTGCTTAGGATAAAAAAATTATTTTTTTTTTTGTTATCCAAGTTATGAAAGTTATGAGTGCGGTAGTGTAAATGTGCAAGTCTAACGATTTATCAACGACATACTTTTACGTTTGTTTTTTTTATCTTTATTATCTAATTTAAAAGGATTAACTTATAACTGTAAGCGGTTTTAAAAAATTTTGATTTACAGCTGTCAGACTTTGACATTCTGTGGCAATATAAAATTTATTAAACTGAAAATGAAAAAAAAGTAGAAAATTGGTAACAGATATCCAGAAAATAGTAGCGAAAGCACTAGAAATTAATTTGCGGACTGTGCAGAAGATACAAAGTCAAAAAAGGAGATGTGAAAATGCAAGTTCGGAAAAACCAATGTAACTCTTTCAGTTAAAAAAAGACTCTAAAAAAACGTAGTGTTTTGGATATTGGACTTGAATCATTATATTGCTAATAAGATAATATTCAGTTTATTATTAATTATGAAATTATAATTAATTTAGTTTTTTTGTAACTTTTTAACACCTTTGTAAAAATAATGCTTATCACAGACTCCGTAAAATATTGAAACTATTTTTCTTTTCTTCGGGTATTATTTCTAATTGTACAATATCTTGGTAGCCCCTGTGTTTTCTGATTTGATTCGTATAATTAGCGATGTTTCAACCGGCATGCTAAGACTGGATTTGACTATATCTAATTTTTGATAAGTAACCATCTAGTTATTTACATACATACATACCATACCCATCTAAAACATATTTTAAAAAAATAATATAAATATAAATAATAAGATAATTTACCACGATGCGGTCAAAAACAGCCCTCGCAAAGTCTAGATCTTTATATTGGCTTTCAAGTTTGTACGTGTAGCAATCCAACCACTCTAGCAGGGCTTTGTCATATCCAAGACCTGCATTAGGATACTGCGGCGCATGTACGTGAGCATCTATTAATCCAGGAATAAGGATTTGAGAATCTGTTAAGCGGTTTATCTCAACGTCAGCATCAATATTAAGTTTGAAATCGCTCGCCATACATTGAATATTGAATTCTGTTCCGATTGATACAATCTAAAAAACATATATCCGCCGAAAAATAAATACGGAAATTGAATGATTTTGAATTGAATTAACTTAAACTCTCAATTCTGTGTTTTTACCTTCATTTTAATAAATGTGGCAACTATGTTTAGAACTACATAGAACCTTTAACATAATTACCAATGTGAAATTTATGCGTATGTGTAAAAAAAACTCCTTTGACGAGGTAAATATTGTTCCCTACTTCTGAGATAAAAACTGTTCTATCAAAAATTGCTTTCGTTTCGTTCGTCAAATTTCTAAACAAACTAATTGATCGAATTGCGATGTATAACCACAAACTGAGCAAATTCTTAATCACAGAAATACAATTTATGATACGCCACTGTCGTTAAGCTCCATAAAAAACAGTGGGTCAATCAATATAGTCAGCGTTTATTGACAGAAAACAATTTTATAGTCGCGGTAGTCCGTCGCACCGTGGAGGATAAAACCATGGAAAGACGTGAATTAAAAACAGTTTTACAGTCGTAAATACAGTGGCATAACAAGAAAGTTTGTAGGATAAATAACGGTATACAGTTAAACTTACCGATTTTCCTTGCACCGTAACAAAGCCGTTTTGTAATACTATAATTTCTGATTTTTTACTTCCGTGCCAGTAAATGATATTCCCTATAAATACTTGGATTTTAACGTGGGACATATTAATTTTGCTAAGTTTGTTAGGACGATATTTGAACAAACTCCACAAGCACAGTCTTAGACAGGAAACAGCTGACGGTTTTGTGAACGGTTTTTTACGCCAGTGACGTAGTAGCGTGGATATTTTAATGAAATATTATTACAAATGAGTGAATGCGCAAAAATGTGAAAAATTATATCTATTATAAATTTGTTACCTAACGTTCATGACGTTCTTATCAGATTTAAGTATAGATATTTTATCTCGTTTTTTAAACGATATTTGAACTGACGCCAGCACGCACGTTGTTAGTGCATAGTTTTAGAGAGGAAGCAGAAACAGCTGACTGCTTTACAACAATGACGTAACGGTGTAATTAATTAATTAATAAACCATTTACAGTACCTCGTCAAAAAGATCGAAAAATAGGGCTCACTTGTAAATTTCGTTATAATAACAAATGAAGAAAGGCAGAGCCACAAAACACCATTGTTTTATTTATTACCATATTATTGTTTTTCTGGTTGGTACATCTCTCAAATTTTCCGCAAAGTGATTCCAGTACATTCAAAAAGCAAAACACCGCTCATACCATAGTGTAACTATATAAGGTAACAAGTATGATAATCGAAACAGAAAATGTCCGGATAAGAATTTTTGCTGTGCGATATGTATCCTATACATTCGTGTTCTCTCTTCAAACAACTAAGATCTATAAGTATGTATTTTTCTATGGGATTAAGCCTTATCTCGGATCCCGTAGAAAATATATAAAAAACTTAAATACAAAAGTTTATTGGATTCACTTTTACTTTTGCGAGGGCAGCGCCAAAATTTCCCGGCCTGAATATGAAAGAAACAAAGTAGAGTAACAATTTTTTATTACTTTTCAATATAATCCCACTTAACTTAAATACACTTATTACATATCTTTATTAACAACTCAATCCCTTAAAAAAAATAATCTTTTGATTTATCTGCAAAATGAGCTAAAACAGCCTCTTTTAACTCAACTTCATCGTTAAACCGCCGTCCACGTAAGTCATTTTTCAAATATCCAAACAAATAATAGTCGCTGGGGTCATATCTGGACTATAGGTAGGATGATCTATCTGTTGGAACCCACACTCTAAAATGGCAGCTTGTGCAACCCCTAGCAGTATGGACAGGTGCATTATCATGCAAAAGACTCACGCCTCTGGTCAGTTTTCCTGGACGTTTTACACGTATGCAGTCTCGCAATTTATGTAATAATGTTGCGTAATATTTACCATTGACAATGGTATTAGTTTCTTTAAAATCTATCGAAAGAATTCCTTCACAATCCCAAAAGATCGTGCAGACTCGACGTCACTCCATTTATTCTTTTTTTGATAGAGGGTCATAATAGAGAACCATAGTTTCATCTCCCGTCACAATAGTTTCTATCACAGGCTTCGTTTCCGACCCACAGAGTTCTAAAAAAGACCGCGCACACTCGACACGGCGTTGGTTTTTAGGAACCCATCTTGCACTAACCATATGCATACCTAAATGATCATGCAGGATTCGACGAACACTTGTATCTGAAAGCTTAGTAAGTTCTGAGATTTCCTTGACCTTTAAACGTCGATCACTCAATACTACCTCTTCCACAATCGCAACAATATCTTCCGTTATGACCTCCACTGGTCGACCAGTTCTTGAATCATCTTCAAGGGACTCCTGCCCCATTCCAAAACGTTTTGCCCATTTTTTCACTACAGAATACGAAAGAGAACTTTGGCCGTACACACCAGCCAGCCTTTCTTTAATAATTTTAGGTGCTAACCCTTCTTTTGTCAAAAACTTTATGAATGCTCTATACTCAATTTGCGTTATTTGCGACATTTTTTCGGACACGTCTTGTTCAAAATGCTGTCAATAAAAAACTATTTGAGCAACACTTCAATTTTTTTTTGCCGCCTACTAATTTAAAAGAAGACAAAGTTTTATTGTGATACTGGAGCTGCATCTATGCAAGGCCGGGAAATTTTGGCGCTAACCTCGTAATCTTTATATCTTTATAGAGTGTCTGTATTCTGTTGGCCAAGAAACAACTTCCTTATTTTAAATAGCAGCCCTGTATATTAAACAATTTTTTAATTTCTTGGAACTTTCTAGACATGTTACATATAAAATATCCTATACCAAACATTACCGTTTCTGACATATTTCGTCCAAAGTGGTGTTTGTAACAATAAACCATTGCTAAGTTAGGTGGCATAAAACTGTCAAACATTGATTTAGAATCTGACAGCAAGCAAAAATAGTGACGTTTCTGTAGTTCACAGTTTCACATAATTGAAAAAAACAACTTTTAACGATTTTATATTTAAATTTTAAATGTTTTTTTTATGCCTTGGTATTTATTTATCCCTTTCTATAAGGAAATCAACCCCAAATATACATACAGTGACTCACAGCTTAAATTATATAGTCGTTATAACAAAAACTAACTGGTTTGAATGTCTCTTTATTTATTTGGGAAAAAAACAATTTACTGAAATTAAGTTAGTCAAGAGCCTTCTAACACATGTGAATTACTTATAAAGAATTAATTAAATTATATACAATATTAACGTCATCATCAATGATGCAAAACAAAATATAGCCAAATCAATAGAGAAAAATAACTTCATAATTTGAAATACTCCTGCTAATATTCAGCCGGGCCTCCGTCATTATCGATAACGGCTAGTAATCTTCTGGGTATTGATTCAACTACGTTTCTAGTATACTCCGGGAAAATTGTGTTCCATACTTCAGTAATTTTTACTTTTAATTCATTCTTGTTAGATATTAGGACACTATTTAGTTTGTTTTTTAATGTCAACCACAAATTTTCAATAACATTTGGGCAGTTATCATTGTCATGATAGAACCGATAATGCATACCCATATTTAATTTTTGGGCACTAGCAACCAGTGCTTTACCGTAGCTTTTAAATTTGTCAATTTCAATGCTTCCTTAGGCTTTCTCCATACTGATATTTTTCCATTCGATCCAAATAATTCTATTTTGGTCTAATCGGCAAATATTACTGGAAGTTCAAATCTTAATCGACATGCTCTCTAGTGAATGCGAATCTCACGCGTCTATTTCTTCGCTGCACTCCGCTCGTGTCAAATAAACTCATGAGTCAAATGCCGTTTACCGCACTTGTTGCATAATATACTATTGTGTTGCTTTGCGAAAATATACCCAAAAACTAACGGTCGTAGAAAAAGTATAGTATGCAACACGTTGCTAAACTTAATTAAAACTAAAATATGCAACAAATGCCGTTTACCGCACTTGTTGCATAATATATTATTACACTGTCTTTATAACAAGTCCAAATTTTAAATGGAAGGAAGTTTCGAGAAAATTGACAAAAGCTTTATTTTGTTGTATGAACGTCATCTCTTTGTGCCACAATCTTAATGCGTATCCAGTAGTTAAACTCTTATTTTTTCTAAATTAATTTCTATTTTTTTAATTTTAAAATTTATTAAAGAATCCGTAATAATATTTATTTCAAGAATCACACGAAAATCGTTAATTTGAATCGAGGTTTAAATTTTGAAACTTTTATAAAACAAGAAATATTTTTCCAATTTTCTCGACAACTGTATTTGGTGATTTCAAAAAATGGACATTAAAAAAAAGACATTAAAAATATATTTCAAACGAGCAACTCGCAACTATTTCAATTTAAGATTTTTGAGGAGACTCATAAGACCGAGTAACTTTTACTCAGAAATATGTCTCCTTCGATAATGTTTTGTTTACGTAATTAGGTTTTTTAAATTAACAGATGTCGAGATTTATGGAAGGCCTCGCTGTAGTGAAAGGTAGATTTTAATACTTTTAATACGTGGTGACAAATTTAATAATTATTTTAGTCCTAAAAACGGCGGGCTATATTTTGAATTTGTTAAACAAGCAATTAACAACGTAAGACTCGTAAAATGAACTATACCTATATTTATCCTACGTCTGCAGATATGCAATTCTATCTTTTAACGCCTTCCCAACACACATTGATAATTTTACAAACAAATATTTTTAACCAAAACTAATCAAACATTGCGGTTGGGTGTTACTTTAGTCTAGTCAACGTTGGTTTCTCTAAAATATAACCTAAGATCGATACCACAATTATTTCGATACCTTGTCTAATCATTTGTCGAATTTTACTTATCTATCCGCCTTATTTGAACAAGTGGAAGGGCAGAATTCCAGGGTCGGTGTGAGAAGAATTCCTTTCTTGATCATTCAACATTCGCAATTAATCCCTCAACTTTTCTTCAAATATACAAAAGATTAGGGTAGAGTAAAATACAAAATTCGTAGCGCGACCTAAATATCCATTTTATATCGGCACGAGTTTGTAAAAATTCAAACCAGAGCTTAGTGCGATTTTTATGTTGCTTTTATTCAAGATAAAATGCCAGTTTAGTAGCAAGTGCCCCAAACTTAGCTTTTTAATCAATTAACATGTTTTTAAGCAAATAGTTTGAAAATACATAGCAGTGATTAAAATATGGTACATCCTGTATAATGGGATATGATTCGACCCTGTCCTAAGAACGGTTTGTATATTCTGTTGCGCACACGCATATTATGGGTTTTATAGGAAAACCGTAAAACCTATTTTCGTCTTATCTGGTGGCAGGAAACGCAATCAAGTTTTTTCTAAGCAATTTGTCGATACTGAACGTCATTGAAAAAGTAAGTACACCAAAATTAATTGCTTATACTCCCCTAGAATACATTTTCAAATTATTTTGAGGTAACTGATTGACAAGTTGATGTTATTTATTTTTAAAAAGCGTGGTGTTATGGTGTGGCACTAATCCTCGCGGATAGTTAAGAGGTTTTCAAAAAGGTATTTTGAGTAATTTTCCAGACTATTTCGTCCAGTTTTCAAATAGAAAATATATTATTAACCGAATGGAAAAGTGGACATTAGACATTTAATTTTGTAGACGGACATTTTATGAAATAGATTTTGACGATTCTTATCATTTTGCACATATTTAAAAAGCGTTTATTGCGTAACGGGATAAGTTATGGGGCGTTTTTAAAACTAAATCATATATTTTGACTAAACTAATTCAGATATTTTCACTGCTTTATCCGTTATCGTAGCATTTCGGGTAAAGATGTTTTAAATTGTAGAATTCTACAGGATGTTTCAAAAGAAATGCAAAAAACTTAGGGGGTATTACGTGTTTAAAACAAAGGGTACTTTGCTATATAATATATATATATATATATATATATATATATATATATATATATATATATATATATATATATATATATATATATATATATATATATATATATATATATATATATATATATATATATATATATATATATATATATATATATATATATGATGAGACAATATTCCGGGATATCATACGTTCGCTTGTTGAACTCCGACTGGCAGACGCTTCGCCAAAATCTCACTTGGCATCTTCAATGCTCGCGCTCCGAAAACCAGAAAAATCTAGTAGGTTGCTGTCATTTCTTTTGACATTTCTTATTATTGCTCTATTCGTTTCATTTTTTTTAATTTGGAAACTGTTCGAAAAGTTTTATGAAAAAATTGCTTGAGACAAAAAAGTTTTTAAAAAATTTATATTTTTCATGTAATTGCGTAAATTTTTATTTAAATTTAATTACGAAGAATGATAGGATTGGTTTCATTAAAACCCTCCCACTCATTTAAACAAAATAAAAAATATAAGGTTGCGTAATATTTTATTCCATTTGTTAAGACAAAAAATAAAAACATTATTCCGCGATATTTGTGGGGAGATAATGACTTCTGGCAACCCTTTATATAACAAACTTTTTATTTCAAACAATGAATCATCTTTTTTGCATTCTTAATTCTAATCCTAATAGTTGCTTTTAATTAATTTTTATTGCAATATTAAATAAAAATAAATTTTAAAAAGAATCCAATTTAAGAAACTTTTCTCTTTCTTAAGGATGTCGGAAGTAGCTGCCAAAAGGCTGCCAAAACCGCAACTCAGGAATCTTCTTGGTACGCAGACCAAAAGAAACTTCATCGGAACTTTCATATCAGTTACAGTAGCAGCAATTTACATGAAATTCGTGTTCGGGGCGAACCGTAAGAAGGCTTATGCGGAATTCTACAAGTTCGTATTTATTTAATTTTAATAATAATATTAATATTATTAATTAATAATATTATTAATAATAATAATTAATATTTTAATTTAATTTAATTAATTATTTTTTATAAGATATCGAATTATAAATTTTGTTTATCGCGTATCATGATATTACATCAAATAGTTACTAGCCATGTTTACAATTGCAAACAAAAATTAAATAATAAATTAAAGAATTCGCAGCAAAGAAATGAGATTTAAGTGTCGAGGTCCTGTAATAAGTAAAACTATTTGTGCAGCGGACTTTTTTATTGCAAGTAATTTGGATTTTAAATTTTTTCACTAACAGGTTTTTCAAAGTAAATCGAATATCGATCCTGTAGTCTAGTTAATGAGTTTAAAATGACGTTAATTGAATATACTATTACTAAAATTATGTAATATATCCCATTCGATTCGGAATAATGCTAGATCATTGTGAGAAAAAAGTGGACTGGTATATTAAAAATTACACTTATAAACAATTAAAGATGGTAAAAAGTACTGTTTAGTTTTTTTGCTTATAATTCGTAGACCAACAATTTAAAGAAAAAAAGATCCTTAAAGAGGAGGACATTTACTAAAAAAAACATCTGAAAAAAATATAGTAATCTAAATCTCAATAGTAATCTAAATAGTTCAGAAAACTGATTCCCGTTGGAATTTTTCATTAAAGTTAATTTTGCAATAAACTAAGACCGTTGTTAATTAACTTTTAAATTTAAAAAAAATGAAATATTTTTTATTTGCCGTTTTTATGTTAACAAAAGGCATTTATTAACAAACGAAAATCTATCTTTATTTGTTTATAATATTTTTATAAACAAGTGAACTATTTCAATATTAAAAAAAACACAATAATTTTTAATTGTTAATAAACGTTTTTTCACATAGCTATTGTTTAAATAATTAGTTAAGAATTTTTTTAAACATGTTTAACATGTTTAAACAGTTCTCTACAAATTAAAAAACAAAAATTATTAACAATTTCATTGTTTATTATATTACCAATTTGTTTTAAAAAAAATTGTTAACTTTCTTTATTTTCTTTCTGAAAGTTCTGAAAGTTTTAAAAATTACAAAATCGTCCCTATGCATCAAAATACCAAAAAAAAATTATTTCGATTTTTTATTATAGTTTTAAAATATACGTAAGTACGTAGTTTTTACAACAAGTTTTCTTTTTTTAGTTAACTTAAAACATTAACAATGGTATACTTTATTGGAAAATTAACTATAATAAAAAATTACAACGGGAATCAGGTTTTTGAAGTGTTTAGAATATACCATAGTTTTTTCAGATTTTTAAATCTTGTTTATATACCCTAAAAAAAATTTTTATTGTAACTTACTAACTTGCGATGCCATGCGCACAATCTCAATATGACTGAATCGAATGAGCCATATCACATAATATCGGTAATAGTATGTTCAAACTTTACAAATATTCGCTCGTACCAACACAAATTGTAAATAAACTTCTACGGAAACCATTCATGTTAATTTTTTATATTTTTAGGAATTATGACATTGAAAAGGAATTTGAAAGAATGAGAAAAAAGGGACTTTTCGATTCGTGCCCGTCTGACTGAGTGATTTAAAAAATATATAGTCACCGTTAGTTAGTAGATAAAGTTTCTTCTATTTTATATTGTAATAAAATACATAGAAAATGTTGTTTTTATATCCTACCTAGTACCTACAACATTTCATACCTACCTATACGTTGAAATGAGAATATTTTTTTTTATATTTTTACCGTTACACCACTTATGGTTAAGTTTTTGCTAAATGATCGAGACATTTTTTAAATTGCTGCTAGCACTAGCATAAGCGAATCCCCTTGTTGATAACTTTTGATCTCCAATGGTTCAAAAAATAAAGTATAGTAAAAGTATAATTCGGGTGGTAAACACTGGGGATAAAACAATAATCAAAGAATCGTAAGAGAAAAAATATTTTCGAACAAAGAAAAATATATACTAATTATATTTTTTAAATTCGTATCCCTTCCAAAGGACGATGTTACTATGCAATCTTTTACAAAAATTTACTAACAAATATCAATGAAAACTCATGCAGACTTCTTTGCTTTCATGATGATGCATGATTGTCATCATCGTAACTGCTAGAGATATTTGCCTCTTTTTTTCCTATTGGGACTACAAGATTTCCATTTCTTGAGATGTTGCGCCCTTTTTGTCCGTGCCTACTATAAAGGCGCCGCCGCTTAATTTGTTGTGGCGCGCTATTTGTATATAAGAAGGTATCTCTCATCTTTAGTTATGGTAATACCTAGAGGTTGGTGAGACATAGACGTTCGATAAAAAAAATACTTCGACCACTACGGCTATGAATTTTACTTGAATTTTTACCATTTAGTTTTCTTTGTTTTAAACTAAATGTTTCAACAATTTTTTAAATGGAATACAGGGGACAACTCAAAAGATTTAGAGGGCTGAGCGCCCTCATCGTTGAAGTACCATTTGCAATTTACCATTTTCACTGGGCCGCCAGTGAACAGCTGCATTGAACACAATATGGTATATAGCTATTAGATATTACGGTGGCTCTACTACAGCAAAAATGTCATCCACTAACCTGCATTTTGCGCCATTTTCTTTCTAAATAACGATTTCCACACGCTTAACTCGTTTTTCCAGAACATCTAATGAGATCTAAGCATATTTTAGGAAAACACTGCCCCAAAGTGCGGCATCTAAACTTATTGAAGATTTGTCAGCGGCCATGTTGGTTGTTGAAAGCCGCAAAAACGAAACCTTAAATCTCGCGCATGCGCACTTCGAATGGACCTTCTCAATTTTTTTTTCATAGAGGCTTCATAAGTTCCTGTATTATTGGCATTGGCGCTGCCTCTATATCTCTAGTAGCTATATGGAATATGCAAAATAAAAGACAAATATATAAATGTCAAGGTATTTCTATTAACAATGTATATTTTATAATCATCAACCTTTCCACAAATCTACAATTAAGAACATTACAAGTCAATTTGTATTTTACGTAAAGAAACAAGAAACGATTTCATCTTTACAAGGCTCCATGGTATATAAATTAATAATCATAAACAAATGACATAAAGTACAACTAAGCTAAACATAAACAATATAATATGCCATTAACAACTTTGAACACACAGTACCTCATACACACAACAAAATATGAACTGATATGTAAATGTCACTTATAGCTTTGATCAGTCCGGCTACTCTGTTATAAACCAAATAAAATGTAAAATATGCTTTTTCCAAAAGCAGATCCAACTCATGCGAAGGCGCCACTAATAACTTAATTCAATGAAAAAAATGATCTGACTAGAATCCCATCAAATTCGAGAATTAACTTATTTTCGATCCTGAAGGTGCTAAAGATATTTGACTTACTTAATTTGATATTGCAAAGCACTTCTTACCAAAGCACCTAATTTCCATATGTTCCTTCTAGAAATTTTACACAGATTTGAGAACAAATTTTTATAAGAAATTATGCTTTTGATATACTAAAAGTACCTAATCTTAATCAGAACAAAATAACAATTCTCGACTTTAAAAAATATATAAAATAAATCTTATAAAAGGAAAGTTTAAACCTTGTTTAGGCCGAAACAATAATACACACCAGTTCATAAACAATAGAAGTTCAATTTCCAAAACAATGTCTGAATTGCACATTTACACATCACTTCATATTATGACCATGATTTCATGTTTGCTCTACGTAAAATGCATTAAACAAAAAAAAAAGAAAAATAAAACGAATATAATGTAATATATATTATATGCAAAGATAGCTTGTATGGAAAATACCACATGTACAATATACACCTCTTTTCTGCTTATAAAGAACTACTTAGCTATGTTTATTTCTCCTTTTTATATATTATGTATATATGTACAAATAAATTCGCCTAGCTATATACAAGTTACTAACATTTTTAGTGGGTTTGCTCAACGAGAGAGTCGAAAGTTTGATGGTATCGCTTTAAGACCAAGGCACAAGGCATTGGCGCAGTCTGTTCATCACTTATAGTATATATTACAACTTTGTGTTGCTACAATTTGTACTATTTTGTCAAAATACACATTTAAGTAGTAGAACACATTGTTAAGGTAGTAGCAACCAGTCAGTACATTTTTGTTTTATATTTGAAGCACACACATACACTCCAACGTAGTAGTGTTCCCAAAATGTCATTGAAGAAATAATATATCCTCTTGATTAAGGAAAATATTTAAAGAAATTCACCAATCCCAGAATTATTCAGCAAATTGAAGAACCAAAATCAAAGATATTTGTTGTTCAGACAAGTTTTCCCGCAATTCAACTTCATTTTCAAAGAATTTTAATTAAATTCACTAATAGGACGCAACATTCTAGAAATTCATGTGTATCCTGAAATGGAATATAAAATAATACACGAGTTACTTTCCAAATCATTATTTCTCTTAACACATGGTAAGACACTTAAACAAACCAATAGATTCACAAAGACTATTGCTGACCAATGGCATAGAAATAATCTAAAACAAGTTTATCAAAATGTATTAATCAAGGTCCATCAGTTCTAACATTGAAAGAAGTATTGATATTACACCACCAATTTTTCATTTTCAGTCAACATGAATGGAATCACCTTCAATTTGCTGCTACTTAAAATGAAATACTGACTTTGTATTCTCCATTTTGCTTCATTTCACCTAGTCAAAATACAAAAAAAGTAGAAAATATTTATTTCATTTCTAAATTTACCCATACAAAAAAAAGAAAAATATCTGCAAGCTCATCCGCTCAATAGAATACAAATTGCGTCAGTACCTCAGTCACCTCCATCCATTTACAATCGCCATTAACATTCGCTGAATTCCCCTCTCGTTTATGCATATCACAATCTCTGTACATTATAGTGCAAAGGCTTTTGACTTGATCGAGTAATGACATTCAATCATCACTATCTCCACTACTATAACTCGAAATGGAACTGCCTGCCTCTCCGTCGCTCGTTTCTTCTTCCTCAGACATTGACGACCCAGATGATGAGTGAGTAGATGAGGACGAGGTTAACTCACGCGAGTACGGATTATATGCCGCAAAAGGCAAGTTGTAGATAAGATGGCTGCCACATGGAAGACAGCCAATATCATACTGTCACTTCACTTCTTTTTTCCTTTTGCTTTCAACATCTAAAATTAAATGCCCACTAAAGACTTTAATTCAATGTTTCTCCAATCAGAAGCAACATATCACACAAATTTCGCAGAAAATTAACAATGCTGCAAACGAATATTAATTACGTTTTTTCAGATGAGACACAAAAATTATGTTTTTTAACAATTTAATATAAGTAATATTTGCGAAGAGCGTTGTTTTTTTATACCTGTGTTCATACTGTTTTATTGCTTTGCTATTGTTCATACTGCCTATTAGTATTTTAGATATAGTTTCGTTACTTATCCAAATGGAATCAACAGAAAATATAACTATTATCAAAACAACAAAAAATTGTCTCAGATTTTTTAAGAGCAAGACATTATTTTAATTTTTCACAAAACTTCCACACATACTATTTACAAAACTTCTGGATACCTCCTGAGTCGGTTCTTGTTGAATTGAAAAAGCTAAAGTTTCGCACATGATCCTGTTGGGTTCTTCGGGGCTTAAATGAAACTGGCTCGTATTTTACTCGGTACCTGCTTATATATTGCTTAAGGGCGGCGGAGCTAAATGAGAGGCATAAACATCGTTTGGGATAACAGATTCCCATATTGCATGTAATCAAATCTTCTACCAACAAAAAATCAGAGAATCTATAGTAATCTATAAGCAACCAAACAATCTTAATCGCGGCTCAGGTCGTTACCTGTCACCAATATGGGAATCAGTCATGTTTATACCATTCATTTAGCTCCGCCCCCTCAAACAATATATAAGCAGGTACAGAATAAAATGCGAACCAGTTTCAGTGAAGAAGCCAACAGGATGATTGGCGAAACGTTAGCAAGTTCAACTCAACAACAACCGATATAGGTGGAATCTAGAAGTTTTGTAAATAGTAAGATATTGTCTTTATATACACAAATAAACAAAAAGCAATAGTTGTTTTAATGCCGTAAAGGCAATTCCAGTCTAAGTAATAAGTTCCTTAGAAAGCAAATCTCGGAAAATCTCTTTGAATCAGTGCCAACTTTCTGTGATGTTTAATTCAAATTTATAGATAAAAAAAAGTAACCAAAAACTTGGGTGTAAAAGGTGTTCAAAATTCACAATATAAAAACAATTTAAAAAGAAAAAGACCAAAATAAACGCCTCCCCATTGTGATTGTCATTTGATTAATTTAGTTGTTAAGACAATGAATTTTGTAAAAAAATTCTAAATGTATATTACAAGCAAACTATCAAGCACTTGCATGCCATGAGCACGAAAAGTAGGACTTACAATTAATTACATCTATTATTGCTAAAGGTGCATCAAATTTTTATTATATCAAAGTTAATGTTTGGATTTGCAGTTTTTGAGTTTGGATTTGTAGTTGAATAATAGTCAGAAATTTGAAAAAACATAACAATTTATTGATCAATTTTTTACACTATCAATGAACAAAGAGCAAAAATATATACAATTATCAACAATTTGTAATGGAAACTAAAAATTAACAGATAAACCCAAAAAAAAAACAATTAATACAAAAATTATAACTGCCAAATACATTAACAATATGTAACAAAAATTCGAAAATGTAGTTAATAACTAATAATATGTAGTGTCAAAGTTTAGCACCAGCAATCAATTGAGTTCAAAGAGGTTTAAAAAGTTCAAATCAAGTTATCAAAAACAGTCTAATTCCAAACTATTACAATATTACAAAATACTTCATCACTTTTAATTAATCTTTCAGTAGTAACATTCTGTAATTGGTAGGTACTGAATGGCTAGCCATGATATCTTTACATAATTGTGTTTATAAAAAAATATTTATTTTGGAAAACTTGACTTACTTTACTTACCAAGCTAACTAAGATTTCGAGTTTTTTTAAGTGCAGACGAAACTAATTTATTGGATTCATTGAGTTGACACATTTTCTTTTACCTATGCCTATAAGCTAGAAAAGTGTAATTTCTTGATCTTGATCTTAATCACCACATTGTTTTAAACTCTCAAGAATCCAAATTTATGAGTTGCAGTGGCATTTTGTTGGAAGGTCATTAACGAATTCATTAATCAGTTTTTTAGGTATACATATCGTTTTTCTGCACAGATTGCGACTAATTTTTCATGTCAAGATTCGCAATCACGTTGGCGAGTTTTATTATTGGTGACAAATTCCAACAAAGCTTATACTTTCACTTAAGATGTATCTGGTTTTTAAGTGTTTGTTGGCAGGTGTATTCAACATTTTCAAATAAAATTTTACAGTTTACCTGTGTTTTATAGGGCACCCTTAGCCAGATTCCACTGCCAATGCGCCAGCTGACTTTACTGATTAGTGATACAAAATCAAATATATGATAAAAAAGAAAATGCCAGAAATTTTCATAAAAAATAGTTGATTGGTTAACCATTGATTAAGCTACATTGGTCGGCTGTTTGTGCCCAAACTTGAGTTATCAAGCAAAGTACCTCTCAATTTAAAGTATCGAACAACAAAGTATCAATACTAGGCCAAAATGATTGGATATATATATACAACTATACCACAGTGCATACTTTGAGCGTGAAAGGGTATGTTCACAATGTCAAGTCCAAATATATTCCAAAACTATCCAACAATGTATTAAGATATCAAAACCATGCTAACATAAAAATGTATGCGACATACTGACTCTAGGGTTGATAAAACTATTGTTACGACATACATCATGTAACAGAAATTATTGTTCCATACAGCCGTGCGATAAAGCAATAATGGTGCAAAAGCTTGACAAGACAGCATATAAAAACCACAACCGCTACAAAAAGCAATCACTATATTTCTACAGTTTGGTTCACTCCATACTTTCAACTTGTCCGACTGAGGAGAACAATCAATTTTTTGCACTCACCCGCACTTCGAGTTTTCCGCCTTAAAGCTGCCACCTCCTGCGCTTCACTACCTTGTAGCGATACCCCTTTCTCTAGGTTACCACCCCTGCTTCTTGTGTTCTGAGAAGGTTGCCCACTTCGGACCGATCGCCTAGTGTTGATCTGTGCTTGCTGCTGTGAAGGCCCAACCTGGTGGTTGATTTGCTGAATCTTATTAGGTGTCGTTTGAGATTGAGGGTTAGGGATTGCCACACTTTTATTGCTTGTAACCTTGTTATTTGGTTTCACGGGTTGATTTTGAGGAGTTTTTCTCAGCTTTTCAATTAAAGGCTCATCACTATCTGAACTTTCATCTTGCTGTTGAGGTTGAGCAGTTGAAGCAATATTCGCGTTCACTTTTGTAGTAACCTTTTTCACGACAGCATTAGCATTTGGCTTTGCTCTGGACATATCAGAGGCTTCCGAACCCTTTCTGGGCCTCTTCCTATTTTCTTCAACACTGTGATTTGAGCTGTCGCTCTCGTTCCGTTTCCTTTTACCAGCAGATGGGAGTTTAATCGACTTCGGCACAGGGGAACACAGTTCTGGACTACCCAGCTTACTTAAAGCTCGCGTTCGAACAGATGATCTAAAAAAATCTTCATATTAAAAAACTCACAACTACTAATAAAAAGTTATATTACCTTGTTGCGGGGCTTGTGGAACTAGCAACCATTCCATGTTGTTCGGTGGGAATTTCTATTAACAACTGCTCCAATAAACTTTTGCTTTTGCTATTTGGTTGACTAGTGGTCGTTGACACACTGTGTCTGCTATTTTCGTCATCTTCTTCATCGGTCATGGACGGGGTTACACTACCACCCCTAGAGTTGTCACCTTTATTGGCATTTGAATAAGAATACAGTGGAGGTGCCACACGAAGTGGTAAAGGCTCATGATCAACATCTTTGCTAATCTAAAACAAAAAGACAATATATAATTATTATAATAAACTAACACAAAACAAAAATATTACCTTAGAGGACACCATGCTCAGATCAGATCCTAAGTGACTACTGGTCGTGTTTAAATTGGGATTTATGTTAGAGTTATTACCAGATGTGACCAAATCCTGTTTTAATTCTTCACCTAAAGGACAAGATACTTCACAACACTGGTTAAGGAGTTTTGACTGATCATGATGACACTTGTTTTCATTCACATCTTCTTCAACATTGTCTTTTATCAAGGACGACGCGCTTTCGCTTTTAATGATACTTCCAAGTTTTGTATCCGCCAGCACTTGAGAGGTCGGCTCATCCAATCCCAAACTATCGTCAACTTGATGTCCTGACACACTATTGTTCCTATCCCTTTTTACTTTATCTCGTCCTTGTTCAATTGTATCACCATTCAGTCCTTCCATTTTAGCCAGTTGAGCCTCGATATCCAACATGTCAGGCACTTGAGTCTTGGTGTTCGGAGGTATTATGTCAGCATGTGGACTCTGGCTTGCCTACTCAACAATAACATATTTTAATTTCTAAGTTATCAGAAAAACTAATCAAAACTATCTATTAACTTAATATAACTCAATTGCTATACCTGGTTAGGAGACTTTTCACTGAGAGCATCCATACTTTCTATACCACTGTCTTCACCTTGCCCAGCACTGCTGCCTGAGTTGGGTGATCGACTACCTGAAGTAACAGAAGATGACAACTGCTTTTCATTTAACGATTCTAAAGACTTTCTGTCCGGGACATTACACTTATCCGGTTCAGGTGATTTTTCTTTCAGTGCAGGAACACTATCTGACGTTAATGGATTTACTATCTAAAAAAAAGTAGAAAAATGAAATAGTAACAACATAATTGTACATTACAAAATTTAATATGTTCAGTTCCCTGGAATATTAGTGTAGCAGAGGAAAATAATTTAAATTTTATACTTTTGAAATCGAAAAAAAAAACATAATATATCACGCAAAAAGCCTACGCAATTGTAACATCAACAATTAGCTAACATACTATATTTTTTTAGTGTTAGTTTTGGCAACGGTTCATTTCAACTGGAAATTTGGCCTCAGTTTTCATTTTTTAAGTGACTTTCTCGCACGATTGCATGATAGACAAATTGCTTACCTTTTCAGGAGTCTTGGTACTATCTAAAGAAGTAACCAAGTGATTGATAACCTCAGTTCGATGAGGGGGTCTAGCAACCCCCTTTTCCCCAATGGCACCTTCCATTAAGCTCTGCTTAAATTTCGCTTCCATGTCAACATCAACCGCAGTAGGTAAAGAGACTAATTGTTGTTTTGGGTGCAGTTTGTCAACAACAGAGGTCAAATTCAATTTGCTACTTGGATATAATTTTCGATTTAGATCTTTGCTCTTAAATCCTTCCTTCAATTTCACCTAAAACAATTTTAAAATGCTAAAAATAGTGGAATACTTCTACCAAAAGAACTATTTTACTTTAAAAATGAATTTACAAAAATTTACCTTTTCTTTCCTTATCTTTTGAGGTAAAGACACCACAGTACCCACATTAGTAGAACCTAAAACAACCGGAAGCTGTGGCGGTAACTCATCAATTGTTTTATTGGCGACCTCGCCTTCTGATTGACTAAGCCTTCTCATTTTTTTCTGATCAGTAACGAGCGCTCCATTGGCGTCAACATGTTTCTTACTAGTCCTTACTAATTCTGAATCACTACCCCTTCGCTCTTTTTGCTTATCTTTGTAATGATTGACAATAGAGTATTTAGATTTTAAGTCGGACTCTTCTGTTAAATTCGTTAACATTTCCTGTAAAGCAAAAAATATATGTTTATGTATTTTAAGAGCAAGATGCAAAGAAATTATTAAAAGTTGCATTTAAATTGTATTTAGTTTTACCTTATGTTCATGGTTGCTTTTGAACTTCTTTATTTTCTTATGATCAAATATCCCCTTGTTCTTTATCTCGCTATCAGTTAAATTCCCACAAAGCAAACCACTCTCTTCATTCATTGCTTCGATCTCAAAACTCTCTTTCTTCAATTTTCCTTGTAACTTTTTCACTTTGGGCCTAAGAGGTCCATCTGGGCCAAATTGTTTACTCTTATTTTTTATTACAACTGAATTTCTACCTCTTAGGGAAATATGCAAGGGTGGAACCCGCAGCTCTTCAGCAGCTGCAGCGCCAATTACCGAAGTAGAAGCTTTTTTAGGTTGACTGTTAATGAAGCTTACATCTACTTTGTAGGCAGGATTTATAGGTTCCGATTTTTCAAGCTTCAACCTCAGTTTGATTTTTTCCGTTGGTTTAAGGGCTGGGGAATCCCTCCCACGATCTCGAATTTTTGTGTTTTTTAAACGACTATGTTTACCATCATTACTTGATCTTGTTTCGCTATCGCTTTGATCTGTTGCTGTGTCTGGACGAATTGTTGAACTGGTGTCATCATCTGACAATGCTGCAGGAGATGGCAGTCCCGTAAAGACATCTCTAAACTCTTCTGTATCGCTTTCACCCCCTGAATGAGGCTCGAGCTCGCCTGTCAAGGGGTTAATGAGAAATTTTCTGTTGTTATCCATGGAATTTTCTACTGCTGTCAAGTTTGTATTCGAACTTGAATGAGAACCTAACAATTCAAGTTCTGAAAGTTCAGGTAATGGACTGTGAGATAGAGTTGGCAACAATTCATCCAAATCGTCAGGTTTTAAATCTGTCAATGAAGGTGTTATGTCTAAGAGGTTACTAGTACTATTAACCAATGAATCCCAGTTTCTAGCCACAGCAACAGAATAAGGAGGGGGAGAAGGCATGGATTTGTGGTTCTGATGAGCTTGACTAGCGACCTGAAATTACACAAAATAAAAAGTTTATAGTATTAAATATAGTTGAGTAATTAATAATATTGTCTAACTGAAGCAATCCATTATTATTGAAGCATTATTGAAAATATTTTCAAAAAAAGACAAGACAAAATAGTCATCTAAAAATGTTTATGTAAACACAATATATTTCAATATATTTGATCATATAAGCTGCAGTGTCATTACATAAAATACAAGCGGACAAAAATATTACTAAATAACTGCACACTATGTGGCAATTTTGAGTCCGACTTGATAAACTATTCCATAATGTATATACATAATTTTCAGTATGATTAGCATCTTTAAAGCTGTTGAACTATGGAAGTTGCAATATAAAAATTAACCAAATTATAAAAATCGATGATTGTGAAGTGACGATACTAGTTTTTGAGTTTCACATTTTAACTTGATAAAAAAAGAAGTTAACATTTGTGCTCACCGCATCTGACTGCCCAAGGGTTAATCCTGGCGTATGAAATGGTGACACTGTTGTCTGCACAGCGGCTACCACACCGGTATTATGATTCACAATTATATTCTGACTCTGAACACCAGTTAATCCAACTGATCCCATGTTATTTGACAACCCATTACTAGACGCAGACGAATTGTTATTCGATATAGTATTGTTAGGTAACACCTTGAAAGGACTTTGTTGCACATTTTTTGAATGGGAAAGATTATTTTGTGTAAATAATTTTTGTTGTGCGCCATCAATGTTAGAAATATTTGCCTGAGACGTTGGCAATTGCCTGGATAGCACATGATGCTGCTGGATGGGAATGCTGTTTTGATTAATACCGCTGGGCAACGCCGAACTGTTGAAGACAGAAACGTTCTGTGCAGCTGAAGATACATTCTGTTTGTTGATCTAACATAAACAAAAACAGAAAAAAAAATTATAACTCATGAAAACTCACGAAAAAATTCAGACAACAAATTAAAAAACAGCACAATTTAGACATTCGCTATGGTTTTTTGCCTCGAAAACGACAACCAAAAATCACTAAATATGTGTTGGAACCAGTAAGAGTAACAGAGACAAATTCGAGAAAAACAACAAGACCATTTAGAAAGCTAAAAAACAGAGTAGTGACGAAAAAAAATTGACAAAAAAAATATTCTGCTTTAATTGAAAACGAACTTTAAATTGCATTGCACATTTATATTGCCATTTTTTATGCTAATCACATGGTGTGAACATTTTTGTAACCTTTATGTGAACATTTCTGTTCGATAAAGTGAAAGGCGCATATGATTTTAAAAATTTGCAAAATTTCGTCATCTCTTATTTCTGACAAGTGTTTATTGTATTATTACTTTATAAACTTTATACTTTATACTTTAAGACGATAAAACTATTATTGCTATTCCAGTGTTCCAAGAAAAATAACTATTTTGGTCTATTAAAATACCATAATTTTTTGTATATGCAATATTTTTATAAAAATATTTGATCAATAAGTATATAGTTCTTTACTTAAGTAGGATATATTCTATGATGCGGTGTCTTGACTAAGATATGTTTGACTACATTGAAGAGAATGATGACAAATCCCATCATACCTAGAAGCGTGATAATGAAGACTTAATAAGGCAAAGAAATTACATCATGTATGAAGGGCAACACGTGCCCACATTAGATGAACTGAAGCAATTGCTTATTAACGATGAAATTCGGCTTAAATGGCTTCCACCCTACTATTGCATTTTAAATTCAACAAAATATGTGGAATCAGTCAGAAAAACATTTATTTGACTACGTGGTACTTTTGTAGAATCAATGTGTCAACTCCAGACACTTGAAAAGTTCAATTTGACGAACAAATATTAATGAAAATAGTGACAATGAAAGGGAATTAAATACAGAATACCTTGTAAACCAGTATTTACAATTTAGGACTATAATTTACTTGTTTGACGAATTCCACTATTTTTAAATTGAATATAGTAACTACCCAATTATTTAAAGACTGATCCCTTTCAATCATCTTTTATTTGACTATTGTTGAGTAGTTCTTGTCTATTACAATGGGATTTTACATTTGTTAGTTTCCAACCTTTCAAACATCTCTGGGTCTACCAATTTCTCCTAGCCTTTTGAAGATAATAACACGTTACCTACCGGTAGTCAAACTTTGTAGCCTGATGGTCAGTTTAGGTGCACCACGTCACCCGTTTTTAACGACAGTAAATTGTAGCTTATAATTAACCTCAACATATTTTACAGTGAGTAAAGACTGACAAGATGCTAAGATTTTTGGGCCTTTTCACTATTACAGTCATTTTTGGTAAGATACCACATTTTCATAAGAGAACATTTATCAAACACACCTCGTGCATTCAGTTTAATGATTCTGGAAGGTTCTAAAAACCTGACCTGAATGCAAAGCTTTGGTTGAGGAAAATTAAAATACACTTTGGGTCTAGGAGAAATATTCAGCATTTCTTAGGAAATAATGAGACTTTTCAAATTAATCATGGAAAAGAAGCTTTTGGGATTAGAGTTTATAGCCAATTTGGTGACAACACTGTTTAGCTTAAATGATCAAAATGATATTCTCTTTTAAGGGCGTTTTTGTTTTCCGTGAAGTTATCCCTTTATTTGAAAAAGATGAAAGATGCTCCCTAAACCTGTCGCGAATGATAGATATAACACTGTGTTTACAAGAACCACAATTAGTTGTAGTAGTTTAAGTTCACTTCATAAAAAATATTGGATAATAACATAAACAAAAAACTCACCCCAATTGTAGATGTCCTGTGATACTGCGGTGGTGGGGGTGGGGGCAAATGACCAGACGCGGAATGGCTGATTTTGTTAACATTAGAACTCAACAAAGAAGAGTTTATAATGCCACTACTACTGCTCGATCTGATGATCTGGGATGAAGCAGTGTTATTCGTATTAGACACTGACGAAGAAGAGATTAAGGCGCTTGACGGTGATACACTGTTACTACTTATATTACTATTATTATTCACTAGCACGTTGGCCTGAGAGTTGGTATTGAGTGTGCAGGGTGGTATTATAGTTTTTTGTTGAACGGGAGTCCTCGCAGGGCGGTTAATAACCGAATTTGGAGGAGGCAAGTCCTTGCTTGAAGACCCGGCAGATGCCTGATGGTCATTTTGCAAAAGGTTAACCAACAGGGGACTGGATATAGTGACTGGCGGTTGCACTTGAGAAGACTGCTTCATTCCTGGATATGGTGGTGGCAAAGAAGCTGCGAAAGATGGTGGAGGTGGAGCTGAATCAGTACTGCTACTGCTCCTGCTCACTCCGACGGAGTTGGTGTGAATCGCCTGATTCATGCTAGCAAAAGGGAATGGCCCTGCATATGGAGGCTTGTTTGCACCAGCTTGAAGTGTGCTTGATGCCGCCATGCTCGAACCCACCTATAAATGGAGATGGAACAATAGATTGTGGAAAAGTGTTGCAACAATTTAATATTTACCCTTGGAACCACTGAATCTGATGGACACACCACATTCGGGGATTTAAATTGCACTTGAGTGTTTGATGCATGAGCGGTTGAAGTAGATGGCCCACTACTGGGTGGTAGAAAGTTCCCAAGGGCAAGTTCTGAGGTATTACTGCTTGGACCGCCGCCATCTGAAAAAATGACGAGTTTTCATCTGTCTATATAGTTTGAAAATTTTATTTTACCACTTAGTTCAATATTTATAAAGGTAAAAAAAAAGGATTTAAATTTTGTTTGTGACTTTCTGTTCCACATCTAAGTTTGACAAATAGCCACACAAAAATATTTGTGACTTTATTTTGGCAAATTATACCTTGAGTGGTCCTCAACACAATCTCCTGACCTTCTGGCGAAGAACCTGTTGCTAATCGTAGCGATATAGATTGATCGCCATCAACTTGGACACTAAGTATGCCAAGAGCACGAAGCTGGTGGGAGCCCTCGCTCGCTAGCTGACGAAGGCGTAACGCTGCTTCTCGAGGAATGGACAGCGTTACACGTACCGAATTCCACGGCTCCAGCTTGTGTACTTTCACTGGCCTACCCAAAATACCATTTAACCTGCAAATATCATCTACAGTGTCACCATTAAAATCGACACCATATGGGAACATTTTGAATTAATTAACTGATTAATTAATTAATTTTTTTTAATTGTATTTTTTAAGTCTCTGAATTGTAATAAATCAATCAAGTCAACTGCAATTAAAGGCCCCGACAGACGCTCAGTTTTTTAATACAGGTCGCCTGTACAAACCTAGTTTGTGCAGGCATATCGGTGCGTTTGTGTGAACGTCCGGCCGACTGCGCAGGCCTGGCCTGAGCAAAATCAGACCGTGCTTGAATTTAGTCTGCGCAAACTTGGAAACCTGAGTGTGTGTGGACTCGTTCAGTTGATTTGTTCAATTTTAAGGTTTGTTTAGAATCCAAAAATAGTAAGTAATAAAATGACGAATGTTAACAAACAGTTTTTAAGCGAATTTGTTGAGGTATACAAAACATTTTTATGGAAAATAAAGAGTAAAGAATACAGTGACAAATAAAAAGTCCCAAGCCTATGATGTGTTGGTCGAAAAACACAAAGAAGTTGATACGGGAGCAAATAGGGAAGCCGTGGTTAAAAAAATCAATAATTTAAGTTCATTTAGAAAAGAATTAAAAAAAGTATTGAAATGCAAAGTAAGTGGGCCGGTATAGAAGATATTTATACTCCAAACTTGTGGTATTATGAATTGCTGACCTTTTTAAGTGATCAAGAGACACCATCTGCCTCAACGAGTAACCTAGACGATGAAGAACATGGAATAAAGGTAATAGGATATTATTGAAACACTAATACGGTCAGTGAAAAAAGTGTCTCTACATGTTTTTCCCCTTTATTAAGTATACCAAGTTTGAATCCAGTAAATGGTAAAAAGAAAAGCAAACAAAAGCAACAATAACCGTCAAATATAAAATTTCACATAAAATTTACTGGTATTTCAAATGTTTAAAAAAGAACAAACTGCAACAACTGTAAGCAAATTGATTGAGTAATCATTTCTTTTGAGTAACCAATATTTGGTCCATGTGCTTCTTTAAACCAATCGTTGCTTTTTTTGCTTTTTCTTTATTGCACAGGCAAGCACAATGCAATATAATGCCGTGTCTCGAGAAGCCATTTTCTTTTACTAAGTATAGAAAAACCGTGCCAAAACTAGTGAGTGTGAATTTACACAGTTGGCTGTATAGAAAGAACTGTGCTATAAAACTGCGTGTGTGTGGGACAGGCAATAGTACAGTTAAACTGCACAAATTGGCTTGCACAGTTGGCCTGTGCTAAAATACTGAGCGTCTGTGGGGGCCTTAAGAGGTGATGATAGGTACTTTATAAAACCCCGGTAAATTGATTCAAGAGGTTGAGCGTAATTATTATACAAGGGGTTCCAAATTATCTGCGTATGTCAACTTCAACCTCAACAATTAATGACACTTAATGAATCATTGCTAAATATTAGAAATATCACAGGCCAAACTCAGAACTAAACATTAGTGAATAAAACCATTCACACTCAACATGACAATAATAATAACAATAATAACATCAAGCTGCCCCTAGGAATCACTAGAATGGGAATGTTAGAACAACACAGAAAAATTATTAAGTCAGGAATGTGAATCCAGAAAGCCATGTTAATCAGGCGACAAACATTTTCCAACCTGAGAGTCAACTATGTAAACTACCTCCAATAATTTAGAAAACTTGGATAATATAGATATGGGACCGTAGTTCCCCACGGTAGTTTTGTCGCACCATTAACAAAAGGGCTACGTGATCATGACAGACAGGACAGCAGGTAGCTGCTCATATTCCCCTCTGTATTGGCCAAATAGTGGAGCAAAGCTGCCTTGATTTGCAACTCAATATCACGATTAAGTGACATATCTATGTAAATGCAAATCATTATTATACAGCTCTCTTTTTTAAAAATATAAAAATTCTGTAGAAATTGGCATACAATGTATATCAGCATCTGAGGAATAAAGAACAGTTTGAGCATGAGAATTTCTAAAGTTGTATCTTCTATAGGCATTTTAAACAGGCAGTAGTATCTGGGGGTGACTCTAAGTTCTCTTAAACTGTTCAAGTCAATGAAATAAGTCGGAAGGAGCGGGCATCTCTGTGGATGTGCCCTGGCCTCTGTGGACAACTGACGAAAGTTGGACTGCATAATGGTGACCGGTTTTTTGAAAACCACGCCAACTGCACTGTTGGAGGTACCGTTAGTTCGGGACTTGAGGCTCGAAGAGCAGAACTTAGCAGATTCTCGGAAACTGGAAGTCGGGGACAGAGGAGCATCAATAACTGCCATGTGTCACAAGTGGGAACAAAGATGCCCTCTCTATGAGGAGGAACAGGATTGAGCATATCTTATGTTCCCATACACCATACAGATCGAGGATATTTATATGGGATAAAATATTCATGGGCTAGTCTGGTATATGGACAGGTCCAAAACAGACACTGGAACAGGAGCTGGTATATATGGCAGTTCTCCTAAATACTTGGGAGACCCTGTACGTCTTGGGATCGAAAGTGAGTTCTCAGTATCTGTCGTGCAACTACAAGCATTGATAGGAATCGTAACAAGACACTGCCATCTAAGGCACCTCCATATCATAGGGGTGGGCGACTACAGCACAAGCAGGCTGTGTTTACAAGAGGAGAAAACTCCAATTTATCTCCTAGGCAGTTGCGCATACCTAGAAGGCGGCCAATTAAGAGTACTAGGAGCTCAATTCACTGAGCCCGAGCAACTATCCAAACTCCACATGAAAGAGGTACTGTACTGAAAGGTGGGAATGCAGTGCCGCGCCCATAAAACACAGGAAAGAAATGCACCACATATAGAATAGGAATAGAAGGGATGCATGCTTGCCATGTTCTTCAACAAATGATTGAATGTATAAGGCAAACTACAAGACACCACATTCAAGAGTCAATTGATGATGTTCCACACTTGTACTGATGTAAATTGAGGGTATTAGAGAAAGCGGAAGCGAACGCGTATTTGAAGTCTAACGCATTATGCGAGACCTAATGTGAAATATTGAAACCTCTTGATTGTCATAGATTGAGTTAATAATGTAAGATCTTGTTTTCAATACTATGAGGTGGGATATAAACTCATAATATGCATAAAAAAGCAACTGACTGTCACTCTACAGCATACCAGGTTGATTGAAGGCCTTAAAGCATCCAAGAAAGGCAACTCCAAAGGTACACATTATACATAACACACAGGCCAAAACCATGTTTCAGTAATCGTTATATCAAATGGAAGATAAACACAATATACTATATTCTTCATACTATTCAAAGAATATAAACAGCTTGACAGAAGATTTAAAAGAAAAAAACAGGCTTTGTTTTGGTTAGTTAAAAAATGCATTCTTACAAGATTTCATTAACAAAAACTAAGTATCAAAGTAGAAATTATCATGTAAACTTACCGGTCTATGACCTTCTGAAACTGCAAAGGGAACTTGGGATCACCTAGAGTTCCCTCGCAGGTTATGACGGTAGTTAATTCTGGCCCGTCACTGTCTGCTGCCATTTAGCACAATGACATTTTGTCACGCCAAAATTCAACAAGACCCATATCTGGCCTGTTCTGCCAATATTGTTCCAGAGCCATCCAGCAATCTGCAAATATTTACTCAATATCAATATAAAAACACAAAGAAGACAGATAATACAGATATACAGATGTTAGAACATTCCTAAACATCCAGAAAATAAACTCTCATAATTTTTAATTTTTCATATTATAACAATATTCGAGTTATTTATTTTATTTATTTACATATGTTTGTTTTTAACTACTGTTCTTGTGTTGTTTTGCGAATATTCTACCCTGAAACAATCTGGTAAATGAAAATTGAACAGCATTAGTAAAAATGAGATATTATTTTTTCAAAAAATGTATTACTTTCGAGCAGAGAAATTATATTCCTTATATCAGTTTTGTTTAAATCGGTAAAAACAAAAAATAGAACCACAAAATTTTTTCTATATATTTCTATTTTTTAAAAATCTTTGTAAGTTAAATTTTCAATCAAACATATTTAAAAATAATTAAGAACTCTCCCTTAGTCATTAAGACAAATACTAACATAATTTGAAATAGAATGGAATCACTGTTAACGCCACAAAACTAACCAAACAAAATTGTATCAGCCTTGGAAACTCGCTGCTTGAATTGTTACTAAATTTAATTGAATTTATTTTTCCGAAAAACTGCTACCTAGGGATAAAAAATTACCCCCTCTTAACTAGAAACACCTTTTATCCAGTTTAGGTAAACTAAATTTAATATTGGCCAAAATAAAGTATACTTTTTATTAATTTGGGAAACTGAGAAAGGTATATTAATACATTAATAGAGCCATAAAAATTTATACTTAGTTTCGCAAAACTGTATTGAATATTTTGCCGTGATTCCTGTTGCGTTGAAATAATTGGAAATATTAAAAACGTGAAATATGATTACTTCCTCCACTTGCACGTATTTCCACATCACTTCACTAAATACAACAATCGCAAAAGTTAACAACTGCACTTATTATTCGCATAAAACTATCCAAATTTTCTTCCTGCAGACAAAATGGATTGAATTTGGTCTCTCGCTCGGACGTAAACTCCGAAAACTCGCGGCGAAATCTTATTATAAAAAGCTAGATATGATCGCAGCCATCTTGTAAGCCTGACGGGGGAGTGTTATTCCATGTGTTCAAATTCGAAAATAATTCGCACACCCTAAATAAAAGTACTGCAATTGCCCAAAATTTGGCGTTTACCGATATATCTCATCGATGAACGCACTATCCAATCAATGCCCGCGAGTAAAATTGTAGTATTTGATACGGAAATTGATTTGCTTACGGCTAAGAAATATTATATACCCCATTTTATGTGACATACTTTTGACACTCAAACAGCTAATCCAAATGGGAATGTCCTGCCCGCCGCTTGTTTACTTAAAGGATACAGTCACTAATAACTACAATTTTTCGTAAAAAGTCTGTAAAAACACACATAATATTGTTAAAAATAATTTAACGCTCTCAACAATAACAACTCGACGCCATAGGACATGCGCGAAGTCACATGCGCATGAATATGTTCTGTTACGAAAATATTTTGACATTTAGTACAACCAAACGGCAGTTGGCAAAAATAGAAATCCCTGGTCAAAACAGCTGAAAGGAACAGAAAAAATGTCTATTAAACCATTGCAGGTAAAAAATATGTTTATAAATTTCTTCCATTCCATTGTTTTGCTCTGATCAAAGTATGGGTAGTTAATGGTAAAAAAAATCTTCAGATTTTGAGATTATTTATTCGAGTGAGTTACAAGTGATAATTTCGGAAAATCTTCTAAATTGGTTCTACACTATATAAAATCGTCTGATGTGGTATTATTTAGCATGAATCAAATAATCCTTTCCTTCTCATTTTTTCAAACTCCTTCTCAATGTCGTAGTGCCTGAAAAAAAGAAAAATATTTTTAATCTAAAAAGTATAAAATGCTTTTAAGTTTTTAATAATAAACTAAAATCGTCAACATACTTATAAAATTCGGCATAACGTTGTTTGCGTGGTTGACCAACTAGGAAGTAATGGGCAGTACCACCTAGAACACCTAGGATGAGGGCAGTAATGAGATTTCTTTTCCCCTGACTGGCTAACAATCCACGCAATTGCGGTTTCGCAACTTTGGCGACTTTATCCGACATTATTTTCAACTGGAAAAAGGAAATTTTGGTAAAGGTATTACATAACTCAACATTTTAAAAAGAGAAAAAATGTTTAAAAATTACTGCAATATTATTACATTACTCCAGAAAAATTCCAATTACTATATAATAAACCCAATATCACCTTTTAACTATAAAACACAAAAATTGCAAAATTGAAATGTTTACAGGGAGTTATACAATGCCACCCTAGGAAAAATAGGCTGTCAATTAATTTATCAACGCAGATCACAGTATACAAACTGTTCAACGTTTTTCGCTATATCTGTGCGAACTTACCTGATCACGCCTGAGTTAATCAAAGTGATGAGTAATGACGTCAAAAACACGCGTCAAATTATGTTCAACGCCTGAAGTCGACAATTGGGATGCGCTAAGGATGACAGGAAACAACGGCTTTCTGATTTTCAAAAATATTATTTCGGTTTAAGTGTAATTTGTATTATATCCAAGAACACTACATAGAAATGTTAATTAAGCCTCAAATTTTAAAATGTCACAAAGTTTCTCAAAGTCAAATAAAGCACACGACTAAGACTGAAATTAAAACTAAACCTGAGTTAACTATCATAGGAGCTAATTTATATTAGTCAATGTTTTTTTGTTTTTAAATGTTCCTTTAATCAACTGTGATGTAATGGGTTACTTCGGTAGAGAATGCAAAAGGACCGCTCCGCTTACGTAAACCTGGCCTAAAATCGCCTATTGCAACTTACCGTCCTACGATTCTTGAGGGAAAGAAAAATAGTTAAATCTGTGACTAAAATCCATTGTTGCCAAGTTGTATCCTCTTCCATGTACGTAATTTTAAATAATGGCATTAACACACACAACCACAATAAACTAAAACAAGAAAAATATTTGCTTATTTCTACACAATTAAAATCCAAAAAGCCGACAGCAACATTGCATCACGTTCAAACATTTAAGGCCTTCTGGATCTTGGGCCTTCCCATAAATGACAGAATACCAAGGTTATTAGCCTTAATCTGTGTAGTATACCTTGAGTATACCACCCGGAAATTGGATTTCTCTATTCTTCATGCTTCTCTTTCATTTAATTTGACATAAAGCATTGTTTATTTAACCTAGGAGTGGATTTCATTCCCTAACAAAATTTTTGTAATTTTTCAGATTTGTTGTTATTGAATTGTAGTGGATTATTTGTTAGTAAGTTATTTTTCAAGTTTCTTAAGTAATTTAAAGACAAAGTAGCAATGTATATATGTACTTGTATAATAATCATTTTTCAGTATCTTCTCGTGACTTTTTCCGCTACAGACTTCTATAATGACATCTCAACTGCCTAGTTGTATATCAGTTCCATTGGAAGTTAAGGAACTTAAAGAAATAATTTTAAAAACCAAAGACTGGGCAATAATGCATGGAATAGGAATCCGTTCAAAAACAAATTTCAGTGAAGATTCTATAAATATTGCACCATTTGTTTTATTACCATCATCCTTTCCGAAACAGCAATTTCAGAAGGCTATAGATATACAAACCACTTTAAATGAATTAATGCATCATGTGGCACATGATAGATTGTTTCTAACTGAAACTTTAAAGGGTACTATTGAAGTGGATGAATTTACAGGCAATCTATTTAAAATATATGAGACTGTCATGGATGAGGGTATTTCTCAGGCAAGTTTGATACAATATTTATTGTTGCAGATCTATAACTGGATATGGAATTTCTTAATATGGAGACACCACTTGTGCATAAAAAAATACTTTGTGTTTGTCTATTTTTTAAATTTTTGTATGTTTGAGTTTTGGTTCATTTACCTACCACACATGTGTACACATCTCGTGAAATGCCTAGTTTCCTAACATCAATGCATTCATCCTTACATTTTTGACAATATACTAAGAAAACATAAATCACTGCTGTAATTTTGAAAAAAAATTGTACACCAATTCTGATTGTGGAACACCCCCTTGTAGTTAATGTGTATTTCTATGTTAGATTGGGAAGCCTTATTATAGTTTTGAATGGAGCATATGCATAAAAAATCCCATAGCTTGACTTGAAAAATGCTTAGCTTATTACACTTAGATATATAAATTCACCAATAGCTCTTTTTATGCCAGTACTATGAGCTGGTTTTTATAAAATCAATTTTAACAACTGATAACAAGTAACATATGTATCCAAGATAAGGATGGATAGGTTGCACTCTGCACAAGGTCGTTTTGTAAAACTAATTTGACTTCGGAATAATCAAAAAATATACCAACTTTTTCGCTTCATCTAGTGGTGCCATATTTGATAATCAGTTCATCACTGAGCAATACCACTAGGCCCATCAGCTCTTAAACTATAAATCAAAAACATTTTAGTCAGTCAGAATTCTAAATTAATAAAGAACTCTGTTCAACTCATCGATTTCTTTTTATTAAGTCTACTTAGGATTATCTTCTCATTCTTAGGGCGGCGTATTCACTGACTTTTAATAGTCATATACGATAGAAAATAAAATGAAAATTAATTATATTCCCCTCTCGAAATTGAACCAATTGTTGATCTTGAGTTATAGTTAGTTATTTGTCTGCGCATGTTTACACGTATTTTTATCTACTAGCCTTTGAGTTTAGGTTTAATCAGAAATGACTTAATGTTAGATAGTTCATTTGAAGACTCGAAAACGATCTATTCCGGTTGGAAACAAGTAGAAATTAACACGATAGCAGCTGGTTTTGGTTGGCTTGGGCCCGCTTCGGCTCTCATTCATAGGTAACTCTATAAAAAAAGCATTCTGAAACCTTGAAAATAATTATTGTAGATGGTTTGTTTTAAAAATAAAAAAACTCCTATTTTTTTTTTTTTTCGAAGAAATCCCAAATTAAGCTAATTTTCATAAAATGTGATAAAGATTTCAGAATGTGACATTCACGCCAATCGGGTGTTTAAACTTTGATGCACCCACCCATTTTATGGACATATTTTTCAAATTGAAATAAAACTTTTGCTATAACCATTTGTCCGCAAACGTTTTGGGACGGATCTAAGGGTGTTGAAGTTCCAAGATTTTTTACGTTTTTTCTTTCTACAACACGGCAATTGATTATGAATTGAAAGCTCATTTATATTATAGAATCTACTAGCAGCGCAACGCAAAATAAGTTCAGGAAAAAATGATCTCTGTCAATTTTCACAATCGATCAGCACATGAGATCATGTCTGCCCTAGAATAATACATAAGGTACAAGCTATAAAAAAAATATTTGAACTTGAGAAATATATCCGTAATATCAGGGTACTCAATTTTGAAACACCCTGTATAAAAATTATTTTATTGAAGGTTAGGGACGATTGTATTTAATTTATTGCGTCTATGTATGCTGGTTTTGCATATAGTAGCATAAAGATCATCCGTTGGGCGTCCCATATTCATGTTCATGTCTGTTCAGTTTTGGTGTCTTATTAACTTATTTGTATTATTATCATCAAATTGAACAAAATTTGTTTTTTGTAAACTATAACGCTGTAAGTTATAGTTTAGATTTTCAATAGTTCGCACGATTTTTGTAAAAAAATTTTAATTTCAGAAAATAAGTTTAGGACTCGTACGGTCTGATTATATGGTGCATTCAGAAAGGTCTAATATGATCAAGCAAGTAGAGTTTAACACTATCTCTGTTAGCCTTGCGGGTGTTGGGAATGCAATTTCAAATTATAATAGGTATGAAAATTAGATAGGATAATAAAGTTTAAATTAGTCCACTTCTGTTAAAAATTATTTTGTTACATATTTTCCAGCTTGGGAAAGTTTTATGTGGGCAATTGATAGACACCAAGCTCGCTGTGTATACTTATATTTGATATTAAGCACGTTTTGTTTAGCCTCAAAGAATTAACAACTTATTATGTTTGTCACATAGGCAAAATATGCTTGGAGTATGTAACAGAAAAAATATACCCATGCCTGTATATAAAGTGCAGAGCTTTTATTGTTTAATACTGAGTTATTTAATTTACAATTCATTGGTTTGAGTATTATTGCTATATGACCTGTACTACCTTACTGTTCTCTGTAAACTGTATCACTTTCACCAAAACCTTCAATTTGGGGGTACCACTATTCTTGTATTTGTAGGTATGTTTTGCAAGAGTTGGGACACTTTGATAAACTTAAAAATGTAGGTAACATAAGTTATGTAACGTACTGCGGTTAAACATATTATTTTTTATCCATAGTTACCCGAAAACAATGCTCTATTGGGTATAACAATGGGTTTGCTGGACGCTTGGAAAATATATAATAATCCTAATGCTGCAATAATGGTTGTTGTAGAAGATGTAACGTACAATATCTGCGATCAAAGGTTTCATGAATTTGAGTTGAAAAGATTAAATCCTCAAATAAAATTGCTGAGAAGAACGCTGACTGAAGTATATGAAACCGGAAAATTATCACTAGGAAGTAATGAGTTAATAATGTATGTTAGACTAAGCTTTTTATTTTTGTGTGTCTCGTTAATAGAATATTTAATTTTGATTACTTTAGTGACGGTTTTATTGTAAGTGTAGTGTACTATAGATCTGCCTACACACCAGAACAAATATCCACCCAAAATGAATGGGAGGCTGCTCATTGAAAGGTTAGTTAATTCTAAATAAAACAAGTTTAATAATATTAAAAATTGCGTTTTCTTTGTAACACATCTATAAAACAGTATTATCAATCTATTAATATTATAGTTTAATTTCTGTTTGTAATTTTAGGTCTCGAGCAATTAAGTGTCCTTCAATTCAATATCATTTAGCGGGAACTAAGAAAGTCCAACAAACTTTAGCAAAACCTGGAATAGTAGAATCGTTTTTAAACGAAGCCGCAAAAATTGCAGCCGTTAGAGAAGTATTTACAGGTCTTTATGGACTTGACTTCGATGAATCTGGTGATCGGGCTGTGCAGATGGCTATTGATGACCCTGAAAGGTTTGCGAGGAATGTTCAGTTTAGTTTGTTTATTTTATAGCTTAGATTTTTAGATTTGTTTTGAAGCCACAACGAGAAGGCGGTGGTAATAACATTTACGGTAAAGACATTAGAGAGGCGTTATTAAAAATGAAGGACTCGAAAGAACGCACAGCGTGGATTCTTATGGAGAAAATAAACCCTCCTGTATCCAAGGGTTATTTGATACGGGCAGGGGGGACAAATCCTCCACCCTTAATGGAGCTGGTTTCTGAATTAGGAGTTTTTGGCGTTGTATTGGGGTATGTAATTTAAACATGGGTACAGTTAATTTATTTTCTTCTCACTAGTTAAGTATATTATTCTGTCCCTAATTAAAATTTAGGTTACTATCAGCATATGTTATAATTGAATTTCTGATTATTTTCAACATTAATGTCGGAGTGCCATTTATCATTAGCACCATAAGATATGTTATTTTTATTTTTAGAGATTCAAAAAATATTTCTATAAATCGCCAAGTTGGTCATATGCTTCGGACTAAAGCTCCAACGGATAATGAAGGTGGTGTTGCTGCAGGCCTAGGAGCGCTAGATAGTCCATATCTTGTCGATATTTAATATGAAGGCAAATGTTATTTCAGATTTTTAAATATCCAAGTTTACTATACTTTGTAATTATATATTTTTATCAAGTAACTTCTGATTGTTTTATTCTAAGAATAATAATATTGATGCATATTCTTCTATTACTTTTTTTTAACATTATGAATTTTCGCGATTGGTGAATAAACATACAGACATTACAAAATCTGACCTGTAGGGTCATCCATCCATTTATATCCAGAAGAAATGGATTCAAAGCTTACAGTAAACAGGCGTTTTTGACTAAAGCGGTAAACCAAAAATGTTACAACAAATAAACCTAGAAATTTTATCTTCATTTGTCTAATAAATACATGGAACTATACTTGGTTTTTTAGGCAACAAAACTGTAAATTGTCTCATTCTAATACATTTAAAATTATATCACCTGTGTTTAGTGAAAATTTATCTGAAGAGGTCGTCATTTCGTGAAATTGAAATATCTTCATAGCTCTTACAATTAGAAAAATAAGATAAGTTTTTGAAAATTATATATTCAACAGAACACTTTTAGAATTCAATTTACAAACAATTACAACTGGTTATCCATCCTTCATTAACATGAATCAAACAGACCCTTTTTTCTCATTTTTTCAAACTCTTTGTCAATGTCATAATTTCTGAAAAAAATAGAAAACATAGTCAAAAGAACTGAAAATAAACTGTGATATTTTCTTGTTTGACCCAGTATGATACTTACTCATAAAAAGTCTTAAATATTTTCTTCTTTTTGTTTATATAAAACTGTTGAAACAAAAAACCTGCCAGGGCAGCGTTTATTACGCTAGAAATGACGCAAAACTTTGCTCTAGTGATTGAAAGACCGTGAAGCTGCGGTTTTTCGACTTTCATTGTAAATCTTATGCAATCAACTTTTTGCAGTCAAGCAGAAATAAATACAAATATTCCTTTATGACATGATGCAGTGTACATATTTATATAGATACGTTTCCAGGCAACCAGTTTCGGTTGTTTTTAATTTGCTGGTATTCAGCCGACCACATAACTTAAATAGTTAATAGTACATATAAAAAATAAGTTAAATTAGAGAAAATTTGCGCGTCTTTAATGTTATCGTTATTTTTTCTTTGAGAACCCTTTTTTGCCGATAATGTGTCTGTGAAATTATTTTTAAAAAATTTTTAATAATAAAAAGCAGATCAAAAAATTAAATGTACCTAGTAAGTTAATTTAATATAAATCGAAATTTTATATACAAAAAAGAAAAAAATACTCTAAGATAATATCAAAGTTAGTTAATATATTATTTTAAAATGAGGTAGGAGAGAGTGGAACCTATGTTGGTATCCATAAACTATCTTAATTTCAATACATTAGGCCAAATGTAGCGGACGTTTTTAGTATTCCTCGCAATAATCATATCAACTTAAAATACTTGGTATAGTTTTTCAGCTCTCAGGGAATTTTCGTGTAGGAATATTTTTCTACCCTTTCCTAATGCTAAATGTAATGAACGTAAACAAGAAAACTTTCGAATCGATACTGCTGACAATTTGTGTACTTCTGATTTCTATAGTACTGTATCAATGGAGTGTATAAACCTCAGGACGATACTAAAAATTGTGAACCAAATTCAAATGTCAAACTAATTGTCAATTTATATTCCTATATATATATATATATATATATATATATATATATATATATATATATATATATATATATATATATATATATATATATATATATATATACATACATATATATATATATATATATATATATATATATATATATATATATATATATATATATATATATATATATATATATATATATATATATATATATATATATATATATATATATATATATATATATATATATATATATATATATATATATATATGTGTGGATCATTAAGAATAAATTATGTTTATTAAGTAATTTATAAATGACACGAATTTACAAAAGTAGTGTTTAAGTAAGCTCCACGAAAAAATGCAAATTGATAAGTAAAAAACGTATGCACCTAGAAAATATTCTTAGAATTTTGATTTTCTGTAACATCACCAACGTTTTGTCTTATTATATTTATTGCTACTTATTCTTCAGAATATTTAAGGTAAAAATACGAAAAATTGTTTAATCGAATCCATCAAATCGATACTGCTTCTGTCATCTGACGACAACTCTCTCAACTAATATTTTTCCAATATTTAGGTGGGACAAAAGGCTTAGTGCGGTGGGTTTTTCACAGTAATTGCCGGGTAGGTAGGTAGGTAAGATTTTTTATGCTTTTGCTTAAAAGTTTCTCCAATAGTTTAGATGGCGTAAAAAGATTAGTGTGGGCGGTTTTTGACTATAACTGGGGCTAGGTTGGTACCTGACGATTTAGAAAAATTGTGTTGGTAATAGGAAATGGGTAATTTTGGGATGTAGTACATAACAGCCTCCCTAGTAGTGGTATTCAGCTGAAACTGCCACCTTGGATACTGTGTATGTAGATTAACAACTATGACAACTATATCCAGTAGTACTGGAAGTTCTGCAACATTATATAGTTCTGCAATATCTGAGTCTACCAGATTGGTACCTACAACTCAAACATCCAGTTCGGTGCTTCTAGATTAGCTACCATGACAACTATGCCTAGTAGTACTGGAAAATCTGCATCTACCAAATTGGTACCTACAACTCAATAACCACTTCGGATACTGCGGGTGCATCTAAATTAAATACCACGAGAACTATTCCTAGCAGTACTGGGAGTTCTGCAACAGAGTCTAGTTCTGTAAAGTCTGAGGCCACCATCTTGCCATCTAAAAGTCATAAAGTTGGTTCAACCATAAGGTTTCCATCTTCCATATCTCAAAATACAATAGTCCCAAGTACAACTACGTTATCTAAAGGAACAGAGTTATTTCGCAGCTTCGTATTATTTCCATTAACCTCGGAGAACGTTAAATGCGATGCAACTAATATTTTAATAACTATTTCCTTTTTTTCCTATTGAATCGCAGTAGTTTTTGTTTTGAGAACCATTTACAACCACAAAAATATCTATATCCCAGTAATGTCAGTCGGAAAAAATTGCGCGTACTAAAAGTATATTATAGAAAATTAACTTTATTATTTCATTTAAATTTACACAAGATTACTCATTTTTTACTTTCTTATGTCCCGCGCCATATAAGTTTTCTTCGCTATTCAATGAAATGCGAATTGAATCTTTTAAAAAAATATTAACGAAACCGAAACGCGTCTGCGCGGTATATTCATTTCCCCCATTCAAAATATACCATTGTCGGCGCGTATCGGGTTTTAGCGCTGGCGTTTTGTTTGGTTTGTTGACGCAAGGTCTCCCGCAGTCACCTGAAAGTTATTTATAAATCGCTTTTATCAAACGTCGAAAGCGATTTTTGACATCGCGGCTTTGTGAAAATGCCGAACATCGTAAATGAAATCAAATTGGATTTTAAAGACGTTCTTCTCAGGCCTAAGAGATCTACTTTGAGGAGCCGCAGCGATGTGAGTATTATTGATTATATTTTGGCGTTAAATATTGGTGCTGTAAAACGATGCTGTATAGTGGACCAATGTACGAAACCTTTTAAGGGCTTTCTTTTCCTTTCTTTGTCTTTTTCCTTATATTCTGTTGTTACACCCATCCCCATAACTATATGGTTTTTCTCAAGTAATTGTCTTGCCGAGTTTAAAGATCCAAATATTTTTTCATCATTTTGTCTAAGGAGACAATTTTAATTTTACATGTTTACTTCAGAACATATTTATTTTTGCTAAATTTATTAAACTAACCAAAAGAGTTGGAGAAGTGTTTAAAAAGCACTTGCAGCATTTTCCCAAAAATTGATGACAATGTATTTAAAGTATCAACTAAGAGAAGATATTTATTATAAATTATAAACAAAAGATGCCCAAATAATCCGATAAGAGCGCTTTCCCTATTACATGGGATTTTTTAAAATTATTAAATTGAAAATTGGTTAAGTTTGCGTTTACATTTTGAACTGTTGCTTGTCAAAAAAAAAAAACAGTTGATTACGATTAGGGAAAGTTGCTATTTCATTTTGTCTTTGTCAAAAATAGTAAAAAAAATGTTTTGAGAGTCGATTTAACGAACCAGTGTGGAACTATGCTCCTCCTCCTCCTTTATTTAGGACATTTATTATTATCTTCTTACTTGGTATAAATTCTGCTATAATTATCTCAGATTCAGCATAACCAGGTGTAAGCAGTTTTTTATAACGTTTTTTAAATCTAAACAAGAAAACTTGATTACTTTGCATTAAAGCTGTCGATCAATGAACTAGCTTTTCGCCAATATGTTAATGTAAAGTCGGTTTATTGGACTTACTAACCAAAAACCAATTAACCGAAGTTATATTTATATTGAAAATAGTTATTAATTTGTCTGCTATGGATAGGATTTAAGACACCATTCATTTTTTTGATGGTAAATGTTCGATCAATGTGGTTGTCCAAGTGATATTGGGACGCCTATAATATTATTCATCAGCAATAGATATTTACCAAGAGGAAACTGGAGTTTAATATTTGCGTTTTTTAAGCTTCTACAAAAAATAAAATTCGAATTATGTTCGATATTTTTTTGTAGACTTTGCAATGATTCTGTAATGACCAATTTGGAAAGTTTCTGGAATATTGAGAATCTGAAATTTTGCACTATTGATTGTTTTGTAACTTAAAACTAACTAAATCTTTCCACACAAAAATCATTTTATATTTTTCTACTACCTCTCAGAGGAATTTAATTTGGCTCATTATTTCTTATTATACAGTGCAATAACTAATTTGTTTTTATGAAGCCGAGCGTTTTTTTGCGCGAAATTTATACTTTCAGTGAGTTTGGCGTATTTTATGGATGCCGTGGTAGTTAACCTTTTTCATTTACTATAACAGAAACTCATTTACGTTTGCCGTTTTTAATTTTACGCTGACAGTAGACATGGTGGGTCTCAAAGTATATCGTCTTGGTTATTGACGCACTCTCCCCCAAAAAGTAATTACGAGCTTTATATCTTTTGTTACTGGGCAATCCCAATACATTTGCTATTGTCGCAGGTAAACATATTTGACCAACAAGCAACTGATACTAAAAAAAAGGACAATGATTTTTTTTAGTAGTTCGGGTACATATACATATAAATTTCGGTTTCCATACAATATCGCTGAAACTTCATGGACTAGCTAAAAATTAAAGTACATAATTTTTTGGCACCTTAAGTCTATCGTTTAAAATAAAATTCCGTTTTGGGAGAGGGGTATAGTGTGTATACTGTCTTGGCCTTTGACGAATCCTGCCAAAAGTAATTACGACCTTCATACCTAAACTTGTTACGTTTTGGATACGATAAAATACTAAACAAATTGAGAAAAATGTGTAGAAATGATTACTAAATAGGGGATTTAGTAAACAGGAAACTTTAAAAAAACCTTGCCTCTTTGCAAAACGCCAATGTCCTGGATAACAATGAATTATTTAATGAAAAAAAAAAACCTGCAGATCTGAAAAGAGATGTATAATTTACTTAGATGAAACTTGATTCGATACATATGATACAAAAAGAAGGGGTGGATATCAGTGACTCCTACTTTAAGTCCGAGTGTAATTGTAATTCATTTTAATATCGACTCTTAGAGTGAAACAATTAAATTTTAAATAAACACGTACTTATTTCCGCAATTATTGGTAACTTGTATATAATTAGTGTTATCATATGTGATATTAGTACTAATATGATTTTATTATATTTTTAAAACAACTGCTTTGTCTGATGCTCTGACTGCTTTGGCTAATGCTTTGTCCTACAAAATCCGGATGATCAGGTGTTTTATTGCCGTCGGGAGGTTATTGCGATAGTAGCTGTCAAAAGCCAGGACGATATACTTTGAGACAAACCATACATCGAACATAATATTTCACTCATAGCCTCTTCGCGTTTTTTATAAGATTTAAATGTTGAACTTTTTTATAGCCATCATAAGATAATAGCAAAAAGAATGAAATTATTTGAAACTTAAAAACTTATCGCAGAAGATGAAAAACGCGGAAGACGTTTTTTTTACATAAATGTTGTAGCCCTAAAATAATTTTCGCTTCAAGCTTTCAAGCTTCGAAGAAAAACGTTGTTCGATCTTTGACCCAATTCAAATAATTTCTTCAAAAGAAGAAATCAAAAATATCGTCTTAAATTCGTTATCTGGTCCATTTACTTATTTATAAAGCTCATTTAATAGAGTAACAAAATGTCAGCGGTTTCAAGGGTTAGAATAGAACGCAAGAAGAAGCGCCCTTTTCGCACTAGATAATGTTAAATTGCGTTATATTCTACGACACCGTTTTGATCAAATATTACGTTTGTTTTTCTAAAATTTACCTTTCTGACAAATATTGTCATTGAAAACGCAAACGTTTGAAATTAGCAAAAAAAGCAACATCCGTTTATTATTCCACTTTAAAAAAGGTTGCAACATTTATAATCAAAAACACTTAAAGTTAAATCGATACCAATCGAGCGATATTATCAATAATACGTACCAATATTTAATATAAAAAGCATATTGCGTAAATTGTCTGAGTTCGTCTCACAAGTTGGAAACTTCTCGTTCAAGGGGACAGTCACCCCTATTATTTGTTATAATAATTTGGACGATATGCTGTTGAAAATGCAATTGAATTTATGTTTCACAATTAAGTGTATATGACATTTAAGTCTTTCTTCATTAAAAAAAAATATATATTGTTGTTGCATAGATATATTTGGTTGTATATTTTGATGTCTTAAATTTGTTCTTTAGAATTTTGTATTTTATTAATTTTGTTATTTATTATATTATTATATATTAAAATCCTGCGTCTTTGAGGTAAATTTCAGAATTGTTGGTATAAAAAATATATAAATATAAGAGTATATCAGATACCGGTATTTTTTTTGTATGGGCTAACAAATTGATACGGAAAAATAGTTTTAACGGCAATTGAACTATATTAGAAAGCGGCGGTGACAACCAACAAACTAATACAAACCATTTAAAATATGGCGAGGTATATTTACAATTTCAGAAACGATAAGCATGATTATACCCAAGCCAATTATCGGTATACACGCAAAATACGGGGTGTAAATAAATAGGCTCCAATTCTAACGAATAAATATTTTTGTAGTCATTTTCATTAATCCGATCTATTTTAACAAAACCTTTAACCAATAAATAGGACTAAAGGAAAGGATACTTTGTGGGTACCTGCATAATTTCTGTCTAGAAATATAGTCGCAAAAGTCGATTAATATTTTAAAATTCGATGTAACAAAACCTTTACAGCTATTTTTGCATTGCATTGTCAAGATATTTAACAAAAATTTAACATAAACGTTTATTTTTCGAAAATAAGATGTTTTTTTCTAGTAGATGAATAACTTAATTTTGTGTTCTGCATAGCAACCATTTCCGACAAATGAACTCACTTTGATTTATTGAATTTGTACTTGTACTATATATATATATACCAAATTTGTGGGCGATCTCTGACTCTGATGTCCTTTATAGGAAAGATATATAGATAATAACCGACATTAATGATATTTTAAAAATATAGTTTCTTATCCAATCATTATTGAACTTTTGATCTCTGGCTAAAAATTGCTCTCCGTTAATTATGTGTCTGGTGCGATGTCTGGATATCAGTTTCCTGGAAGTTAGATCGTGACCTTATCGTTTTATTTTTAACACCTTTCGCTAAAGAAATAAATTTAAAAGTCCACCTGTGTTTTATACCATGTTAATATACTCTGCATTCTTAACCCTAATTCAAGTCAGTTCAGGTAATGTTAGATGTAACAAGAGATCACGTAATAGAATAAAAATTTGCCCAATGTCCAATGGCCATTTTAAGTGATAAGACGATCGCCATCTCCAAAACGGGGAGAGTTACAAGGTCCGCTAAATTAGACAAAAGTGCCCTTTTTTTATGAACATTCAACACTCGCCTGAAGAGTTGCTAATTTTGTTTTAGTTTATAAAATATGATGCTATTTATGAAAAATAACTGGATTTCGCAGCGCTGTCAAAATATGTTTATTGCAATTAATATGCGTGAAATGGAAAAAATGTATGGAATTAAAAAAAGACAAGAGCAGTTCGTTTAAAATAAGGGAGTGTAATTGATTGAAATTTTACTTAGTATACTTCAACCAGAATTATAATGGTTTTAAACCAGACCCCGTGATTAACTTTGCCTACTGTTTATTACTCCCTTATAGAACACCCTGTTGAGCAGATCCTTACCCGTAACCATTCCATCTTAGGAATTTATCTACCTACACTAACAAGCGGGATATAAGTATTTCTTGAAACATGTACATAAAAAACTTAATATAAAGTAACAATTTATTTCGTTCTATGTCACTTGTTCTTAATGCTGTTCCTACTTTCCCTTCTAAATTTCTTATAAAATTGTAAACATTGAAAATGATGTGTTTAGCATCCGAAGACAAATGGATCCGTTTTTTATTTGCTAAGGTAGTTCGTCTTCTAAATTGTCTTCTACTAACAGGGGAACATCTGCTACATTACACGGTCTCTACATTTTAAAGGGTGAAAAAACAGGAACCTTCAAAAAATGTTTAATTGTAAGATTCTAATAAATATTTACCTGTATTCTTATGACGTACCTTTATCTACCGCGAATATAATCTATCGTCTATGTATGTACATCTATGTAGAAGACACATAAACACAAGAAGAAGAATGTTGTTAATCGACAGGCACACAAGACAAAAATGATTATTTTCAAACTTACCTGTAAGATAAATAGAGTACAGGTACTTATCCTTATCCTTTGAACGCCCTTGAAACGCTTCTACTTATTGAAAAATACCTTGCAGCATCAACGTTTAACCAAATTTAAAACGGTCCATTTATGTTTCAAATAAAAATTTCAAATTAAATATTCATTACGGTCCATCTCAGGCAAGAATAAACATCTGTTAGGATAGGTGACGGTCTGCGGTTAAGGTACTGTAAAATCCTTAAAAGGTCAAACCAATAAATGCACTACCAGGGTCACTATATTATCTAATAACTATATGGTTAAAACTATGACTTTGCTTGGTCTCACCATAAAATAAATATGTTTTAACGAAGTTTTACTTATAGTGCCATTAAACTTTAGAACTTCATTTCTGAAGATTTCATGCCTTCCAACATCAACGAATTTAAACATAAGTTTCGATCCCACTTAAAGCTTTTAGTACCATTTCTGTTGGAAGTGCCGAACGGGTGGTTTGTTTGTTTTGCAGTTTTGACCAATCCAAATAGTTATACTATCTTTTTTTATTTTCTTTATTTATTTTTATTCCCTTGACACTTTGGTTGGAAGTATGATTTTCTTCATTTTAAATCCGAAATTTTTCACCATGGCTGATTTGTTTAGTGAGAATTGTCTTTTCCAGCTAAATTATGTATGTCTTTTCATTATTTTTATTTTTATTTATTTTTCAATAATTTATGTAAAAATTAATTTTTTAACTTTCCTTTTATTTAATGGTATCGTTTGGAGATGGTAAGACGGTATGATGAATGGTATGATTTAAGACTGACATCACGTACAAGAAGAGCTTTTTAAAAAAAAGTTAATTAATAACAATAATAAATTTAATACAGAATACGTCTGTTGCTTCAGGTCAACTTACATAGAAACATTACCTTTAGAAATTCCAAACAAACTTATGTTGGAGTGCCCGTCATGGCTTCCAACATGGACACCGTTGGGACGTTTGAGATGGCGAAAGCTTTAGCAAAGGTAAGGCAAACATTATACTATTATTTTGCATTCGTTTTTGGTTCTGTTTGAAAAGCTGAATCGAGATGTACCATGACAGAACATGTTAGTGACATCTTAGTACATCCTGACAACTCACGCATCTGTTTCTTATCTATATCTGACTGGTTTTTATGTTGCAGTACAGTTTATTCACCTGCATTCATAAGTACTATTCGCCCGACGAATGGAAAAAATTCTCGCAGGAGAATCCGGAATGTCTGAAGCACGTTGCGGCCAGCGCTGGTATGGGCGAAAACGACTTCAATAGATTATCCGAAGTTCTCCAAGCCGTTCCTGGTATCACATTCATTTGTTTAGACGTAGCCAACGGTTATTCTCAACATTTCGTCGACTTTGTGCGAAAAGTGCGGACAAACTTTCCAAGTCATACAATAATAGTAAGTGTATTCTAAGCGGTCCGTAAAATGTATTATCGCCGATATCATAAATAGAGCGATAACGAAAACATACCGGGAAAGTGTCGAAAAAATCGAAACGCGAGAAATATGTTTGCGAAACTTTTGAAATAAATATTATAGTCTAAATTTGACCGTTATCGGCGAGATCGTCATCCTCTTAAATAAAAATACGTCAAAGATATTCAACGATAGTAGAAACCAAATAAGTTAATCATAAATCATTCTGGAGAAGTCGAATTCAAATCTATGCTTGGCACACCGCATTCCGCTTGAAATATATTGGCGATTCTACGATTCAATGAAACTAATAGCAAAAAGAATGTTAATTCATATGAGAAGTAAAATTTGACTTGGTTGCCTTATACGGTTTATGTTGATATTGTTTAAAGAAATGGTTCGGTTGGTATCGCACGCTAATTAAATAAGTGGCTTTATGGATTCGTCCCCGTCTTCAACATCAAAGGAAAAACTTACCGGTTACAAATCCAAACACAACACAGATTTTTCTGTTGATAGATGTCCCTCAAAATACATTAAATAATACTTTTTATAAAACTTCTGGATTCCTCCGGCGTCGGTTTTTGTTGAGTCGGACTTGCTAAAGTTTCGCCAATCATCCTGTTGGCTTCTTCAGAGCTTGACTCAAACTGAAAAAACCAACAGGATGATTGGCGAAACGTTAACTAGTTCGACTCTACAAAAACCGACGCAGAAGTTTTATAAAAAGTATTACAGTAGCCTGTGGAAGTTTCTTTAAAAAATTAATAAAAATAATAACTTTTTATTTTAAAAAATTATTCTGTAAACCTGGCCGTTTTCCGACAAAGCAGATTTACAACTGTAGGAAATACGTTTTATTGATACTTTTAGAATATATAATGACTCTCAATTTTTTATGGAGTGCTTTTAACTTTACTAGTTTGAAGCACAATGCAAAAATGTCCTTTGAGTTTTCGATATCTATTACAGATCCAATTAAAAGTAGGGGAAACCCGAGCAAAGAGCATATGTTAAGAGAGAAAATATATATCGCTGCTATTTATGATTGACCTCGAATGAAAAAATATGTTAAAGCCAAACAATTGCCTAAACTTCAAAAATTAAAAGCTCTAATAGTTTTTTTTTTAACTTTTTTTTTACATTTTATTGGCTTTGCCCAACTAGCCTTGCAAAGTAAATACAAAAATTCATTATCTATATAAAAAAGTAGGAATAATATGGTTTAACAAAAGTCGCCAATATATAGTTCAAACCGACCGTAATTACATCGTTTACGGTCGCTGCGGTGGATCAATTATTCTCCGGTTTCCTCAAATGGCTCTCCACAAATCAGGCAGTTATGCCACTTCGTACATTTCCGGGATTTTACCGCATTGGTTTGGGGGCAATCGGATGTTTTCGGAGATATTTCCTACCCTTTGCATTTTGACGTTTGTCAATTCTGACAGTCACGTCAGTGAATGTCAAATAAACTCGTGAGTCAAATGCTGTTTACCGCACTTGTTGCATAATATACTATTTCCGAACTTTTACCTAACAGTTTTACCATCGTCACTTTTATTTTCTTCTTATCAGCTGCCTGTGTGAATAAGGGTCTAGTGACTGCTTGTTTCTTCTCTTTTGAAACTTGGCATTGAATTTTTCAAGCTGCTCTTTTTTTATTGGAGTTGAGGTCAAAACCTCGGATTTTTAAGATTTTTTTTCTAGAAAAAGGAAAGAAAAAGGCTGACATATTGTTGTGACTCACTGAAAGGCACTCGTGATATTTTTGGCGCAGAATACGATGCTTGGTAATTTTTGTGTAGTGACAGTTGTTGCGTCCAGAAACCAGGTATGTCGCGAATAAATTTTTAGTTTATTTTTTCCCAAAACATGCGTGCACAATCTACCTTTTCGCACCTGCGACAAGCAACTAGATAGAGAGCGCGCACGTGTCCGGTAACGCGGAAGTAATATTAGTTTCGAGTTTCGAATCGAATCTCCCTGAGTGAGGTTTGCGTCAAATCGCCGTACCAAGTGGTATTTGCATACGGCTGTACCGGAGGCGCCTCAAGAAGAACGGCCACGCTGATTCCACGATGCATAACAGTGAGTCGTACTTGCTCCCCTATCCGATTACAGTTTCAGTTATTTTTATTACCCCTTCTGGGTCGGAACAACAGTCAAAAAAATAATACAATTTTTGCTAGTTAATGCAACATGTGATTGTGCTACTTTGTGAGTTATAGGTCAGCAAATCATTTTCATTTTTAATGGCTGGACTCTCTTGAGGGTAATCTGTTAATAAAGCTGGTGCAATATCTTCTCTAAAAACGTTAGGATTGTTTTGTTGAACCTACCAACTGCTTTTTGCGCAGTGGCGCAGTGGTTTGAGATAACCTGGTGTAAAAAGTCTGCACATATCATATTAGTTGATTATAGGACCAACATAATTTTTTGGAAATGTATTTAGTTCTTGCTCGAAATATTTATGGGACAGTAGACAGATACGTCCAGAGGTTGCATCTTATTCGTTGTATGAGGTGCAAATAACAATAAGATTACATTATTGTGAAAAGCAAATTCCAAAGCTGGATAAAACTTATAGGACTGATGTTGTTCACAAAATTTTTAAGCCAAAGCAAGAATGTTGGAATGTTGGACCTTATTTTATTTTCGCGAGAAAAATAATGCAGGAAAGCTCCTTCAGGTTCTCACGGATCCTGCACCGATGATTTTTGGATAAATGCCACCGCACCACTACAACAACCATCGTTAATTCGCATAGTTCAGAGCTTGCTATCATTCCAGCTTGAATTCGACATCCAAGTTGTAAATGGGAGCCCCTGAAAACTTATGTTTCTCCAAAAGCACCCATAAAAACGTTCAATCCTCTTGCAATTGATGTAGGTTCTGGGACCGCAGTCTAATATCTGGACGACGAGTTCTAAACTTTGCTAGCCAGCCTTTGTCAGGTTTCCCATTTTTAAACGCACGCCTAATTTCCGCAAAATCGTACGTCAATTTTCAATTCAAAATTCTCTTGAAACTGTCAGCTCGCCTGCATGGTTTTTCGAACCTCCTTGTAAACCATCCGAAATCTCGAAAATACATTACACAAGGTTTATTAAATGCTAATTAAGTTATAGCTCTTATTAAAAATGCATATCGGACAAAGCGACTACTTATCGGAGCAAAACGAATAATCTATTCGCTGTGTCCGGACATACATTTGCAAATGGCGACCCCTTTCACAAATGGATTCCAGGGTTGTGTTTATTATCACTATGAATTAGCGAATCGGTTTTTGCTCACCAAATGAAAAACTTTGGTCAGCAGTAAGTTTTTCTTAGATACTTTATTTCCTCTGTACTAATTACATATTTTCAAGAAGTCAGTAATAATTGGCTAAAGTTTGTTTTAAATATCATTGATTATTCTTAATATTATACTTCATCATCATCATCGCGTGCCGTCTTCAGTGAAGGTTGGCGATCACATTGGCAAATGCTTGTCTATCCTGTGCCGTTCTTATTACTTGTTCAAAGTTCAGGCCGGTCCAGTTTCTGATGTTTCGCATCCAGGACAGTCGCTTTCTTCCTAAACCCCTCCTTCCTTCCAGCTTTCCCTCAACTATCAGTCGTGGCAACTCATACTCTTCGTGCCTGAGTAGGTGGCCTAAGTATGATGTTTTCTTTACTTTTATGATATGTAGTAGCTCTCGCTCACCACCCACTCTTTGAAGTACTTCATCGTTCGTAATTCTGTCTGTCCAAGGGATCCTCAACATTCGTCTGTAGCACCAGAGTTCAAACGCCTCCAATCTATTCATCATGGCCGCCTTCAGCGTCCATGATTCAACGCCGTACAACAGGATAGGCCAGACGTAACATCGTACCAGTCTCAGACGTAGGCCCAGGTCCAAATATGAATCAGAGAGGAGCCGCCTATATCGCATAAATCCCTGGCGCGCTTGCTCAATTCTAGTCCTTATTTCGTAATCGGGGTTTGTGTCTCTTTCAATCCAGGAACCCAAATATTTAAAATGATTTACCATTTCTAGGACTTCGCCGTCGATTTGCAATGGAATCGGGATATTCTGATTTTTGCTAATTACCATTGTTTTTGTTTTCTTAATGTTGATCTTCATCCCATATTGTGAGCATGCTCTTTGAACGCTATCAATAATATTCCGAAGCCCGATGTCTGTGTCGGCCATCAGAACCGTGTCATCAGCATATCTTATGTTGTTGACAGTTTCCCCATTTACTTTGATTCCATCTGAGATATTCTCTAATGCGAATTTAAACAGCTCCTCCGAGAAAACATTAAAAAGAATCGGTGACAATATGCATCCCTGTCGTACTCCTTTACAAATCTCTATTTCCGCAGATGTAGTATTTTTTGTTCTTAGTTTTGCTATTTGATGCCAATAGAGATTCTTTATTAATTGAATGTCCTTTCCATCGATTCCCACGTTGACAAGGGAGTTTAGAAGGCCTGTATGTGGAACTCTATCGAATGCCTTTTCGAAGTCAACAAAGCATATGTATAGGCTCTTCTGCTGGTCCATGCATTTCTGAGCCAAAACTTGCAGGCTAAACAGTGCTTCACGAGTGCCCATGCCTCTCCTGAATCCAAACTGTTCTCTTGAGATTACCTGCTCGCATTTCTCCCGGATTCGATTGTGGATAATTCTGAGAAGGATCTTCAGGGCGTTGCTCATCAGACTAATCAACCTAAAGTCATTGCATTGACGAGGATTCGGCTTTTTGGGAATGGGAATGAATGTAGATTCCAGCCATTCTGTCGGAATTTTACCAGATTTATATATTTGATTAAGTAGTTTTAAGAAGAGATCCAAGTTTTCTTCATCAATTAACTTAATAACTTCTGAGTAAATATTGTCAGGTCCTGGGCTTTTATTGTTCTTTAGTTGGTTGATAGCGCGTTCAAGTTCACATTTAATTATGGTAGGACCTTCGTTATTATTGCTAGTGGATGGCTCTTCTCTTAAGTCGGCAAATAAGTCTCGGATATAATTTTTCCATATGACTATTTCCTCAGAGATGTCTTTTGCTTGCTGGTGGTTATTATCAAACAGTCTATATGGTGCTTGTCGCTTATTTGCTCCAGATAATTCTTTAATTTTTTTGTGCAGGTTGAAACCATCATGTTTACGCTGTAGGTCTTCTAGTTCCTCACACCTTTCCCTCATCCAGTTCTCTTTTGCTTCTCTGATTTTCCGCTGAATAATTGAATGGATGCGTCTATATTCTGTTGGGTTTTTGTTTTTGCATTCCCGGCGCTTGTCCATTAGATCTAGAATTTCTCTGGTCATCCATTCTTTCTTTTTCTTAGTCTCTGACTTAAGGTGTTCAGTTGTGACCTCCTTTAGTATATAAGATATTTCAGTCCAGGTCGCGTCAATGTTATCTGCTGTCCGCTGGCCTCGGTTAATTCGTTGGAGGTTGGCGTTAAGCTCGATCTGTAAGGAGTTTTTCTTTGCCTCTTGTTTTAATTGTTGCACATCAACTTGTGGTGTTGGTTTTCTTTTCTTCGTGAGCTTGAGTGTCATAGAGAAATCAATTAACACAGGATTATGATCAGATCCTATGTCAGCGCCGGGGTACGTCTTTGCATTTTTGACTGAGCTGCGGAATCTCTGGTTCACCATGATGTAGTCAATCTGGTTTCGCACTATGTTGTCATTATTGTGTTGGGGAGATGTCCACGTGTATAGTCTTCGCGGGGATTGCTTGAACAAGGTATTTAAGATTACAAACTTGTTTTCCTGACAGAACTCTATTAGCCTGTCCCCTCTGTCATTTCTTTGCCCCAATCCAAAGCTCCCAACCATCTCCGACGAGCTTCCCTTTCCGACCTTCGCATTTAGGTCCCCCATAACAAAGGTAACTTCTTCCTTTCGCGTGTAACTAAGTAATTCCTTGAGGTCACTATACCATTTCTCAAGCTCATCCAGTGGTTTGTCGCCAGTCGGAGCGTATACCTGAATCAAATTAATATTTACAGGCTTTCCAGTTAGTTGTATGAGCATGCATCGGTCAGATAATGGTACGAAACCTACAACCGAGGCCGCTATATTGGAATTCAGCAAGATGCCCACTCCATGTCGATGGCTGGGATCATTGTTTCCCGAATAATAAAAGGTTTTGTTTGAGGTCGTGATCGATCCTGAGCCGGGCCATCGCGTTTCACTAATTCCAAGGATATGTATACCAAGCCTGTCCATCTCATGGCAGGCATTTGCCAGCTTACCTCCCTCAAACAGTGTTCGCACATTCCATGTCGCTATTTTGTAAGTGTGGTTCATAGTTTTTAACAAGGGGATTCTTCGCACCCTCTGACCATCGAAGGTCTGCCGGGGACTGAGGGCCATTCTTTGTGAGTTTCTTGCCATTGTGATATACGCGGGAAAATAATGGGGTGGTTTCCCGTTGCCTTCCCCATCGCAGTATGAAGGCCATCTAATACTGTTACAGTCGAGCCCTTCACTGTCCTCCCCTAAACCAGTCCAAGATCATTCCTTTTGTGCTTCAGCTCGGTACTGAAAATGCTGCTGCCCATCTCCAGGCTGGATTTTGGTTCGCCCCGAGTATTTTATTTCCTCGGTACCACCTATATCTTGGGAGGCGTTCCCCTATCCACCACCTGGGGAGGCGCCCGATGGGGGATCCAGCAAACCCCACACGTGTATTATACTTCAAATTATGATAATTATATGTACTTTAAATAATAAATTTTCAAGGTTTATGTCATAGTAAGTCAAATGAAATAACATTATGTTAGCTGGAGGTAACCATATAGTGAATATGTAAATGAGGGCTTTTCTTGCTGAAAAGCAACATTCATATGCAAACTCGCTTTCTACCAGGAATCTGTCATTTAAAAACAACCAATAAGAGGTTGCGACATTCAACAATCAAAATTGCCGCTCACAATTCATTAATTCGACAATTTTTAGTTTGAATACGCCCAGATCCTATTAATTAAAAAAAAAAACGGGTTATGTGTGTGTAGATCGAGAAAATTGCGCAAACTGCAATTTAGCGTGTAAAATTTAGGGTCATGCGCTGAAAATAGTTTCCTCCTTTTTTAAAAACTTGAGTACTTTTCTAAAGCGCAGATGTTACAGATGAACGGTTTTTTTAATCAATTTTTTTTTTTTTCATTTTTTACTAGGGTGAATTGCCTGAAATTCAAATATGAAGCACCACTAAATTAGAAGCGCAAACTGCTTCCTATATTGATAAGTATATCTTCATTCCCTTTCAAAAATGATGATGCCAACCACTCAGCCACCATTAACAAGTTTTCCATTTTCACAAACGCATATAGACATTTTCGGTTTCGCTGTACCTTTTGAATGAGAGACGTAATTATCTGCACATCAATGAATCTTTATATTTCTTGAGGCAGGTAATGTAGTGACGGGAGAGATGGTGGAGGAACTTATCCTCTCGGGAGCCGACATTATCAAAGTTGGAATCGGACCGGGTTCAGTTTGCACAACCCGAATGAAAACTGGTGTGGGGTATCCCCAACTGTCTGCTGTGATCGAATGTGCCGATGCCGCACACGGTCTCCAGGGGCACATAATTTCCGTAAGTTTTGACGTTATTTTTTCATTGCTGTGGTTTATGGTAATGTCTGCGGAGCGGAGACGGTTTAAAACGTCGCGCCCACGCAATATCATTCGTAAAGATGACTAACATTATTTCAATTAATATTTTGAAAAACGCAGTATGGATATTTGTTTTTCGAATTGATTAAAGGATGTGATTTATAGGATGGCGGATGTACGTGCGCCGGTGACGTTGCAAAAGCTTTCGGGGCTGGGGCGGACTTTGTGATGGCTGGCGGAATGTTTGCTGGTCACGACCAATGCGACGGAGAAGTTATTGAAAAAAACGGCAAAAAATTTAAATTGTTTTATGGAATGTCTTCCCAAACGGCAATGGAGAGACACGCGGGTAATTATATTGAATTTTTTTAACGACTGAAAATAAATGACTGATATTGGTAGAAATTCAATCATACATTAACAGAACAGAGTTTTGCTTATTTCTTTCCCCGTCCCGTGGCAAACGGTGACTACCGCAGAGAGTAGTATAGTTGGTTTTCCCGTAATTGATCGCAATAAAAGTGCCTGTAACTTTCGCTAATAGATATCACTATAGTACAAAACAAGAAGATTCGTTCAATAAATGTCGGTTATTAAATAGATATAGGGCGTTGAAAGTAAGACTTACTTTTCAAAAGAGTGTAACAATCTTAAAACTGGTTAAGATATTAAAATAATTGACAAAATACATGAAATTTCGGATTTTTGAACATTTTTAAATTTAAATAATCAAAACGCAAACGGCTTGATATACCGAAATTGACCAAACACATTTGACTCGTTATTAATATGAAGTCAAAAACGTAACTTTGCTTATTTCTCTCCCTGCCCTTCCTCGTCAATCCGGTGGCAATCCGTGATTACGGCAGAGAGTAGTGTACTGTTTTTCAAGATATGGTCTGTTCATAGATATAAGAAAGTGACCAACTGCTTTTGAATGGGATTATCCAAGGGTGGTCATTAACATACAATGCAACAAGATTGCTACCTAAAGTTTCGGAATTTAAATTCAGGCAAAATTGTGCTGCGTAATAGAAAATAATTTTATACCTAGCTGTGTTTAATATTCTTTCGTTTGGTATACTACTTAGTTTAAGTTTATTAGTAATTATTCTTATTTCGTGTGTAATACAGCGTGTGTTGAATAGTGTGCGAATTATGCAAAATATGTGCGAGTCTAGTGTATTTCAGGAGATGCCCGCCCAAATGTAGAAAACACTATTCTATTGAGACTAAGGAAGTTATAAACAATGTTTATTTGACTCTCATTGAACGTGGTGCTAGCAAGCAAGCATCTTTAGATGAAACGGCCACATTGACGAAAATGCCAACATCAACTGTATGGAAAATTGTGAATAATCCCATTTCAGCGAGGAAAAAAAGAAGCGATGCTGACATTTTCTCGAATGTAGATGAAAGTGATCAATAATACGGCGTAAAATTTACCAGAGCTTGCCCGGGTCTTTCCTTAATTCGTATCACTTAGTCACTTTCTTGTATCTATGAACAGACTTTATCTGGTTTTCACGAGATTGATCACAAAAAATTGCCTGTAATGTTAGGCAACAGATGGCACATTAATTTTATCTTAAACCTTCGATTTTAAAATTGTTGCCAAATTAAAATGGTTTTAACATTTTAAAACCAAATAAAGTTTAGTCGATTTTATTACAATTCAAAGAGTTAACTGATTAAATAATTCAATAAAATTCGATAAGTTACCTCTTGGAATTATAATTAAAGCAACCAAACTTTATTTATTTTTAAAATGTTAAAAATGTATTTAATATATATGAGTCACTATCCTTAACCAAGCTTAATCAATTTCTAAGAAAACAATCGATTGTGATTAACTTTTCTAATTTCAACTAATATCAGAAAACAATGTAAATAGTTATCTTTAATGAATTAAAATCAAAGTTGAAGGCTCTGATAAATTTAACAAAGTTTTATTACAGTTGTTCTTTCCTATGATTATTCCTATGATATTTCCGTACATTCATTTAGTCACCTAGTGAATGTCTCCTTGACTATTATTTTCCCACACTCACAGCTCCTGTAATTTTAACCAATTGCAATCGATTAGTATAGTGTCAATACTGTCAAAGATTCTTAGTCTCGCAGTAGCACGACGTAGGAAATAAATGTACAAACTATCCTTTTCTTATAATATCTCCATCAGAGTTCAAAAGTAATTATGGAAATGGGCTTGCTGGCACAACAGGGATCTTTCAATTCAAAACATTAAGCCCTAGTTCTCTTCCTTTTTGTAATTGTCATTAAACTTGAATTGCTTACATTTTTAATACGCAGTCAAAACTGCTTCCAGTATTTGCTCTGTTAACTTGTCGTTTCAATTTGAAAGTGTCTACTCCAATCAAGATCTGAATATTGTCCGGATTTTTCCATTTTTATAAGGTCTATTGCTAGCCATTAAAAAATCAGGTATATCGATACAAAGTTCCTTTTTTTAAATAGAATGTTTTAAATCGAATTCTGCGTCATAATTCATGTAGCATATTCTTACTTTTTATGAGCATAAAAATAAAAAACAGAAATTTAATTTTGAAATGAATAGGTAAAAAGCTATTACTAGTAAAGTTCTTAAATTGTCAAAATTACATTTCTGTCAGTAACAAAAGTGAATATGGCTCATCTATCCAAAATATCCAGACCCATCGCAAGATCCACAGTGACTAAAATTGAGAGAAACAGGGCATGTCAAAGTAATTATTTTAATAGCTGTTGAAAATGCCCACCATTAGCCCCTTGAAAATATGCTCATCGGTTAAAAAAAAAACCTTTGGAAACATTACTCAGATTATTTTCATTAACTGGACTTATTTTGTATATAATTCTAAATTTCAAACCATCTAAATTTTATATATGGAAATTTTACAGGCCATTCTATTGATCCCCTTCTCTGTGTAGAAAATACCGTATTTAAATATTCACGTACGGTGGAAAACATTTGAAATCTGTGTATCTGGCTGAATTGGATTTGAGAAACAAAACTGCTAGAGTAGGAATTAAGTAATTTTGAAGAAATTGCAAATATCGGGTTCCAGTAAGATTTTGATTGAATAAATAAGGACCCATAATTTTGTAGTTCAAAATCCCTGTCCCAACATTTATGTAGTCGGGATCCTCTTCGTTCAGCTCCTCTAGTAATATAATCATGTACCGATGATACTTTTCTTCTTTTAATACACGTAAAGCTGTTTGCTAACATGATCATTTGAAACTAGTTCAGAAAATGTTTTAGCTTTTGGACGCCCTGGTCTTACATAAATGCATACATACATACATCCATACATACATAAAAATTATGATGGACGTGGTCGAGCATTTTTCTTAAACTAATTTTTCTACTTCCGTCTGTAAAATACCTAATTACCGTACGGGAAGCGTCGCTTTACCACGCCAGTTTCCTTTCCCACGAATCCGAGCCACTTCGGACATTTCCGGGATTTTACCGCACGGGTTTGGAAGCAATCGGATGTTTTCGGAAATATTTCCTACGTATTGAATTTTAACGTTTGTCAATTCTGACGGTCATGTCAGTGGATGTATTCGTGTTGTTTTGTGAAAATGTAATTAAAAACTAACGGTCGTAGAAAAAGTATAGTATGCAACACGTTCGGTAAACTTTTTAAGTCACTCGTTTATTAAACACTCGCTCCGCTCGTGTCAAATAATCTGGTGAGTCAAATGCCGTTTACCGCACTTGTTGCATAATATACTATTTCAATATTGCACAAAATTGGAATTTTAGGGGATTCTCACCAACTTTTCAAATATATTTTTTTGGTAATTTGTACTCAAAGGCCCCCTTTTTCTCCTCAAGATTTTTTTTTCTAGTTCGGAAATATTTGAAATGGTACCTACGTACCACACCCTGCCCCGTTGTTGAATCTTAGTCCTACTAAAATTTGAAACAAAACAACTTTCCGATTTAACATAAAAGTCCTCGGAACAAGTAACGTCCGTTTTTGACGAATAAAGTTAAACTATATAAATATTGCAAAGCAGTTCATAGTAATCGTTGTTGTATCAAGCATTTTTTATATGGTGAGCTGAATATCATCAGCCTTAGCAAAACCCAAATTCATCTCGTGTATATTTTTTTCATCTTAAATTAAATAAGGCCAACCCAAGATTGATACGTTGATAATTTTTTTTCCAGTGATTGACATTTCGTACCAATGTGCGCCATAGCATCTTCTTAGCTTGCTTGCGCTCTACCAGCTACCGTCGCAAACGTCGACATAGCAGTATTAATTATTAATACAGTATTTCTTAATATAGGTGGAGTTGCGGATTATCGTGCGTCCGAAGGAAAGACGGTGGAAGTGCCCTATAAAGGTAACGTGGAGGCTACAATCCAGGATATTCTAGGTGGTCTTAGAAGCGCGTGCACTTATACGGGTGCCGGAAAATTGAAGGAGTTACCAAGGAGAGCTACATTTATAAGATGTACTCAACAGTTAAATAATATTTACACCTAGTTGAATTTATGTAACAGTATTTACCTTAAATAGCTTTTATTCTCATTACAAAAAGTGTATGTATATAAGAATCAAAGGTGCCGTTTGTACGATTACGATTATGTATTACAATAATTGATTTTCATTAAACGAATTGAATAATCCAAGATTTATGCACAATAGTCGCTGGCAACATTCGAACAAGTGGATAATGCTATGACATCAATAAAACATTATTGAATTATGTTCAAACTGAATTTGAAAATTTTAAAAATTTATGGTAATCCAAATTAAACGCATATGAAGCAATTTGATGACTGTCTTTTATTTCCTCTATAAAAAGTGTATTCTTCATCCAATTTTTGTGATGATCCAAAATGTAACATGAGAATATGAGATATGAAACTTTCTCAAAAGAAGGTTTTTTTACTCCCCACTCTAAAGTACTCAAGTATGAAGTGATCCAACCTGTGCAAAGTGTCACTTTACGACATTTGCTTCGTTAAATATTGTCGCGGGGTAATTCGAACGTTTCCGGTATTGTAACCACGGTTTTGGGAGGTTTTGCGTAGTTCTGATGGTCATACGTTACTCACTTAATGTATTGATTTTTTTTGCCACAGCCACTCATTCATTAACCACTCGTTCCACTGATGCAAACTCAAACTTCGCGACAAAAACGCATGATTAGAATTGTTATATAATCTATAACTATTACATTTCACAGTATAACTAAATTTTATGTTCAAAAGATAATTAAATAAAAATTAAAATAATAAGTATAAAAGAATACCGGTAGTTATAAATACAAATAAATAAGAAACAAGAAAAATCGATTCGAAAAATGAAAGGACATGAAATTAAAAGCACAAGAGAATGGCAAATTAGCATCCATAAACTCAGCTTCGTTATAAATATAATTTTAAAGTACATTATTACACTGTTTTCAAACTGAACAATGCTCTTGTATTTGAATAAATCTAAGTTAGTCCAGTTTCTTACCGCGAGGCCCTAAGGACAAGTCAGCCCGCCTAGTGTTATGTGTGTGCTTATATATGTAGGGATTTTTGAATTTGCTATTATAACGGGAGAAACGCCACTGTATTTGTTTATTATCTTATGAGATTTCTAACCTCAAAACATAAACAAAATTATTCCTGGAGGAATATACGACTGAACAACGTGTAAAAATTGTGCAAGCCTATTATGAAAATGGTCGATCAAGGAAAAATGCATTTCGGGCTCTATGTGAATTTTTCGGCGCGCAAAATCGATCTTCTGAGACTACAATTTGGAATGTGGTTCAAAAATTAGAGCAAAGTGGATCTGTAACTAACCTCAAAGTCCCTCAACGTGCTCATGCAGGTCGGTCAGATCAAAATATTGCAATTGTTCGCGAAAGTGTAGCCAAACACATCAATTCGTCATCGATCGCAGCAAGTGGGCCTTACGTATTCAACCACACAGCGAATTTTAACAAAAGACTTGCATCTACGCCCATATAAAGTCCAAATAACTCAGGAGTTGAAACCTCGAGATCAACAGCGCCGCGTGTTTGCAGAACGGATACGAGAACAAGGGGTTCATTTTTCAACGAAAATCATCTTTAGCGATGAGGCACATTTTCACGTTGGTGGCTTTGTAAACAAACACAATGCTCGTATTTGGGGATTAGAAAATCCAAGAGATATTGTTCAACAAGCAATACATCCTTAAAAAGTGACTGTATGGTGCGCATTTTGGTGCGGATGAATAATTGGCCCTTTTTTTTCCGAGGATAATGCGGAGAACGCTGTTACGGTTAATCATGTTCGCTATCAAAACATGATATGTTTTTTTCTGGGAGCAGTTGGAAGGTATGGACGTTGAAGATTTGTGGTTCAAACAGGATGGAGCCACTTGGCACACATCCAGAGAAACGATGCAATTGCTGCGGGGCAAGTTTCCTGGTCGGATTATCTCACGTAACGGCGATATCAACTGGCCGCCGCGGTCATGTGATTCTACTCCCCTAGATTTTTTTTTGGGTGTATTCAAAAAGCAGAGTGTATAGAAATAAACCAAACACTATTCCACACTTGAAACAGGAGATTAGACGCGAAATAGCCGGCATAGAAACTGAATTGTATCAAAAAGTGATAGGAAATTTCAATAAACGAATTACGTCATGCCACATGAGTCGCGGGGGTCATTTGAATGACATCATCTTTCATACCTAATTGTAATACACTAATCTAAAATGGCAAATAAAAATGTTTGTATATTTTTATATTCTTCCGAGTCTTTTTTATTATTTTAATGTGGAAACCCTTATTGAATCCTTTTATGTTATTTTTTTTTTTAAAACGGCCTACACGATATAAGGGTTTATATCTGCTATCGCCAAGATAGTTTCTGGCATATTAAAACCAGAAACAAAAGAAACATTTTCTGAAAGCACAATACTATTGTATTGTATATTGTAATAAAAAAATGTATAGGTTTTTAGAGTTTCCGAAGAGCCGATTCACGAAAAAAAAAAATTGTGAATTTTCAGAAATATCGAAATAACCCAACTCAACAAGTCTTTGTCATATTAAGCAATATGCATTTTTTTGGCTAAACTCTTCCCTCTCAATAAAGGAATAAAATTCACCATAAATAACTTAATCTTGAGATTTTTTGTGGAGCATAATATTACACCTGGGTAGGGTTAGCAACTGACAAATTTTCATGCCTTAAATGAAAAAAGTATTCATTTCGTTCTATATATTGTTTATATTTCGATACCACGCAATTCATTCTTAATCTTGCTAATACTTTAACGAGCTTGAGATGATATTTGCTGTCATCAACTGCTCAATAAATTTTGTCATAATGCTTGGCTTAATGAAACGGAATTAGTAGAACGTCAATGGGTTGCACGAGCTCGAATAATGATTACTGGATATATATTTGATTTTCAAGTAAGTATATTTTATAGTATTTTGACTGATAGGGTATATTGATATTGACATTGTAGCAACGCGACGGCTTCAAAATGTTTAATAGCTGATTGCATGATCTTACCATATGCAACCAGAAAGTAATTTTTTGGAGCAACTTTAAAAACGATTTTTGGTTATCGTTTCCATCCATCACCATCCATAACATCGTCAAAAAACAAGTTATCGAAAGGCTAGATTGTTTTGAGTTTGAATTAGGTACACAGAAAAGTCGAAGTGAAAGTGAAGACGATTGATCAGCCGCGTCCGATAAACTAAAAAAAAGTCTCGCTAGAACTAACGAAAATGACTAACTTGTCATTATATCAACGGGCATATTATCATTGTTCTTCATATATATGACTTAATGACCGGAAGATGATATAATAAATTGCAAACATCTCTGTTATTATAGGAAATTATATTATATATATTATAGAGTGTGTCGCACTTAAGAGTAAAATCTTGTGTCGCTTATTGTTTCAGCTTAAAGTCATGGCCAACTGAGACGATTTAACAAAAGAGAGAGAAGAAAGAAGTTCTATTAGAAATTAAAAAAAGGCAAATAATTCTTATTCTTATTCAGTAGTACTTAGAACCTAACTATACCAATTTTTATAATGTTTCAATACAGGATGTTTGAAATATCCTTTGCTCCCTGCTTAAGGTTGTACATCGTTGTAAAATCTTTGATTACTGTTTCATTTTGCTTTTTTTTTTATTGGATAGGTCTCAAAAACGCACTAAAACCTTATGTTTCTTATTGCACCAACCTGAAGTCATAGCTAAAAGGGACTAATTTTTGATGTCAAATATCGAGAAGGGCTATTAGGGATTTCTTTAAGAATAAAGTGTCACCGAATTCTTATTCAAGGCTATATAAAACCTAAGTATACTAATTTCCATGAAGTTCGAATACACGGTAATCCTGGAGAATCACAAAGATAGTCGGTTCAATTTTGATAATTATTTTTTTGTCGGATGGATTTCACTGAAAGAGACTAACGATTGTCTTAAAATTAAGTATGATTAGAAGAGATTAGAAATGAAGTAATTAAAAAGGATTTTTAATTTTCATCTTATAATGCAAATAACAGAAATATTAAAATTGATTGAAGTCGTCATACTGTTTCCTTTGTAAAAAAGTTTGCTATGTTGAAGCGACGGTCAAAGTCATTCGCTAATTTATATTTTAATTTTATATACATTATACCTTTCGAATACTAAGATTTATTAATGCTGTTGTTTGAGATTATAATAAAAAAGTCTTTTATCATTGCTTTTGAAATTTGTATAATTAAAATTTGTAAGATCTTCAAATCACATACAAAATAATGGATACTTACATGGTTTACAATATATTTTTTTTTAAATAAAAAACTTTTGCCATTGGTCTAGTTACTTTTAGGTAGTCCTTAATACGAATCTGTTGTCATTTTTAATTTGAAAAAATCTCCAAAAGTACTTCTCGATTTTCCGCTTAAAAAAACTGTGTAAGTTAGCCATGAATTTACTCGATGCTATATGAAAAAACAGTTTCATTTCTTTTTAGTAGATCTATTCAGCAAAAAATAATGATTAAAATTGTACCATAAACAAAAATTCTACTAATTCTTAAGCGAACTTCATGGAAATTAGTATAGTTAGGTTTTATGTAGTCCTCAATAAGAATTCGTTGACATTTTACTATTAAAATTCTCTTTATTTGACATCAAAAATTAGTGGCAGTTGGCCATGACTTTAGTGTGATGTAAAAAAGAAACACAAGGTTTTAGTTCGCTTTTAAGAGATCTCTTCAACAAAAAAAAGTTATTAAAATCAAACCACAATCAAATATTTTACAACGATGTACCGCCTTAAGCGGGGCGTAAACGATATTTCAAACACCCTGTATTGAAACATTATAGAAATTGGTATATTTGGGCTCTAAATACTCCTGAATCTTATTCGTTGCCAAATTATTACTTTTTTAAATCCCTAATAGTACTTCTCTCTTCTGTTTAATAGTTCCAGTTGGCCATGACCTTTAAGTCAAACAATTTTTTTTTTATCTGAATCGATCCATAAACAAAAATTTCACAAGAGTGTATATGACATCCCTACAGGAACAGTTAGATAAATGAAAACAGTTGGAATTTTTCCTGATTAATCTGATAAATGTGTTAAATGTATTATTTATTAAGTATATATTTTACAGAAATTTCTGCTACTGTTTAGTGTCATCGCCTACATTAATGCTCAAACCACCACTCAACCAGGTATGTACGTATATGGATAAGAAAAAAGTTGTCTGCAATCACTCAATAAAAAATAAGACAAGATCTTAGATCGTAACAAAATCATTTAAAATAGGTTTGAAATTTTAGCACTTTCAGGCACTTGAAATGTTTTTCAAAATTGTTGTGTACAAGGAAATTTAATAATAAATGTTAGTGGTTTAAAAATTAATAATTATGTGTATATTGATTACTATTAATATTATAATATTATAAATTTAGTAACTGCAATTGATTCAGCATGCTTTCAGTAACAGGACCAATATCCTGCAATGCCACCGCAAACTATTCCGCAGCCGCGTGTGATCAATACTACGAATGCGTGCAAGTGTTCTGGCTTTACTACGTGGTATTGCAAACTTGTCCTTCGGGACAAGCGTACAATTCTACATCTCAACTGTGCGAAGACAAGCAGACCTGTGTCAACGCCACTACCGCGACCACAACTAGCTTTGCCACTGCTACTACATCTACTGATAACCCAGGTTTGTAGAAGACATAATTGTGACGGAATATGTCCAATTTTTTAAAAGGAAATTTTAAAAAACTGGTAAAGAACAAATTAAATAGGCATTTCTAGTTTTTTAATCCAAAGCGCACATTCTATGAGACCAGTGTATTGGTTGGACACTACCTTATCTCAGAAACTGTAGGGGATGGAGCCAAAAATTAATCAATTTATTTTAATGTTGTATATACAGGGTTTTTTATTTTTCGTAGGTGAGTATCAACTTTCTTATTTTAAATAGAACACCTTGTATATTAGTTCATTTAATGGAAACCACCTATTTTTATAATCTTGTCATGTTTAGCATTAAAAATTAAGGCAATTTTATATTAGGTTGTGTATGCCTAACATTTTTACTTTGTGAAGTATTTCCTTTTAAACATTTGTCTATCACAAATAATATGCTGTTGCCATATAAGTTCAGTTAGTGTAAGGTGGCTTTGACGGCGTTTAAACAAAACATGTGCCAGAACGCTGCCCCCTTGGACGCGTGTTGTTGATTCAATTCAAATATTTTTTGACGCAATATTGCTTAATTTATTTATCACTTATAAATTTAATTTATTCGCTTGCTTGCGTATCATGTCTTTCACAGATAAAAAGTTACATATCGAACAATAAAAACTGGACCCTGGCTCTTAGAGTTTATATAACAAAATTTCCATTAAGGAGGCGCCCAGAAAGAAAGATCTTCGACGGGATTTATTAACACTTTTGAATATATGGAACCTTGAAGAAAGAAAAAAATTGACGTTGTGATATTTTAAATTATGAAAGGCAACTTAATATTTTGTTGCATTTTGCAGAGATCCCTAAAAATTCAACCCCAAAAACGTCGGTAGATCTAGATGTCAAAAGAACAACGCTTCGAACGTGCCTTCAAATAAAAAACTGGAAGTCCTATAAATTCTGTCCAGTGCTAACTAAACTAAACTCTAACTAAAATATTTAATCAGATTTTTTTAGTTTTTATTTTTCGCGTACGTTGTATTAATATGTATCGATATTTCTTATGAAATCTGTTATTCGAGTCCTTTGTCTCAAACAAAACCTACTCAAATAAAACAATAAATGCTTCTGAATGAAGAAATTCGCATATATTTTAAGTCTTGCAGACGTCATTTTTCGAATAAAAAATTAAAAATGTCAGAAACACATACACAAAAAATGTCTATAACTTTCTGTAGAATTAAAAAATTTAGTTTTCCCACGAAAAATGAAACATCCTGTAGATTAAAATGAATTGAGAGTTTCTAATACCCCAATTAACTTTTGTATTTAACTTTTGGCTCCATCCCTTATAGTTTCTGAGATAAAGTAAGTCCACGCTATACATCCCGTTCAGTTCATTCTAGTCCACCACTGCTGGATTAGTGGATTGAAATTAATGTAGACTTTACGGAAAGATTGTTTTTCCCTCTACATAAAAATCGAATTGTTGGGTAGGTCATTTATAAGTTAATAAAATATATTTCTACTTTACAGTTACTGCACCCGCATCTTGTTCAACGGACGGTACTCTTTACCCTTCTTCGATATGCAATCAGTATTATCAGTGCGTAAGGGTTCTATGGTTGTTCTATGTGGTGCAGCAGACATGTCCCGCGGGACAGTCTTTCAATTCTACTGCGTGTGAAGTGGATACCAACTGTATTGTGTAACTTTATGGAGAAAAATTATTGAACTGGAAAATTATTGAAATCCTGCAAACATATTTTTATATTGTCTTTAAGGCAACAATTTCGTAGATAATAAAACATATCAATTGTGATCGTCAAATTATTTCGTTTTAAACTTTCCCTTAAGTCCCCTGAAATTGTATCTGGTTAATTTTTGTAACTGATGCCAAAGTCAAAATACTGTTTTAATCTACCTGAAATATCTAGCACCCAACCCGTGACGAAGTGACTCGCGACAGTGTTTAATGAAACTAACGTTTCAAAGTGACACTTTCCCCTCACCTGATCAATGCAGTCTTAACAATTTTTGCAAATTTAGCTCCAATTAGGTTTAAATTATTAATTTTAATAAAACTGCTTACACATACTTGACGTAGCAAGGAAACACGCTGTATTTTTGGTTTCTCTTTTTATAACAATCTATTTCTGTATATCGTTTCCGTTAGACGGGAATAGTTTCGGACAATTTAGCATACACGCTCAACAAAAAATTTAACTGTCAATGTTATATTTTGTAGTAGAATTTACTCCAACGCATAAAGTCTGGACTACTTTCAAAGATATTAACAAAAAACGAAGGTAACATTTTTTTATTTATTTTTTCTCCGACTATATTGAAGGAAGTTGACTCTTAAGACTGAAAGTTGACAGTGTCGTCATGTTGCTGGTTAGAAAAACTAGAACTGTTTTGTAAAGTAACAGCAAAGTAGCAAAAAAACTAGACACCCAATCGTTAACAAATATAAACAAGCATGGATTTTTTTTTAAATTGGGCATCTAAAACAAATACACGGGTAAATATATACTTTTCTTTCGATTTTTCACCACGTCTGAAACTAATAAGCGTAGTCACTTGTTTCGAACAAAAAAAACGAGGAATAATTAATATACCTTACTCAAATGTTGTTTATTGAATATTTAAGGTTACTAGAGTCTGAGTAGCTCTTTTCTCTAAATATAAAATTTTAAATGTATATTTTTTAATCTCTTTTACTGTGTGGCGCCACGTAAAAAATACTAAAATGCGACAGTGCGTAAAGAAACCTCTAAAATAATATCCTTATTTAACTAATAATATCCTGAAACCATAATAAAAAATATGACATTAATATGCATGCGTGTTTGATTAATGTTTGACTTTATTTATCTACTTATCACGACAATAATGTTTATTGCACAGTGGAAAAGGGAATATGTAAATTAAGGCACGCGCGAAATTTTCTTTAGACAACCGAAGAAGAAAATGCCCCGTCTTTGGACTATGTCATTTTGGGTAAGTGTATTTTTTTATCGGTGAATTAGTTTGGTGCCCAATGATCAACGGCCGTCACAATACCGTTAAAAATAAACGATAGTACCCAAAACTAAACTTAGTTCGTTGCTAAATGCGCTACAGCAGGGAATTATATGAAAGTGTTTATTAGATAAATTCAAAAATTACTCAGTTTACAGAATATATTATTCTATTCGTTGAACATCTTATTACGTGGACAGGAAAATGGTATATTATGGAAGTTTTATAAACGACATTTTAATTGCGAGTTTGTTTATGCATGAGCGCAGTTAGTTTTAAAAAATGTCTAAAGAAACGTGTTGCATAATACTGTACCTTTTCTACGACCATCACATTTTGGCAAAACAGTACGAATACAAACACTGAGTGACTCAATGAATACATAATACACCCAGCGATAACAAAATTTCAAGAAACACTAGAAGTGAGTGGCGACATTGTTTAATGAAGTTGAAGTTTTAACGCAACATCTGATCAGTATACAATGGGGTATTTTAGAGTACGCAGTAGAAAAAAATCAATAAAATCCTAATTTCATTTAGAAACTTATGTACTCTTAAAAATAAAGATGAAACTAAGCATCAAAATTCACTGACAAGAATATGATCGAGAGCAGTTTCTAAAAAAAATGCACCTCAAACGTCAGGCTACTATAATCCCTTAAATTTTCTTCTTCTACTCGGTACTCTAAAATAGCCAAAAACTAATGGTTGTAGAAATATGTAACACGCGTCGCTCGTTCCCCAAGCTCTTGACTAAAATGGCGCTCATTAAACTTATTGCATAATATATTATTTGCGCTAGTTCTTTAGTTGCTCTAACTAATATTGGATTAATTTAATTATGGCGCTCTCACAAATATGTGACAAATTAATGTATTAGTACTAAGAGTAAATTTCGCCACATTTAACAGTTGTTTATTTTTATGATAGATAAAACATTGGATAAAACAAAAATCCAAAAAACAGTTTCAGAAGTTTTTGTTTTAAGAAAATGTTGGTAATAGAATTATTATTAATATGTTTTAAATTTCCTTTGAAAAACTGAATTTATTTCGATAAATGGCCCTCACATTTGATTTATTAAGTTATGGAAAAGCAACCGAGCATTGGGAGAAGAAAACTGGATGCAGAAGAAAAAATACTAATATGGAAAAATAAGCGGAGCAATATGACCTTTAAAATGTAATAATTCCTTTTCCTATAGTTTTAAACATATTAATTTGATTGATTAAAAAAAAAAAGGATATTCAAAATATTTTCAGCTTTTGGTTGGATGGTTATTGGCCGCATTACAAACGAAAGTCGACGCCGAGACATGTGGAACAAAAGGGATCAGTTGTGTAAGCGAAACTTCATATAAATCTTGTTATACGGTTTCCTACAAAGTTGTCACCACCGGCGATGAGATTACATGTCAGAATGGTTACAGATGCGATGAAGACGAGGGAGATACTGCGTGAGTATTACATTTTCAGTTTAATACTAAAGGATACAAAACACACAAAATGGTTCATTTTTTAAAAAATAATTATTGTACTTATTCAATTTGCTTAATATCAACTAAAATAACTGATACTTAAAAATAAAATTTTCTCTATCGCAGATGTATTGTCGACTTAAGTAAAACTACAACTAAATCGAGTATTATTACATCTGAAGAGACGCAACCGCCAGTAACTAGTACCAGCAGCGCTCCGGTAGACCAAACCAGTGCTGGAGTGACAGGAAGTCCAAACTCCGCTGCATCTTCTCCTATTGTTAGACCATCAGGTTAATCAATGCATATACATTTTCAAATAACCAAATTACGTCAACCAGGTGTTGAAATCTAATTCGATCAAACTAAATATTCAATCTTTGTGTAGGTTCAACTTACGACGCATCTATTCCTACCGTTAGAGCAACTGGTAAGTCAATGCATATACTTTCGAAAAAACCAAACAAATATTCAATTTTCATGTAGGTTCAACTCACGCTGCATCTTCTCCTACTGTTAGAGCAACAGGTTAGTCAATGCGTATACTGCGAAAACCAACCAAATTACATTACCAACTTTAAAATCATAATTTGGTTGAACGAAATATTAAATCAACATATAGGTTCAGGCTCTTGTCCAAGTTATCCACCTGCTCAAGTATGCTCTCAATGTATCAATGTCATGTGGGACTTCTATTCCAATGGAGCAGTTGTTACATCTACTAATGCCAAGGAGACTACACCGTCAACCACAATCAGTACCGCTGGAACAACTACCGGCACTACCCCTGGTACAACTACTGCAACTACTCCAGGTGGGTTTATTGCATAATTATACTGCAGTACGACAAATGAAGCAAATGACTATTGCTAAAATAATTTGTCAAAGGAAATCTGCGCACAAAATACAGGTGCTCAATTTTTTTAGCATTTTGTACTTTGCTTGACTTGTAAAAGTAAAAAACCCAATAGGATCACGAATTATCCAATCCAAGTCCAAGGTGAAGTCGGGTAACTCCTTAAGATGGAACTAAGAGGCTGGTTCAGGCTAATAACATTGTTTTGGGGTTTTGGAGTTTCAAAAACTTGATATATGGGCCTAAAAGAGTATCATTTAGGAAATAGTAAACAAAGGAAAAATATATAGTTTCTTTTAATCCAATTATCCTGGTAGCTTCAAGAATAACTAATAAGTTTGCCGAGTTGGCTGAGTTTGACAAATAATAGAACTAATGAAAGATGCACTTTTGCCGATTTATTTCTTTTATTATTTTTTAGTAACTCCTCCTGCATCTTGCTCAACTGCGAACGTTAGATATCCATCTGCACGATGCAACCAATATTATCGCTGCCGACTTATATCTGGAACCTACTATGTAGTAGAAGAAACCTGTTCAGCTGGTCAAGCGTTTAACGCAAACACTTTGCAATGCGAGGACAGCGACGCTTGTAGTTACTTGTAAAAATAAGTAAAATGTGTTTTCAAATTTTATTTAAAAATGTGTTTTCATATTTTACTTCTATTAAATTGAAGGCAACTGATGTTATTTTTTATTAATCCGATATGTTTTGCAGGTGCGCGGTGTATGGAATTTCTTTAATTATTAAATGAAAATAAAATTTGATTTTGGCATTACCTGCTCCAAATGACACGTTTAATTGTCAAAATTGATATTTTTATCCAAAACTTGACATTTCATTTAACAGAATTTCTTGAACACTACTTAGAAATTATTTTTTTTATCTATTTTTGGCAATCTAATTCACTGTGGTATTCACGTGTTCAATATTTATTACAATTGTTTTCTTTTTCAAATAAAACCAGGATCAAAATTTCCGGTTTGCTCGTATATATCTGGATCTAATGTTTGTTATTTGAATATAACAGTCGTAATCTAGACCAGTCATTCGTTCAAATTTAAATTTCAATTTTTATAATTCTAATTAACAAAAACTATTTGAATCAGATTTAAACCTTTGGTTTTGTGACATTTTTCGCATTTTTCAAATTCCAAAACATCAAATAAATAAAACTCTAGTATTAATATTTGACGCACCAAAACTATTAGTACTCTGTTTCTATTTAATCAAAAATAATGATGTCGAGTAATGTAGAGAGATTATAAAACATTACTGTGTGCACTCGATTTCTCCCAGCGTAGGTTCTACAAAAAATCAACGGCAAACTAAGAAACTTGTGCAAATATTTTAGCTGGCTGATAAAACCGATTAATAAACATTCTGTAATTTATCTTTTGCAACAGTTCCTCATGCCTTGTTTGAAGCTGCTAAGCAGTTCGTGTTCCATTTTAAGAAATGGCTAGTTTATTTTCGAATTCATTATTGGTAAGATATTTTTGTGAATAAGACATTTTGAGAAATCTCTAGTATATAACAAAATACATTATCTTAAGTTTTGGGTTCCTACGTTCTATTTTAATACATTTATGGCGTTTCACAGTGTCATTTAGATTAAGTTAAATGTTCACTGGTTCGGTCATATCCGATTATATTTTAATCGGGTTGCAGAAATCCTAGCACTCGGTGTTGCAATATTGTAGTTTTATTTTATAATGTATATTATACCCTTCGATTTAGGTTACAAAATAAAACGGACATCCATTGTCAAATTCAATTTAGTGGATTCGGTTATGTTAACTTTTAAGCATTCTATGAATGACGTTTCCGGTCAGCTTTAAATGTAATTTCGTTGGTTAGTTCCGGCCAGATTTGAAAAATTTAATAATGTATGTTCGATTTCCAGTTGACATAACCGAACATTACATGATGCATGAAAAAAGGGAACAGAACAACCTAAGTGTGCACAAAGTTTTTTGAAACAGTAAGCAAAGCATATTTTTAGAACATCGTATGTCTATATATAAATATACAGGGTATTGTTGTTAACCTAACTAACAGATCTGGCCGTGTAACTGAATTAGGTTTTGAAGAAATTAATATATTATTTACATTGTCATTACCAACATATTTGTTAAGAAGTAGTGAAATATTAGTACTTAACCTTAATGTTTAAAATGTGTCACTCATTTTGATTCGAACAAATTAAAAAGTATTTTTAATATATTTTGGTTAAAATTGGCAAAAATACTCGTTACAATCTGGTATTCTGAAAAAAATGCCCAAAAAGTTTGGTATAAAACAAAAGTCAGACCAAAAAGTTTGCCACGGTGCCAGGTTTCCAAACCGTGCAGCCTCACGGTTAATAAGTTCAAATATAAAAGAAACTGTTGAAATTGGACTTGTTACTTTATCTACTAACGCTCAAAGCGTCCTCGATTAACTTTTAACACATTGATAATTTCATAAATTCAAAAACCAAAAAATGATTTGTTTTAGTATTAGTGATAACAAAATTTGGGCACCATTAGTTACGTCCAAATATGAAAAAAAAGCGGTATTATTACTTTGTTTGCTAACGCTACAAACAGTTTCCGATTCATTTTTGATTCAAACCGAGGTACACAAACGTTGCTAATATCATACATTTAACCCGCAAAAAATAGTCTAACAAATTAGGCTTTTTTCTAAAAAATATTGTTTTCGTTAAAAAACAAAATTAATGCCGCTTGTGAATCTAGAACCTATACATATCTAGGGTTATAAGGATTCCCCACATTACCTACAATAGTTTATATTGCAATACATAACAAAATTGAAATGATTGATTATTGATTATTTTTTAATACAGAGGCTACTAATATTTATGTACGCCATTCAAAGCGAAATTGAAACTGCGGGTTGTGGATCTAAAAAAATTAGTTGTGTAACGAAAACAACTTACAAGGAATGTTCGACTTTCTTGTTTATATGGCAAATACCTACTGGGAGTGAGATAGCCTGCGAAGAGGGATATACCTGTAATGAAAATGAAGGAGACATGCCGTAAGTGTATTTTTCTACTCCCTTCTGTGACATACTTAATACTTCTTGCCCCCGCGGATCCGAGCCACATCGGACATTTCGGGGATGTTACCGCACGGGTTTAGGAGCAATCCGATGTTTTCGGATATTTAACCGCACGGCTTGATTTTTGACGTTTACCGATTCTGACGATCATGTCAGTGAATGTATTCGTATTATTTTGCAAAAATGTACCCAAAAACTAATGCTCGCAGAAAAAGTATAGTATGCAACACCTTTGGTAAACTTTTTAAGTCACTCGTTCCGCTGCGCTCCTTTTATAAAGTATATATTTTTTTAAATGTCTTCTCTGGAATTATGTATGTCATTTATTATCGATTTCTAAAAACTCTGGTTTCGGACAGCGAGTCCTATAAAATATTTATTGTAAACCTATCCCTAGGATGTTTAACTTGGCTGATATAGTTTTAAATTTTTATAGATTCAATGCGATTTAGGGAACTGTAACGCTACCGCTAAACCGTTAAAACGACGCCGCAGGAAAGAAGAAAAAATTGGAAAAATCAAGACAAAACAGATTTAATATACTGATTCTAGCAAACCTTGAAAAACACATCTTCAAAGAAAACAACAAGTCTCTTCCTTTTGGTAAAGATAAAGTGTGTTGGATGTGCATTGGTCTCTAATGTCGTCACTAGGAGGCGTGATTTAAAATACTTTTCATTGTTAACAATTATTGAATTATCTTCATTCGTTCGGATCAAAGGATTGGAATACCAAGAAGCAAAATATATTTTCTTGGGTAAAAAAACTCTTCATATTTTGAAACTTATTTGGTATATAATGTACAGGGTAAAAACTATCGCATAAGTTATTGAAAACAATAGGTTATTGCCAGCGGGCTCTACGACCAACGTTAAAAATATTTTTTCTCTTTATATCAAAGACTGTCAAAATCCAAGTTTATGACTTGGTGACATAGAAGTACTATCATGTTACCTAAGTTTGTAATCAATAATATTTAACTTTCAGATGCTTAGTCGAACATTTTACTACAGTTCCCTCAAGTACCAAAGCAACGGTAAAAATAATAAACGCTACGTCCCACGCTGCCGCAACTGCTGCCGATTACAGCCAAACCGTCGTAACTACGACAAGGGCAATAGTACTTACGACGATGGAGCCTACAAATATCACCAATGAAAAGAATAATATTAACCAAACGCCAACTCCAGGGATTACAAGCGTTTCCATCTTCGAAATATTTTCTACACCTACAAAAGGTGAAATGGCTACCATGATCAATTTAGATGGTCACAACACTTGAAGCCGTGAACCGAAAAAAGATAGTGACAGTTCAACAATGGTCGTTATTGACATAATAAATGCGGTAACCGAAATAATCACAAAAGAAAAACAAAGTACCGCGAAAATACCAACTTCAGATGGTGGCACGTCACTCTCCCATGTTACCCTCATCTCGTCTGTTTTCACTTTTTGTTTGCTTGATATCGTGATATAGTTTTGTTTTCCTACAACCATTTTTATTTGTTTCAACAGTTGTATTTTTTAAGTTTAATAAAGCTTTTGCATGTGTGTTATCTTAAAGCTCCCTCTTGATTTTTATAAATTAAATAATTATAAATCAAAATTACAGTTAATAAGTACAAAACCCGTTAGTTTAACCGAGGTTTTAAGCTGAAATTTGTACATTTGTAAGTTCCTTCGGAATACTGGCAAAAAAAAAATAAAATCATACATCCTCAGGTTTAAAGATTTGAATTTCACCGAAGTACGCGCAATATGTGTGTTATTTATCTGTGTTATATATGTGTGTTATGCGCTAAAAATGTGTCACAAGATTCCTGAATTGCGCTACGATGACAAAGAAAAACACACATCAAAATAGCTCAGCCAGCTTACTTAAATTAATAAAGATTCCAGACATTATCTTTTTATTACACTCAATAATAACTTAGAATATTTGCAACATTTGCATATACTAATAACTTAGATAACATTTGAAGTTCAAAGCAATGTAGGTAGTTGTTCCGAGATAATGAGGGGGCTATTTTACAATTTTTTATTGGTAAGTAAATGAAATAAATCGTTCTTGGATTATTTTGGGAAACTTTTTGAAAACAAAAAAAACTGTTACCACATATTATGTATAAGAGTATTATATTTATTATTTATATTTAATTTTGACTGATTATGTTAACTTAAAATTTTCGTAAAGGAATGATCTTCCGCGCATATTTATAAATTTCACATAATCTCTATACACTTATCTTGTTTTCCAATGAAAATTTAATTGAATCCGAATACATTTTGACAACATTCAAGTGAAAATACCAAATTCTAACTGAAAACTGCTGAATTGACGAACTCTATGCGACCATGTTGCTGTTGAACGCCGCAATAATTATTGGATGAAATAACTTGCGCATGCGCATATTAAATAACTCTTTACAAGATTTTTTCATTATTTTTGATTTTTTGATGATTAGCGATTAGCATAGACTCTATAACTCATGAAACTATTAATATTTCATTACGGGCATACAGCTTTTTAAAGCTTGTACGTTTTCTACATTATATATATGGATAACTTGGACGGCAGTAGACAGTTAGTAAACATTTAGTAGGAACTTAATTAATACTATGTCTAGGTGAAATGAATGTTTTCTATTTTTGATTTACTTTGATAAAGTACCGTAATTTTTATTAATTTATTTGACAAAATAAGTTACATTCACTTTGTCTCTGATTGTTATTTTCCAGTTCATGTTCATTACCCAACGTGAAATCCAAGCTAACACCTGTGGATCCAAAAAAATAATGTGCATAAACGAAACAAGTTATAAGAGCTGCTCGACTTTTTTTGGTGTGGTGTTTACTAGTGGACATGATATTAAATGCGATGATGGCTACATTTGTGATGAAAACGAAGGGGAGCAGCCGTAAGTGAATGAATAAATTGCAAATATAGTTTTCTACTTCCTTCTATAAAATACCTGATTATACACCGATCTAGAGTGGAGAAAGCTCACTTTATCAAGTTTCGGTTCACAGTCGTGAATTTATATTTTCAAAAATAATTTTTGAATTGTGATTTTACCCAAACCCGCAAATACTCATTTTGTACTTTTAATTATAATTTTTGCTCTGACTTTAATCAGAATTCCAACCTACATCTTGCAATCCCGACTCAGTCAGAGGAGTCAAAATTCCAACTTACATTTGGAAACCAAGAATTATAAGTCGGAATTTGAACTTTTATATGGGAATTCCGACTTATATGTAGGAAATAGTAAAAGTAATCATACAATTAAGAATAATAATAAAATCAGAATAAAAGAGATATAAACCGTAAATCGGACTTCTAGGTCGGAATTGACTGAGGGAAAAATATTTCGCTTTTTGTAAGGATATAAACTATTTTTGAACTTACGCAAGATTCTTACAAAAAAACTCTATCACGGGCTAGTTTCCCACAGTTTCTCTACTGAAATCTGTCCAATCATGGAGTATTGATTTTCCAGATGCATAATCGAGGCAACTGTTAAACAATTGGAAAATGTAACTATAAGCAAAAGAAGTGCTACTACGCAAACGCCTTTAACATCGAATGCTGAATCAGCTAATGATATAGCAGTTATTGAGTTAGATGTCGTACTGTCAATTGTTGCAACGGTGGCAGGTTAGACTTAAAAGAAAAATTGCTGGCTAAAAATTGTCATAAAGGAATTAAATACGAAAATTCTAGAATCCGACGTCTGTCCAGGACATCCTACATTGGCTCAATGCTACGATTGCGTTCAGGCTTTGAGGGAATTTTATCTAAGCATAGAAGAATGTGAAGATTATTCATGCAACGCGGAAACCGCAACAGATACATCGATTAATTTCACCGCAACCACGACGACTCTTAAAACAAACACTTTATCGACAATTCAAAGAACATCAAGCTCTCCTAGTACAACTTTGACATCAAATGTCATTAGTAGCAACGAAAATTCTATAATAATTCCTAGTTCTGCCAAAGCAGACACAACAAATACCCCAACGAAAAGCACTTTCTTAACTTATCCAAGTGCATCTCAAGCAACTTCAACTACAGCCATATATACTGCCGTAAATTATACGTTACCTGATTCTTTCAAAACCGATAGAACTAGTTCATTATCCACTGAAGTCTCAGATCTTATTTCCTGTCCAACATACCCGACCATGACGCAATGTTTCGACTGTGTTCAAGCCTTGAGGCAATTCTACCTAAACTTAGAAGACTGTCAAGAATATAAATGTAACACAGAAATTGAAACAGCTATTTCTACTAAGATGACTGGAAAGCTTGAAGCTAGCACTACATCTAACACTAACACATTCAGTGCAACAGAAACACCTTCGCTGATCTCCTCTACGATTATTTTCTCCGATACTACAAAATCGGGTATCACTACTACTGTTCCCGCACTCACTACCCAAAATACTCTTATAAGTGACGGTTCAAATTCTGTTACAATTTCTACTTCTGACAAAACTAACCCAACCAGTACGCCATTTATAAATCAAAGTACTGCCTTAACTAATCCCAGCACCTCTCGAATGACCTCTAGCGGTACTTCGAAAACTACAGACACATCCAAATCAACTTCTTTCGCCACCCAATTAAGTGACTCTGAAAATTCCGAAAGTACTTTTGTAAAAACTAAAATCACTAGTAGGTTGCCTATCGAAACTCACACTACTGCAGCTATATCTGGAGTAACTTCTATGACCACCGTCTCTAACTGGCCAACATCATATAGTTCTACAAAATCCGAAACATCCAGCTCATCTTCTGCTTCTTTAAGTACTGTAGGTATCTCTCCTAATAGTAATAAACCTAAAACGGTATTTAGTACTGCCCAAACTGGTATTATCAATTTCCCACCAACGAGTCAAATTCCTGAGACAAGTTTTTTGACAACTACCACTAGTAGCAATGAAAATTTTCCAACAGTATCTAAAGCTGAAAATTTCACTTTGATTTCTTTTAAAACTGATTTACCATCCAAAATCCAAAGCACTTCCTTCACTACTGAAGATTCGGCTGGAACAACTGCAATTTTAGAGTCACTGTCTAGTTCTGCTAAATCTGAAGCCGCCGGTTTAATAACGACTACTGAAAGCGTTGTCTCAACTACTAAAAGTACACGGAAATTTACTTCTACAACTATCATTAGTAGTGGTGGTGACTCTACTTCGATTATTGGAGACACTTCTGGAACAACTTCCAGCTCAAACACCTCTAGTAGCAGCTCGAGGACTACGATGGTATATAGTTCTGGGAATTCTGATACGTTTAGTATACCATCCGCCACTCAAAGTGCGAATTTGATTACTGAAATTGCATCGGTATCCACAACTTCCTTTGCTAATGCTGCTAATTCTGCAGCAGTATCCTATTCGATTTCTGCAAGCACTACGAATTCCGCAAGTTCTGCAATAAGCTTGCCGTCTTCAATAACTCAAACTGCTACAGATACATCTAAATTAAGTTCTCCCACAACTACCAATGATAAAACTGCAAATTCTGAAACAGCATCTAGTTTTATCAAATCGGAGGCGACCAGCTTGCCAAATGGAAATCAATCTGCCACCCCCGCCGCAGAGGACACATCTAGCTCAACACATCCGATAACTATCACAAGTAGTATCGACAATTCTGCACCAGTATCCATTTCAAGCTTGCTACCTTCAACTCGCACTGCTTCCACAATTACTGTAGCTACATCTAGATTAACACCTTTAACAATAATCTCTAGTAGTATAGAAAATTCTCAGACAATCTCTAGTTCTGTAAAATATGAGGAGACAAGTTTGTCATCTACAACTCACACTGCTACCCCCACTATCGCAGCTTCATCTAGATCAACACCTACTGAAATAATATCTGGTTCCTTAAAATCTGAGGCGTGGCCATCTGCCACATCGACTATTTCAACCGCCTCAAGTGGTATCAACAATTCTACAACGGGATCTAGTGCCTTAAACTCTGAGACGACCACATTGTCATCTACAATTCGAAGTAAATCGACTCCTGCAAACACAGCTAGATTAACATCAACTGCTTCTGATAGCACTGCAAATTCTGAAGTAATACCTGGTTCCTCGAAACCTACTGCGACTAATTTGCCATCTACCACATCAACTAGTGTTGGTGCATCTGCATCAATTTCTACAATTGTCGCAAGTAGTATGGCCAATTCTGCAACAGAATCTAGTTCTTTAAAATCTGAAACGAACAGCTTGCTATCTACAACTCAAATCTCAAATTCTGCAACTGCGAGTACATCTCAATTAACTGACACGAGCAGTATATATAGTAGCACAGAAAATTCCGCAATAGTATCTAGTTCAATAAAATCTGAGGCAACCACCTTGCAATCTACAAGTCAAAATACCTCGGCTACAGCAGGAAAAACTAGATTCACTGATACCCCAACTATATCAAGTAGTACCGAGAATTATGCAACATATTTTAGTTCTCTAAAGTCTGAGGAGACGAGATTGCCATCCACGACTCAAAATGCCAACTCCACTACCGCAGGTACATTTAAATCAACGACCACAACCAACATATAGTAATACTGAAATTTCAGCCACAGAATCTAGTTCAACTGAAACTGGTACCTCGAATACTGGAGGTACATCCAGATTAACTACCACGACAACTATTAGTATTGGTAGTACTGATAGTTCCGCAACGGTATTTAGTTCTAGTTCTAAATCCGATTCGACCAGATTGGTACCTACAACTCCAACAGCCATTTCGAATTCTGCAGGTGCATCTAGATTAACTACTACCACAACTATACCAAATAGTACTGAGAATTCCGCAACAGTATCTAGTTCTGCAAAATCTGAGTCGACCAAATTAGTACCTACAACTCCAACAGCCACTTCGAATAATGCGGGTTCATCTAAATTAACTTTTAAGACAACTATACCAAGTAGTACTGGGAGTTCCGCAACAGTATCGAGTTCTGCAAAATCTGAGTCGACCAGGTTGGTACCTACAAGTCCAACAGCCACTTCGAATACCGCAGGTGCATCTAGATTACCTACTACGACAACTATACCAAATAGTACTGGGAGTTCCGCAAAAGTATCTAGTTCTGCACAATCTGAGTCGACCAGGTTGGTACCTACAACTCCAACAGCCACTTCGAATACTGCAGGTGCATCTAGATTAACTACTACGAGAGCTATACCAACTATACCAATTAGTACTGGAAGTTTTGAAACAGTATCTAGTACTGTAAAGTCTGAGGCCACTAGCTTGCCATCTATAACACATGAAGTTGCTTCGACTACTGTTTCTGATTCTATTATAACGTTTTCGTCTTCCACAACTCAAAACGCAATAGTCACAAGTACCACCACGTTGTCTAGAGGAACAACTACGTCGCCTATTTTTGATACCACTAATGCTTCAGTAGCGACTTCAAGTTTTCCCCAGACGCAAGCGTCAAGAAGTACTACGTCAAGTACAACGCCATCGACATCGACGTCAACGACCACACGTACCACAACTTTAAGTTCTACGACGGCGGGTTAGTCTTTTTCTATTTTATTAATTTATAGAGTGTTAAATACTCGCAATAAAAAAAATAATACTGCTAAAAGTTAGTGCAGGTGTTCCTAGAAATATGTGAAGTTCAACAACACACTGGATAGCAAATAAAGAAAAACATGGATGCGGATATTTTTAAAAAATTACTCAAATAAGCTTAAAAAAATAATTCAAATTGTAAATTTTGCCCCTGATGCTACTGACAGTATTTTGGTTTTGTTTTTTTTTGCTTGTTTTTATTTGCGATAACCAATCCGTGATCGCAAATTTCACAACGAAAATATATGTGCAATTTTTAGTTACTCCACCTACATCCTGCTCGACTGCCAATGTCAGATACCCGTCAGCTCGCTGTAACCAATACTATGAATGCGTAAAGGCGGTTGGATTGTATTACGTAGTAAACCGCAACTGTGGATCAGGTCAGGCGTTTAACTCTCAAACTTCTCAATGTGAAATCAGCGCTACCTGTACGTAAGCTAGCAATACATATTGATGAATGAATTCCTATGTGTATTACATTAAAACTCGCACATTTATATTGATATTGATTTATTTGACTTAAATTTTTATTAAATTTATTGACTTCTTTTTACGGCCTATAATAAATAACCTTCCAAACATACATAAAAAAATATGGCAAACCTTCACTGGCAAAAAAAATCCCCAACGCATTCTTGAGAACCTATAAATGAAAAACTTTATAGGCCTACGCAAAAATTGATTTTTAAACTGTTTTGTTTTCAATATGTCTAAAGGGTGAGTCAATAATGGAAATATTTTAACTATAGTACCCTCACAATAATAATATTGTGGTGAACCGTATAATTTAGATATATGGGTGTTTTATCTAAAACAAATAAACTTAAAATTACTAATAACTGTGTTTTTAAATGTGGAACGCATCTATTTGTTAGAATAGAATAAAATATTGTATTAAAATCACTACGCTTTTTTGTTGATGTGAATTAAAGTTTGATTTGAGTAATAGATGCAATCCCATTGTACAAAAACTATGACATAGTTAATAAGTAACCTACATCGAAATAATTGTTCAGCTTTATGTTAAACTCAAACTCAAAAAATAATGATTTTTATAGTTAACATACTGTGTTATTTATACATAAAGTAATTATATAATTAAAAAATCGTATTGAAATGACAATTCCGCCAGTGAAGTAGAATTTCAGAAGCATCAACCAACTAGAGTCAACGTAATATCAGAATCACGTGACGCAATACCTCTAGAGCGGGCCCCAGTGGCGGTGCATAATACACATTTAAGTCGCACTTTCCTTTTTATACCATTTTTTTTAAACAGTCACAAGCAGAACACAAAATAGAAACACGTCATTGCTGGAAGTCGACGATATCCACCGGTTGTCTAGGCAATATATATATATATATATATATATATATATATATATATATATATATATATATATATATATATATATATATATATATATATATATATATATATATATATATATATATATATATATATATATATATATATATATATATATATATATATATATATATATATATATTCTCACGTATATATATATATATATATATATATATATATATATATATATATATATATATATATATATATATATATATATATATATATATATATATATATATATATATATATATATATATATATATATATATATATATATATTATATATATATATATATATATATATATATATATATATATATATATATATATATATATTCTCACGTATTGATTCACGGATGGAAAAATGTGATGGCACTATATTCCGGGATATCATCCGTTCGCTCGTTGAACTCCGACTGGAATCCTGCTTCCGACTGGAATCCTGCAGACGTTTCGCCAAAATCTCACTTGGCATCTTCAATGCTCGCGCTCCGAAAACACTTCGAACACTGGGAGGTTATCGGCGGTGCGTGTGGTATTTATACTCTGCGCCGGAGATGGTAACGGTGCTGCTTGTGCGTGGGGGGAGGTGGCTCCGCCCCCTGAATTGTCGCGTTGTTAATTTCGCCCGATGGTAGTTGCGATGTCCCCGTTGGCTGCTGCGCATCGCTCTGCTGTTTGATTATCGTTCTCCGTGTTGGATAAATGCAGAGCGTCGTCTCTCGTATTGAGGTGTCCGGACTTTTCTATTTCGATGGCCTCTCGTATAATCCTAGTCCTAAAATCAGGAATATTAGCTATTTGTTTGCAAGTGCCGAAATCAATTTTATGGCCTGTCTGATGTTGGTGCTGAAACAAAGCAGATGTTGTTTGTTTGTTTCTTATGGCTAAACGATGTTCCTCGAGCCTGGCTGAAATCCTTCTGTTGGTCTGTCCCACATACGTCAGGCTGCACGATCCGCATGCTACACTGTATACTCCTTGGTTTTCCAGAGTAATTTTTTGTTTTGGGTTTCTTAGTATTGCTCCGATGGTATGGTCAGGTTTGTATGCCGTTGATATGTCGTGTTTCCGTAATATTCGGCCGATTTTGTCAGTAACCCCCTTGATGTATGGCAGGACAGCGATCGATCTTCGTTGGGTCTCGTCCTGCACTCTCTGCTGCGGCTGTTGTTGTTTATTGATTGCCTTGTTGATGGTGCGCCTTTGGTATCCGTTTTGTTGAAGACAGGTACTAATTTTCTTCAGTTCTTTATCTCTGTTCCTCTCGTTTGTGAGCCTGAAGGACCGAGCAATTAATGTATTTGCCACTGCCTGTATCTGTGATGGGTGGTGATGAGATTTAGCGTTCAGATATCTATTAGTGTGTGTTGGTTTTCTATAGACGGTGTGTTCCAAGTGTCCATCTTCGGTCCTTGTGATGTGCACATCTAAAAAGGGCAGACTGTTATCCTCTTCAAGTTCTATTGTAAATTGAATCCTTGGGTGAATGGAATTCAGATGATCTAGGAATTTCAAAAGCTCCTCCTTGCCAAAAGGCCATACAACAAATACGTCATCAACGTATCTTGTCCATAGTTTTGGCTTCAGATTTGCCTTCTCTATTGCTTTCTTTTCGAAGTAAATCATGAAGAGGTTGGCAATCACAGGTGAGAGAGATGATCCCATTGCTGCTCCATCTATTTGTCGGTAAATTTTCCCGTTGTGCATAAAGTAAGCGTTTTTCAGGCAATGTCTTGACAGATCCATTATGTATGGCGGAAGATCTTCGTTTTCTTCTATAAGCAAGAGTGCCTCTTCTACTGGAATACTCGGGTAGAGGGATTTGACATCGAAACTTGCCATAATGTCGTCCTTGTCCATCCTGAGAGAACCTAAAATCTGAGTGAAATGTTCTGAGTTTTTAACATAGGAATCTGCCTTTTCCACTATAGGCTGAAGTGCACTGGCCAGATGTTTTTCCAGCTTGCATAATGGTGAGTTAAAGGCGCTTACGATTGGACGCAGGGGAACCCCGTCCTTATGGATCTTTGGGAGCCCGTAGAATTTTGGGCAACGACTCGATTTTTCCCTCGGAATAAGTTTCTTCTTTGTATCCTCGTTTATTGATGAATCGAGAATTTTGGACTTAGTTGTTTTCTCCAAATATGTCGTGGGATCTCTGGTGACTAGTTTGTATATTGGGTCGTTCAAAATATCCTCCAATTTTGCATTATAATCCGACGTATTCATGACGACAGTGGCATTTCCTTTGTCTGCTGGCATTATTAGAATGTTTTCGTTTTTGTTTAGATTCCTTAAGGCTTGCATTTCTTCTCTGCTTAAGTTTGGTTGCGGTGGTTTTGACTGTCTTAAGACTCTGGCGACATCTTGCCTAATTAACTCCGCATCTTGTTCGTCTATGGTGGAAAGACTTGCTTCGACGTTGGAAACGATCTCTTCGACGGGTACTCTTTTTGGAGCTATTGCGTAGTTAAATCCTTTATTCAGTACGCTGACTTCTGTATCGGAAAGATGGTATGCTGAAATATTATGAACTGTACTGCTTCGGTTTGTGTTTGGCACTTGTCCTGATTTTTTGGAATTTGACTGAAGGATTTCTAATTTCTTCCACAGTTTTTTTGACGTGATGTCCTTGTCTTTCTCAGTGCGCCATGATGTTAATAATTCTATGCGGTCCCACAGCAACTGATGGATCTTGTTGCTCCAGTTTCAGGTGGAGTCTGAAAAGTTGTAGCTCAGTCTCACTAATTTCGTACCGGGTCCGCCTGATCTGGTCTTGGAGTAGGGCCTTGCTAGCTTTGTCCAGGATAGCTTGTGTCTTTCTGGTGCGTGTGTGATAAGACAACCTTGTAAATGTTGGCAGCAAGTTCTGGTTGCGGCAGCTTTTAAGAAAATTCAAGTTGCACAGCGAAATAACCCTCCTTTGTCTTAGTTTTTCATAAACTTGGTGGCTGTAAAGGTCTCCTTCCCGTAAAGGTGTATGATATTCTCACGTATTGATTCACGGATGGAAAAATGTGATGACACTATATTCCGGGATATCATCCGTTCGCTCGTTGAACTCCGACTGGAATCCTGCTTCCGACTGGAATCCTGCAGACGTTTCGCCAAAATCTCACTTGGCATCTTCAATGCTCGCGCTCCGAAAACACTTCGAACACTGGGAGGTTATCGGCGGTGCGTGTGGTATTTATACTCTGCGCCGGAGATGGTAACGGTGCTGCTTGTGCGTGGGGGGGTTACTGACAAAATCGGCCGAATATTACGGAAACACGACATATCAACGGCATACAAACCTGACCATACCATCGGAGCAATACTAAGAAACCCAAAACAAAAAATTACTCTGGAAAACCAAGGAGTATACAGTGTAGCATGCGGATCGTGCAGCCTGACGTATGTGGGACAGACCAACAGAAGGATTTCAGCCAGGCTCGAGGAACATCGTTTAGCCATAAGAAACAAACAAACAACATCTGCTTTGTTTCAGCACCAACATCAGACAGGCCATAAAATTGATTTCGGCACTTGCAAACAAATAGCTAATATTCCTGATTTTAGGACTAGGATTATACGAGAGGCCATCGAAATAGAAAAGTCCGGACACCTCAATACGAGAGACGACGCTCTGCATTTATCCAACACGTGGAGAACGATAATCAAACAGCAGAGCGATGCGCAGCAGCCAACGGGGACATCGCAACTACGATCGGGCGAAATTAACAACGCGACAATTCAGGGGGCGGAGCCACCTCCCCCCACGCACAAGCAGCACCGTTACCATCTCCGGCGCAGAGTATAAATACCACACGCACCGCCGATAACCTCCCAGTGTTCGAAGTGTTTTCGGAGCGCGAGCATTGAAGATGCCAAGTGAGATTTTGGCGAAACGTCTGCAGGATTCCAGTCGGATATATATATATATATATATATATATATATATATATATATATATATATATATATATATATATATATATATATATATATATATATATATATATATATATATATATATATATATATATATATATATATATATATATACATACTACAAACTACTTTTTTGTGAAGGAACATTTATTCATTCATTTCTAAAAATGGGTTATACTTTACATAAATGCCCTAATATCTATGATTTTTGAACAAAAAACGAAAATTATGAAATAGTAGTACATATGTATGTATGTATTTACATAATATATGTACATACAAATGTATTGTATATGTACACAGTATATATAACCATAGTATGTATGCACATATACATACATATGTATGTACATATTAAAGTTTACTCTTTCACTGGAAAAAAGTCAGTTATTTGTGACTGACTACCGAATTTCTTATTTTGGTTTTCAACAAAAGCTTCAATTTTATTTAAACAATCATAGAGGGAATCGGTTGTGTATTCACTGGTTTTCAAATAGGAACGCAAGACAATCAACGAATTTTCAACCAATTGATTTGAAGGTGGTTGCTGAGAATCTTCTTCCAATTCCTCCTCCATCGTGTCACTTTCGCAGTCATCTTCGATGTTTAACTGCACCGGTTCGGATCTTCAGGACTCGATAATATCTTCATCAGTAGGAAACTCTGAAGTAACAATATCCTCATCCACATGTATAAAATCGTTGATGGTGCTACCTTCTGCTATACCTCTAATGTTTGTCCAAGCTTTAAACTCGATTTCTATTTGGATTTCGTCTTCACTCTTTTCTTTCAGGCGTTCACTTAGGAAAATCAAGGGAATCTCATCTTCTTCTTCTTCCCATTCAGAATACTGACCAAAACCGGCTTTTTTAAAACAATTGGAAATTGTTTCAGGCTTAACGTCGCTATTCCATGCAGTAGTTACGTCGTCGACACAATCCATTAGTGTAAAGTTTTTGTTTTCTTCGAAACGTTCCTTTGCGGTGATGACTGAATATTTATTTTTCAAAATTGTAGACACTGTACTTGCCGAAAAAATGTCTTTAATATAATGTGTAAATTGAATAGGGACAGTATTTTTCACTTAGTATTAACTAGTAAGTCAGACAAGTGAACTTAGCAAGCACAGAAACTGAACTGCTTGCATAGATACGTTAAAAAGATACGTTAAGATCGGTCGTAGTTAGGGGGTTCCCCGAGAAAATTCGACTTGTCGAACTTGTGATTTAACATTAAATATTCTTGAAGCCACATATCACATTCTTAACTTTCTAATTGGGTGAATCGTTTTTTGGCGATTCCGGCGCCATCTACCTAGAATTCAAAAATCATCCTCGTACTCAACTTGACACCTTTCGGGGCATAGGGTCCGATTCTGTAATAAAAAATAGGGAATTCCCCACCACCAGTGACTATTTACTTCTCCAGAACCTTTATATTATGTAATTTGCGCAATATTCTTAAGTTCACCTAGTAAGAAACTTGAACCAGTTTATTACCTGCGTATGACAGAATGACCAAGACCAAATAAAACAATTGTTCATGAGAAATTATTTATTAGCAAAAATATTAACAAGAAATAAACTATGAAAAAAATGCACTTGTAATGCATTAATTAAAAACATATTGCTTAAAACAGCTATCGCAATTGTGTCTGCGTAAAGAGGAAAACATAAAACCGTTCATAGATAATTAAAATTGAAGGAGTGTGGACACATTACACAAAAATACAATATAAAAACACACTATTCTACGCATCCATAAAGTGATGTACATTTCCACTATCAGCGGCAAAACTTTTAACTTCTCTCCCTTCTAGAACAGGATTTGTGTACTCATGCTGACCTGGTATAAGAATCGGGTTTTCATCTGCTTCTTTTTGGTATTTTGGATTATAAAATTTCACACTATAAATAAAACAAATAAATATTACTTAATTACTAAGCCTTCAAAGAAACTTGCACAGGCTACTGTAACATTATTTACAACTCTTCTGCATTCCTCCTGCGTCATTTGTTAACTTCTTCAGAGCTTCACTGAAACTGATTGCCATCCTACTCTGTACTGTTTGAGAGAGGTGGAGTTACAAGAAGAACATGAACATTGTCTCCGATGACTGATTTCTACAGTGGTGCTGGGTCGCAGTTAATATACTAAAGTTCTTGTCTCATACTTCTGTCAACGAAAACCGAAAATCAATAGAAACTCAGGTCACCAATATGGAAACCAGTCTCCCGAGACAATGTTCGTGTTGCTCCTGTAGCCAGTTTCAGTTAAGCTCTGAAGAAGTTAACAGGATGATTGGCGAAACTTCAGTAAGTTCTTAATTAACTTACCTTAATTACTTATTATTGATTATAGATTATTATTGCTAATTATTTTTCTTAGAGCTACTTCATTTTTATTTGCTTAAGTTTTTGACATATTTTTATCTAACAGTTTTTTTTTCTATTCCTTCTTTGGTTTTTATTCTAGGTAAACAAGTTTTCTTACCTTAAGTTAAAAGAACCGCTGTGGCGCTTCTTTGCGTAGACAAATAAAGCAATGGCTATGGCAATCATACATAAGCACAACAACACTATAGACACCGTTTTACCAGAGGTTTTTGGATTTTGCGAATCTTCTCCAGAAAAATCGGCTGAATGTACTGCGGGTCTCTTATCAATATAACTTGATGTTCTCTGAAAAACAACAAATGGAGTTATGAGAAAAATATAACACATTTCTAGCATCCACTGGCAAGTCACCCGCATAAACAAAAAAATATTTTTTGAAACCTGACCGAATTTTGCAACTCACCTCTTTAGAAACACATTCTTCATTGGTATGAATAATTTTACCATTTTCGCATAAACATTGGTAATGGGAACTACCCGCCACGCACAAAAATGTGCAATTGTGGTTTTGGCAGGGATCTACGGTATCAGGTTGAAGTCCTTCTTGGATTAGACTGAACAGGTTCGCACGAGTTTTAAAACTATTACAAGTTTTCGAGTGAAAAAGCTGACATTTACTCATTTGCCCGTTGCTTGTCGAGAAATAGAGATTATCTTCGAAAAATTTTAGTCCTGTGGGACGAGTTAGATTGGAAAATAACAATTTTTTCTGCTTTCCATTATATCTAGTACTCCATATTTGTCCCAGATGTTGGTCAACATAATACAACTCCATTTTATTAAAATTGTAAGCTAAGCCAGTAATATAACCTAAAAGTGTCGAAGAATTGCATTACAATCATTAATGATATTAAAATTTGTTCTTAAATGAAATAACAAAACGCAAATTAATGCCTCAAACTTCAATATTATTTAATGCTATCTACAAGATGTAATTTAAATGTAAAATAATAGTAAAATAATAATATATTGATTGCCACGTCGGTCCTGATCACAACTAAACATGGTGCAGGATATTTACGTACTGGGTGTCCCAGTACGGGCAACGAACGTGCTAGAAATTTGAAAAAAAAAAGCAAATCAGCCAAGTGAAATTACTGGAAATTATTTTCCGAGGTTTGAAAAAGGGCATAATTATTGTCTCGATTTTTTAAAGCTAAGTTTCTGCAAAATTATCTTATTTTCTTAGCTCAGACAAATTCCAAATCTTTTCTTCTTCCTCCTTTGAAAGGAAAATATTCGAACACCTCACCATATTTCTTTCAGAGATAGACAAAACTTTTAAAACTCACACCCGAACTATGGTGGTCATTTAAGAAATTTAAAGTATTTTGTCTTTGCCTATTTACTCAATAAATTTTTCTTTCAAGTTTCTAGGATCATTCGTTTTCCTAATACCGTACCTCGTTGTGAAACCAGGTAAGTGTTATTGCTTCATAGCCAAGTTAAGTATTCTAAAATATTCCGACCTTTTTATAAAATTCCGCACCCCTCTGTGTTATTACAAAATTATTAATACAAAAACCGCATATATAATATAAATATTACATAAAATTCACTAACCTTCAGTGTTATTAACAATTTCTTGAATGTTGGATCCGTCTAAATTCGCCTTGTAAATCGCATAGCTGGGCCAGTTAAATATGAACCAGCTGGTCAAAGTGTAGAAGATGATCTTATTGACCGAATCTATCACAAAATCAGATACATGTCGATGAATGTCGATATCAATTACTTTGGCACAGAGCATCTCTTGAAAACTACACACACTTATAGATTTGGAGTCGGGTACCGTATTGTAGTAGTAAATGTGTCCTGTAGACCAATCATAAGCGATCTTTTGAGGTAACCCGATATGATCTATATACTGCCTTGTTTTATTTTTCAGATTAATTCTCTGAATGGTGCCAGAATTTTCTGTTGTGAAATAAATATTGTGCTCCTTGACTGCCACATCCAGACCTACAATTTTTGGCATGTCCTCCGAATATAAGATATGAAGAGAATTTGATTTTTGAGATAATTCTCTTATTTGATTATCTACTGCATATATTAACGTCATTGGAGATCCTAGTGCCTTGCAGGTTTTTCGGTCTTGCCTGAAAATAAAAAATTTACATCATAGGTAATCGCCTAAAAAAGTATAAGTTTAAAACAACATACCTTAGTAAATAGCCATCATAACAATCACAAGTGAAATAACCTTCTTTGTTGATACAAATTTGACTACAAACCAGTGGCTCTTGCTGACATTCATCTATATCTGTACAAGTGTGACCATCGCCAATTAATCTAAAAGATACATATGCATATGTATAAAAAACAGAAACATGATATCACTATATCACTTACTTGTAACCGGACTTGCATTTACACATAGGTCCTGCAGGAGTTCGTATACATTCCTGAGAGCAGGGATTGTTGAGCGTGTCACAAGATTTCGAACAAAGGCCATTCTCGTCGGATCCATCATAACAATCTTGTTTATTATTGCACAAAAGCTCCAAATTGACACAAGCCCCCGTTTTACATCTAAAATAATAATCATAAAAATTTAATATCGATAAAGGAAAAGGCACAGAAAACGAAAACAGACATACCAGAGCGGGGAGTAGGGAGTCATCAATTCATTCAATATAATTGTATTTAAAAAATTTGAAAATTTAATTAAAATTCCGCGTCAATTAGATTCATATAATAACCATTTTTGATTAATTCCTTAGACGTTTACTCATATGGAATTGAAAATTTCAACTTATTTCAAAAAACAAAAACCCCAACGCTCTGCTCCAAAAAGCATGAAAATAGTTTATATGACCGTGGGCCCGGAAATGCTTAGTTTTCAAAATACAGGATGTAGAATATTTAAAACAAAAACGACTTGGGTGAAAACCCTTAAGTTGATGGTGGTTTCTTTCATCATATTCTTTAGTATTAATTAGTATTAATTTTTTATAGCTAAGCTGAAAGATTTTTATTTTTTTGCTCGAAAAGGAGGCAAATTGTAAGTGGCTTATTTAAAGTAAACAGAAAAATTTCTGAAAAGTCATTGGCGTCTCTTTGACAATACCACACGGCACTGGAATTTAAAGCAACATTGGCCGGTTATCATTATCACTGACGTTGCGAATTTTTAACAAAATCGGCCAAGAAATATTTAATATAATATAATAATAACAAATAAATAATATAATTATAATATTTAATATTTAGAAAAGCCGTTTTTCAATATTCAACACCGTATCTTCAACTTTTTTTTCTTTTGGCTGACGAATCTCGAACCGAGCGTTACCGCAAATCTGACTACGTCTATTGAGTTCAAGATGAAAAAAATCTTATATCGCGCAATAGCTCAAATATCGAATCTTACCTAAATCCGTCATCGCAGGGGACGTGCGCTTGAACGGCTGATGGTAATTTGCTGTCAACAGCTTTGCACAGCTCTTCATTCTCATCGGAGTGATCTCCGCAGTCATCAGATCCATCGCACAAGAATTGTATTGGTATGCACTTCTTATTTTTACATTCAAATGATTCGTGGTCTAAAAGAATATTTCATCGAATACCGGTAATTTTTAAAACAGTATTATACGCCATTCATTTTAATTAGCAAAAAAATACCGCAGTTTGAGCAATCTGCTTCATCTTCGTGTCCGGGACATTCGAAGGTTCCATTGCATCTCGCAGAATTGTTTAAACATATCGTTTTTGATGTGCAGGGAAACTCATTTAATTTGCAGTCTGCTGCATAATCCACTTGTCTGTAGCAATTCCTCTCGTCCGAATGATCTCCACAATCGTCAGAAAAATCGCATACGAGATTTTTATTAATACATTTGCCGTTGCCGCAGGTGAACATATTTGACGAACAAGCAACTGATACTAAAAAAAAGCACAATGATATTTCGCTTTACATTTCACTCACATTTCTTCTTAAGGTACGATGAACCGTGCATTTCGAAATAGTACACAATAATAATAATAATAATAACAATAAACGAGTGACTTAAAAAGTTTACCGGACTCTTTGGGAGAAGAGAGTAGAAAAAATATTATTTTTCTACCCCCTTCTCCAAAATACCTAATTGTACACCGATCTAGTGTGCGGGAAGCGTCACTTCGGACATATCCGGGATATTACCGTATTAGTGTCGTTTTGCAAAAATGTACCCAAAAACCAACGGTCGTAGAAAAAGTATATTATGCAACATGTTTGGTAAGTTTTGCCGTTTACCGCACTTTTTGTATATATATTAGTATGTAACAAATGCTGTAATATTATATTATGCAACAAGTGTGGTAAACGGAATTTGAGTTAGGAGTTTATTTGGCACAAGCGAAGCGCAGCGGAGCAAGTGTTTAATAAACGAGTCACATGAAATAATTACAATACTATTCTTTTTCTACGACCTTTCGTATTTGGGTATATTTTTGCAAAACAATATACGAATACATTTGATTTCATGACTGTCAGAATTGGCGAACGTCAAAATTCAAGCCGTTCGGTAAAATCTTCGAAAAAATCCGATTGCTCCCAAACCCCGAATTATCCGAAGGGGCTCAGATCCGTAGGACTCTAAATCGGTGTATAATTAGGTATTTTACAGAAGGGAGTAGAAAATAGTATATTTTGTGCAACAAATGCGGTAAACGGCATTTGACGGTCAAGGTTATTTGATAGGCCAGTGTTTAATAAACGAGTGATTTAAAAAGTTTACTATATGCATATACTATACTTTTTCTACGACCTTTAGTTTTTGGGTACATTTTTGCAAAACAACACGAATACATTCACTGAAATGGCCGTCAGAATTGACAAACTTCAAAAATTCAATGCGTGGGGAATATCTCTGAAGATATCCGATTGCTCCCAATTAGATTTTGTAAGAAAATGTACTTATTTAGGTAATTTTTGATAATTTGTATATTTTTAATGTCACCGTAGTATTTATCAATACTTATTCGAGTTTATTATACCTAAATAAATATAATCAACCTTATATTCTTAAAACGCCGGCAGGTTGTTTGAAGATAGTTATTTCTAAATTTCGAAAATATATCAATTTTATTTTTATTTACAAATTTATTTAGCGTGTCTCAAAAACACAGGAAGAAAACAGTTTAAAACGTTGTTGTTTTTTAAGTTTATTTGTTAAGTTCTTAATTTTAAGAAATATTTGACGGAAAATTAAATGTATACTAACGCACAAGTGTATTGACGGAAACCAAATATTAATTTGGTCAGTTCAGTCCTAAAACTATTTTTTTTACCTTACAAAGCAACAGCAAATTTTTGCCTACAAAAATTAGAAAAAAAAATTTGACAGGCAGGTCAATTTTGTCACAGAACAGCAATTAGTAGGAATTAATACCAACATTGAAAATTTTTTGGAAAAAATCGGAGTGGCCGATATTATTTCATTTAATCACGTACCACATTCTCCGTGCTCGTCTGAGAAATCAACGCAATCGTATTCGTAATCACATTCCCAACTTTTCGGTATGCAAGTCCCCGAATCACACCTAAAAATATTAACGACTTGATATGCACGGTAGAAAGATTATTAGAGAAGTTACCTGAATTGGGTCGACGAACAAGTAGATGACAAACAATTTTCTTCATCCGAGTCATCACTACAATCGTTAAATCCGTCACACACAAATCTATCTGCGATACACTGTCCATTGCCACACATGAAATGACCAGGCGAACATTTCTTGCCCGTTTTTAACTCACAGTGAGCTTCATCGGACTTATCTTTGCAGTCATAATGATGATCGCAAACTTGATGCGCCTGTGAAATGAAATATGTACTAAAGCTTTCGTTTCAGCTCATAATGAGCATGAGGCATCGGCTAGATGGCACATATTATTTGTTCATAGATTAGGTACCTACATATTGCTGAGAACGTTCATTTATTCGCATTGACGTCACTTTCTAGTTAGCCGACAAGCCAAAGCTTTGGATCAATATAGAATGCAGGGATTTCTGGAGAAGATGCCCTCGTTTGGAATACCCTAATCCATCAATTGATATTAAACAATCTATTCGAGAAAATAGGTCAGTGTTTAGAAAACAGAGGCATTGCATTACCTGTATTCCTGGAAATTGAAGGAGCACTACCAGAATCCCTATACGCCGTTAGATAATCTGCTAACTAACTAACTAACTAACATTTCGTTGTGGAAGGGGTTGGTTCAGCAACCATACGCAAACAAACTGGTCGTCATAATTAAGGAAAAATATGAAGAAAGGGTATCAAGCGTTATCAACGTTTATCAGGCGAGACGAAGTATCTAGAGGTCATCGTGGATAGAACGCTGAATTAAAACTCTCTTTGCACATGCCGCGGGTTTTGTGGTAAGACCTATGATTGTGTATGAATCTAGAAACTAGTGGCGAAAGGGGCCACAGCGATGAGCCCAGACGTTCAGGCGTGTTTATCGCCATGTCCTCAGCGGTCATGGAAATCCTTCTGAGATTACCTCCCTCTTTACTTCTGGAGGGGGAGGCAAGGTATAGACTATATCAGGTGACCCTGAGCAGGCTTGTGTTAGGGAACGCACCCCGTTTCTAGAATGATACTAAACCATAGTATTAAGGAGCTGATATCAAACAAAATCCCCTTAATGCAATTTCGTTAAACTTGCCCTACAAACGAAACCTGCCAAGCAGGGAAGCTGGGTATAGAATAAGAACTACGGGCAAAGGGCCAGCGTTTGTTCACTGACGGTTCCAAAAAACCAATGAAGGTGTCAGAGTCGGCATCTGTGAGGAACAGCCAAAGACGGAGATAAAGATCGACATTGGTACATATCCCGGCATATTCCAAGCTGAAATGCTTTATGTAAGAATTCTTGTAGGCAGGTAACTCACGCAGATGGAACATCATTATACTTAGATAGCCAGGCATCAATGAAGGCAATGAAATCGCTTTAATGCACCTGCAAAACCGTAAGAACCTGCCAAAACGCTCTATCTATGTTATGGAGCCGAAGTAATACGAACCTGGATAACTGGACACAGTTGCCTGGAGGGAAACAAAAAAGCATACCTTCCGGCACAGGAGGAAAAAAAACGCCATCAATAGGACCACAACCGATATTGGCTATTTCTCATCAATAGGCAATAAATGAAATCGACGATTTACATCTGGTTAAGCATGAGCAGAGCAAAATTGAAAACCTTGCCTATATATGTCGATGACCGACGGTGGGAAGTAGGGAAGGATTTGATACTCAAAACTAATGAATGACTTCATATGAGGGCTGAACTTGAGGGGAGAAACATTAAATTAGGAGTGGTAGTAGAGGATGGGTTGGTCGCGGCGTACCCAAAAGTTTTTTAATTTTTCTGGTCGTATTTGTGTTTTATATTTAAAAAAATATATATATAAAAAAGCTTTTCTATTCTTTTTTTTTTCACATAAACTTCCACATGCTACTGTAATACTATTTACAAAACTTCTGGATTCCTCCTGCGTCGGCTGTTGCTGAGTCGAACTTGCTAATGTTTCGCCAATCATCTTGTTAACTTCTTCACAATTTAACTGAAACTAGTTCCGATTCTACTCTGCACCTGCTTATATATTGTTTGAGGGGCGCAGAGCTAAATGCGGGGTACATCGTCTCGGCTGACTGATTCCCAAATTGGTAACAGGTAAAAACCCGAGTCGCGATTAAGATTGTTTGGTTGCTTATAGATTTCTATAGACTCTCGGATTTTTCGTTGGCAGAAGAATTAATTACTTGCAAGAATTTAAGTTTCATCGAATACGAACAGGATGATTGGCGAAACGTCATCAAGTTCGACTCAACAACAACCAACGCAAGAGAATCTTCTTCTTCTTTTTAGAAATATTTTCACACAGTAAAATAGGCCATAAAGCAACTTATTCATAAAAACAATGACCACTCTTGATCTAATAACGCGCAAACAACGGATATTATCTAAAAAGTGACACCACGGTATCGATTGATAACTCTTAATGTTAAAGAAAATATAAAGTGTCTTGCCTTAATGCAGGTTTCAGCATCACATCCAAAGTAGCCAACAGGGCACTGTAACTTTTGATGGTCGCAAGCTTCTTCATCTTCTCCCAACACGCAATCTTTCTTACCATCGCATCTTAATTTTTGTGCCACACAGGTTCTAGAGAGAGGACATTTAAATTGATCTGCGTCACATTCAAGCCTGAAATATAGAGGGCATTAAAAAAGCACACCGCCTAAAAGTTCGTATAGACATGCGACATGCTTAATTTTTAAGATACAGAGTGCCGCAACTTTACAAAAATTTGGGACAATTGTCTTTATGGTATGGTAGTAGTGTAAGAAATGGGCCAATATTTAACCCCAATACATTCCAGTGGCACTCCGTATCTTTTCGTAAAATTCAACTACGCTTTATCTACCTGTGGATGCAAGTGTGATTGTCTTTGTCTAAGCTCATAAGGGAGGGACATGCACAAACCGAGGCTTTATGTGATGAAAGACATAAATGACTGCAGTTTCCATTGTTTTTCTGGCAAACACTTTTAATATGCACCGCTGGCGTAACTGAACTTAAGTGAAGCTGGTCAATGTCACCTGAGATTTCTGCAAACAAAATACACACTAATTAAAAAATTAAAAAATATGGCGACAATATATACCGAGTTTAATTTTCTGAACGAATTCTCCGCTACTTCTATCGGACCAATAAACTTGTTGGGAAAATTTGTTGACCCAAAACAAGTCCGAATTCAAAGTTGTTACATCGCTTGGTATCGAATAAAGGGAACGAAACAAGTGTCGGTCGTCGCCTAAAACAGAACAATTAAAATTTCGTAATGAGTAATCTTGGTAATTATTGCTACCCTCGATACTCGTGCTTTCAATGTCACCACTGCCGGCATCAGCAAAAAATATTCTTTCCACTTTACTATCGAAATGCAATGAAATTGGTCCAATTAGATTTTTTTCTACGATGTGGGTTCTTCCGGTTCCGTCCATAAACATTCTATCTATATGAGCGAAGCGATCGAGTTTGTTGCCAATGGCTACAAACATAACTCTAAAAAATGAGGGCTTAAATTAGGCATTTCTGAATATGCTGCAATTCGCTATAGCAAAGTTGGTAGTAATTTTGCATATTATTTGCATATATCCGTGGACGTGCGACAGATGTATAACACACTACATATACCTATTGCAGTTCGGCTGGTGTTTTATGTAAAAGTTTGGCATAAATTTATTATGCAATAAAAAGTTACTAATAAACACTCAATATATGTTAAAAATTAATTTTGATAAATCGAAAAATATGGTTTTAAACAGAAAAATAAATACGTATATGATATGAATATTCTAATCGACAAAGTAAACCTAAAGAAATTAAATAAAATATTACAAATACTTTTTACAATTTACAATTATTTTTTTCTGGTTCTTTTTGATATTTAATTCCGACATAGGGAATCTGTATTAAAACAAATATTAATAAAAAGCAAATATTGCAACAAAGTAAGCCGAGAAAAACAAGTAGTCCGTTTTCTCAGAAACTGTTACAATTATCAAAATAACTTATCGACAAAAGTTGTTTGGATTCAAACAAATATTATAATATTATCTATACAGGCTATTTGTATTTTCGTGGGCAAATTACAATTTTTCTAATTTAAATAAAACACCCTCTATATTAAATATTTTTGTATTTTTCGGAAAATTCTAGACACATTTCCTGTACCTTACCGTTTTTGAAATATTTTGTGTGAAAAGCCATGTTTCTCCCATGTTATAAATTTAATTTTTCTGTTATTCGTTTAAAACAGTGATTCTAATAGGTTTTCGTCCATCTGAATATTTTTCAGCAAATATCTAAATGTTTTTGATAAAATTTCCATTTTTAGACATCAAACAAATTTTTGTATTAATTTATTAACTAGGTATGTTTTGTGAATTCTATAAAAAAAATGTCAAACGACAGTAAATAATAGGAGCTATTACTTTAGCACTTGAGGGTTTCCTTTTGAAAAAAAAAACTTTTAAAGAGATCTTTATTCAAATTTTTGAAGTTAGTTTTTGGCCAACTTCTACTTATTTACTTTGAAAATATCGACACATCCGGCTATGATATAAAGAAATCAGTGCCAAATATATAAGAAAGGCTTTCAGTGGGAGAAATCGATAGACGGACTTTTGACGGTTAAAAATTCAAAATATGCCAGAAACGCTAAGACTAAGGCATCGAATCTATAGATATATATAAAACATGTGTACAAATTTCTGAGAATTTCAAATATACCAATATACAGGGCATTCTATTTAAAATAGGAAAGTTTCTTTTTCACAAGAACAACACCAACAACAAAAAAATATTTTAAAAGTCTAAGTAAATCCAAACACCTTTATTAATTAACAAAATTAATGACTTACAATTCATTTATTGTGTACTACAATTTTTTTTTAATAAAATGGAAATATTAAACAACAACTTTTAAAGGTTATTATTAGAAACTTTGGTCCGAGAATTGCATATGCATAAACTGAAAGATATTAAACAATAAAAAAATTTTTTTACTAACTGCTTTTGAAACAGTTTCACTTTGACACACAAGGACATCATAAGCTTTTTATTCCAGCAACCAACACATAACATTACCGAGCTTTTTTGAATTTTTTTTCGCTTACCCTTCTTTTGGAACTACCGCAACTGACTGGGGCACTTCATCTTCGAAATCATGAACTAGTACTTTTCTGGCCCACGTATTTAAACTCACTACCTCCAAAGTTGTCCTTTCGCCATCACAAATATACAAGTTATTACCGGTTGGATCTGAAATAAAAATAAATATCAGTTAATTTCAATTATTACAGGGTTCAAAAACTATTCAGAATGATTGAAACTAATATTTTACCATAATCCATAGATATTATTTGGCCAAGTCCGGGAATAGGTAAAGGCTTGCTTTTAGCAGTGTGCAAGTTGAGAGCAAATATTTTCCTGGTTTCTAGATCGCTAATGAAAAGCGTGTTGTTCTGCCCGTCGAAAGTCAGGGCGCCGATATGTTGAACTACCGATGGTAACGCCGACATGCTATGTTTGCCCAGAGTTTGATGTTCAATGCGAAATAGAAGGTTTTTGGCTCCTACCACCAACATTTGCTTTTTTTGAACCTCTACAAAATTTTAAATCATTTTTTTTAAATGTTATTCAACCCTTTTCACAATATAACAATTCATCAAAATAAGTATACGAGGTGCGATCAGCAAAGACTTTATTTTTGAAATGAAACACCTGGTACATTACTTTATGTTTTAATCAAGTATAACGCTCGCTTTAATTGTTAAATTTTAAAAATTAATTTAAATTAAAATTTTAGTTCAATTCATAAGGATATACTAAGACTACTAAAGACCTATAGACCAAATAACAAAAACTGGACGAACTTTTCAATTCTTTATTAATTTTAAAATTTTTGTGACCTGTCTTCCAAATTTCATATTTTGGTTTTTTTATGTAGTTTTGTTCAAAATGAGGTATAGAAAATATGAAACGAATCTTCCAAGAAAAGCATTTTTGGGATTACAAATAATGTGAGCTTTTCAAAAATATAGTATTGCTAATTTATAAGGTATTTTAAGGTAATTAAAATAACGTAATACAACTATATATTTGAATTTGAAGCAAAGAATTGTATAGGGAAGAGTAATTTTTACTATATTTTCAAAGCTATTAATAGACTGTGCAAAAATAGATTTCGATAAAATTGGTAATTTTAAAGAAGTTATTTTTTTTGAAACAGTAACTTTAAAATTTTGTCTGAATTTGAAGCAAAGAACTGTATAGGGAAGAGTAATTTTTACAATATTTTCATAACTATTAATAGACTGTGCAAAAATAGATTTCGATAAAATTGGTAATTTTAACGAAGATAATTTTTTTCAAACAGAAACTTTAAACTTTTGTCTTTTTTAGTATTAAAAAGTAAGAGAAATTTGAATAAGGTGCTCTAATACTAAAGTTTGAAATTTTGGAAGTATTGAATTTGTTTTACTGTAAAATTAAGTTTCATCATTGGTTGGCCACGACGATACTTGAGATACTTCAGAAACATCACTATTATATAAATAAATATATAATTAAACTCACCTTTGCAAGTGTGGTTATCGCTGCCTAAGATTTTACCTTCAGAACATGCACACGTATATCCATCTCCATTTAACAAACATATGTCGCTACAAAATGCCAAAGAACAAGGATTCTCGGTCCTTTCGTGTAGTGCCGAATGGAATATGCTTATGCCATATATAAATTCATTTTCGTCCTTTATAAGTGTGCTATGATTTTTACCAGTAAATTTGTTGCATATTTGAATTGAGTGAGTTTCCCAATCGGACCAAAACAAGCGGTCCTCAAAAACTGCAATTGCGAATGGATGTTTTGCAATGCCTTCCAGTACAATCTACCAAAGTCAAAAATGATATCAAAGATTTCTCTCGAGGAAAGTACAAAGGACCTTACTCTTCTGTCTGTTCCATCCAATCTAATACTTTCTAAGGTCATTTTCTTGGCATCGCACCAATATAGCCTTTCGTTGGGTTTATCCAGCGCCAAACCATTTGGCCAATAAATATTATCCCTCAAAAACGCTTTGTGACCCGTACCGTCCATATATGCGAAAGCAATTTCCGCTGGTTTGTCCCAATCTGTCCAAAACATTGTTCTAAAAATAAATTTAAAAAGGTGTTGGGTTCAAAATTATGTAAATTTCTTTTTAATTTTGTGTATCTTAAACATGCCGGATATTTCAGTCAATGTGACAACAGGGTACGCCAAACCGGCAAGGTCTACGTTTCTGCTAGTCGAGTAACAATTTTGTAGCGTTACGGGGTAGACGTGCACGGCATGGGTCGCGACGTCGCCGCAATGTGAGATACAGTCCATTTATAGAAAAGAAAAATTCAATAAATATTAAGTGATTGGGGAAACGCTTATAAGTTTTCAATTGCGAGAATTATTGAGTGTTCCGCAAAAGTGAAAAACGAGGAAATTGCGAAGTACAGATTGTTGGATCGTCTGTATTCGCAAAGAAAATTGTGTGAAAATTGTGAGGGAAACGTTTACGAGTCCGTAAACAAACGCCGGCAAGCAAAAAAGCGCAGCTGAGACAAGGCGGAGCGGCGCGGTGCACAAAGCACGAGCGCGGCTCGGCGTTGGAAATTGCACGTGCGGGCCGTACGATCACGCAGCGTTGCTACGACGCGACGGAGGACGAGACAGTAAGGGCCGGACCCGTTAACCTGTAAGTCGATCCTTTTCAAACCTTTGTTGGATTTTGTAGTTTGTGGTCTCTATTTTGTGTGTCAAAAATTAGCAAAATGGCTGAGCAATTAAACCAATTAATTAAAAAGCGAGCTAGTGTAAAAGCAGCTCGATCTCAATTTAAAAGGTATTTAACAAATTTCAATGTGCAAACTGAAAGCGCATCTTCAGAAAAAGAAGTGTTTATGCAATTCAATTTAGAACAGAGAAAATAATCGAGTTATTAGATATTTTTGAACAATATCAAAGTGAAATTGAGTCATTATGTTCGGAAACAGATTTAGAGAGCCAATTTAATGAAAGGGAAGTTTTCCAAACAGAATTTTACAATATTGTCGCAAAGGCAAAAAATATTTTGGGTGATTTTAATGATACGAACAACAAAAATGAGTGTTTGCAAAATATTACGCATTCGGATTCTAACTCTGTCATTTTTCAGGAAAATTTACGGCCAAATTCTAATGAAACGATTGGTGTACGATTACCTTTAATAAACTTACCAACGTTTGCTGGAAACTACTCAAAGTGGCTGGAATTTAGAGACACGTTTGATAGTTTAATTCACAAGAATAAGTCGATTGGCGACATTCAAAAGTTTCACTATTTGCGTGCATCACTTGAGGCTCCAGCAAAGGAGGTAATTCAATCATTAGAATTTAGCGCTTCAAATTATGAGATCGCGTGGGACATTTTGTGCAAAAGATATGACAACAAGCGTATTTTGGTGCAGAATCATATTACGGGGATTTACGAAATACAGCCCATAAAATATGAATCTTCTTCTTCAAGTTTGAGGAACTTACGAGCCTTGGAAAATTTGGGAGAACCTGTAAAATTTTGGGACACGTTAATTTTGTATCATTTAGGAACTAAACTTGATCGCGTAACATTAAAGGAGTGGGAATCTTTTAAAATAAAAACAGAGATGCCTGAGTTAAAAGATTTTAAGCAATTTCTAAAAAGCCGTGCAGACTTGTTAGAGACCTTGGAAAACAATTCCCGGACAAAATTGAAGGAAAATTTTACCGGGCAAAAACAAAGGGTTTTTGTTGCTGGGGTTGAAAAAAGCAAGTGTGTTATTTGTAAAAGCGGTCATGACATCAGTGAGTGTAAGAAATTTTTGGAGTTAACAACCAGCCAGAGAATTGCGCAAATAAAACGAAACAAATTATGCATGTGTTGTTTTTCAAACAAGCATTTTAGTTTTAATTGTAAAGGGAAAAATGTTCGCGGTGTGGTTTAGGGCATAATGTTCTATTACATTTTTATAACCAACGCCAAAATGAACATGGCAGTGTTGAAAGTGCACCAATTGCTGACGTACAAAAGGCTGTAGAAGCGTCTTCAAATGAAGGAAGTAAAACCTCTGTGGGGCTATCGAGTAGAAATTGTGGGACTCAAGGTCAGGTGTTACTTTCTACAGCGATTGTCAAAATAAAAGATGTGAGTGGCAATGTGCATCATTGCAAGGTTTTGTTAGATTCAGCTTCAATGAGCAATTTTATCACTGAAAAAATGTGAGACAGACTTCAGTTAAAAACAAAAGATGCGAATGTGTGTGTGGTTGGGATTGGTCAAAACACTGAAAAGATTTCGAAACGGTGTGAAGTAGAAATCAGTTCTCAGAAAGGTGTTTTCCAAATTCCTATCAGTTGTTTAATCATTCCAAAAATTAGTGATGAGATTCCTTTGTGTGAAATTGAGTTAGGGCCAATAAACATTCCAGGAAATATTTGTCTAGCAAACAGTGAATTTCATTTGCCTGATGAAGTGGATATGTTAATTGGTGCAGGTGTGTTCTGGAAACTCATGAGTAGGAAGAATCGAATTAGGGGAAAACAAACCTGTCTTACAAAACACTTGGTTAGGATGGGTAGTAGCGGGCTACATCAGTGGACAAGGATCTCGAGTCAAACCTAAGAAAACGGTGTGCAACCTAAGTATCGGTGCAGAGGTACAAGACCAACTGGCCAAGTTTTGGGAACTAGAAGAGCCAGGTGGAGGTCAAATCGAGGGAATGACACGGGATGAAGTGATTGTGAAAATTTGTTTGTGTCAACAACAAGACGTGATGAGGATGGTCGATTTGTTGTTGCAATCCCATTGAAAATGAGTATTGAAAAGTTGGGAGATTCTCGAGAGATGGCATTGAGGAGATTTTACTCTTTGGAGAGGAAATTTGCCAAGCAACTACATGTAGATTATTGTGAATACATGAGAGAGTACGAACAAGTAGGTCACATGACTCAAGTAAGTGAGGACATCACGAATGAAAAGTGTTATTACTTACCACATCATGCTGTGAAAAATGAAGGAAGTTCTACAACAAGGTTAAGGGTTGTGTATGACGGCTCTGCACAATCAGACTCGGGTGTGTCACTTAACGATTTGCAATTTTCGGGGGCTAGAATTCATTTCAATTTTGTTGAATGTACCGACAAGTATGGGTTAGGGAAGATCAACGCCATCTACAAAGGATACTGTGGAGAAAAAATCCAGCAGAAGAAGTCAAGGTCTACAATTTAAACACGGTGACGTTTGGATTAACCTCAAGTCCATTTTTAGCGGTAAGGTGTTTGCAGGAACTGGCAAAAAATTGCGAACAAACGCAGATTTCAAAGGTAATTGGCAAGGACTTCTACGTTGACGATTTGATATCAGGGGCCTCGTCGATTCAAGAGGCACTTTAGATATGTAAGGGTGTTTGTGAGGTTTTAAAATCTGGTGGGTTTGAGCTCAGAAAGTTCAGTTCGAACAAGAAAGAGTTCTTGGAACAATTTGGAGTAAGGCTCAAGGCAGAATTACAAACTCTTAATCTAGGAGAGCATCAACACAAAACTTTGGGATTGTATTGGGACTGTCAGGCAGATATCTTTACCTACAGGGTGAGGGAATTTTCAAGTAATTCAAGTACCACAAAACGGAAGATTCTGTCAGAAATTGCCCAGCTGTTCGATCCACTTGGGTTAGTCAGCCCATGTGTCGTCATTCCCAAAATTATTTTACAAGGATTGTGGATTCTCAAGTTGGATTGGGACGATGAAGTACCGACCAATATTGCCCAAGAGTGGAAACAATTTAAGCAAGAAATGGTGAAATTAAACATGCTGCATATTCCAAGACATGTAGGTAGCAACAATTCAAAGGACATCGAACTTCATGGATTTTGTGATGCTGCACAAGAAGCGTTTGGAGCATGTGTCTATGTCAGAATTGTCACGAAGGATGGAAGTGTAGTCGTTCGCTTATTGTGTGCAAAAAGTAAAGTTGCCCCGATAAAGGCACTAACTATACCGAAATTGGAATTGTCAGGAGCATTATTACTTTCAAGGTTGATAAAAGAAGTACAAACTTCCATGACGTTAAATTTCAAGAAACTGTTTTTGTTGAGCGATTCTACAGTAAAATTAAGTTGGATAAAATCACCAGCAAATAGAGTATCTCAAATTCAGTCTATGACGGATCAAGACAATTGGCATTATGTGCGGTCAGAAGAAAACCCCGCAGACTTAGTATCCCGGGGACTTTTTCCTTCCAAGTTGTATGGAAATAAATTGTGGTTTGAAGGTCCACAATGGTTGTCACAAGATTTCTTTCCAAATCAGGGTGTTAATGTACCTTTAGAGGAACTTCCAGAAAGGAGGAAGCTAGTAAAAGCCTTTTTGAATACAGAGAAGAATAGTCTAGAGATTTTTTCCAGATATTCCAGTTGGACAAAATTGAAACGTGTATTTGCATATTGCTTAAGGTTTACGGCACGTTGCAGAAAATGGGATAGTCACGAATCAAAGAATTTGGCAGTGATGGAACTCCAAGAGTCTGAAAAAATATTAATAAAGCTATCACAAGATGAATGTTTCGAAAATGAGCAGAAAATCTTGGAGACCGGTGAGAAGATAAAAAAGGGTTTCTAGACGCCGACGGATTAATCAGAGTAGGCGGAAGACTAGCGCTTTCAGAATTTAAATATGACAAAAAAATCCCAATTGTGTTAGACCCAAAACATTCATGTACAAAATTGATTGTTAAGCCAGAGCATTTGAGACTACTGCATGCAGGTCCTCAATTAGTGCTCAGTTCATTAAGGGAAAATTATTGGCCACTAAAGGGCAGAAATGTTGTGAGAAAGGTGGTGCATGAATGTGTTGTGTGTTCGAAGGTTCAACCTAGGTCCTTTGAAATACAGATGGGAGACCTACCTAAGTCACGAGTGATCCCACAATTTCCATTCAATACCACAGGGGTTGATTATACAGGGCCGTTCAATTTTAAAATAGCTTTGGGACCGGGCACGCGTTTGTACAAGGGGTATGTTTGTTTATTTATTTGTTTTTGCACACGTGCAATACATTTAGAGGCTGTAACAAGTCTGTCTACGCAAGCATTTGTTGCAACTTTCAGGAGATTCGTGTCTAGGAGGGGCAAACCAGAAAAAATGTTTTCAGACAATGGTAAAAATTTTGTGGGTGCTCAGACAGAACTGAGAGAGTTGGGAAAATTTTTGCGTAATAATCATGTCATTTTCAAGACATTGATTGCGACAGAAGGTGTTAATTGGTCTTTTATTCCGGCATATTCGCCTCATTTCGGGGGTTTATGGGAGCCAGGGGTAAAAAGTGTAAAATACCATTTAAAAAGAGCTGTGGGCAAGGCAAATTTGACTTATGAGGATTTTTCTACTTTGTTGTGTCAAATAGAGGCCATTTTAAACTCACGTCCTCTCACTCCAAAGTCCTCTGATCCTTCTGACTTGGACGTTTTAACCCCATCCCATTTCCTGATCGGAAGAAGGGCAACCTCATTACCGGACCCACGATTGCTCGTGCAACCTGAAAATAGGCTTGCCAGCTATCAACGTATTCAACAATACCAACAAGGTTTTTGGTCTCGTTGGTCACTGGAATACATCGCTGAACTTCAGAGGCGCGTCAAATGGAAGGCTGGTGATCGTGAAAGAAGAAAATGTGCCTCCCTTGTGTTGGAAAATGGGACGCATCGTTCAGCTATACCCAGGAAAGGACAACATTAGTCGGGTGGCTGATGTAAAAACGAGTGAAGGTGTCATCAAATGTTCATTCGCAAAATTGTGTCCATTGTTTCACGAAAGTGGATGAAAAAAAAACTCAGTTCAAGTGGTTTCAAGGGTTGTCTAAGACAAATTGATTTTCAAGAAATGTTTGTTTTGTTGTTTTTTTTTTGAAAGAGGGTTCTTTCAAGGCTGGGGGTATGTTGGGTTCAAAATTATGTAAATTTCTTTTTAATTTTGTGTATCTTAAACATGGCGGACATTTCAGTCAATGTGACAACAGGGCATTGTACGCCAAACCGACAAGGTCTACGTTTCTGCTAGTCGAGTAACAATTTTGTAGCGTTACGGGGTAGACGTGCACGGCATGGGTCGCGATGTCGCCGCAATGTGAGATACAGTCCATTTATAGAAAAGAAAAATTCAATAAATATTAAGTGATTGAGGAAACGCTTGTATTATTGAAGAAACAAAAGGTCTGTGATGCTTGTGCTATTTATGCTACTTAAATCTGAAATATAAAACATATCTTACCCATCTTCAACGTTAAGGACAATAGCTCTTGGCTTGCGGATATCTGAGTTTATAAGTACCGTACAATGTGATCCATCATTTGAACATACCCCAATATGTTGTTTTTTCATGTCAGTGAAATAAATGTTACCAGTTACATAATCAACTGATAGATCTTCTGGTACACTTAATCCCGATGTTACCAATAACTGAAAGAATAAATTAATTTTATGCTCTGGGACTCTGAACGTTTTTTGTTATATATTCTAAGTAAAATAGTTAATTGTATTGAAACAATTTTACTGAAAAACATTAAACACACTATATTATATTAATGGATTTTTTTTTATGTAAATGGAAGGCCAGAAATATTTCTGAATGCCCCAAATTGCAAATATTAAATAAAATTAAAAAATAAATTCAATTAAATATTATTTTTTGTGTTCTATTTAAATCTTACAAATTACCCACTTTTTTGCTGTGCTCTATACTATGCACATGATATATGAATACAGTTCTATATTTACTATAATTAAATAAGTATTCATAAATAAGGAATCAGATGTTCACACTATCTTACATACAAAAAAGCTTACCTCCTTATTTGATCCATCCTCCAAAGTTCGCACGATGCTTTCATGTTCGCCAAATATATCCGTCCAGTAAACATGGAAACCGTCATAATGTACTCCAACTGCTTGCTTGAGATTGATTGCCACAGGAAAGTAGAGATTACTGTTTAAAAGGTAAGACCGGATCTGCGATTTTGTGCTAAACACCATGGTGGGTTCCCCCCCAAAAGCTTTACATGTCTTTTTATCATCCTGAAGAATGTATTTGTGATCGCAATAGCACTCATATGATCCAGGTTTATTTCTACATTTATGGTCGCAAATTCCTGTAACATGGTTTTGTATTAACTATATTACTTATAAAGTTTTCATTTTAAGTGTTCTGCAGAATAATTGTTGATGATATATGGAAAGTTTCTTACGAAATAAATGATAATAACCTAGTTTGAAGCTGGCTGGAATTTATTCAATAAAATAAAATACAGTAGTTAGAAAAATTATTTTCATTTCATACTGACCGACATCAAAATAATAAGGAAAACTTGAACAAGAAGTACTACTTACCATACACTTCACACTCATTAATATCGGCACAAGTTTTCTCATTGACGTTGTAGTAACCAGACGGACATAAACATTTTGGACCGGTAGGTAATTGAACACAAGTATGAGAACAGTGGTGTGTTAGACAATTCTGTCTTGAGTTCGAGCACATCCCGCTTTCATCAGAAGTATCTAAACAGTCTTTGTTTCCATCACAAACGTGCTTTAAGTCGACGCAAGCTTTCTTGTCTTGGCATAGAAATTTTCCTGCCTCCAAGGTGCACTTTTTTGGATCAAAATGGTGTTCTGTCATGAAAAAACGATACATGCATACACATACAATATAATACAAAATTACAATCAGGCCCATTTTTTTTATGAAATGGTGGGGATTAATTAATTAATAACTAACCGTTAAAGACATAGGGTCCATTAGTCATTATTAGTCGATTATAGTAATTTATAATGTTAAAGATGCAAAATGTGAGGTCCCGGTGGTTACTTAGTGAATAGTAATACCAAAGAGATATACGCCATTGATTTTTTTTTACAATCTTTGATATTTACTTTGAATAAGTCATATAAAGTACAAATTCTTGTACTCTTACGTTGGCCGAGCGTTGTCTTATGTTTTTTGAAACACCTTGTATGATTTAGATGCATAATTATCAGAGGTGAACTAACAAATATTTTAGGAAAACTAAATTCTTTGATTTTAGTACTTGCCTCCTTGCTTATTTTAAATATGATAAAAACAGGTTTTATAGTTCAAAATGACTTCTTTCGGAATTCACTTGTTTCGTCTACAACATGTTCCGAATTGAAATTGAGAAAATTCCGATTTTCAATAATGTAGACAACACAAGTAAATTTCAACCTCATTTTGTATAAAAACCAAAAAAAAGAATTTGGTTTTTCTAAAATATTTGTCATCTAAATATACAATTTTTGTCCTATTTATCCCATCCCGACCTTTTATCTTTAATGGCGAAGAAGTTACCTATACCTATACAGAACTATTTATTACGCCATTATGGTTTCCTACATATTTATCCGAATCTTTCATCAATTTTTAAAAATGTTCTTTCTACAGCCTTACCTTCTCGACTTACTTTTTCTTAATTGAAAGCGGGAATTTGGCACAGATACTAAACTAACCTAAACTAACCATATTCGCGTAAATTTCCTATCAAAATATGAAATTAATAAAACGGGTTGGTTAGTATTGGGAAAAAAATAAACAAAAAATTTTTAAATTATTGACGGATGCATTGAGCATCTGCATTTTTAAAAATTAAGTTTCTCATATTTATACTGAACGGAAACGTCAGATTAGAGAAATTATGACGCCATCGGAAACAGCGGAAATAGTGGCAATATAAATGTGCAATAATTTTCACACAAAACTACTTTTATTAAGTTTAATTAATGTTTAATAATCTGTAAATTTGTTTAGATCATAATTCATTCAAAAGCAAAATTAATTTACTGTAATTGAACAAACTAACTAGCTAGGAACAAATCAAGTTATGGAATCTAGATTGCAGAATAAATAACATTTACATTGGGTAGGCTACTAAAACCTATAGAATAAAATTTATTCAATATTCAATAAATTATTGGTACTTACCTCTTGACGCGCACTAAAAAGAACGCTTACCACAATCTACTTCATCACTGTTATCTCCACAATCATCGGCTTTATCACATCTCCATTCATTAGGAATGCACACATTATTTTTGCATTTAAAACCATCACAATCTATATTCTGCAAACAACCAATCCCTTCGTCCGAACCATCCAGACAATCTGCTTCTTGATTGCACACCCATTCCTTTGGAATACATAAATGATCAGTACATTGCCATTCACCTTCGTGGCAGGTAGAGTTCATATGCACTATCTGGAATGTAAAAATATTATTATAAAAAGCGTGCTAAAAATAAATGGGTAAGACTCACTTTAAAATTTTTGCAACTTTCTTCATCGGAATAATCCCCACAATCATTTGTATTATCACAGAGGAACGTCCTAGCAATGCATAGATTATTTTTACATCTGAAGAAGGTGGGTTCCTTACACAAATATGTTTCTACAATAAAAATAAGTTTTTTGCTGAGCGCATTGCTGCGGATTAAACATAAGCCGTAGTCATTTTTTTATTTAAAACCAGAAAAAAGAGAAAATATGTAACAATAATTTCGTTAATAAATATTTCAGTTAAACCAACTACTTACCACAATCCTCTTCATCAGAAAAATCTTCACAATTGTTGAAACCATTACATCGGGCGTCTTTAGGGACGCACTTATAATTTGCGCATATGAATTCGTTAGACGAGCAATTGTTTGGATTCAAATCGGTGTGGTAAAATAAAGACTCCAAAAATCCCGATGTTGTTACAGTTCCGGCCAAAAAAAATATGATGTTTAACATCTAAAAACGGAGGCTGTTTAAAATTGATATTTCTATCTGGGGCTGCATCAATTATAAAAATTAAAAAAATTATAAAATTAGAATTATCAAAAATTTAAAAATTTCGTATTATGCTACATTTTGTAACCATTAATTGGACACTTTATATTGACTAACATCTTTATAATCCTCCTTAGTGTGACATATTCATTCTAAATTTGCTACAAACTTTGCTTCAGGTTTTATGGTTCAAAAACAGTTAAAATTATCAAAAGCGAAAAAAATCCAATTACTCCAAAAATGGCACCTTTTTCAAAATAATTATTAATTATTATTATCTAACTTGAAAAATTGCCCTAGTTTTTTTTACAATGCAGCTGGTTGAAATTTTCAAAAAAAAGTAGTGTCTCGTTCACCACCTATACAGTGTGTCCAAGATAAGAATGTGTGTTATTGGGATATTGGAAATTATAAAAAATACGAAGATGCTATGTTAAAAAGAAAGTTCACAGAGATTTAAAAAAAAGGTTTCCAAATTTAGTCTTCCCATATTAGATGATAAACTACTTCTTAAAATTGTTTTTGCAAACCCACAGGAAATCTATCTATGTCAGCAAAATTTATTGGTTATTTGCATATACACATTCGTAAAAATTTACATGTTATAAAGTCGATTTATTATACAGGATATCCCAAAAAGCTCGTTGATTTCTTTAAATACAAGCAAATTATAAATATTTGTAAAATTGAACTTGCTTTTATTCGATGAAAAGTCCCTTTAAAAGTTGAATAAGAACATAAAGTTGTTCAGATTTTTAAGGAAACAGTATATTTATTTTCAAAATTGCTTTTATTGAGGTGTTTATAAAGAAGAATTATGTAACTCTACTTGGCAATTAACCCACACATTTCTATCTATCAAAAGCTAGAAAATTAAACTTATTAACTTACCAAAAGTAGCCCGCCGGCTTTTGCAATGATCCATTTTTTTAAATCCCTTTAGTTAGTACATTACTCAGATGTTTATACATTGCTGGACACTCGAAACACAAACGAAAAACAAAAATTTGTGCACTACATATCTGCAAACCTAACAATATTGTTTTCGGCCCTTAGTTGCCGTTTTATATTTTTAAAATTTTTTATATTTTTTTGCAGTTTATCAATTTATACATGTTGTAACTATTAATTGGACACTTTATATTGACTAACATCTTTATAATCCTCCTTAGTGTGACATATTCATTTTAAATTTGCTACAAACTTTGCTTCAGGTTTATGCTTCAAAAACAGTTAAAATTATCGAAAACTAAAAAAATACAATTACTCTAAAAATGGCACATTTTTCAAAATAATTATTATGTCTAACATGAAAAATTGCCCTGGTTTTTTTTTACAATGCAGCTAATTGAAATTTTCAAAAAAAAAGTAATGTCTCCTATACCCCCTATACAGTGTGTGAAATATAAGAATGTCTGTTATTGGGATATTGGAAATTATAAAAAATACGAAGATAGTTAAATTAGAAAAAGTTGCAAAATTTAAAGGTTGTTGAAAAAACTAAAAAATTCCCATCACTTGCCAGTTCTTTTTAAGTAATTTGTTTGATGAATTAACATGTGACGTGACTATTTAGCTATAATTTATATAATATATAACATTGAAAATTTAATAAAAAAACATTTTTTGTCATTTACACATTGTAGAATCATATTTTGTTATAATCGTCATATTCGTAATAAAGAATCCTATTTAAACATGGTGAACTTTTTTCACGGACCATACGAAAAACGTCGTACTTAAAATCTCCGATCGCTATCTTGTAGAGCTCAAAAAGTGGGATCGAAAAAGCGACCTTTATTTTTTAAATCTATTTAAATAACAACGGGAAAAAATAACGAAATAGGAAAATTTCTGTTTTTTGGTGTATTTGGGAATTTTTTAGTTTTAATTTAACCATTTTAGTATCTCTTTTGGTTTCCAACATCCCCATGATACTACCCTTGTCTTGGACAAACTGTATATGTATGTGCTCGTATGACAAAAAATATACAAATTTGAAGATGTACCTTCGTTTACCCGTTTCGAGTGTGCAATAGTTTACTATCTATTTTTTGTCTGCGTTTTTAAAACCAATTTAGATACTACCTACACGACGCAAAAATTACCAAAACTGAATTAGAATGTTATAAGAAAGACGACTAAATCGGAATATCTAAGCTCGATTTTTAATTGGGTATTTGGAAATTAGAAATTTTATTGTTCAAAAGAAAATCTTCGCTTGTCACGAAATGGCAAAAGTTCGATGTAAAATATTTTACATACAATAATAAGGCCCAAAAATAAATAACTATAATTTACCTTTTTAAAACTAAGTAATTTAAAACAAAACACACACTCCTTCAATAACGGGCAGAAATAAAAGAATATTATCGGAAATTATTTCTGAAGGTTGAACAAAAAAACATGTTTTTCAGCGGTTTTTATATAGACCAAAAAATGTTGATAGGCTCGAGCGAGATTCTGTCCAATCTTTCAAAGGCGGGAAAACTGTACTGGGTGAGTCAACAATAAAGTTCACTAGCGCATTGGTTTCAAAAGTTATGAGAAAATGGTAAATACAAAAGTTGTAAAGATTTTTAGAGTGCACAATTTAAAATAATTTTAAATTATACCGGGGACTCAATAACGTATATTTTTTAAAACAATATTTTTCAATTTTGTTTTTAATTCGTTTTCAAATTCTACTTTTTTAATAATAGTAATAGATACCTCAACCCAATAGTTTTGGTTAGTTGTTTAATTTGTATGAAAAAAGAGTAGTTTTCACAAGTGCAAAAAATTACGATGGCGCCATTATTTTTGATATTAGCGTTATTCGAAGATAACGTAAAAGATATATGCAAAAGAATTTGAATTAAATGCTACAGGGTGGATGATCATTTTAAAAATCTCGATTTTATTAAATGGCACATCATAAATATTATTTTTTCTGAAATATCTTACAGAAACTATTTTTAACAGGGCTCTGTTAAGATTCAAAAATTAACAGAGCTTGGTTGGAGTCATAGGCAAAGAAGTTATTGGCAATGGTGGTGAAAATAACAACCAAATTTTAAATTCATACAAGAAATAAATAATATTAAAGACTACGTTACTTACTTATTTTTTATTATTATTACGGCGCAATAAATGTTCAAAAATATACATGTTTAGTCTATTGGGTATATTTTCTTGGACGTTCCTTGGTATAGACGGTGTTATTCTCCCGTGTTCCGAATCCTATTTTGCATATCTTCTGTTCTTGTAGCAGATTGACATAAACACCATCTTTAACATATTGCCACAAAGAAAAATCTAGTGATGTTAGGAGGCCAGAAATAGAGGGGGCCATCCAATGAATCCGCCTCTATTGATTCATTTCTGTGGGTAATGATTATTTCAAAATTCTCGAACTTTTCGATGGTAATGCGGAGAAGCTCCATCTTGCTGAAACCATATTTGTTGGATCTCAATGTTATCAACTTCTTGAAAAAGTTAAGGTAAATCATTCTGCAAAAAGTTTAAATATATACGCCCGTGAAAAAAATATGGTTTGGCACTTTCCGTATCCAACATGGATTAACTGTTGAATAATAATGCATATTATGATGATTAACTGCCGCATTACTGCGAAAAATAGCTTCATCGGAGAAAATTATTTTAGACAAAAAATTTGGATCAGCCTCTATTGCTTCATATATAACGGTGCAGAAGTTTATCCTTTGTTCAAACTCACGGTGTAGAAGTTCTTGGTGTAGTTTCATATGAAAGAGATGACATTTGTGCGATTAATGGTAGATTGGAATGTATCACATAAGCCAGCTACTTGACGGCTACTGATTTGGAGATTATCTTGAACTTGAAGTAAAATTTCCAATTCTTATTCCTCATTGGTAGCATTCCGGTTTACCACTTTCCGTTTTTCATATTCATTACTACCACAAGCATCAGACGGTTCGATTAAACACCATTAAACTACAGACAGCACAATAAATTTTTTCTACTCCTGTCTGTAAAATACCTATTTACAAACCGATCTAGCATGCGGGAAGCGTCACTTTACCACGTCAGTTTCGTTTCTCACGGATCCGAGCCACTTTGGACATTTCTGGGATTTTACCGCAAGAATTTAGGAGTAATCGGATGTTTTCGGAATTCGTAGAAATTCGTAGAAAAAGTATGGTATGCAACACGATCGGTAAACTTTTTTTTCTACTCCCGTCTGTAAAATACCGAATTACAAACCGATCTAGCGTGCGGGAAGCGTCAGTTTCGTTTCCTACGAATCCGAGCCACTTCGGATATTTCCGGGATTTTACCACACGAATTTGGGGCCAATGGGATGTTTTCGGAGATATTTCCCACGCTTGAACTTTGACGTTTGTCAGTTCTGTCGGTTATGTGAGGGAATGTATTCGTGTTGTTTTGCGAAAAGGTACCCAAAAACTAACGGTCGTAGAAAAAGTATAGTATGCAGCACGTTCGGTAAACTTTTTAACTCACTCGTTTAGTAAAAACTCGCCCCGCTGCGCTCCGCTCGTGTCAAATAAACTCGTGGGTCAAATGCCGTTTACCGCTCTTGTTGCATAATATACTATTAAATCAATCGTTTATTAAATACTCGCGCACTTCCGGGATATTACAGCACGTGTTTGGGAGCAATCGGATATTTTCGGAGGTGCTTCCCACGCCTTAAATTTTGACGTTTGTCAATTCTGACGGTCATGTGAGTGAATTTATTTGTGTTGTTTCGCAAAAATTTACCCAAAAACTAATGATTGTAGAAAACGTATAACAATATATGCAACACGTTTGGTAAATTTTTATCGTTTACAACCCTATTGTGAGTTTACTCACTCAGTTGTTACGAGCCATAGCAAGAAGATGCTTAGCCAGATTTTACCGCGTCAACTTTTAATCACATAAAATTTTTGATTTGCTTACTTGTTAGTCAGTTGAATGCCCTCTTACGGTATGTTCAGGCGAAAGACTAAATATTAATTCCAAGCTTTGACGCAACCCGACAACACCGCACTAGGACAAGGATGAAAAAGACAGGTCCCGACGGGATTCACACAGAACGGGCGTGGGTCGAGACGCTCGGCGAATGCCTCCTAATTTTTATTAATTTTGATATGCAGTTATCAATACAGTTTGTTTCTTTCGGTTTGACTTGCAGAGTACAGTATATTTATTAAAGTAGTTAAAAACAAAGTTAAGTGGTTATTACTCCGCTAAACCGATCGGGAATCCAAAAGATTCCTAAGTGGTCCTTCGAACTCTGAAAACAGCGTTAGCCCGACCACGGTAAACTACTTTTCAATTAGGAAAAATATAGTTTTTTAAAAAGCGACTTTCGGTTTCCTGTTAGAAAAGTAGCGGAGTCATTAGATATTCCGAAGTTTTTCGAATCGATCGGTAACCTATTCGTATCTACGATTTATCTGAATATCGGAACTTGTTGAGTGACTAGTGCAAGAAGAATTATTAAAAACCTGTCGGAGACATTTCATCTGCAGCTCATGAGGAATTGGTTCTCAAATCGTTCTGGTTTCGCAAGGAGGCAAAAATTTGGTGGAGAGTCTGTCCATTGTATAAAATGACCAGAGTCGCATTATGTTTTTTCCGTAGAAGACTTAGCTGATACTTTATCTGATTTAAAAATCGTCTTAAACTGATTCACATAGTATTAATAATCAAAATATTTCTATCCAAAATGGTATAAGGAAAAATTTATATACAGCCATGGCAATGTTAAACCAGAGTACTTAAACTATGTACCTACTTTTGATGGAAACGCTAATGATTTAATCAGATATCTTGCTACTTGTGATATCCTTATGATTAAACTAATTCAAATAAATTTGAAAATATTTATCGAATTAATTGTCTTATTGGAAAATTCGTTGGCACAGCCGAAGTAGTAGAAAATATCCAGAATGTATCGACATTCTTGTAAGAAATTTCGTTGATACTAACGCTGCGAATGTTCTTGCCTTAAAACATTTTTATCAAGGCTTAAAGGGCCTCTAGGTAAGAATATACGTTGTATGCGTCCGTCAAGTCCTACTCACTCGAAAAATGTAAAAAGGCCTATTTATAGGGGCAAGGGACGATCAAATTTCAGCTCATAAATATAGCACATTGTTACTTTCTTCCCAAATATTTAAATTGCCTAAGGAAAATCTTTTAATTTTTTTTTTGTTTAAATTTCAAAACGGATTTGGTGGTTTAATTGACACAGACAATCTAGAATTTTTTTAAATCAATATAGATTTTGCTAATAATTATACACGCCAAAAATAAAGTACTCTTTCGAAACACCAAGAAAAATCCGGTTTGATTAAACTGGTATCAGCCCTCGATGTGAACAAATTATCAAAATACCTTATCAAAAATTAACCACTATTTTAAATAACTTTTCCTATAACCACGAACTAAAATTGGATATCTCTTAAACAATTCGTACTAATCATAAAAACAATGAAGAAAAGGCGGAAATATTAAAACTCTGTAAAAAATATTCTGATATTTTCTAGAGATTTCCGTATATATATGAAGCAGAAGTCAAATTATAAAAATGCTCCATTAAAAAATAATAAGGACCAGTAATTCTCCTTGGTCATTCACTATTTGAATTGTGCGTAAAAAGTCGGACCCAAGTGGAACCAGAAAATCGCGTATGTGTGCACCACCGCAAATTTAATGAGAAAACTATTGACAAATATAACCGATTTGTTGGACAGATTGGGTAAATATCAATATTTTTCTACATTAGATCCAGATGAGTGAAAAAAATGTACCAAAAACGGCTTTGAATTGCGGTCAAGGGCATTATGAATATCTGAGAATGCCTTCGCACCTGCAAACTTCCAGCGCATTATAGACAAAATGTTGCGCGGCCTCCAAAACGAACGGTGTGCGGTTTATTTAGTCATCATTGTTTATTCGACATCGTTACAAGAACAGATAGAAAAATTACGGGATGTTTTTCAAAGTCTCCGAGCCATAGTTTTTGCGTAAGGAAGAACCGTATCTCGGTTATCTAGTTACCCCCTCAGGCATCAAACCAAATCCTGATAAAATAAAAGCTATTAAGAACTATCCTATTTATAAAACAACAAAAGAGATTTAAGGTTTTCTTGATCTCCTAGAGTATCAAATTTATTAATAATTTGACCAAGTCAACTAAACCACTAACAAAATCCTTAAAAAAGGGTGCAGTGCGGAACCAGAAATCGAGCTAGTCAATGTTCAACTTCCACGCTAACCTTCGAAGTTGAATCTGAGGAGGGAACAATTATGTCACGAGCGTTCCCTACACCCTTAAGAAGAAGATGCTTTTAATCATATAAAACTGTTTTTTACTATTTGTTAGTCAGTTAAATATACTCTTATGGTACACTACTAATTTTTGTAATTTGGAGAAACATTTTTTTTTCTACTCTCGTCTGTAAAATACCTACTTACACACCGATCTAACGTGTGGGAAGTGTCACTTTCCAACGTCAGTTTTATTTCCCACGCATCCTAGCCATTTCGGACATTTCCGGGATTTTACCGCACGGATTTGGGAGCAATCGGATGATTTCGGAGATATTTCCCCAAGCCTTGAATTTTACGTTTGTCAATTCTGACGGTCATGTCAGTAGATGTATTCATGTTTTTTTGCGCTCGTAGAAAATAGTATATTATGCAACAAGTGCGTAAAGGGCATTTGACTCAAGAGCTTATTTGACACGAGCAGAGCGCAGCGGAGCGAGTTTTTAATAAACGAGTGATTTAAAAAGTTTACCGAACGTGCTGCATACTATACTTTTTCTACGACCGTTAGTTTTTGGGTACATTTTCGCAAAACAACACAAATACATTCACTGACATGACCGTCAGAATTGACAAACATCAAAATTCAAAGCGTGGGAAATATCTCCGAAAACATCCGATCGCTCCCAAACCCGTGCGGTAAAATCCCGGAAATGTCCGAAATGGCTCGGATTCATGGGAAACGAAACTGACATGGTAAAGTGACGCTTCCCGCACACTAGATCGGTATGTAATTAGGTATTTTACAGACGGGAGTAAAAAAGTATAATATGCAACACGTTCGGTAAACTTTTTAGGTCACTCGTTTATTAAACGCTGCGCTCCGCTCGTGTCAAATGCCATTTACCGCACTTGTTGCATAATATACTATTCAAAAGCGACTTTCGGTTTCCCGTTAGAAAAGTAATGTTATTTTATCACGGCCAGCTAGTCTTAGACAGAATGAAGGGTAAATATTGGAAAAGTTAAAATAAATCGCAAAGTATCAAAAATAGGTATATGACTTAATAAAAGTTGTAGGTTTTTGTAAGATCTTTCAGAAAAGATAATATATATGGTGTGCCATTTAAGAAAATGGAGATTTTTCAATTTAAAATCCCCTGTAGCATCTAATTAAAATTCCGTTACGTATAAATTGTACATCATCTTTGAATAACGCTAATATCAAATATGAAATAATAAAAATAACGGCGCTATCGTAATTTTTTTGCAATTATGAAAACTAGTATTTTTTAGCAAAATTAAAATATTGGAAAAACTATTAGGGTTAGGTATGTATTATTATTAATAAAAAAAGTTACAAAAAATGAATTAGAAGCAAAATTTAAAAATAAGATGTTCCATTAAAAAAAAAAGTTTTATGCGTCGCTCATTTTTGAGTCACCCTGTATACTTTAAAATAATTTTAAATTGTACTGTTTATTATGGGATGATACCTTATCTCAAAACCTGTACAAAATATGAAAAAATCTTAAGACAACGGTTGCTGTGAGATGCTTATACTTATTAGCGATATCTTTTGTATGGCCGCCAAAAGTCACATATTCTGAGCCAGGACGGACGATGCCATTCCAACTACGCAAAAATGAACGTTAGTCCTAGTGGAATGGATGACTTCTTTGATCCTATATCTATCATTAGCTTTCATTATTGTTTGCTGGAAAACTTAGTCAAAACTAAGTCCCCTACAAAAAAATGAACTGGTGATCCTCTTTTTTTGTTAAATCGCTCATTTTGTTTGATTCTATCGCCTTCAAGCTTTTTAGCCGCCTCCCTCCTTAATGAAGTAACGTCTATGGCATTCACTTCATCATCTCTGACATATTTGCCACCATCTGATCTTAACTTGTATTTAAATATTATACGATGTTTCTTGCTGCTAATGCGATGTGGTTTGTTCTTAAGATTTATGTCCCACATATCGTTATCTAATTTGACACTCATTGTTGCCAACGAGTCTAGCATTGTCTTGTTTGCTCTTTCGACCTGTCCGTTTCTTCTCGCCATGCCAACTGCAGTGGTGAATACCCTTATTCCTCATTCTGCAGTATAGTTACTAAATTCTGGCGATACAAATGCTTTTCCGGCGTAGGTTATCAGACGCCTAGCATTTTAAATATTTTAAAAATTTCCTCCAGTGTAGTTATTACAGTGTCTCTAAAAAGTTTTTTATCTGTCTCGGCTACTCTGTATAGGCGATGCTTAACTATTTTCGTCACTTCAATTTTGATCTTAACAGCTGTTATCTTTTTTAATGTTTTTAGAAAAGTAAAGATACATTCGTTGTGATTATTTAATATGTAATGGAGGTCTATTTTTTGGTTTTGGGATAGTTCCGCCCTAATGTTTATGTCTTTTGCGAAGTCCTTTTTATATTGAAATTTTTCGGAGAAATTTCTTCCTATAAGCAATTCTGCATTCCAGTCAGGCTCCAAAACGTAATTTGTAATTTGAGAAAGTCAATACGTACATTTTCTGTAACTAATTTTATCTACGTTAGATGTGTTTTCCAAAAAGCCTGATAACTTGACTTTTTATCTAGATTTTTGACTTCTAGTCCAAAACATTTAGCCAGCTTTAACAAATGTCAAAGAGCAATCGCTTACAAAATCTATTAAAGCCTCTTGTTGCTGGTTGTTTACAAAAATGTTTTTTTTAAATTTATTTTGGTTAGTTTTATCAGTTCACTTATATTTTGATTCGCCTGTATATTTTGCAAATCTTTCTTCTGACTGGTCTCCGTTATAATTAAAGGCAAATTTCTTACATTCCAAACAGTAAAAAGCGTGATAACCAACTTGTCAATTTTATTTTTATTTGCAAACATTTACAAAGTTAACATTCAACAACGAAAAATTTTTTTAAGTACGTCACTTTTTGGCATCAGAACAAACTAATTTCTATCAACTATCTATTTACATGAGATTATATGGTAGAATTAATATTTATAACCTCGTTAAATAAATCCTAGTCCCTACATTAAGAACAAAAAAGATCCTAAACAAAAGTTCTATTATTATCTTTTTATCTTTAAACTAACTGAAAATTTAAACTTTAACGTAAATGAAAAAAAACTGAGTTTTACGCTTAGAATTTCACATTACAACAAAATTTTTTTCTGCCATAAGAGTTGGTTTTCTAAAATCTATGTTTGAGACAAGTCTGCAAAAGTACATTTAACATATATTTTAAAGCACCGCTACGTCACTTTGTCAAAATGGTTAGTTAAATTGTTAATGAAGGGTATTTTTGTTTGAAGACAGAAGCTTTTCAAAAATTTAGTTAAAACAACCGCTGAAATGGATTAGTGATTTTAGTGACTGGGATAAAAGCATTTTTTGTCCTGTCTTGTGCGATGTTTCACAGTGTGATTAAATTCCAAACAATATGTGTTCATTAAATTAATTATTTCATACATTAGCTTTACTGGGAAATGGAGCGGCAAGTTTCCTGCCCTGGTAGTTTTAGTTTATGAGGTGCAACAATATATTAAAAATTTAAAATAATTCAATATAAAGATTGTGATCAAGAGAAACTAACAAAAATTATGATTACTGCTGCAATTCACATGAAACTCACAATAGCAGACTCAAGCATAGGTACGGTTTATTTCTTTCAGTAATAACCAACCAACATGTATGCTGGTAACAGGAAAAAAACTAAAAATATTCCAATTAATAATCAGATATATACAGCATAACTAATTCCTATGGAAGAATCCTACATTCTACACCTATTTAAAAGAAATATGAATATACAAATTTATCTACAATAATTATAGAACAATATCTAAAAAAACGGTTTTCGATTAAAACGGAATATTCGATTACTTTTTAATCTTATAGCTAACAGTTACAATATTCAAAATTGTATTGATATTGGCATAGATATTGGCCCTAAAATTGCAAATTTTAACCTTACTACAAGATTCAAAAATCTCCTTCATGGAACTTATGGAAATATTCTTAATGCATTACAGTTTTTATTAATGCTGTTAATCTCCCACACTACTGAATATCATTAAACTTCACAAAGTCTCCTGGGTCTGAGAATTTGAGGTATTGACATTGGCACTTATAGTTGTCACGTGATCGCCAATACTAAGAGCAGCTACTTTGGCTCGTTGATAAGCACTCAGAGTGTTTTGACCTAAAAATCTAGAATGCAAAATGGAATTAAAGAGTCTGTCATATTCTGTTACAGTGAACCTTATTTGAATTGAAAACAATTTAATTTAATATTTTATATTATTTGATAAAAAATATTGACAAAGACAAAAACATTGAGACACAGAGAGAGCAATAGAATTATAAGTCCCAATCATACCTTATGCAAATATATATCACAATTAGTGCAATACTGGCAGCTAGCATCCTAATATATGAATTTGCGTAAAGCTGGATGACAATCCAGGCACAGGCAATAGTGACACACATGCAAGTGACTATTACAGCTGTGCTACCCCAGTGTTTAGCAGTAAATCCTTTATCCCACTTCAACTCGCTATTACGGCATATATCATATTCATATTTGCACACTTTGCAGCGTAATGGTTCATTATTAGAGGATGAACTTTCCATCAACCACCTAAAATTAAAACAACTTAAATAATTGCTGCAAAAAATGTGTATATTGTTTCTATGAGTTTTAGGGTCTTGGTAATGGATAGGTGGAACAACTGCAGGTAGACAGATCTATGGGGATCCCTTACACATCATGTAATTCCTCTTTCTCTTACCCTGATGCTTTAATCAAAAAATAAATAAGAGTGAAGTGAAAGAGTGAAAAAGAAAGTGACAATTTCTAGTTTCAATAATCAATCTCAGGACTTGAAGCACCTACCCATAATACGCAACTTCATTTCCACTCACATTTTGTAGCCCTTAATAGACCACTAGGCTATTATATACATCAATGACTTTTTTAATTTACTTTTTTTACTATAATCCTTGAACTGTTATAATGTGTGCTCTCAATAATAAAATACATTACCTTCTTAGACATTCATGATGTACACTTGATACATCCCCTGTGCAGTCACATGGTTGGATAAAGGGTTCCTTTTTCTCATTATCATAACAAATCCAACACTCTCTTTTATCCAAAAATTCATCATCCTCCCTGCCATCCCCCTCCTTTCCTGTCTTTCCATCGACTGATGACATTTCTGTTTCTGAACATTTTGGTTGATCGAATTTGGCCAACAACTTTCTGGGATTCAATATCCATAGTTCTGAAGGTTGCATACAGTTCCAAAGTACAGCCGGAAACCTGTAAATGGATAACTTTACTAAATCAGAAAGTTAGATCACATCTAGATCAACTTGTAAAGACTGACAATGTCATAAACACTGCCAATGAAAATTTGAGCCACCTACCATATGGCAACTCCTATTTCGACTACCCTGAAAATCACGTCATGCAAATTCCTTGAATTAATTGGTACTTTAGTTTTCCAAAATTCACTTAAGGTTTCAGAAAATAGGAAACCTGCTATAACAATAAGCATAAGTGCTTGACTGAGCAGACCTATGCGTGATTGATGTAGTTGGGATACATTTATTTGGGGCCTCACATCAATATGATCACTTTGTAAAGGTTCTGATTCCCTAGATGGAGCCCATGCAATAGTTTTTGACACAAAACCACCACGGACCTATAACAAAAATGACCAGTTGCTGTCATTTCTTAATTATTGCGCAGCAAAATATAATCAACAATGCTTTGAATATTATCTTCTTTTTTCTTATCAATTTAGATAATTAATATTAACATTATTATTATATATTTAATTTTAAACAGAAAACACCACTTAACAATAAAAGTTTTCTCTGCTTTTACATATATTATCAAAATATCAATGCAATACACTTTTACTAGTTGTGGCTAATGGATACAAATGTTTAGGTTAATACATTTTTCAAAAGAAAAACTCTGTGTACTTACTTTAAAATATACTTCAACCCCATAGATTAGGAAAAATATAACCACTATGAACATAAGCACTGCATAACAACCATTGAAGAGGTGGTTGTAAAAACCTGGATCATTCGGTGGAGGTTCTGCAATTTGAGTTGTAATGAATTCAGCAAACAGCAAACCATAACTGATAATATTAAAAGTTATAAATCCCAAAAATGACTTGGAGATGAACTGTGGTTTCTCATAATGCACACCTTGTAAATGAAAGACCTACAATATTTAAAAATACATTAGAGAGGCAATCCACATCCGAATCCACATATATATTTACAATGTTTCCAACTGCCCTTTGCAGATAATGTATAAAAATAAATATCTCAAAGTCAAATAACTACTTAGCCTTGAAGAAAACAATTTTAAAAAATTTATGTATGTCTGCATTTGGAATATCTATTAAACTAAATTTGGTCAAACAAACATTATAGACTTATAGGTAACTTCCTTATAAAGTTTTATAACCCAATCAATCTCTTTGGAAAAGGCTTAATGATAATATGACGCTGCACAAAGTAACACTAAAAGTATAAGGGTGTAAATCAAACTTTTTGCTTCTTTTTTCAACAAACAAATATGCCACATTGTTAACAATGATAAATGAAGGATGGATATTTGCAATAATTAACAGAATACTTTCTAATTACCACATTATCAACTCTCTTTTTTGCTACTTACTGCATGAATATTAGGGCAATCTATTGTACTTAAAAACTTGGTTCTAAAAGTAACTAATAATTTGATTACATACCTCGGCCCAAAAGCATACAATCAGAGATGCACTAGACATCAACAATGGATAATAAGACGACAATAAACTATTGGACCAACCATATTCAAATGATTCCTGAAAAAAAGTTTCAAAATAAAACATATGATGAAAACAGTTTCAAAAAGCACAATGTCTGACACAAAAATTTGTTTAAGAATATTCACTTACTGGAAATATAAAATAGGCACCTCTTATTAAACCAGCCAAACAAATTACCAAATATATCATTTTCTGCGTTGTAATCTTACAAGCTCGTAATAGAGAGGGTGCTTTCATTCTTTGGTATTCAGATATGATACACATTATAAGCTGAATGGCGCAGATTAAGGCTATGAATATGAAAACTCCTCCAATACCAGCATGATAGGGTAAGTTGGGGTCATCACAAAGTTCCCCTGTAAATCTAATGTCGCACATGCATGTTCCATTATTACATTCTCCCCGTCCCGAACAATCTCTGTTGCAAGTAGAAGTCAATCCTGACATTAAAAGGAGATGTCGAAACATTATCTTGGGAATCTAGAAAACCATTTATGGTGATTTATATCTTTCGTTATTGTCAGAAGTGTTAATTTCAGTTTCAAAGTACCTTGATTTAAATTGACTTCTTACGTATTACATACAAAATTCGAAAGATTTTTTATCTTCTGCCAAACAAAATGTTTTTGTTTCGCACATCATATTCCCCGACGTTTTGACGTTTGACTTGTTTATCTTTGCTCATAGATTATGAGAGAGAAATTACTTTTTGTGCTCGCCTGGACCACGATACAAAAAAGATCATGGCCCAATGGATTTTCGGTAATTCTGCAGTCTATGTATTCATTAGATGGGATCATAGATACCAAAATTGTTAGTTCTTTATGGCAGTTTTATGATTGTAACGTGTCTTCACGAACAGAACTAATTTTTGTGTTTATTTTTGTCATCCATTTTTATTAGTAATGAATAACAATTTAATATTTTTGCCTCGGTTCAGTTTTATAAAAAAAAAATCTGAACGATGAGGATAATGAAGAAGTCAATGTAATTGAAAAAAAAGAAAACTTTGCAGAAGTTTTGCGCCTCTTAAGAATAAGCAGTTTAAAAACATGCATATGATTGATATGTCTACAAAATATATATTCTTTATTAAATTGCAATAAAAAAATGGCATCTAAAAATATGCATTTTAAGTTCAATCTGTTAAAAATACGTGCAGAAACATATGTAGAAATTGTATCCTGATTGTGTTTACCGCGCTATGGACCGTGTTCTTTCTTTCCATTCATCCTGCTTTAAATTTCTTCAGCTTGTTTATTTTCAGAATGAAAATTCGTTTTCTGTTTTTTCGAGACGACAAATTTATTCTTTTTTGTTGAGAATTTACGGATTTTAGTTTACACTTAATTATAATTTTATTCTGTAAATAATAATTTTTGCATTAAATTTAAGAATTTCATTTTCTGCTGATTGCTATACTTTTTACATCATTGTCATAAGTAATACTGTTTTATGATAGTTTTGAAGCGCCAACTGATGCGCCTAAAATAAACACATTGTTTTGGCACATAATATTGCTAATGCCGTACGTTGTTACATTAATTAAATAAAACACTGCCACTTAAATTTTTGCTAAGGCAAGATGTATTCAAAAGTGAAATTGAAAAAGTAACAGAATCACAATTTTGATATTTTGTTTAATTTCCTGGTTAAATCGAATTAATTTAGCAGCCTGGCAACACTGCTCAGCAGGATGTCATTTCGCGACCACAGTTAAAATTTTCCTTTCCACTAAATACGTAAGTTGCAGGATTACAAGATGCCTTCCTTATTGCGTTCCAATTCATTCACCTCACAGATTATTTTACTTATAAATTTTGAATACACCTTGCAAAACTTTACTCAAAAAATACGATCTCTTCCAAAATTTGTATTCGAAATTTTTTTTTTGTTCATCTTGTTTATGGTTTTGAAATTTTAATATGTTTAACAGGGTAAAGCAAGGCCATTCGCCCAAAATCTTTATTTATCCTAGTTCTAGGTATAGGTTTTTTAAATCTGCTTAAATAATGTTTACGGTTCTTTCATGATTTGATGATGTGAATTTTTCTTAGTGGGCGAGAACTAGTAATTAACGTTCGATAATATTCTAGGTGTCCCGGTAAAAGTCAATCGGCTTTTTTGACATCACATTGACACTTGACATCAGTGTTTGTCGATGAATTGAGCGTCTATGTTTTTAGGGAAGTTTATAAATTGAACCATTTTTAGTAAAAATAGCAAGAGTATGCACTTTCTTTAAATGTTACGCCCCCACTAAGAATACACTTAGTAGTGCTTTGCTGTTTCTGTTGTGTTTAGTTGGACAGGCCTACCTCAACAATTTAGTTCATACTGACTGCGTTTGATGCTCAGGTAAATGGGGTAAATACCATTTTTGGGTAACTTCTCGCAATAGTTTTTTATTTCCTTAGTTATATTGGCTTACCTTTTGGGATATATTATAAATTAAAATATAACGAAACACTCACTGGAAGCATATTTTTCCAATAATACCTATGATTAAAATTGTCTAATTTAGGCGTCTTCTCTTGTGAATGTTCCACAATTATTCCACAGAGTGCTATAGAGGCTACTTAATCTTTAAATGCAGCATATAAAACTATTTAAATTATTTATAAACTTTTAATTAGTACATAAGCCTAGTGTCTAGGCAATAGAATAGAATCTTGAAACCATGATGTAATTCTAGATATAATGGGAGCATTATTTTATGGTTGGTTAATTACAAAAGGCGGACACTTTGCTAGCCGAAATCCTTATCGAACTTGGAGTCCTTTAAATTTTCTGGTTGTAAAAAAATGTTATCTTCTCTCATATGTCAAGTAGAGTTACCTTATTAATACAATACAATTATAAGCAAAGTTCACATTAAAACTTAAAACTATTCCAACAATAGTTCCAACTAGCCCGTCGCTTTCAGTTGTCAAAATTGATGAAGAAAGAGGTTGTCAAAGCATTGCTTATCAGTTCTGATTTGTAAATACTATTAACTATGATTAGTTATTCCTTTAAGAGTTTTGGGATGTAAGTAAATGCTATTAAATATATAATAGTAAGTAAAATAAAAAAAATAATACTAATAAAGAAATAGAAACAAATGTAGCTATTATTGTTATACTGCAAAGTATCATCTTTAATTTAAATTAAATTAAATTTCTAATATTATTTTTTTATTTATTTGAGTTAGACCTTTGTAGAAATTATTACTGAATCAATACACAATATGCTCCTTGCACCTCCTAAATAAAGTAATTATATCAATGCTTCATTTTATTTATTATAAGGTCTGAGAGCAAAGAAAACTGAAAATTTTGATGTTTTGAGTACATAATGTCAAAATTCATCATTGGACAGTGCTTCAATATTCTTTGGAATTTTTTCTAGACTAGAAAGTTGTCAGTAGTAATTGTTCAACTGTTTAATAGTATTTAATGCATACGACTGTTTCAAGATAGATGATGGTGTGATCTAAAACCTTTTTTTTTTTCAGTTAATTGATCATGACAGAAATAGTGTATCCTCCAGGATGTCGTCCAATAAGTGATGATTTGGGTCCCGACGAACTTATTCGTCGTCTTAAAACTCTAGCCCATATACTTCAGGCTATGGGACAAGACGATGGAGAATATAAGCAGTATGTACCATTGTCACTGCATTTGGCTGAGGAACAATTTCTCTCTCATCCATCAAGAGATGTACAATTGTTAATTGCTTGCTGTATAGCAGATGTTTTAAGAGTTTATGCTCCTGATGCTCCATATCAAGACCCTGAGCAAGTCAAAACCATATTCTTGTTTTTAATTACCCAGCTGTCTGGATTGAAAGATCCTAAAGATGCTGCTTTTAAAAGGTAAATCTATTGGTAATTTTGCTTTCGTTATTTAGACAAGGTGGTCAAGTCAGTAAGGAATTTATGGACAAGGAAATCTTTTTCATAAACTATTACGACTTGTATGTGAGTGTTCTACTGAATCAACATTACAAAGCTCCATTTTTAGAACTATGTTATGTCACTAGCAACACTCTCTATATATAGCAATAAAGAGGGGGGAATATTATTCAAATGATCTTAGTTTTTATTGGTTCTAAAAGTACTGGGGACAAAACAGTTCTAAAAACAAAGTTTATTGCTCTAAATAAAAGTTGATGTTATGTATATTCTAGTCTAATTTTTTACATAAAAGAAAACAGTCTTTTTTTTTTCACAAATGAAATTATGTGATTAGTAATAATGTTAAATTTTTTGCAGATATTTTTATTTATTGGAGAATCTGGCCTATGTGAAATCATTCAACATGTGTTTTGACCTACAGGACTGTCAGGAAATATTTTGTGCATTGTTTCAATTAATGTTTAAGATTGTAAATGACGAACACTCGGGTAGAGTAAAGAGTTTTATGCTTGATGTTTTATGTCCTCTAATCACAGAAAGTGATATGGTTGGTAATGATTTATTGGACATTATTCTGTTAAATATTGTAGAGCCAAATAAAACGCAGCATAAGAATGCATATTTTTTGGCAAAAGAATTGATTATCAAAACTTCAGAGACCTTGGAGCCTTATATACAAGCATTTTTCAACCAGGTTCTTATTTTGGGTGAGTATACATAACATTATTTTATTTTAGTGTTTTATTTATAAGTTATAAAAGTAAAAGAAGAATGAGTCAAAATGACTTAAGGTAGGTGTATGTTTTTAAATAAGTGTATGTGTATGTTATGTGTGGATTTTATATCTTGCTGATTTTTTTAGGCAAGGAAGATAAAAATTTACAAATTTCCAGTAAAGTTTATGATTTAATTTATGAGCTTAATCATATTTGTCCCCAAATTTTGGTGTCGGTGTTGCCGCAACTAGAATGTAAACTGAAAAGCACTCAAGAAGGGGAAAGATTGGCTGCAGTGGCTTTATTGGCAAAAATGTTCAGCGAAAAGGATTCCGAATTGCCCAAAAGACATGGTGCTTTGTGGACTGCATTTTTAGGTAGATTTAATGATATATCAGTTGCAATTAGAACAAAATGTGTTCAGTATTCAATGCACTTTTTACTAAACCATCCCGACCTGAGAAAAGACATTACTGAAACACTGAAAATGAGGCAACATGATTCAGACGAAAATGTTAGATATCAAGTAAGTGTAAAATATCTCTTATTTTACATAAACAACTCATTTTCATCTACCTATAGGTTGTAATGTCTATTGTCACCACAGCCCGAAATGACTTCCAAGTGGTATCGGATTCAGAAGATCTTTTAGAATTTGTAAAGGAGAGAACATTGGATAAAAAATTTAAAATTCGCAAGGAAGCAATGGCTGGATTGGCACTTATCTATAAGAAACATCTTAGTGATGCTGATGTTCCAAATGCGACGAAAAAAGCTGTGACATGGATTAAAGACAAAATATTGCATGGATATTATATGGCAGGAATGGAAGATAGACTACTTGTAGAAAGGTAAGTTTATTTATTTCAGTTGAAATATGTGAAAATGTAATAAATACCATTAATAATAATATATTTTCAGATTGCTTAACACTTGCCTAGTGCCCTATCAGCTTCCTGCACAAGAAAGAATGAAGAAGCTTTACCATCTTCTTGGCACTGTAGATGAACATGCTACAAAAGCGTTCATGGAGCTTCAAAAGAATCAATTGTGTGTGAGAAAGCTAGTTCTGGAATGGCTAGAACTTCACAGGAAATCAGGAGCTCATCCAAGTCCAGAAATAAATAAAGAAGTTGGAAATAAAATTCATGCCCTCTCTAGGTGTCTTCCAGAACCAGTTAAAGCACATGAGTTTCTAGTTAAATTCAATAACCATTTAAAGTAAGATTCTTTAAATTTGTTTTTGTTATATAATTATATATATATATATATATATATATATATATATATATATATATATATATATATATATATATATATATATATATATATATATATATTCTCACGTATTGATTCACGGATGGAAAAATGTGATGACACTATATTCCGGGATATCATCCGTTCGCTCGTTGAACTCCGACTGGAATCCTGCATCCGACTGGAATCCTGCAAATCTTGCATCCGACTGGAATCCTGCAGACGTTTCGCCAAAATCTCACTTGGCATCTTCAATGCTCGCGTTCCGAAAACACTTCGAACACTGTTCGAAGTGTTTTCGGAACGCGAGCATTGAAGATGCCAAGTGAGATTTTGGCGAAACGTCTGCAGGATTCCAGTCGGATGCAAGATTTGCAGGATTCCAGTCGGATGCAGGATTCCAGTCGGATGCAGGATTCCAGTCGGAGTTCAACGAGCGAACGGATGATATCCCGGAATATAGTGTCATCATATATATATATATATATATATATATATATATATATATATATATATATATATATATATATATATATATATATATATATATATATATATATATATATATATATATATATATATATATATATATATATATATATATATATATATATATATATATATATATATATATATATATATATATATATATATATATATATATATATATATATATATATATATATATATATATATATATATATATATATATATATATATATATATATATATATATATATATATATATATATATATATATATATATATATATATATATATATATATATATATATAAACCACCCTACAAATTTCAATTTATGTTGTGATTCACGATATTTTTTTAGAAAAGATCCCGATCTTCTGGAAAAATTTGAAACTGTTACCAAACCATCAGTAAGTTGTAAAGAATGTTCTGAAGCAACAGCTGCTGTTTTGAAGAAACTCGGATCACCAGTCATGACAAATCTATACTACAACATGGTCAAGATGTTACTTGAAAGAATAAGTTCTGTAATGATCGATCATGAGGCTTTGGGTATATTAATAGGGTTAGTTTGACATGGATTTATTAGATGGAATTGTAATTTCATTTTGTATTCAAGTTATGTGGAAGATTGTTTAAGTGGCGGAAACGCAATTGAAGAAATAGGTTTACATCCTGCCACAGCAGGCGATCGGGGCTTGAAACTCTTAATTATGCTAAGTGTGGTGTTTCCTTCACATTTTCATCATGCTGATATTCTAGAAGAATTGATGGACCTACTTAGACTCAATGACGAAAATGTTGCACCTCTTGTGCTTTCCATATTTACATTTTTAGGAAAATACAAATGCCTGTGTAAGTCTTGCTACCTAACCTATTTATCTATTATATACTCATAATCATGTTTTTAGTGATATTTTATATATTTTTAGTAAAAAATATATAAAGTTAGGTTGTTACCACCACACCACATTCGTTTAGATATTTAAAAATGTATATTTAATTTTCCAATTGCAGATGAGCAATTTCCAAACCTTATATATACCCTTGCACCCACTTGCACCGAATTAGCATGCACTGGTACTCCAAAACAGGCTAAAGGAGCCATACATTGTATATTTAAGAATATGCCTCCTCTACATGATGAATTATTTTCATCAATTTTGGAATCTGTGAAAAATAATTTAACTCCTGAATCACCACATTATAGAACAGCTATTGTTGCCTTGGGGCATATAGCATACAATGTTCCAGATAAATATAAAGTGCAGATCAAAAATATTGTGTCCAGAAAGGTAAATATAATAAACACATTTATTCTAAGTAATGGACAATTTATAATGAAATTACTAAAAACAGAGAGGGTCTTAATATGGCATGATTTGTGTTTAGATAGTGAAGGAACTTTTGGTAAACAATGAGCGAGACAATCTAAAAGATGAATATTCGAGAAACGATGATCCGTGGTGTCCAGAGGATGAACTTCCTGAGGATACTCGTTGTAAAATCGAAGGTTTAAAGGCAATGGCTAGGTGGCTGCTAGGTCTTAAACAAGATACAGCATCTGCCCAAAAGACATTTAGAATGCTAAATGCATTTATTTTGCACAAAGGTGACCTAATGCAATCTGGAAAAATGTCTAGATCAGAAATGTCTTGGTTAAGATTAGCCGCAGGTTGTGCTATGCTCAAGGTAAGAAATTTAGTTTTATGTTATGTTAAATTATCTAGGTAGCCCATGAAAAAACATTTGATGACATAATTCTATGTTCTTATTTTAAATATACCGTTATGTTTGGATAAATTTGAATAACTCACAATTATTAATTATTTTCAATGAATTATTAATATTCGTGGTTTTGGATTGTCTATATAGGGTAATTCGTGGTCATGGCAGTTAGACGTTTATGATAGTCTATGTTTCCTTCTGTAAATTTGATCACTTGGTCGATGGTTCTTATATTTATTCAACGTTGTCCCTTCTTTAAAAAGCAGCATCAACTTTGATATTTTAAGTGAGATATGCTGTATATTATTGGGTATGCCTATCAATAGCGTTTTTGAGAAATTAATGTTTTTTCCTATTTTTTGTTCAAAACATAGCTCCAGTTAAATTTTAAATTTTAGCTATAGTTTATTAAGCAATGCAATAGTTTCCTATTCCTAGTCTATCCTAATGGCCATGGCGCTGGGTTCTTGACCTTCGGCACATTATTTTTATGCTCGCACTTCTTCACCATACCTCCAAGAAAAGCCCTGTATTTTTAAGTAGAATACAGTACCTCTTTCATGGGGAGTTTGGATAATTCCTCGGGCTGAATCCTCTTAGACCGCTGTTCCTGCTAACTTCCAACGTGCCATCCACCGTAAATTACTCGTAGATTATCCCAAATATAATTAATCAGTTTTTCCGGTCTGTTAAGCCGTGGTCTATTGGTTTTGCTACCAAAGCTTTCAACTGCTACTGCGGCAGCCATATTCAGTGGACCGTAGATTGCAGCGCGACGATTCTTGTCGTACCTGTGTTGTAACGCTCGGGCTGAGCGGATATTGGTAAGGCCCACCCCCTCCCTTGCTGAGTTGTTCGTACACAGTTTCGTGTGTGGTTTCTTTCAGATGTTGTGCCATATTTTTCTACTTGTCCTTTTTTATGTTCCGCTAAACGTGTAGTGACGCTACGTTACGTTGTATATATGGAATATGGATTCTGTATACCCCGGCCGACGACAACGGTTCTTGGGGATCCTTAGTTGACCTTAATTGTTGTTGTATTTGTCATGTGGGTTTGAAAATTGATTTTATACTATGTTTCGCCGTTATTTTACCGATCCGGTCCGTTAAGCCGCCAATCAAAGGGAGAAGGACTAGACCGTCCGACGGTGTTTCTTCGTTCGTCTCTTGTCTATTTGTTTTTTTTTTTTTGTTTTATTTCATTCCTTTTGTAACCATTTGCTTGAAGCGCTTTTTTTAAATGATTTAATTTACTGTAATTAATTAGCATTGGTAGCAAAACCAATAGACCACGTCTTAATAGTCCGGAAAAACTCGTTAACTACGATACCAGCTGTGAAAGCCCCCGGAAATATGTTATACCAAATGTGTTTTAATAAGATTTTTTTGTGCTAGGATCACTCATTTTGAAATGTTGACACTAGTTCTTCAACTCAAGATGTTTTTCCATTTTTTGTTTTTGAATTTTTTTTTTGTAATGTAATGTTTTAAAATTTCTTCATTAATGTATAGACCAAATATTAAAATAAAAGACAATTTTAAAAGGTGCAAAAACTTTGTCTCTACCTTTGTAATTTTTTGGGCTCTTGCTAAATCCAAACTTAACAATTTCACAGTTTTGTTAGTATGCATAATTAGGATTCATTCGCGACAAAGCGTCTTGTCGAGAATTTGTACCCATGTAGAATTAAATTTTCATTAAAATGTATGCCACATTTTTCTTTTTTCTTTTCTTCAGGTTTGTGAGCAGAAGGGAGTTGGAGATCAATATACTGCTGAACAATTTTATAACTTGTCACAGTTGATGTGTGATGAAGTCAAACAAGTGCGAGAAATATTTGCTACTAAATTGCACAAAGGACTAAACAAAGGTATGACATATGTGAAAGTTAGAATATAAACATACTTACCTAAAAAGATTGAAGAGTAGTTTAGCCAGAGTAAACAGCATATTTCTGTTTTTCCGTAGGATTACCCAGTAAGTGCCTTCCCCTAGACTTCATGGGTTATTATGCACTTGCTGGTAGAGAACCTGAAAACAGGCTTAGGACTGTTATTAAAAATTATATGATCAATGACATTAACAGGCGGCGAGATTATGTTAAAACTTTAACAATGGGTGCAAGTAATCAAGGAGATCGGGCCATGCTTCAACTGCCACACATAATGCCCGATTACATGTTGGTTTTTGCTATTCCCATTTTAGCTCATGATCCTCGGCTTACAAAGTATGTATATAATAAAATTCGTTCTGTTTTGACAGACACTAAAAAATTATTTATGTTTTCCGAACAATCATGGATATTATTCCTTTGAATTTTTTTTAACTTCACATTTCTATAATATATTGTCTTCAAGGATTGATTTGTCCGCTACATACGCATTGTTCGATTCACCCGCGCTACGAACCATAATATCACACAAATACGTTTGGCACATTTAAAATTTGTTGCCATTAATACTATTAATTAAGTTGTTAATGGACTAAAATTCTCTTTTATCCCCTCTGCATTGTAAATAGTGGTAAGACGAGTGGATACCTATTCATAATTTTTACATGGACATTCAGTGTTTTACGAATTTTTAGAGAACTTTTTTTATAGGTGGGATGACGTTGCTGAACTTCAAACAGCCCAGCAATGTCTTTGGTTTATTTTGGAACCCTTAGTAAGCAAAAACGATTACTTTAGTTATAGCTTTTACAGAACATTAATTGAAAAAATGAAGAATCACAAAAATGCTGTTAGACCAGATGATGATCATTTAAATTATGTAAGTATTTGTATTAACATAGTTAATAGTGCTGAGTTAATTTATCAAAGAAACCTCTTTAGGTCACTAACAAAGCTTTATTTTTAAATTAGGAAAGTATGTAAATAGTGACAAAAATTGCCAGAAAATATTAAATCCTTCATAAACTTGAGGTTTCTTTGATGTTTACGGAAAAAATACAATTTTGGTTTTTTGTGTTCTTTACCACTTCAAATGCTCTAATCTTAGCTACCCTTTTTAATTTCATTTAGGTAATTTAATTCTCCCCATTATATTTTTATAGAAACTGTGGGCTCTTTGCGATTTAACAACAGGTCTTCTACTTACGAGAGCCACCAATTACGACACTAAAGATTTTCCAAGTGAAATTCGCATACCCACTATGCTTTTTACCCCACAAAGGAATTTTACGAATACAAAGGTGTTCTTACCTCCTGAACTGCAATACCAACCAAACAAAAAGACAAGCATTACATTGTCAATGTTAAATAGTGAAAACCCAAAAACGAAAAGGCCAAAATTCAATCAGAAAGCAGCAGAAGGCTGCGGTCCCTTGGGAACGGACGTGTTGGTGAGTATCTTATATATTATCTTCATATTGTTATTTGTAAAACAAAAAAAGTTAGAAAATTGGTTTGCAATATTTTTCATATCAAAATTTCAGTCGGAAACTTGTTTGTGATCTACTGGATTCTAAAATTCTGTATTTTATGTTTCCCTGAATAAATTTATTTGCGTTGAATTTCAAAAAATAATATAATTTAATAAATTATTTGTGTAGCACTCTGATTCCCTAGTAGGACTAGATGCACAGGTATGAATACTTGCCTTTTTTATTGGGCTCATTTTACTTATTATTTATAAAAATATTAATTTTTCTTTAGCCCTCTGAAGCCTCAGAAACCAAAATCCACGTTCCCGCTCTAGAAGAAGGTCTAGAAGAACCTCCAACAAAAAGGTTACGAGAAAGAATAAAAGTAGGCGAAGAGAAGTGATGTAAATATTTTCCGGACTTTCATATTTGGTGAGATCTCTGTATGCGAATTGGTTAAGCCCTTTTTCATATTGTTATGCTTAATTTGGTGTAATAATTGTTTTTTATTGTTTTTTTAAATCTTACGAAATATGCGACAAAGTAGATTTAAGTACAAGGAATATCTACTCTATTTTTATAAATTCAAAGGGTATAACAAATATTTGACATGTGATGCTATTAAAGTATAAAAAATATATGTATTAAATTAGCTTCTTGCAAAAAACATTGACAAGGTGGATAAAGCAGTAGCAGAGCAGATTTTTGCATTTGGATAGGCTGTACAACTTCATATTACTTTCACTTTTTGTTTCTCACTTTAACTGTTAATAGTGAAAATTTATTTATTTATTAGCTGTGTAGATGTGTGATTCAACTTTTGTTAAAAACTGAACATTGGACAAAAGCATAATCTTGTTTCTGGATTTGCCTTTTTTTGTACTAGATATTGTACTTTTGATTTGACATTTTTTGCTGCTACACTTTACTGTTGACATTTTTCCAAACAATTTTTAGGGTAGTACCCACAAAATGTATTAAAAAGTTAGTATTTGGGGATTTGGTTTCCCAGAACTACTAAATTGGATTATTTAATAATTGCATTAAGTTTTACCCAAGGGGAGAATTTCAATTCTTTCTATTTTTACCTATATGTTTCTTTTTTGGATTGATTGTAACCCCAACTCCCACCTGAAGCTCGGAAATAGTATTTTTCCAACACTCATTTATTTGATTTTCGCAAATTTTTAGTCATTAACATGCTACTCTTTTATGGACGATTTAACGGAGAGATCCTACTGAGAACATGCTATAATTTTATTTGGTTTCGTGTATTTTTGTCATTTTTTGAAGTGTTATAATTTAGGGCTACCAGATTTTCGTATTGTATAATAGATTGAATAGATTTAGTATACAGTTTTCTACTATCAACAATAATTAAATTGTACAAAAAATGTATTTTTAAAAATAAAATAAATAAACCTTTTTGTTTATTGGAGATGTTATTGTTCTCGTTATATTTCCAGTAAATTTGCAGGGATAATAAACTCCTATATATGCAGGGTGCCCCTGGCAAAATACGGGATTGTTTAGGTAAAAATATTACGGTTTAACGAAACTTACCTTGGGCCAAAATTTTATTTTTTTGGATAATTCCTGAAATAATGGAGCTTTTTGCATAAAATTTGGCAAATCGGGGTTTTTTGACATGAGGAATCCATTTTCGGGAATAATTTTGAGGCAACTTCTAGAGGGTGCTACATCTGGTACTTTGCGTGCATTTCATACTTCCTAACTTTTTGCGCCTTAGTGTATGCAGATTTTTATTAGAGATATCACTTTCGGCCCGAGTCACCATTATGGAGAAATTTCGGTTTGAAATTTTAAGTACACCATTAAGTAATTTGTAAAATTTCATTTTTTTATGCAATCGATTTTAAAATAACCCAGATAATGCATATAACTAATATGATGGTACAAACCTTAACAGCGTTTTTAATATTATTTATTTGGAGATTTTTACAACAAGAAACAAAAAAATCGATGTCAATGAAAATAAATTTAATTAAAAAAACTAAAGTAAAATACAAAAACTATTCATAAAAAAAGATTTCTATTGGGCAATAAATGTTCAAAATGATTTCCATTCACTGTGATGCATTTAGAAACACGTCTGCTTAAAGACTACCTGATTTTAAATAATAATTCCTCGTTTTGAAATGATTTAGTTTCATTTTCAATCCTGTGCCATAATTGATTTCGAGTATCGTACTACATACGCCAGTGACTTCATATCCAAACTGTAAATACCAGATATACAGACCAAAAAAGGATTATGGTAGCCTTCTAAAAAATATAAAAAAACAGAATTATGCAGATAGATATAACAGAAACAAATGTGCCTGGTTGATAGTAAATGAAATAAAACGAAGATGTGGATATAAATATAAATATTTTTAATGAATTCTTAATTAATATTGCACTAACCTTATTAAAAGAATGGTTTAATAATTAGAACCTTGCATTTAATCAAACGGCAATAGTTCTATATCCAGGTAATGAAAAATAATTTTAGGATATAATTAAAAAATTAAATAAAAAGTTTAGTTATTTCTACTAGTCTAATAAAGTTTGTGTTGCCAGTGATTCGTTATATATGGAAATTGCAAAGACCTAGAAAGAAACAGAGCCCTGCAAACTATATTGCAGTTAAACTTTCGGGGTATAATGTAGGGGAAAATATAAGAAAAACAAATTTTTTACTTTAGCTGCAATCTTCATACATACTGTTCGTCTTTAAAAACAGAAACCTTTTTAAAAATAGTTTGTCTCAGGAAGTTTGTAGGACAAGAACCATTATCAATTATTTTGAACTTTAATTTTAAATTCCTGATGGAAATGACGTTCAGTTGGCAAATGGAGATTTTCTAGATCCCGCGCATGCTTATTTCTAAACTTATAAACGCCTCCCTGTGCGTGAAAATGTTGCTTCATCTGTAAACATTATTTTATTGGAAAACATTGACTCGGTGTTTTGCCCGGCCCAACAAAAACTAGCGAATTCCAATCTGGCTAGAGGATCACTCTCTAAAAGATTTTACAAAGGAGTAAAGTGATATGGACAAACCTTTTCTTTGTGAAATACTACAAACTGTAGAACTGCTCACTCCGATTCCCATTGCCATTCGTCTTGTGCTTATTTCCGGATTTTCAGCAACTTGAACTAAAATTTACTCTTCCAGCTGTAGTGTAATCATTTTTGGTAGGCCCCCAGAATTCCTCTTGGGGCGGCACGTCTGTTTCGCCAAGTCTGTTATAAATATTGTTATAAAACAAAATAAAATCTGGAAACATCTTGAAATAACGCTTATGAGGTTGAGTCCACTATAATTATTTTGTGAATATAAACATATCATGTCCCGCAATTGGAAAACAAGTTGTCATGGCGTTCTAGGAAAACCAACCAAATTTTTTTGAAAACTTGGTTGAAAAATTCATCAAAATTAAGTGCCTTTATCGTAATTGTTTTAGTCAAAGTCTACTTTGAAAAACTTGCAGGTACAAAATTATTCACGAAAATGGATTTCTCATGCCGAAAAATCCCGATATGCCAAATTTTGTGCAAAAAGTCAGATTGTTTCAGGAATTATTTTAAAAAATCAAAAACGAAATTGCTACATTCACACTCTGTATCTCGGTTAATATCAACTTTTGGACTAACATAAGTTTCGTTAAATCGTAATATTTTTCAAAGAAACTTCCACAGGTTACTGTAATACTTTTTATAAAACTTCTGCGGCTAGTTCGACCCAAGAAAAACCGATAGTCTTATAAAATTTAATCGTAATATTTTTGGGTGTAAGTGGAGCATAGCTGTTTAGAAGTTTCAAATTTAACCAAGTTTTACTAAACATGAACATATGTGCTTATTAAAAGTGGGACTGTTTTGGTTCGCTGTAACTTTGTATCCGTTTAGTCATTCATTTTATTTCTATATCGGCTCTAGTTACTTCATTTCTTTTTTCTACTCCCGTCTGTAAAATACCTAATTACACACCGATCTACTGTGCGGGAAGAATCACTTTACCACGTCAGTTTCGTATAACACAGATCCTAGCCACTTTGGACATTTCCGGGATTTTACGGGTTTGCGAGCAATTGGATGTGACGCTCATGTCAGTGAAAGTATTCGTGTTGTTTTGGGAAAATGTACCCAAAAACTAACGGTCGTAGAAAAAGTATAGTATGTAACACGTTTACCGCACTTCTTACATAATATACTATGGATAATGTTGAGTTCAAAAATAAAGGCTTTTTGTTGATGACACGTGCACTAAAATCATTGACCATTTAAGGACGTCTCGACACTTCTTACTCTAAGAACGCATTATTTTTTAGTCAAAATAAACAAAAATACTATGTTCCCTGAAGGAAAGATCGACATAAGTTTTCAGATTTTTATTTCGGTTTCGGATTTAATAGAGGGGACCGAAAAAAAAAGTTGCATAACTGTATTCGTGACAGATTTCAAAAGTGTACAATTCAAAAATGGCAATGAAATATTCAATCCCAGAGAAGGAAGCATTTATTCAAATCATTGGGAATTCTCCTATAGTAGTAGATAAAAAACGGATGCTCTTCATATTGAGAAAAAACGGAAAGCGTGGGAAAAAATTACTGCCGATTTTAATGCAACAAAACCTACAACGGTATGTATATATATATATATATATATATATATATATATATATATATATATATATATATATATATATATATATATATATATATATATATATATATATATATATAAAATAATATAATTAATATTTTTTTTATAAAAAAAGTGAAAAAGTTTTGGAAAACGCCGATGGACAAAATTTTGTGCAGCCCCTATAAAATGTTACCCCTCAGTTAGGTGCCCGAAACTAATTAATAAACAATTTTTACATTTACATTTCTGCAGAGAACGACACAACTGAAAAGGGCATGGGATTAAATAATGATTTTTTTTTTTATTACTTACATTTTTTAGAGAAATATATTTTATGGAAAAAAGTCCTCATATAACTTTTTAGATGATTGAGTTCTATTTTTAGGAGCCATTTTTATTACATCAGATATTCCAATCTAAAATCTTTTTAATTGTACAACCATTTGGAACAGCATCAGCTTCATCCTCGAGTGAAAATACCCCGACGCCAGTTCCAGTTGTTATAGAGCAAGAAAAAACCTTGTAGATCTATTATTTCTGATATAAAACTATCTCCAGTTCCTGCACAAGGAATAAAAAAAAATAGCCCAAAGGGAAGAAAAAATATACATATTTTAGAGCTAACAAAAGCAAGGCTGGAATAAATAAAAAATTGACAAAAACAGATGGAACTACACAAATTAAAACAGTTGCAAAATGAAAATTTAAAAATGTGTTGTCATTATTATTAATTAATTATTCATATTAATAAATATTCTAATATTATTATTTGTTTGTATTTGTATCAATCAGTGATTTGATTTCGTTTCGATGTTTTTTTTTTCATTTAAGTCGCGATTCATGGAAATGTTTATGTAACTTATTCGAAAGCAATAAATAAAAAGGATCTCTATTAATCAACCTTCTTGTTCATGGGTGGCTGGAAATTTTATAATCCAATGGTGCCGTTTGTGTTTTAATTATTGGTCGTCCTAACAACTTAAAACTTTATTTATGCTAAATGCATATCTAGCAGACACTGCCATGTGATGTATTTTTGAATGTATTGTAAAAAGAATTGAAAAAAAATCTAAAACTAAAACCCATTTATTAAGAAAGTTCAAGAATAGCATAACTTTCATATAAATTGTATAACTAAATATTAACTTTTTATATATAACATATATATTAACTTTTTTTTTGAAACAGTTATAATTAAATATTTAGCGAAACCATTAAATTCTTTATGAATAGTCAAAATTATTGCATACCAGGGTAGCCCTCATTGATTGACCTATATGGTTAACGTTTCCAGCTTGAAATGAGATTACCGGTACATCGTTAACAATTTCTTCTTCTGCTTCCATTATTTCACTGGAACCTAGCAACTATAATATAGCAACTTGTAGAAATTTTATTTGAGAGCCCTCTTTGCAAACAAGAAAACATTCGCTTTAAAACTCCAAACAAGCCTACTACAACATTTCTGGTTTTTATGTGAAATTTGTTGTACCTTTGTTCTCCTTGGGTTTGTGCATCTTGCAAGGGATGCAAAGCATCACCTAGCAAATATCGAGGTAGCTGCCATCTTTCAAATTTGTTCTTAACGAAGCTTCTGTTAAAAATGTAGCTATCATGAAGCTTCCTGGATATCTCTCAACGATATCGTAAATTTCTAAACTAGGCCCAGCAACTACCTGTACATTAACAGAAAATTTCCTGGCCCTCCCGGGTTAATTATAGGTATATGGGTACCATCAACGCACCCGGTGAGATTTGGAAACTTGTTTGAACTGGTTGCAAATTGTCTGGGAATTTTATATATTGCCGACTGTGACCTGAAATTCTTCTAGTAAATTTCGTTATTACATGGCTTACAGTGGCATTGTGGACTCCTCTTAGATCTCCACAAACAATCTAAAAATAATTCGTATATGTATTATTTTATATTTACTTCGACAAATAACTATTTAAATATCGCAACGTGACAACCTAATTCATACTAATATACAAACCTGGCAACTTCCAGTGGCGTAAAACGCAAAGTTACTAGTAAACCTATTACTGTTGGAAAAGTTAGACAGACCCCTATTGGTCTTATGTTCCTGATTTAAAACCTGCTCGGTTTAGAGAAGCGAAATCGGTCCTTGAATTCAACGTCACAATATTTTTCCATGTCTCTAATATAACTAAAAATATCAAGTCCTTTATAATTCATTCATTTATAGCTACTAACACAAGACTTACCGACGTGGTATGCTTATTAATTCCAAATCCAAAATATCTCTATTAGCATTATAAATCATATCAAGATCGCGATCCATTTTTTATCAAAAATTACTTCCGATTAAAAGCTCTGATCAATCATTCAAAATTGGGGGAACGATGGAGATGATCTTACTTACGATCTTACCCAAAGAGTATAAAATAGAGAGTAAGGCTCCCATTAGTGGCAATGTTAAAAACCGTACACGAGTTTCAACGCCTCTAGTGATTGTGAAGGTAAAATGTGAAAAAAAAAAAATTATGTCGAAATAGTTTTAATTTTTTTTAATTAAAATATAAATGTAATCTGCTATCCGTTACAAGCTACTGTAGTATTTTCAGTGTAACGCATTACTTTAAACCGCCATGACAGTGCTTTAGTACTTGAACACAAATATTGGATGGCATTCGTAACAGTATAAGCGAGCATCCCCTCTATCTTATACTTTTTGATCTTACCCACATCCAACAAATCTCCGGCGCGACGCCAAGAAATACCGAAATGCGCGTGTCAAGTCGGCATTGTAATTTCGTACAGCGTACGGCAACTTGTGTTGTCAATTGTTCAATTCACGAGAACCGAATCAATCTTTTCAAGCAATCGTCCATTTCAATTATTACTTTTTTGTTGCCAACTGCGAGTTGTAAAGCATAAGCGGCAATAGTCATTGAATCTGAACAGTCCGAACGACCTATTGAGAGTCATTTGAATTTGAATTATTGTTATGTCTATATGTTCTGTTTTAGTTAGTATAATTTTAAGCTGTGTTCTGCTTTTTATTACATCATGATTTTATGATAATAGGTGCTTCGTATTGGGTTGTACGAGTAATACATTAATTTCTTTAAATACCTGCGCGGAAATAGATATTTCATTCATTATTCAATTCAACACATGAGCAAATCTACCGATCGATATCGCAACTCAATACCATACAATAATTATAACAATTCACCCATTCCGTTTCCGTTCTGGTCTGTCTGTTATGCAGTTCAATCTTCAAATAAACCGTATTTCGCAAGGCGAATTCGATTTGTTTTGGTACGGTCGGTAGATTGGTCGTCTTGTAATCGGTCGCCATATCACTTCAGGCCGGTTGGGGTGACAGCGAGAGCGAACAATGTGATCGAATCGTTAGGGGATTGTTCGTGATTTAATTTAAATGGCCGAACCAATCGCGATTGACCATGCATACCGGCCTTAGAGTCTTTACAAGGGCTTTTCACACGGGACCATAGTGTTATGAATGATTCGAATGGCATTACCTTGTCAACATGCATATAATACATGTAAGGATATGACTTAAACTTACACGCTTTCAAATATTTAGTACTATTACTTTTTTGCTCCATAATAGCAACCGGATACGAAGTGAAGCATTTTAGAATAATTTTTCTACTCTATGATTATAACCTCAATTCTACCCTAGCACATAACTTTGAGTACAGTGAGTTACGGTAGTTAAAATGAAACTTTTTACGTTAATGTTAGCAGCACGAGCACCTGCAAAAGAACCAGTCCCTTTTAATGCTATTTTGCCATTTAAACTTAAGCCCGAAGTATCCGGTAAAGGAAGTAAAAGTTCAGAGGTGTGTTGTATCTATGAAATGTCTGTTATGTTTGCCTGTCTCAAAAACAGCGAATTTGAGCAGAGCCCCTGTACCAAAGAAATTGATTCATTCCAAAAATGCTATTATAAACACTTGGAAGAAAAAACCGCAAGAAAAGACAAAGAATCCAAAGGCATTCTTATAGCTGGTGAGAAGAAAATGTCTGCAAAACAACTAAATCTTCTCCTCAGAAGGTATCCCAATTTTTAGAAATTTTCTTTAGTTTTGTAAAGTTTTATTTAAAATATAGAATTGCCTTATATTACTTGTATTTAATTGCACCTACGTAGTAACAATTTATTTTTAAGTGTAGCACATTCTAGGATACTATATAATTACAATTATCTAAGGACATATTAGTTAACCTAAAAGCTTAATAAAAATCAAAATATCATACTTAAAACAATTTTAAAATAAAAAAAGAAATAGGGTGTTGAAACTTCTAAAAATTAAACTGAATAAATAAAAAAAACATACAAAGTCAAACATTTAATGAAAAACACATATTGAATCTTCACATAAATGAATCATTGAGGATTTTCTGGTGGGTTTCACAAAAAAAAAATTAAATCAATTCATATGTATATAATTATCATGTCACAAACTTAATCTAAGATTGTGAAATTTACAATACAATCAATAAGCCATTTTGAAGATTTATGCTGTAATTCTCTCATATTATACATTAATTCTGGGTCGTGGCCTTCTTTGTATATGATATAGTTACAGCACCTATAGGTTCCTGAATCAGGACTTGCGAAATAAGGATGGAGAACTGTGTTCCCACAAGTCCTAAGAGCAGGTGGTCTATGTAGAAGATTACCGCCTCCGCAATTAATAAGTTTCAATAAGGAACCTTTATCTACTTTCAAATTATATATTTCTATGGGCCACTTGGTATCCTCAATAAAAAAATTGATTCCATCAAATAGTTTTGGGAGCTTCAACAAAGCACTTATCATAGACTTCCTTATTCCTTCATTTAGACTTTTGTTGGAAAAAATAAATGTGTATTCTGGAATATTAACGAAAAAATCCTGATTACTACAATTGATGATGGAATCTTGAGCAAGAAACTGCAATCCATGCAACATTGCTTGAAGTATTTTAAATGATAATTTATGGGTTCTTTTAATAACAAAATGGGTCAGTTTTTTCCTTATGTCAATTTTTTCTTCAATAGTCACATTGCAGCAAGACTTTAATTTTTTTTTATATTCTTCATCTATGCTATGGCAATATAGTACTATATTATTTGGCAAAAATAACTCATAAATCCTTGTTCTGATCATCATTATTTGATTTTTTAGAAGTATTTTTATACCTTCTTGTTGAGGGTAATCTGTTGGACGAAGTCCATTGCAATCCAATGCATTTGTGTCAGCCCCATAGCTCAGCAATAATTTTATAATATCTACATTACCCAAGCTAACAGCCTGATGTAAAGGTGTTATATAATCAGCACCAGGAACATTTACAAGGCATCCACTGTGTAGAAGAATTTGTACTATTTCAATATTTTGACTTTGAACTGCTTCATGCTGTAAATTTTAATTATTAAGTATTTTTTCAAATGATTTCAATCTCATTATAGATTAGCATTAGCAAATGAAAAACTCACTTACCAAAGGTACCCATCCTGCATAGTCTTTAATATTTATGTCTACCTTCTGTTCAACCAATTGTCGAACATCTTCAACTTTCTTTCTTTTACAAGCTAAATGCAAAAGACTTTCTCCTTTGGCATTTAATTTTCTTGCTAAACAGCTAATAAAATTAATGCGATACCTTTCGCCCTTGTAAGAAAATGTATACTCTTTGGAATTCTTATCCGGAACTGTTTCAATTTCAGCACATTTGTTCAAACTTGAAGAATCAATTTGTGCTTCTAAATGATTTCGTATTTCCAATAGCAATTCATTTGATTCTCTAGCTATGTTATTACAATCAATATCCAGAATTTCATAAAATAATTGGCATTTAGGACAATTATGGGAATCATAATTATTCAGGCAACCCTCGCAAAAGTAATGACCACAAATTTTTATGCGCACTGGATTTTTACATTTGGTATTACATAAGGAGCAAATAAGTGAATTTTCCAGATTATTTAGTAAAGTGAGAATATTTGAATGGATGTCCATTTCTTATACATTTAAAGTATGAGAATAACGGTTAACATAGATTTTATATATTTTAACCCATAGAACGTAAATGGCGTTATATGTGGAGAATAACCATAGTCTTTTATTGACCAATTGTATACTCTCTTCCACGTACGTCTTTTAAAATAATAGTATAAATACCGACATGCTCAACGACAGAATAATAACATTTAATGCCTCAGAATGCTAAACTTCTGTGCTGTGCTTGTTAATTCCTTTTATGTGAATCAGGGTCACAAATTTTCAGGGGTAACATGAGATATGTCAATATTTGTTTCATTCAATGATTAATTAACCTTTTTTTTATTTCATCTCTGCGTTAATGTGTTTTTGTTATACACAGCAGATTGAAAGTGCACGTATCATAGTGCAGGCACAGCTGAGAGATATATGATTGGGAAGGAGTTGTGATCTTGTTAAATTTGACTTCTTGCTTAAGTCTACGTCGATTCTAAAAAAGAAATATATTCGGATTAGGATTTCAAAATTAAGTTAGTTCTATGGTTGCGACATATGCTAGCAGCACTATTCTTTACGGTTTTGTATATTTTAATCTATGACTGGTTTGGTTTGTTGACACGTCATTTGTCTGGATTATTTCGTTTCTAGAAGGTTATATTATTTGAAAAAATCTTTGAAATGATTTCGTTAATAAATTCTATTGATACGGGCCATGAAGACATGATACACGATGCAGAAGTTGATTATTATGGTCTCCGTCTGGCTACTTGTTCTTCAGATAATTCCGTGAAACTTTATGACATTAAAAATGGTGCCTCTACACTGCTGGACGATTTGAAAGGGCATTTAGGACCCGTTTGGCAAATTGCTTGGAGTCATCCTAAATTCGGCAATCTGTTGGCTTCGTGTTCGTATGATAAAAAAGTTATAATCTGGAAAGAACAAAATCGAAAATGGGGGAAATACTATGAATATGCGAACCATGATTCTAGCGTTAATTCTGTCCAATTCGCTCCACCAGAATTGGGTTTAATTCTTGCATGCGGAAGTAGTGATGGTTGTATATCAATTTTAACATTTATTCCAGAAACTAATAATTGGGAGGCAAAAAAAATTCAAAATGCCCATGCTATAGGTTGCAATGCTATTAGTTGGGCTCCTGCCATTATTCCATTACTTGGCTTAAATGAAAATGAACCTCAGCCACTGGTGAAACGTATAGTATCTGGAGGATGTGATAATTTGGTAAAAATTTGGAGAGAAGAGGGTGACCGTTGGATAGAAGAATCAAAATTAGAAGTTTGTTCTTAATATTAAGTGTGTTATTCTCAAGTTGAAGGTATATTTTTAGGTACACTCTGATTGGGTCCGTGATGTAGCTTGGGCGCCTTCAGTTGGACTAAGTCGTCACACAATTGCCAGTTGTTCGCAAGACCGTAGGGTTGTGATTTGGACATCAAATGATTGTGTTAATTGGAGTCCCACTATTTTGCATTTATTTGATGATGTAGTCTGGAATGTCAGTTGGTCATTAAATGGCAATATTTTAGCTGTCTCTGGAGGAGATAATAAAATAAGTTTATGGTCTCAAAACCCTGAGGGCATTTGGGAATGCATAAGTGATGTATCCAAAGGACCTGGTCACATTAATAATTAAATCTAGTTTAACTACCATGTTCATTTAATTTAGGGTGTCCTATCATTTATTTTACAATAAAACAATTTTTCACTGCTATTTTTTTCTCTTTTTTGTATAAAAATATTTTTGGTTTTAATTTCATAAGTCTACCACCATATGCAAAACATATTTTATTATTGAATTGTACATCTTATGTTTTAAACTGAACTTTTTGAATATATAATCACAAATCGTCGTGTACAATTGAAAAATAATTTTTGGATTCTTTGCCATTTTTTGTAAAAGAGGAAAATAAAAGTATTTGCTATAAACAAGAATAATTTCGCAAGTGATGACCATGTTCTATTAATTTTTTATTAATTCCTGGGATTCACTGGGATTCGTGATGTTATTATTTGTTCATTTTTTCTCAATTTATTGCATTAAGAGCTAAAACATATTCTCAAACAAATAACGCATGAAATTTGTTTCGTACAGGATAAGAGACGTCACTTCTCGCGCTAGTCTGGCGGAAATAAATTGAAGGTGTAAAATGTTGGTTCATGGTCAAACATTGCTAATAAGCAAGTATTTGGTTAGTTTCTGTTATTCTGCATTGAGTCATTTAAAAAGGCGCACATGAGCGAGAGTGCACAATTTGGAAACAATGGAGTCGAGCCAAACATTTAATGTCTTCTATAAATCGTGTATTGGTCAAGTTCCCATCTCGACTGACTATTTTGTTTTCAGTGCATATAAACTAAATTTCACTGAAAAGTTTTGTGTAAATGGTGAAAAAGGTGGAGTGAAGTCGATTTATATATATTCAAATTTCAGTAAACTTCAGTAATTGAATTCTTAAGATAAGGTAAGCTTTTCCACAAAATTATTGGTTACCATTACTTAAAAAAATTGCTTCATATCTTCTTTACCTATTGATGGAACGGCTAGTTACATAATTAATTTTTTTTTCAGATGTCTTCAAACATATTGAGTGGTGTGAAATATTCAGTGAAATCGGCTGTAAGCCATCGAAACCTTGGAGTTTTTGCTCCTTGCTTACAGAAAGCTACTGATCCAATTCAACAACTGTTTATTGATAAGATTCGCGAGTATAAGCAGAAGAGCAATGAGTATGTATTTAGATGGTCGGTTGTTTAAGGTTGAAGCAATCGTATGAGCACAGTGGTTATCTTAAAGACCCACATGTCTTATATATTGCTGCCTTAATGAACCTTAGGGCTTGGTTCAGACAAAGTTATAACAAGAAGTTTGATAAAATCAATATTTTTTTTCTCATTCTTTATTCTCTTTTTGTAATACTGCTCGGGCAACTATCTAATCTCATACAAAAGACTGCTCTCTTCATGGTTATTATTATATTGGAGAAAATCCCTACACAATACTGTTTTAATTCAACGAAGTTCTAAGCAGTTCCTTCGATAAATTTTGCAATCACATTTGCCATGTCAATGAAGACATGATTAACTAGCGCCTGCCTCATCCCAATATATGAGGATCACTCTAGGCAAGGTTATATTGTCATTTCTTTTCGCTACTCTGCAATACTGTCAAATACTCTTCGATTTAACGAGAAGTAGGGATATAGACTGTCTATTCTTGGTCCATTTAGATTGAGCAGAACAGAAAAGAAAATAAAATATTAGTAAAGACTGAGAATTTTAATTATTTCTATTATTTTATGAAAAAATGCATTGTTTGCAATTTTTTTTTTTAGTTGGGTACCTTACTAAGATTCTATTTTGGATGAACTAAACTTGTGGTGCCTAAATTTTGCAGACACTAATAAATGGACAAAGGATTTCTAATGTTTAAATGCTTGAAATTAATATTGTTCATTCCAAAAGCAGATGTAATGTTAGTAGAACTAATGACATAACGGAATCGCTTTTTTAAATATTTGAACCTCTTAAATTAAGGGTGGAAAGATTTGGCAACTGGGCACTATGGGAAATCCTATCCTATATGAACGTTTTCTTTTCTCCTGCCGAAGAATCCAGTAATGCAACAAACACTACACTATTAACACTATTACCACTCTGCAACTGTTTCAATCAGCACTTTTACCATTTGTGACTTGACACTAATATTCACTCATCAGGCTCCACCTAATTGCAATCAATCAATAGAATGAAATTACATCCATTTTTTTTATCTCTTCTGAAACTTATTTTAAGGAATGTTATTTAAGAAACCCCACTAAAAAATCTATCTCATAATTAATTATTTTGGTTCCTTTGAATTATGCCCAAGGAAATACCATCAGTTTTATTTTAGTGGAAAAAAATTAGTAGATCCAACACCCGAGCTTCAAAAGGAACTTAATCAAGAATTAGAGAAAGTGGCCAAACAATATGGGGGTGGACCAGGGATAGACCTTACCAAATTCCCCACATTCAAGTTTGAGGATCCAGTCATTGATTCAGTCAATATGGAAACAAAATAATTTATTTAAGTTTATTTTTGTGTAGTTAATAAAGATCTTTTTGAAGTAACCAACTTTCATATTTTCTTTTGTTTAAAAATTATGCACAGCTCATTTAAAAGTTAATGATATTAGTTTATTATTTTTAATACACTTGTATATTTAATGTCATGTAAGCTCTAGGATCTTACGAACAGTTTCAGCCAACGCGGACATAGAAAATTTTTCTGCTAATTTTAAAAGTGTCTCTAGTAGTTTGATTAGATCTTTTCTTGATAGAAGACATTTAAATTCTGATGCACATTGACAGCGGCGAATAAGGTTCTCCATTTTCACCTACAAAAATTTTTCATGGTACAATTCATAACAAAAGAGTCAAGTAATATTTACCTGACTACACTTTTTGCATTGCAGATCCTGAAGATTATAGGCCATAAATTTCTTGGAAATTATTTCCAAAAGTTGACTTTGTATTTCAGCATTATCATACGAAGTGTTACATAATGGACAAAACCATGCATTATCAGTTCTATGTTGATCACGGCCCAAATCTACATCTCGGCAGTGGTTACAAGCCTTGCATATTATTTGGGGAATGACATATGATACAGTTGGATCATGCCAAATGGCGCTTTCAGAGTATTCACCAACGCCTGAAGGAAAATTATTGTTAAATGAAAGCACAATCCACTTTTAGTTGTGCATTAATTTTGAAAAAAAAAAAACAAACTAATCAAGGGACCTTGTATTTTGTGGTGATAACTGTTGCCCTTGTTATTATGATAATTCATTTAAAATAATTAAATGTTATTACCAATAAGCCTCAATAAATTATTCTTTAAGTTAGATACAGGTTCTTCCATTGCCGAATCTAATCCTAATATATGGCAAACAGAATTAACAAACGTGAGAGCAGGATTAGTACCGTCCCCTGAATTCTGTAAACGGTTGTTCATCCTTTCTGTCATTCTAAAACAATATTAAATTGGAATTCTAATTTTTTAAAACAATTTCTACTTACTGAAATAAAGTCTGGCTAATTTCCCCCGAGAGCAGATCTTTAGCGTATTCCATAACACTCTCATATGCTCCCAATCCAAAAGCAGGCTGGCTGAGAACGACAGGCGCCACGTTAGGTCTACTCATGTTATGTTTTAAACGGGAGTAGATGGCATTAATGTAACCAGCTATGACGGCATTAAAGTTATTACGACAGTTGGCAGCCTCCGGAAGTTGCTCCGCGATATTCCAATTCATAGCAACTGTTGGCTACAACAACATAAGAGCTGTGGATACGATGCAATTTTCACATGCATTTCAGAGTGTATTTCTTCATGGAAGTAGTACAACGTGTCCACTACTAAATTGCAATAAATTTGGCAGATAAAACCACCAGCTATTTTTCTCGAATTTGTGCGTGAAAGCGCAAAGCATAAATTTATAGGCTCAAACTGGGCGAAAAATGTAAGTAAAGTCGAACTTATGAAAGATAACTATTAAGAGTGTGAATATATGTATTTAGTATAAATCAGCCATAAATTTACTTGAATTGCTCAGAAATAGTTTTAGAGAATACAATATAATTAAGACTTCAAACAAACATGTCGATTTATTTCGCTTTTAATTTTGGAATTATGGATTTTCCTTATGCACCCACAAGTTATTATAGCATAGTAAATACAATTTTGCATAGAGTTTAGACATTTAATTAAAACGTCCCAGTTATTTTAAGTATTCAAAGTTAAAAAGCAACCTTTAAAAACAAAATTCTACCAAAATAATTAAGCATATTATGCTCGAAAACACTGCATCGCGCATACCATCAAAAAATCACCAGTTAAAAATAAATGCATTTTTAATAACAATCCTACACTCAGAGCAAAGCACTGTAATAAGAATGGTTTTAATTAAAAATGTATAAAATATAACTGCCATTATGTGATTTAAAAAACTACACTTACAATTTCTTCTTCATCGTCATCATTGTCATCCTCATCTTCTTGGGGACTTTCTTCGTTATTAGGTTTACCTAATACTCCACCATAATTTGCTGGATCTAACCAAACTAAGTGTTCCCAACATTGCCTTAAATGTAAGTTTTTTAGTTACTCATATAAATTTTAGCCAGGAGAAAATGCTGTCGCTCTTATTAAATTAATTTTAAAATGCATCTAGAAATAAGAAAACCAACCACTTTACCTGTAGGTGATTTCGAGGGAATGATACAATTCTTTATTTCTTATGGAGTTGACAACAAACTCGACATTTGCCAATGCATCCTCCACGTTGTGTTTCTTCGTACAAATAACAATTCTATTAAAATTGGCGTAAATAATGGTGCAACCGAGCCGTTTAAATTCAGCCACTAATTGAAGAAACAGTTTCTTCATTAATGTTTGTAGTGTTCTCAACAGCGCCGGCTCATACAATAACGCCTTTGGAGATCTTAACCAACTAGAAATGATCAAAAACTTACTAAAGAATATCTGTATCCTTTCAAGTGCATCATAAATTTCGTTTTTCTTTTAGACTATTTTGCCCGAATAGCTAAGGCTGTTCTGGTAAGAACGTCACATGATTTTCAACCATACACACAACATTAGTTTTGTGTCATTCTTACCCAAACCAGTCTAAAAGGAGTCTATTAAAAATGTAGATAAAATTAATAATTTTATTAGTTTTATACACCTTTGCAAAAAAAAAAACACGAATTCATTCACTGAGTGACCAAAAACATCCGATCGCTCGCAAACACCTAACTCAAGTATCGAAAACGCTCCAATATTTATATTTAAATAAGCTGACGTTTTAAAGTGATCCTTTGCGCATGCCTGATGAGTGCACAATTTGATATTTTCGAGTAGGGAGTATAGTAAATATTTAATAACGAGAATGAAGCTTACCGATAAAAATGTACAACTTGGAAATCGGCAAAGACGTTTCTATATAACGAAATATCCCTCATCCAACCGCTTGCCATAGCCTTCAGAATTTTAAAAGCATCAGCACATCTGGCGCTTTCATCGTAAATAGTAACCTGATTATTTCCGGATATCATATCATCAATCGAAGTAGCCAGGTTCGCATCAAATGCGGTGGCATTACTCGTACCTAAAACGCAAGAGTCGATGCTAAAATCGATTGAAATCAAGTTAAAACAAGCAACTTAGGCAACATTTTATATTTTGCCTTTTACTAATATATAAGATTATATTATTATTATTATATTATGAGGTGTTTTCTAAAAGTAAGGCGACTTTTAAGTTTTATCAAAAAGGATTTATTTATCAAAATTATTGTTGTCCCCTTCAAAGTAATCCGCCCAGAGATAATAATACACTTGTGCCAACGTTTTTTCCAATCCTTGAAGCACTTTCTGGTATAGCCTTGAATTCTTCCAGCGATTTTTTTCTTTGTCTCCGCAATCGTCCGTACTTTCATGGGTTTCTTGAGTTTGATGAGTGAGCAGGTATATTGGTATTTGGTTAGTTAGCACTTAGGCCACCAGATGGGCCCGTTGTGCCCCAGACCGCTATAGAGGGCGTCCAAAATGCCGCCCCTCCTATAGAAGGTCAGCAACTCCTTTAGCCCAATACCGTGCACTGAGTCTGGATCGATCAGGGCCGTTCCGAAGACTCCCAATCTTGCCCATGTCAAAGTAGGGCACTCGGTGAGCAGATGATACCCCTTCCATGCCTAGCAAGCAAAGATGCCTCCTAAGCTTGCAATGTCCTTTGTAGGCTCCTGTTAGTGCTCTACACTCCCTTCTGGTCAGTCTAAGCAGCTCCCTGGTCCGAGGGAGGGCGGGCCCATCCATTATAAGCCTCGCTTGCCTCATTCCCGGTGCAACTCTCCAGCCCACCGCGGCCCGGTCTCTCGCCCAGGCTTCGAGCCCCAAGCGGGGCTCTGGTCCCATATGCATATGCGAGGAGCTCTCCCTGGCTAAGGCGTCCGCTGTCTCATTGCCCCGGATACCGGTGTGACCCGGGACTTAGACCAACGTGAACTTCCTTTCCTCAGTACCCCTTTGCACTCCTTTATCATGATACAAAATCCATGAATCTTTTCCCATAATTCAGGTCGTTTTCTTCATATTGCTTCTCGCAAAGGGCGCATAACTTCAACTAATTGACTGTACGACGTTGTCAAAATTTTATATACTTGTGGTAAGAACGCTTGATAATCAAAGAAAACAGTAAGCAAAACCTTGACATTTGATCGAACTTGCTTTAGGCTTTGGTTTCGACGTCATAACCATATACTCATGATTCGCCATTTGAGCACATCAGGATCATCATTGACGTCGTTTAACAGCTCTTGAGCTATGCTCATTCGACGGTCCTTTTGTTCAAAATTCGGATTAAATTTAGTTTCATGTCCAAAACTTCGTAAAAAATTGCAAGAAACGAGCTATAGAGATGTCGTCGTCTTTAGCCGCTTCTTTAATGGTGATTCAAAGTTGTTTCACTTCTTCAAAGCTTTAATCAATTAATGAGGTGCTGGGGCGTCCAGAGCGAGGTTCGCCATCGACCAACTTGGAACCAACTTGTACCGCGTATAAACCTTTTTTTTCTCAAATCAGATTTACCATACGTCGCCAATATTTCAAGTGTTTTGCAGCATTGTATTCCTTTCTGTACACAAAATTTTATGCAAATTTCTTGTTCCATTTTTTTTTGACCGAAGAAAATTGCTCAGCATAGAAAACACGTCTAACGTCTAAAAAAGTAAACGTGTAAACTGGCTGAAACTAGGAACATATGTTAGGGACATGTGTACCAACATAAAAAAAAACATTAAAGATCGAATATAGGTAGCCGGCCCAATTATAAAAGACACCTTACTTTTTGAACACACCTTGTACAATTAGAAGAATTGTATTTAATTTATTATGATTTTTTTATCATAATATATTGCAATATTGCACACTACATACGTTAAATAGGTTTTCTGCTGAAAAGAAACTTACACAAGTGTTAAGCTAAATGCTTCTTCTGTGTGCCGTTTAATAAATCGCATTCCTAAAAAATCATACCTTCTACATCAGTGACGTGGTGCGATTGAAGTAAAGTGTTTATGGCCAAACTATCAATATCTAACTCGACGCATACTGAGGAATACCATCCAGGAACATTACAAACTTCACTGGATCCCTCTTGATTTTCGGCAATTAATCTGAGAAATCAAGTGTATTATATATCCCCTGAAGTCTTAAATCCGAAATTTGGTTTGCTTGAATGGTTTGTTTTGTCATTTTGATAACACTATAAGCAACTTTTGTTATGCGAGATGACTATAATATTTACCTTGCATCTGTTTCTTCCACGCCCCCTAGATCAGGTTTATCGAGCTGGGAACACCATAAGACATGGTTAGCCTTAAGTAAGTGTCGTGCAAAGAAAAGATCGCAGCCAAAAATGGCGGGGTCAGATGGTAAATTTCCAATGGGAATATGAAAATAGCGACACTGTTCAGTCATCAATTCCAAAACTTTTTCGCTGTTTAAGTAATGCCGCACTATAGCTTTGGCACCAACTTTTTGCCAGTCTATGACATTGTAGAGTTCTTCTATATCCTAGAAATGCTTATAGTTACTCCTTTTTTTTACTTAGTAAAGTAATAGCTACCTGAATATGTATTTGTGTATGAGGAAAATCGAAAAATAATGGTACATTCTTTTGCAAAGCTGATAAATCAATAGCTGACTGAACTGCTAATAAAGTGGGTCCTTTCTTTTCGTCTTTATAAGACTGGAGAGCTTTATTCAAAATTTTATATACTTGAGAAATATCAGTCTCTACACGAACTTCAAACTGAATGCCTTCCGGTGGCAAAAGTTCCTCGGCAGAGCTTTGTTTCTCCTTCCTTCATGCGATAAATACAATACAATACAATTTTTCGGAAGCACAGGCTGTAGAAACTGGTTCTTGTACATTAAATGTGTATTTCACTGTGACGAACATTCAATATACAATAGTTTTGATACTTGCAATTTTCAATCAAATTTAGAATTCTATTTAAAAAAAAGAGATGTTGTATTGAGATGTTTACCAGTATTTTAGAACACTTGACAGGTCACAAGAAACAGTTTTAAATATCTTATAATGAAAAAAATAATCAATCACTTACTTAAGGGATCTTTCTGCATTGTATAAATTAACCATGTTTGGCATCAAATTGGTTCTTACAGTATCTAAAACAATTACCAACGCCTTTTTCAATGGAGTGAGAAATAAAGAAAACATCTGCTGCGGTTTGGTCATATGCTTGTGATGGTAAAAGTACAAATGCTTAAGTAAATCTTGGGACAAGTAAGATTGTCGAGCCAAAGTAACCATGTCAAGTTCACTTAAGTCAAATTTTTCTAAACTTGTTACACCTTTCGCTACTTTGCATACGCAGCCCAGAGAAATTAAAGCCCTAAACTGGAGGGAAGTTTTAGTTTCATAAACTCCTTCGACGTTTGGATCTGACAAATCCAAATACATTTCTCTGCAAAACACAAAATCAGGCTTATGTTATATTTTAATTTTATATAAATACCTTTGATTTTCTATGAATAGCTGTTCTGGTACTGAATATAAATATAAATTATATACCGGACGAGAACGCGGTAACGTGCGATTACACTTTTTGAATAGATCGCCTTGTTCAACTACTTTGGGCTTTTTAAGATTGGCATAAAATATTCTGGGGATCGTTAATTTGACCAAATGTAGCTCTGATTGAACCTGTGAACAATAATTATTTAAATAACATTCAAAGAAAAGTTTCACATCTTACTAAAAGACGAAAGCTAAAGGTAAAAAGTTAAATAGTAAGCACAATTACCAAGGTCCACAGTTTAAATTCTCCAGCTGTTGCTGTAGGTGCAATCTGAATAATCTGCCAAGGAACTGTTAATAAAGCTCGTTGAGTTTTCTGAAGAAAACCACCCAGCGAACCAGGCGCGGAAGACCTCAGGACGGCCAAACTACCTTTGGCACTTTTCTTTTTACCTTGCATGCCAACATTTTTTTGGAGATATTGAAATAACCACTTCCTTTTTTGGAATTGTATCCACATTTGATGACTCTCCTAAAAATAAAAGTCATCGCCTACAAACTCACATATTTTTGGCTACTGTATACTTTGGTAGATCCATATGGAGAAGGATTTCCCAACACTTCACGCCACGATTTCTCTAGCTCATCTTCAGTAAATTCGTTTCCTTTTTCAGAACCTCTTTTCCTTTTATTAACGTTAGCTATCGGCTTTATAAATCTGGGGGAAGTACTAGTGCCCGGCACATCTTCTATATCATACGCATTTGTTTTGCTGTTCCTTTCACCATTTTCCACACTTTTGGAGCAGAGGGAAAACATGTCAGTTATTCTTCGCTGCTTGTAAGTGTCATTTTTTTCCAAAATTTTTTTATGTAGCCAATCTGGGTGTCTAACTCTTGGCACAGGATTTGGAACCTATATATATTTGGTGAAGATTACGGCCCTACGTTAATTGCCTATTTTTTGTGTTGCGTTTAGTTCAAAAGTTGATTTTTAACAGAAACAAACAAAAATGCATGGTGTTGAAATGAAAAAGTATAAGTTTAAGTAATTATCTATATTTTCGAAAATTCAACACTCCTGTTTTTAAGCACGTAGCCAGTCGAGGGAGAAGTGCTCGGGCTATCTAATGATTAAAAATTCTGTATGGTTTATGCCGAATTATTTCATTCTAATTTTAGTAAAAAGGCATATTTATTTAGTGTACACTGTGTTCCAAATTACAGGGTTTCTCGATAACCAGCAGAGATAGAACTTTACGATTTTCGCAACCTTGTGGTCAGTTTTTCGAGAAACTTTGAATGCCGCAAAACACAATTATGCCGCCCTTTTGTTGCCGAGATACAGGGTGAAATATAAATTTTTTCGCTTTTTGGCGTGGTATCATATTTCGGACAGTAACAAAAAAAAGTAAAAACTATTATAGAAAGATATTTTTATAGCGAATCTAATGGTGTAGTCAACAAATTCTTTAGAAAAACAATTTTTGAGATACTTAAATAACCCCCTGTTTTTTTAACCCTTTTTTTTCTGTCTTTAAAATGGTCACACCATGCACTTTTGAACTTGATAAACTTAGTAATTTTTGGTCAACTTTGTTTTTTAAGAGCAAACAAAAAAATCTAATATTGAGAGGTCTGGCGAACTAGCAAGCCCACTCTACCATTTATATAGACTTTTTTGGATCATGTAACCTTTCTACCAAAGTTAAAGTCATTTTGGAGATACCATATAGATAATAGAGTCTCTACTCTGCCCTGCATACGCTGATAATACAGAAACTTATGCATCAACTATGAAAAAAAAATTGCCCGCTGACAGACCGCCAAAAAGTTTGGATACGGTATTTTTACGTAGTATTTTCTCAAAATATACCTAGATCTCGTTAAATGTTCTGAGGATGCGAGTGTGAAAATCGTTGTTTAGAAGGAAAATAGCGCAAAGCGTAGATAGAGTCATGCGCGGAATATCATTATACGGCCTGCGGCCTATAAATACTTGCTGTAGTAGGACCACTATATTATCTAAGAACTGTATCTCCAGGAACCAATTATTGCACTATATTCACTTTATATTTTTATTTTCTTGATATCCTTTGCGTTTGTGAAATTGACCCCGCCACAATTTTTTCAATATTCTTACATGAATTCGCGAATTGGCCTCAACACTTGCTAAAACAGCAATCTCATTGTCCTCGTTATTTTATTTATTATACGTTTCGGTCCTTTTCTTTGAAAAGTATGCATCAATAATTCAATTAAATTTAATTCTGAGAAAAATTGCCTTGTTTGATTTGAAATTAACTTTTGGAAATAGTCCATAACTCATAGGGGAACTGAAAGAATATGTTTTAAAAGTAGGTATTAAAATAATTTAAACGCGGTGTCTACTTGTTAAGATATGAACCAGATGCTTGATCACTATTTTCATTTTTTCTTAATACCTATTAATTTACACAAAAATCAATAAATTTTAAGGTAATTAAGATATCGGTTTAATGTTGCTTGTGGACACTTTAATATTTATAATTCCATGGTCAACTTAAGTTATTCTTTTTTTAGGTCAAAAGAGAGAAAAAGGCGAATTTTATATTTTATCCAGTATCTCGGGAACGAATGGTGGTATAAAAGTCGTGAAAATCGCAAAGTTATACATCTGCTACTTACCAAAAACCCCTTTCAAGCAATTTACTAACTGTAGTTAGCTGTTTTTTAGCAGCTGCCATTGTTTTTGATAAAGCAAAAATAACACTTAGTAAAACTGCAAAATTTTGTTTTTATGTGTGTGTCAAACAGTTTATTCTAATACAGGGTAAAAGTAATTTATTTTTGCATGATTGCAGTTATAATTACGAGAATCTTTTTAGAACGGTAAATTTATTACCAATTTTTACAAGCTTTTGATGTGTCAAAGAATGTTTGGGCAACTGAAAAGTGCAGCTCGGGAGTGGTTGCCTATCGTGTTGGAACAATCTTAACGTATATGTATACATATGTAACACTTACGCCCTGCATGGCGGCCGGTATAGTAATAATTTTTTGAATTGTTCCTCCCAACCTTTCAATGTAATAATCCCAATCGAGTATATCTCTAATGTCAATATCGCTTATGCTACTATCCTTAAGCCATTTCCTCAAAAAATGTTTCTGCACCGCGTCTTCCGCTTGAAAAATAGCTAAAGGTATAGCTCTAAAAATTAATGAATGCAATTTCAAATCTAAATAAATTTTAAATCACCTTTCAGTGACTGGAGCTCCTTCTGGCCTTTTTGAGATAACATATTTGCATGCCAATCCGGCATCCTTAACCATCTGATCACCAAGGAATTCGGCTAAACGTTTTGCAGTACTTATTGATGTACTCTTTTGTTGACCATATTCTTCCAGTTTCTTTGACATAGATCTATTTTCGCTAATCAGATCGAAAAGTTCTGAATCGGGCATGTTTCTGCCATGAGAATATAATACATCCAACCAATAATCCGCTACTTGAGCAACGGACGCATAGCAGGATTCCAGCGTGTCACCCTTGAGGAAGGCTTCAAAGACTGATGATTGGAAATTTTTAATAAGTTGAAGCTCACCTCTTCGTTTCACTTCAAAACTAAACCAAATAAAAACATATATTTTTTCTAAATTATAATCGCCAAAATGTGTTATTTATTCTAAAATAATCGTATTGAGAGCGATAATATAACTTAAACACAAAATATTATCTGTTCGTAGGGACTAGTGTCACAAAGATAGACCGAGATTTTAAACGGATTAAAGCGAGATAGAAACTTCGCTAATCTTACTCTCCCTCTACTAGAGATTGTATGTATGTAATCGTATATAATAAATTAAAATACACTTATTGCAACTTAAGCCGCTGACACTAAATTAAAAGTTAGTTACATACATAATAATAGTTCCAAAATATATTTTCAGTTAGTTGTCGTTCCGGGTTTACCACTAAATATCTAAGTTGGAAATTACAACCATTACATAAGCAGGCGAAGTCTTTACCTAATCATACATATAACCTTGAAAGGTCTAATTTCAAATTAAATAACACTAGACAAAACAATAATATTCAACTATGTGATATTAATAACTTTGCTTAACAATTTTAAATTTACTTTAACGCAGTAAACCCAAATATCTAACTATCAATGAACCAATTTGACAATTGGATTTAGTTTAGTAAAATCAACGTTGTATATAAGACTTTCTTTGTCATTTGAATGAACAAGTTACTTACTATTTACAAATCTTCTCGATTCCTCTTGCGTCAATTGTTGATAAATTGAATTTGCTGACATTTCGCCAATCGTGCTATCATCGAGTTCGACATATCCACAACCAACGCAGGAGGAATCCAGAAGATTTGAAAATAGTATTACAGTAGTTTGTGGAAAAAACAAGTTACTTACATAGTCAAAAAGTCTGGAAAGCAATACGTACCCTTTAAGTTCAGCCAAAGAACCATCAAAGTTGAACACCGCATATCTTTTTTTAAGTTTCTTGCCTTCTTCTTTACTAGCAGGCAAAACCATTGCTTTGTAAGGTCCGTCAACTTCAAAAAAAATGGAAATTTCACTTCGTTGTACATATTCCAATTTTACGGGATCAACGAGGTCATGGTATTGATCATTTGTAAAATGTTCCTTAACCATGGCATTTAAAACTGTATTTGGGAAAGAAATTACGAATTTTTTCTTTTTTTCATGAGTTGTTTGAATAGTAAAATTTTCGGGAAAAGAAGCTGGTAGAATACACCAAATACCGTCTGTGTCGAGCTCTAGTGGTCTTCCAACCTAGAAATATAGTTGTCAGAGCAATCCAAAACTTCACTAAATAATAATGTTAACCTGTTCTATAAGTTCTCTAGCTTTCATGATGATATTCGCTCCCGTATAGCAAACAATTCCAGCCATTTCCATACTAAACCAACGAGCACCCCTTCTCATAACATATCCATAAAAAGAATTTAAGATACATTTATGCGCTAATTGCAAAGAGTCATATAACACTTCACGATTCTTTGCAGATTTTATTTCTGATGCATCTCCCCCTTTGATAGCTTCAGTTACTGCTTGTTTTGCTTTTTTTGCAAGTGCTTTATATTCGTACCTGGAACGACAATTGAACAAATATGTTTTGTCTTCGTGCTTCATCATATAGCTTTGAGATAATATAGAGGTCATAATAGGGTAAGATTCCTACACCTTAGCTGGCTTTGACGTTTTTGTTACTGGCCATGTGAAAGGTTGGTTAAAGGTTTGGTTTGAAATAATTCGCGCATGTGCATATTAAATATTCCTTAATAGTTTTTGATGTTGATCTCAAAACTGCCTGTATTATCAACATTAGTAAGGCCTCTATATATCTAGTAGCTATATATTTGGGCTATTCACCTTCTATCTCTAAAAGCTCGAACTGTGTCAACATAAAATGAGTTTTCTTTTTGACATATTGTTGTAGTACGTTCTGCAACTCTGGTAATTTTCATTTTTTTGTATACTTTTCGGCAATATATCTGTAAACGTTTCTTCTCTAAATCGGCTTGTTCTTGCCTAGATAATTGATGATATGATCTGGGCGGTCCGCCTGGTAAAACTGATGGAAATTTTTCCAATTCCAACTGTTGCTGAATTCTTTGGTACTCATTTCGATTCGCAGGTACTATGTAAGTTACATTGAATTAACTATCAACAATTAATAGCTATGGTGACTGCTTATAAAACTTATTCATAATTATTTGTAAGTAGTAGTAGTTACAGTAGCGCGTGGAAATGCTTTAATTAATAATTTACTCGATATTACTGCGTAAATCATAAAAAAAGTACGAACTTCACAAATCAATTAATTCAAAATATTCAATAAATGGATGAAATGTTCCATCATATGTATGGACGGGTATAATGTGGATCGGTAATTTGACTACAGTATAAAAGTGTAAGACTATTGTATCATCTAGGGGTGGGAAAGCTTTTATTTTAAGTCATAAACATGTTACCTACAGTATTCTTCTCTCATCGTCCAAGTCATGTTCCTTTGACATGCTGCTCCAGGTTTGTTAAAATCACATGCTGCGCAAATGGTTTCATTTACAATGGCACATGGCTGAAGGCGATTGGTTAAAATAATGTTTGGATACATAGCACCGACATCTAAGTGATAGATAAGAGGTTTTTCTAGCCGCATTGGCTGTTGCTGCATAAAAAGAGAATAATATAATGATAAAATTAATTACACAGATTCAAAAAATAATTTAAGATGAAAGAGACAATATTAACTAAATTTTTAAAAAAGCAATAACTAATCCCGAGGGAATTTTAAACAATCACTCACTGAAATTAAAGGAGCGGAAAAAATTTACATTTACAATGGCACATGGCTGAAGGCGATTGGTTAAAATAATGTTTGGATACATAGCACCGACATCTAAGTGATAGATAAGAGGTTTTTCTAGCCGCATTGGCTGTTGCTGCATAAAAAGAGAATAATATAATGATAAAATTAATTACACAGATTCAAAAAATAATTTAAGATGAAAGAGACAATATTAACTAAATTTTTAAAAAAGCAATAACTAATCCCGAGGGAATTTTAAACAATCACTCACTGAAATTAAAGGAGCGGAAAAAATTTAAGCAAAAAAAAAACCCAATATATCCGCACTTAAATGCATAAAATTTTCAGAATATATGCATCGAAATGAACAAAAAATGCAAGTATGCATTTCTCTTATATGAGAAATTATGTATTATGTATGTATTAATTTTATTTTAGATAAAGACAGAACTATTCTGAAATCGATCGCAGTATTCAGAAAACTACATATCTATCTCTAATTAGAACTGAGATACCCGCAATAACATCAAAAATGGACCCAGTGTATAAGGTCAACTGCGCTGCTTTTCATTTTATTATAATTTAAATTTTTTAAAAATTTCAACCTTACTTTCAATTTTAAGATTTTTATACTCAGAATTATAATTATATCGTAATTAAATCCCACAGCGTTTTAGAAATAACGAATTTGTGATTTTATGATGCGGAGTACAAAAATTTTAAGGTTGGCCACCAATTTTTACGCATTTCATCAAAGGCTTGGCGGGGTCACGTTTGGGCATAATATTGTAAACGCACCTTAAGTGCCACAAGTTTAGCTTTAATTTCTTCTGCAACATCTTGCAAATTGACAACGGTATCAATTGGAATATTTTCCTCAACTTCGATAGCGTGCTTCAACGTTTCAGGAATTTTTGAAATTAGCATATTCACAGCATCTGGGACAATTCTAAATCGATATGGAATATCGGCACGAAATACTCCTGACTCCAATGCCTCTACGTGTCCGCCCACATAAGTTTCTTGTTGCAACACGTGACCATCATGTGTCAATTTATTAAGGATGGTTTCCTCCTTATTTGGAAAAATTATATTGGCATGGAAAGCTTCCACCATTAAAAGGGCTTCACATAAAGTACCTTAAATGAACAAGTTGTGGAGGTTCGTGATCAATAACAGATTAGACAACTTAACGCCACAGCATTAATAAAAATTAAGTAAATAGAAACGAATAAGATTTTTTACAATTATAAATTATATTAATGTGATATTTAAAGAGGTTTTTAAAAATCAAGTACATAATGATATTATGCCTGTTCGGCTTATAATTAACAATAACTGCAATCCCTCGAAGTTTTTTTAAATCAAAAGTTCTTACCAGAACCTTTACGCAGAACTTCGTCTGGTTCACAGGGAATAATTGTACACAATGCAAATATAAATGGATGGACATACTGCATATACAGATAGTAAGTTGCTACAGCATCAGAGACTGAGTAATTGGAGAGCACTTGGGGGTCTGAAACTGCCAATGGACACATTTCTTCGGGATCTAGTTCTACTGGATCATACCTAGGAAAAAAAAACACAAATAGAATTAACAGGACACTTCAACAACTCATTTCAAATTAGAACAAAAAAAAACTCACCAACGTGAGTGAGGAGTATTTTACCTTAACTTAGCCTTGGCCACGGCTTTTAAGTTTTGAGCACCAACAGGTAGATACGAATCCCTTTTTACCCAACAAAGACAATCCATATGCATTGCAGGTCGGGAACAAAATACTCCTTCCCTGTTTCTCGAAAATCCTATTTCTTTTTTCATATCTAAATCATAAGAAGCTGCTCTGGCCTCAATAAAAGGCCAATCGAAGAAATCTCCATTGTAAGTAACAAAAATGTGAGGCCTGATATCCATAATATGGTCGAAAAATTTTTGAATAAGGGCCTGTTCATTTTTTTCATTAAATATTGTGAACTTGCCTTCAAATTCTGGTTTTGGAGTGTATTCAAAATCTTCAATATCAGCAGAAAGAATTTCTCGATTTGTTATCAAATATCCTAGTAACAAAAATATATATAAGCAGACCCAATTGTTTCGCATTTACTTGATAACAATGTAATGTAAGGTAACAAAACAAAAACAATATTTATTTATTAAAACGAAAAAGATAGGTTTAAAACATGCATTTTACAGGGATGTTTGCTTTTCAAACGAGTTTAGAAAAGTTGAAATATAGGAAATAGATAATTAAAACCATTTAAAAGTTATTGAGTGTGTATTTTTTAATTATCTTTAGAAAATACGGGTACTTATCATGCAATCGCGAGAAATAATGACAAAAAAAATGTTTCAAACCTAAGAATAAATGGCAGCAATATTTTATACGTAATATAATTAATACCTTGGCCATCGATCATATAGGATATCATCATAATTTGGTCGGTGGCTGAATCGGGAAACTTTAGTGGCAATTTTGTAGTTTCGATATCAAAGGCGAGCACTATTGGTTCAGGCCTCTCAATGAGATCACTTCGAGGTGTAATTAGCGGTGGATCGGCGGAAGAATTTTTTGTATATACTGTATACCAAGAACCACAAAATATTTTCAAGTCAATTGATACCCGAACATGATACGGTACATCATATTCCCTGCAACATTAATTTAGCAAATAACATACGACTTAAACGTAGAAACATTTAATAAAGCACATGGCACTTAAGGAATACCATAAAGGCTCAAACACACAGAAAGCGTTACAACGCAGCGCTCATGGAAGTCCCCCCATATTGACTAAGTCAAACACGCAGCGTTATCTAGGCGGGCAATCCAGTACCATGGTTGAGTTTGTACTGCAGCACTTGACTTGCTTTAACTGAGAGTTATATAGGAGGCGGCATTGGGTTCACCTAGGATATCAAAGGTGGGAAGAACTGGGTTAACACTGTGCAGGGAGCTGCGCTCTAATAATGATAATATACATTATTCAAGTAATTTCGACAAAAAAATTACAATAAAAGGCGAGAATGTAGCACCCAGAAGTACCCGTTTGCTTATTTCGACACTTACTTACTCTACTTTATTTACTTTATGAAAGTAAGGGTTTTTTTATTTAGAAAAGGATTTATTATCGCATAGAATACAGAAAGTCATTACATAGTTCAGCCAAGTCGTAATGAAAATCACTTTTATTTATTATTTCCCAATGTCAAAACAAAATTTTGAAGAACTGCACTGTAAGTGGGCTTTCACACCAAAGTAACATGCGGTGTGCGACTTGCTGCCAGGAAGCATGCTACTTGTTTTAAAACCTATACAAATATATTGATGGTTTCACACCGGAATGGCGTCGCAAAAATGCGACTTGGCAATATGCAGCGTGCGACTGGAATATAAAACGAGTCCTATATTTGATACTTTGCGATTTGCTTCCAATTTTGACTTCGCGACCAAATTTGTTTGTTTTTTTCGTGATGTCTAGCACAAAATGTTTACCAGAGGACGAACAATTTAATATAGGCTTTGTTCAGACTATCGAGATGTACCCATGTCTGTATGATCACACTTTAAAGGCGTATAGCAACAGAAGTGAACCAAGTTGCTGGGAAATACTTTTCTACTGGTAAGTTTGTTATTTTAAATCATTTTAAAAGTGGCCACTTGTTAAATTTATTTATATACAAACATTGTTTTGCCATAATAAAGCATTTTCGGGTTTTACGAAGTATGCGCATAACCTATCTCGTAAATGGCTTGCTGTTTGGTTGACGACCTTGAAGCTCTTGTTGTAGGCTGGGCAAGGCATTGTAGACAGCCTCCAGGCCTTCTTCGTTGGGATGTAAAAACCTACCATCATGTTTCCGAATAAAATTATGCAAAATACAAGCAGCTTTTACAACATGAGCAATTTTGTCTGGTTCACGGTCAATTTGTGTTTCAAAAATTCTAAATTTTGAAACCAGCATGCCAAATGCACATTCAACACTTTTCCTAGCCCTTGAAAGTCTGTAGTTGAATATTCTTTTAGAGTTAGTTAGGATTCTTCTGGGGTATGGTAGTCACCAACACTTATAAAAGTGAATATGCGTCCGTACTTGCCATTAAAACTATTGAAAAAAATCCTTTATAGTTATAATACGCTGAGCCTGATTTTTTAGGGCAATTAATTCTTATATGTTTACCATCTATAGAACTCAAGCAATTTGGCATATTCCATAGTTCATAGTATGTCAGATATTTCTTTCCATTGCTCTATTGTAGGTAATGCCATATATTGCGGTTGAAGAACTATCCATAATTTCTCAGCAGTATCAGCAATAATGCCACTTATCGTTGAAATTCCTCGATAAAATTCAAAGTGAACGGCGGTAAATGTCATACCGGTTGCTAGAAATCTGAAAATGAAACAGAAAAAATAGTTGATAAATTGAAATGACAATATTTAATATTTAAGATAAGAACCTAGTTTACACCGCGGGTACCAAATTTTTGGTACGCGGACCAAATGACCACACAGACCTTTTTGTCATTTCGTGACGTTTTTGGTCCGCGTACCAAACATTTAGTACCCGCGGTGTAAATTAGGCTAATTATATTAATTTATTAACACTTCATAATTCGAATTAAATATCCATTTGCATCCATACTTTTTGTTTTAGCATCTGAATGCAAAAAAAGATGGAAGGTAGTTTCACAAGATACATGAAACAGTGTACTGGAAAAAGTGGAGATTCAGCGAAATAAAAAAAAAATTATTTATGGGATATAATGCAATTTGTACTACCATTCACAAAATCAAGGCCTCAATCGGGCAATTTGCCTATAGAGAATGATGGAGAAATGTTTGAAACTGAGAACTTCAGTATAGACGGCTATGAAAATGACTCAAGAGCTACCGGACTTGAAGAACAACCCTTTGATCATCCGGAAACAGATTTAGTGGATAGTGATTTACAAACATCGTCATGTACATCGAGTAGATCCTCAACGAAAAGGAAGGCTCCACCCAAAACTCCAGTGGATGAAATGGAGCATGCCGTCGTTAAGTATTTCTCTCAAAGAAGTGCACCACAACCTGAAAACCCAGATTTAGATTTTTTTAAAAGCATTCTTCCCGATGTTGGTGCTCTAGATGCGTCGGAGAAACGAAAATTCAAGTTAAAGGTACCGCAGGAATCATATGATAAGTTGCAAAAAAAGAATACATCAGCAGTATCGAGTGCTTCAACTTCTGTGTCTAATGACAGACAGACTAGGCAATCTGTAATATCGGCATGTAATGACTTATCAACAAATACATCAACGAAGGCTTCTACTTCTGTTTAAAATCAAAATAATAATGATAAGCAAACCACGAGGCACGTATAACCGTGATAACAACATTCAGGTTGGCTACTTCATCCCGATTGGACCTGGAGTAAGCATGCTTGTTGATGAAGGCAATTATTCACCAAATTATCAGCCTGGTTTTGAAGCTAATTCACGTAACCAAAATTAACTGTCGCATTTTGCACCTAAATACGAGTTTATGATTTGTAAAGTTTTTTAGAAGTATACACAATAAATTATATAGCTAATGTTTTAGTATTTTCCTGTTTTTATATTTTAACTTGCAAGACTGCACTTCCACTGGATGGTGCGAATAATGGTCAACTTATATGGTATTCTTTAGTTATGAATGTACACTGGCGAGCATAAAAAACTAGGACAAATGTGAGAAGTAAACACTACCTAATTTTAACAGAACTATATTTAAAACGCATTGGTACTGTCAAAATTAAGGAATGGGGTTACTTCTCACATTTGTCCTAGCTTTTTATGCTCGCCAGTGTACCTATATGTATCAAAAGGGTTTCAACGAGCAAATTCGATCATTTTTGTTCCGGCCGCCGGCGCAGTGCAGTCAAATTGAACTAGCTCAACTAGCTGTAACTTAATAGGTACTTACCTCAAAAATATAATTAGTTTTTCCTCCACAGAAATGGCTCTTCGATAATTCATGTCCTGTAACTGCATTACTGGTTTCATTAAATCAACAAGCTTCTTGAATGTTTCCTTTTCCATCCTGTAGAAGTTTTGAAATTTTTGAGGATGAACTTGTAGCTGCTGCGATACAATAAATGGGCTATGTATATCAGCATTATCTTTTAAATACGGATCAATCCACACTTTTCTTTTTTTCTGCCTCTTCCTCCTTGCAATCACAGCAGCAATAAGTGCAATATTGTCTTCTTCCGACGACATCTTTGCAACTATTTTATCATTTATCAACGGAACTTAAACAGAGAGCTAATGACAAATGAAGTAGCAGTAAGCGACTTTGGTATGAAAGTAAATTATGAAGCCGCAAGTTGCCATGTGCTTCCTGCTTCCTGGCAGTAAGTCGCACGTCGCATGCTACTTTGGTGTGAAAGCCCACTTGTGATTCTCTCTCTTGACAATCTGACTCCAAGCCTCTGCCTTCTTATCAGTACATTTGTATGCCACTGGTCAGAGGTATCAAATAGATATATAAACTTTTCAGTTTTTTCCTCCAACGTTGAGAAAAAGAGTCACCGAGAAGCAGGTACCAGGCGGTACTTCCGTAATTTTGTACGACCCGAAAAGTTAACAACGCGAAAGGCAGCGCTGAATGATAACGCCACGTGTGGCAGGGATAATGCAATACAACCATACCGCAACGGTATCGGAACACCGAACGTCCCGTCATAACGCGTTTGAGTCTTAACGGTATCCCCGGATTTATTGTAAAAATATCACGAACCAAACATTTCCATTAATTGTTCCGAAGCAAATTTAGTGGTACTCTCAAGAGAACAAAGGATTTTTAAAGCTTGCGCATATATTTTGGCCATAATTTTCCGCGCCATATGAAAAGTGTCCTCTGATAACTAAAATAAGAACTAGTCGCTTTACCGAAATTACGTATTCGAGAGCTAATGACACCCTGAACACTGGAAACGCACTTTTCACTCTTCAATATTGGGATATCAACAGAAGAAATGCTGTGTTCATAACTTTTAAGAATTTAAAAAACAAATTTAAGATATTTCAATCTATTTTTGCAAAGATCTTAAAATCCACATTTTTACTTTTGATTTATTTGACAAATTCAATTGAACTTGCAACAAGTTAGATTTTCGCAAATTGGGAAGCAAACTCTTTTATTTAAAACAAAAAATTACATTCATTATTAAGCTTAAAGTGGCAACGAATTTAACATAACGCAGTTCGCAACTCCAAAAATTGTTGTTCATTTGTTGGTATTTATTATATACAGGGTGATTAAAATAACGATCTTCAGCATGGGAATCTCATCTTTCTATCTATCTGTTGAAGGTACAGCTTAGGTTAAATTAGGAAAAAACATTCATGGAAAAAAAATTCAGGGCTTTCAAAGAAGGTAATTTGACAATATCAATTTTATTTTCTTCTGGCTTTATTTGAAGAGATATAAAAAAAACTAATAACGCTTTCTCACTGGCACTTTTAAGGTACTACATGAATGTATTTATAAATTTTATATCCAACGTATTTGTCGAATTGGTTTAAAGAGTAATTGTCGTTATTGTTACTGTTGTTATTATTGTTTGTTGTTGAATAGTTACTACATTGCACCACAAAAATACTAGCAGCAATTAATACATATCCAGAACCAAGGCAGCCATATATATATGCCAATATATGGTTCATTTAAAAAACTTGTTTTACCTCGAAAAAAGGAATCTTTAGAAGAAACCCAAACTAAAGTTTTACAAGCAGTTGTTAAAAATCCAGAGATATCAACTATGCAAATCGATGATAATGTAGGAGTAACGAAATCCACAGCTCAATTTATTTTGCGCTAAAATAAATATAAATTAGGAATTTGCGAAGGGCTTAAACCAGGGGATTCCGAACACGGGTATTTTCTCACCCGCGTGAGAAGAAAATTTTTATTTTCCTTCCTGGGCTCAACAAAATCCGCGTGTTAAGAAAATGTCAAAACACCAACAACGTTTTGGGTGGAATTTTAGGAACTAAAATACTAGGTACATTTATTTACGAAAATTCATTGACAGAATGATACTTTCGTTTATTCCAAAATTATTTTCAAGACTGTTTAGATAATTTCTAACTGGAGCAAGTCAACAGTTGTTGATTTCAACGAGATGGTACTTCTAATAGTATTACACAAGAGATGTTAGGTATTGCTTTAAGTTCTACAGTACTTTTTTTCGGGCCACATAAAAAATAAAGTTGGCGATAGTTTCCTATCAAGTGGTACTTTAAAAGTGTCAATGAGAAAGTATTATTGGTTTTCTGATATCTCTTCAAATAAAGTCAGAAAAAAAAAGTTTCTAAACAGCATGTAAATAAGCTTGAAAGAAAACAACTTTTTTTCTAATTTAATCTAAGCTGTATCTCAACAGAGACTGAGATTTCTATGCTTTGGATGCTTATCTTGGACACACTTTAAACTATACCAGTAAAATTATCTAAAGTCTGGGAGTTTCAATGTAATATTATTATTATTTCTTTATTTATTTTTTATTTATGCTAGTTTTGAATGACATATTGAGTTTCCAATGTAATATTGTTGATTTTGCATATTGTTGAGAATTGTCCTCTAAAGGGCAATTTTTGTCACTCTTCTTTTCAAAAGTACATCTTCCACGTCAAAACAATTCCTCATGCCCCAAAATTTTGCTTTAAAAATACCTTATATCAATAATATTCTCCATTTGATCCGAATTGACTTTTGTAGAATTAGATTCTGTTAAATTGCTTGTTAAACTGCTAGCTAACAACTCTGTATAGAAAGCATTTTCACTTTGCCTTCCTTTATTTTTACGCACTTCCCTCAATAACTCTCTTCTCACTTTTACCAAATCAGTTTGGTTGTAGAAAGACAATTTAATATATTTCTGTTTAAGACCTATTAGATGATTGGGCTAAAAATGTTAAATATTAATCTATTTTCGCAATATTTTTTAAAGTCTCTTTTCTTACCAGATCAAGATCTTCCTTGGTAACAGTTTCAATCATTCCAACAGTCCCTGAAAATCTTTTTGAAAGAAACTGTGAAACTTCTTGAATAAAATCCCTTTTGGTCAGTATGTAAAAATATGGCATATATGGATAAGATGTTTTAAAACGTGTGCCATCTTCTTCCATAAAATAATAGTCTACTACAGAGCATAATCTTTTATCTTCATCTAGTATTTCAGACTAAAAATACATTAAATTGTGTATTACAATAATGCAAAGTGGAAAGAAAGAAAATACAAATACTAATACTTACTGCATGCATATTTAAGAGAAATCCAGTGCGTTTAGTATTTTCGGAAAGTTTTCCAAAGCCATATTTATTATCAATTTCCTCATTTTCCAGCACCTGTCGTAATCTAAATTCCGAACTTTCTTCCCTAAAGTGATTTGCGTCAAATAATATTAAAAATAAATTGCAAGCAAAACCAAATACCTATATACAGGAGTATTATCATGTTGTTCATCTTTTTTTGGCGGTCGATTAATCCTAAATTTTCCGGTGTTCGGTAACACCATTTCATGAATAAAATTGACGACTATAAAAGCTAAACGAGTACCTAAATAACGAAAAGATCTTTTCACAAATTATATATAACTAAATATAGGGTAAAACTAAATAAAATAAACCAAAAATCATTTGACTTCTATTTGACATTTCTAATTCGCGCCTATTTTTTATTTCGCGTTGGTTAACTACTCGCTCTTCCTCTTTGTGAAAATACCTACAATATATAACATAATAACAGGCCTTTTGCATTAATTTTAACTCTGAGGCAAAACATCATTAATTTTTTTATGCTCAAGTCCACCTGAAAATTATTTAAAAAAAATCTACGAAAATTACGGTCTAGTTCAATTCTGCAACCCTTTGAATGTGATGTCACACAAAATAACCCCTGGAAATTGTTAAACTAAACCTAATCGCATTTACCTATTGCGAGATCCACGTCGCGTTGTTTCAAATTTATAAAACGTATAAAATTATTGTTAATTAGTGTATTTCAAAAATGTTTGGCAAGTGTATTCATTAGGGGCCAATTGAATGGAGTTTCTGCAAAAAGTTTTGCAATGTGTTAAGAGAAAGAAAATAGAAGAAGTTACGAACATGTTTTTTACTAAGTATAAATAATGGAAATACATTTGTTTTTATCAAAAATTCATTTCGTGATAATAACAATTCTCTAAAAAGTATAATTTAATCCACAATCGGATCAAAGGAACACTATTAATTGTCGTCAGCCCGCAAGCCGTTATCAACATTATGATAAATAACCCAACATAGAAGAGGTACTAAAGTTCAAAGACAAAGAATGACCAATTATGAGAGAAATAATTGAGTTTTGCAACAAAGCAGGAAAACAGTCACATCCCAATTTTGTTATTCTGTGATTTACACAGTAGTTATGTATCTTTTTTTTAAGAAACTTCCACAGGCTACTGTAACACTTTTTACAAAACTTCTGGATTCCTCCTGCGTCGGTTTTTGCTCAGTCGAACTTGCGACTCAGCAAAAACTGACGCAGGAGGAATCCAGAAGTTCTGTAAAAAGTACTTATTTATCATTTTTGTTCGGCTTTGAGGAGTCCTTATTTCTAGCAATGGGATAAGCTGATTCAAAACATCTCACTCAGGATCAGACTGGCATATGGTACTATATTAATCAGTCATAAGACAAACCAAATTCTGTTGAATGTATTTAAAAAAAAATTAATACCCACTTTTGGTGTTTTTAATGCCTACTGCTGTTTTGGTTATCACAAATTCAAAAATACAAGTTCCAGCAGTATATACTATGTGAAAACATCATATTGTACAACACCTAGAGAGGACGTTAACTCTTACTGACCTATACAATTAATTAGGCTCAATATATAACTTCCTAAATCTTCGTCCTGGTTAGTCCAAGATACATACACAGTTTTCTGGTCATCATCATCCCCTTCCACCTTCACTAGGACAGATTCAACTGAAATTTCCCCTTCACAAAAAGTTACTGGCCATTGTGACAATTTCTCCTTTAGCAAATTATGTAGCTTGTGAGCTGTGGACAAGCTGGGTCCGTTATCATTAACAGAAATTGTAGAAGTGAATCGGATTACATGACGATTGATACCAGCTTCTTTACAAGCATCCTCAACGTCCATTAGGCATATATTGTTATCCTTCATGACCAGAACTCCATGCAAAATCCTTCGCCTTTTCGGATTTGGTGGAAGAGCACTAAATTTTTTTGCTTCAGACTTCAGTAAGGGTAATGATACATCTATTGGGATTTTCACTGGAGTATGGATTATATTGGTCTCACCATTTGCAGGGTTGTAACAGTTAATATTAAATTCCTTCTGAATTTTTTCTTTTAAAAATGCAATTTTTTCTGCTTCACCATGTACCAGCATCACATTTTTGGGTTCGCAATATTGTATAAGTTGCATTATTCCCTTGGCATCTGCATGAGCTGAAAAACTCATATATTCTACAGACATTTTAACTTCAACCACTTGGCGATTTTCAAATTCCACTTTTTTTGCTCCGTTTAAAATTTTATGACCGACAGTGCCCTGGACGCAAAAACCTTAAAAAAAAAACATTTTAAACAAACATCTGCATCAGTTAATAATATTATAAAATGAAAAAAAAGAATCAAAATCAGGGTTTTAAATTTAATGAGAAAAGTTTTATAAATATTAAAACATACTTATTACTCAGTGGGCATATTATAAAATGATTACTTAATATTTAGTGATTTTAATTGATTTATTTTGTATTATATTTGTACAATTACCTAATCAAATTACCTGGCATTATTATCATATTATTTTCATTTGGAGCCCACTTTTTAAATATCTGTAAACTTAATCCAGCATGTAACATACCAGGAGTAGCAAAAACAACCATGGGACCTGGATTATCAATATATTGCCTATCAAAAGGTTTAATGTGCTTAAAATCAAACATGTTCCTTTGTACAAATGTTTTCCTTATCTTTTGGTTTGTCCATGTGATAAACATTTTGTAGTAATTGTTTGCTTTCTCTGTTAGTCCAAGTGCAAAATAAATAGGAGCTTTTAAATTCATTCTTTCCCAGTAAGTTTCAAGTAAAATACATAGTTCTTGGGCTCTCCCAAGAGCAAAAACTGGAATCAAAACTTTTCCACCTCTAAAAAAAGAAAAGCTTGTCAGTAGAGCTAGAGTAAATATTCTTGAAGGTACAACACACTAGTTACTATTTAAAGATATATACCAAAAGACCTTTAAAAATTGAAAACTATAGATTTCAATTCAAAAATTATATCTGCTAAGTGACTATATTATACCTTTCAATACATTCATGGACTTTTTTTAAAAAGTCTTTTTCTCTGCATCTTTTCGAATCTCTAATTGTAGTAGCATATGTTGACTCTGATATTAACAAATCTGGGCGGCATTTGTCTATCCAAGCAGCTCCTAAATGTCTATCTGGTGTCATATTATAATCACCTGTATATACAACAGATTGTGACCCTACTTTAATGCAAAACATTGCGGCACCCAGTACATGTCCCGCGTAGTACGCCTTTATTTCAAGTTCATTATCAACCATTACTGTCTGATGCAAAGTAACAGCAACAACTTTTTTCATGCAATCTTTAATCATTTGAGATGTGAAAAAATTTTGCTCCCCTATAAGAAATAAAAATACATATTTATTATTTTACACAAAACTTCCCTACCCTTTTTCTCAACAGAAACTTTTCTCATGTCTTCTAATAAAATAGGAGCAATTGCCTTAGTTGGATGCGTCATATAAATGGGGCCATTGTAACCAACCATCTCCGACATGTAAGGTAATGCTCCACAATGATCAAGATGAAAATGAGAAATAATTACACAGTCAATGAAGGGTGTTAGGGGTCCTTCAGGTGTAATGTAGCCAAAATCAGGAAATCTCCTTTCATCATTGTACCCCATATGCATTCCGCAATCCAACATGATATTTTTATTGCCCATCGATAGTAAAATGCAGCTTCTACCAACATCTTGACCAGCTCCAAGGGGAGTAACTTTCAATTCAGGCATTTTAGGAAAAATACAAACAGCACAAAAAGAAAACAAAGAGCAGATAACCTAATCTAGCAGCAATGAATATCTATATAAATACTTCTATTAATTTTTTGAATGGAGGATTAATAATAAATGACCAAAGCGAAGCATAAAATTGCTTGAATTTATTCCAGCAATGAATGAAACTAAGTTTGTTTAAACTCAGAAAACTGTAATATCCCTTTTGTTCGTATCAATCCTTTTAGAAGAGCAGAATGATTCAAACGCCAGTTCAAACAAAACAATGATTGGAAATTATCTTATAATGTTAATGTAAAAGCAATAGAAAATTTAGTTAGAATAACTCAAAGCAACTAGTATTTTATTGGAGAGCTCCACAATAAACATGGCAAATATACGGCACTTCATGAGTCGTAGAATAGAATAAGAGTTTTTTCGAAAAAAAAAAAGGCATTGTTCCTCATAGACGTGTCATTCCTTTCCTTAACTATGCCTTTGGCATTATTTTGGTTATTAATTAAAAAGCAAACCGTGGAAAATTTGAAAATAAGTTGCAAAGTCGTTCACAAAGCAGAGATGTTGACTAAATATGAAATCTTACTACTACGCCAGGAGAGGTACAGTGAACACCTTATAAAAGTAGAAAAGATGTCCGGCCATAAGTTAGGTTGATGACGCCCATAGCAGTCTCTTGGAAGGTTTTGTTGTAACCTTATATATTCTGTGGGATTGGGCGAATGATCCTGGTAGTCGTGCCCAACAGTTATCTGTGAAACGCATCATTGAATTGAATATTCTGTGGCTTATAGTTAACATATAAAATATTAATTCTATGCTTTAGATCAACCGACAAGCAAGTAAAGTGAGTTTTGTTAAAAGAAATTTTCTGCTCCAGAAGTTTTTCACTTTATTGAACAATATGGACTTTTTGCAGCTTTTATTTTGACGATAAACAACGTTTCCTCTTTTTAACTGGTAACAATTACATTAACGAGGCGCTATCTGATTCACTTGTGGTTTATTTAATTTTGAACAAATTTTTAAAATTAAAATGATTTATGTTGACAATATTTACAAATATCTTATCAACTTGTTGAGTGAGCGACTGAGTCAAACTACTAACAAATTATTTATAGTAATGCAATATTTGTTTTGGTTTGCGCGTTTAAAAAAGTATCAAATACTTTTTACAAAACTTCTGGATTCCTCCCGCGCTAATTTTTGTTAAATCGAACTTAATAACGTTTCTTCAATCATCCTGTTGGTTTCTTCAGAGCTTAACTGAAACTGGCTCGCATTTTTATCTGTACCTGCTATTCCTTATTTAACATTATTACGCAGAATTGCCGTTCTCGAATAAATATGCCGACAAAACAAAACAGTTGTTACCTCTAGATAGTGAACACATGAAGAGGCGTTTCTGGGCCCGCCCATTATCAAGGATTTTGGCATTCTACAAAAGGCGTTATTTGGAATTAGTCGCTAAAAGCAGATTTAAAAGTACCGATAAGAAATCGTCTTTTGAATGAGCATATAATGTAACTGCAGTAATTTGATGTGTATAATCATAAGAGCCGTAACTAGTAATCACTTAACAAAAAAACATCTACATGTTCTATTTATTAGATAGATAACTTCCCAAATAGCAACATTTAATTGAAAATTAAATGAACCGCGTCGAGCATTAAAATTTAAAAGCGCTGATAATCCGTAAATCGCAATAAATTCCGTTCCAACTGTTGAATATGTACCAACTGAGGAAAATTTTGCAGACATGTTAACAAAACCTTTAAGCAAGGATTTATTTGTAAAACTTAGAGATAAGTGTAATATTGTATAACACTGCAATTGTTTATTCTTGTAATCACGATTTTCATTTATCCAAACATTTGTAAAACTTCAAATCGAGGAGTGTTGTGATTACTTGTCATTTTATCCACTGTAAAAAGAGAAGACGAAACGGTGTAGAAGAGAACCTAACCTAACATGAGAGGGTGTTAATTTATAATCAGTGTATTCATTATTAATAAAGTTATTTTAGTTTAATACATCCGTGTGTTCATAAATTCACAACACCAACTATGCGCAAAATTTTAAAACACTTTTATTAATGATTAACTGGGTATAAGGTCAATTGATATTTATGTACGATTTCTAAGCAAACAGCATTCAAATTCAGATGCTTTTATTCTTAAGTTTTTATTTGAAAAACTTAAATATGGAAGGGCAAGGACGGACTAATTTTAATATAGAGCGTGGCCTCCAAGCCATAAATAAAATGTAATATCTATTTAATAATGATTCATAATTTAGTGATCTTTATCAACTTCGTTTCTTTTTATTTTTGACAGATTAGCTGCATGTATTTCTTGAAATGTGAACGCATTGTGTAGATGTATCATCTTCCTTTGTCGTAGAGTGTAGAGTAAATCAAATGATTGACTGTATTCCTAACAACGATTTTTCTATGGAAAAAATGTGAAATGGAACAGGGTTGCAACTATCCGTTGTCGTAGCAACGAAAATGACAACAAGCACAACAAGTAACACACTGCACAGGCCAAAGTGGTTCGTGGCAATTAAAATTTCGTGCCAATGTCTGAGGTACTTCCTGAAGTTATTCAGAAAACTCAAAAATCACTGGGCAAATATGTTAAAAAGCCTGTTTTAACAGATAAACTATTAAAGAGGCCTCCGTTTAGGTTCCTACACGACATAATAAAAACAGTAGTTCGAGAAACAGGTTTCCTAAAAGGTTTATTTTCAGACGAGGAACTAAATTCTGAAAGTGTTAAAGAAAAAGATGCGAAAATTGCGTTTTTAACTAAACTTATTGATGCCATTAGTGAGTCATGACTTACATTAATCTGTTTAGTAACTATGGTTCTTTTTTTTAGAAACTGTGATGAAAACAGATTTGAAAGTTCGGCCAAATAAAATCGTCGCTGGTCTCGAACCAACTGAAACCAACATACTTTTGCAAACTATCGCCAAAGGCATAGACAGAAAAATTGATATGACCGATTATGTTACAAAAGTTACCTCAGATAAAGTCAATATTAAAGATAAAACTGTAAAAAAGGGTAGCAAAAGAGACCAAAAATTAGCTTCCAATCACGATGCTAAGACCGAATCGGTCGGGAGCACTCACCCAGATAGACTTAAATCTAAAAACAAAAAAACTGAAAAAAACTATAACTTACAAGAGAAACTGATAAAAGAAAATGAAAATTTTATAAAATTGGGAGAAAACCTTATCAATGAAGTTGTAAAAGATGAAAAAGGTGACAAGCTGCCACAAAGCACTGAAATAGGAAAAACAAATGTCCCAAAAGATAGCCCAGAAAATTCAAGAGGTCATGAACCAATATCGAAAGAATTGGCAGAGGAAGTGGCAACTGAGGAACAAAAAAGTAAACCAAATGTTTTGAAAAAACAAAATAGTATAATTTTGAATAGACCTAAATCTGCTAAACCGAAAAATGATAATTCTACATTGCTACCAGATGAAGGTGAAGCTGCCAGCGCAGAAGAAGAAGAAAAGGAAACTAATGAAAATAATACACTGATGGATATGAAAAACGCAGGTTAAGCGAAGACTTTGTTTATAACTATATTTTTTCTAGTTTTCATTTTTAATTAATTTTGCTTTTTAAATGCATGCATGCCTCTTATGATTTCATATTTTTTTATAATTTTGATATTGGTTGGAACATTTTAACCATTGATTTTGCTAATATATAGTATTTGAATAAAACAAAAAATTGTAGCGATATACAGGGTTTGTCATCAACCAGTCTAAAGTTGCCATTTAAGTTGATAGAAACTTGTTAAGGATAACCTTGAATAATTTTACTCGGATTGTGACTCAGCTTTTATCATTATTTTGTCAGGTTTGTTTAAAATATTTCATTCTATATGAATTTTACATAAGTTTGCTTAATTATACCGATTTCTTTTACTACAACCTCAGCATGATAACTCAATAATTCAGACATTACTCATAATTTTAGTTTCACATTTCGCCCTCTGTCGTAGAAGTGTATAAGTGTATACAACTCTAATTGTTAGTTGATCTCACACATGTCTCAATAAAACACTCGAAATTTTGATATCGCTATCCCTATAAAATTCTGAATCACTTTTTTTTAAGCTATCTGGGTTAAAACCAACCAAAAATTTATATAAAATTGTCAGAGATATTGATTTATATTTAACATTTTTTTCGCTCTTTTGAATTGCATATTAACTTCACCTTTCAGTCTTAAATCATTAGGATTATGTTGTTGGTTCTAGTTTTGTTGAAAAGGCCAAAAAGTTCTCTAAGACCTCCAAGTGTAAGACCATCCAGTGCTAGACCAGGAGCTCCACGTTTGCGATCCGATTCTTCATTACCATTTAGTGAATCCATCCCCATGGGCAACATCCAGGTTATTGTGGAAAACTTCGATCCTTCAGGAGCAGACGATGCTGAGATGGTTGTGATACAGGTGATGATGCTATTACATATTCATGCTACTCGAAAAAGCAACATCAAAAGCATCCCATAATTATTTGTGAGAATAAATTTTGCTTTATGAATATAAAACTTTGTCTTATTTATTATCAGGTTAAAATATTTTTTTTACTAATTAGGATGTTTTGGAAAATGTCAGAGAAGACAGTTCAAATACTACAGAGCTACTAGAGATTACGGCCGACAACAAAGGTCAGTTGGTAGAAAAAATTTTAGAACAAATTGAAGAAAGTGAAGACGATGGTTTCAAGAAGAAAATCGATATTGATTGGGAATATGAAGGTAAGAGAGACTAGTACTGCACTAAAGGAAAGAATAATCAAATTAAGAATAATTTCCCAACATTACATTGGCTAATTATTTCCCCAGATTATTTGAGTTTTTATCATATCTTCTGTTTAAGTATATAGGGTACATTAAGCCTCATGTTTGACTGCTTTCGTATAGGTGTCCAGATATATTCAAAAATAGAATGTGATCGACTGAACTTTTTTAAGTAAAGCACATTTTTTCGCCCGAAGGGTGGGAAACGCAAGGGATTCACTATGTTTATTATGTTTACATTTAATTATTTGTCAGATCTTCTTTTACGTCATGGAATTATCACGTCGTTTGTTAATTTTCATTAATTATGGAATTTTTTGTTGGTAGGATCAAAAGGAAGGGATGCCACGACTAAAGAATTATCGCAGCTGAGGGTCCTCATACAAAAACTAACAAGTACGGCGAATCCGCTGGGGAAACTTATGCATTATTTACATGAAGATCTTGACGCTATGTATAACGAAGTGCAAACGTGGTCTAACACCAAAAGGCAACTTTCTGTGGAAATTGCAAAGGAGAAAAAGTAAGGAATATTGTTTAGTTTCATGGAATTGTGACCCTAGTTGTTAGGTACTTTATGCTTATGTTTAGCAAAATTCTGAATTTTTGTTTTGTTTTTCAGAGCCAACATTGAGTTCAACAAACCTTTGTTTTTACACTTGGAGCGTCTTCGAGGCGAAGTTAAAAAAGTTGAAGAACAAATTCTAATAACCAGGGGCAATATTTTACGAAACGAAGAAAAGATCAAGGAGCTTATGTCTAAATAAAATTGCGTCTGTTATAATTAATTTATTATTATACTAATATACATTCTCTTTTCAAAAATTAAGTAGAACAACGTCAAATTGTCATATTTGAAATTTGAAGCATCTGTTTTGATACTTTGACGTTGCCTTGTTATTTTTTTTTGTAAAATGACATGAGTGATTTTAAATTTATATATAGAATATAAGTAGACAGTTTTCTAAAACTTAACGATGGTTTTATTTTTAATGATACCACACACTAAAATTGACTGCCAGATGAGGCGAGTTTAGTTTTATGTTCATTATTACGGGGGCGTTTATGGTTATGTTAACCGTTATAATATAACATATTGCTTGTGAGTCAGTGAGTTACATCATAAAGAAAATGAAGTAATTATTTTTTTAAGAGAATTAAATGCAATCATCAGCATTGTCTGAACCATATTAGGTCCAAAGATCTGCCTTAAAGGCATTAAAAAAAAATCAAATTTTTATGTTCCCCTTTTTGGAAACTTGATCTGCTCACAAATCGTAATATTCTACAGCATCCTTTTAAAAAACATTGCGATAGCGACGAAATTTTGTTCAAAAGCTCTTAAGTTTCACACTGTGATCTATATCGCCTTCCAACTGCAAAGATAAAGCAGTTGCGCAAAAAAAAATTAAACAAATTATGTTTTTCGTTACTATAACAAATGGTAAATGTTCGGAAGGTACTAGACTGAACTGTAAACTATGTAATATATGAGGCTGGTTGTCCTGAGACATCAATTTCATCCTTAGCATTGCCTATTTAGGTTTCAAAATTTAATTACTTTTTGGATATATATATATATATATATATATATATATATATATATATATATATATATATATATATATATATATATATATATATATATATATATATATATATATATATATATATATATATATATATATATATATATATATATATATATATATATATATATATATATATATATATATATATATATATATATATATATATATATATATATATATGTATATAATTTATTTATTTATTAAAGCTAAGTTACAATTACAAATTACAAACCTCAACGTGAAGTAAGATTACTATTTATATAAAATCAAATCAAATGAACTAACTAAAATATAATATAAAATTAAAATATCCCCTCCATAAACTTAAACATACAAACTTAATAAAAAAAAAACAAAAATATATACTAATTAGAGAAGGAAATGATGTAGTCAATAAAATATTGCAATGTGGTATCGGGAATTATTTCTTCGTTATCCGGAAACTCAGTTGCAACTTGTACTATAACCAATAAGTCATCAGTCTTAAATTCAGAGTAATTGATAGACTTTTTAAAAATCAAATTAGCCAATCCGCATCTGCGGTGATCGAGATTGTATTTTAATGCTGTTCCATAGAATTGTTTTTTGATTTTCAAAAATCTCCGGACCTGTTAAAAAAAATAAAGTTAAAGTTGATCACTTATACAGCTAAGATTGAAAGTATGAATGAAGTATTGTTTATATTAGAGTGGCCCAATCACTGTTTAATGAAATAAAAAAACAAAATAAAACAAAAACATCATTTGCCAGCTTCTTGTAATTTAGTAATTTTTAGTTAATTAATTAATTATATATTCATATTAATAAAAGGCTGCCTTTTTTCATAATCTTTAAAGCTCATGAAATTATTTCAACTTTATCATATACTGTGCCCAAAATCTATTGAAAAATTGTAGAAAAGTGATTAATCTTTTTATTTTACTGCCATAAATTTAATGCGACATAAACGCCATTTTACAGCATTAAAACTTAGGAATACAAATAATTTACAGAAAACAGAGAGCAGCACTCCTTTTTTAGAGCATCAAATATATGTCAGATAAATGAAATGTCATCTTAGAAATGCATAGGATTAGCTGGAACAACTTATAAAAGAAATAATTATGGCAATAAAATAATCAAGTCAACATAGTAATATATTGCTTCTAATACTCTCAGAAAAGAATTTATGCATTTTTTTCAATAAACATATTGCATTTTCCAGTATATCCAGCCTACTTACCCGAAAGTAACTCCTACTTGGATTAGCTCTTACTAGTAACTGCTCCCTTATTAACATTTGCCCAAGATCATGTATATTCTGAATCCGTACAATATCAAATATTTTTTTTTGAGTCGTTTGTATAGCCATTCCTATTTCATATTCAATTTGTTTATATTCTTCGGATGCGGAATCTAAGGAATGTTCTTCCCACAAGTTAACTTTATCCCAATAAGGTGGGGCATATTTTAGGATAACGGTTTTAAACATTCTTCTATGGAAAAAGAAAGGCAGAAGTTATCATAATTGAAATTAATTTATAGTCAAATAAATACTTACTTTAATAATTAATCTGAGCAATGGAGTTGTATCGCCTATGTAAAGGAACGATTGCAGAATTCCCATAAACAGAGTGAAACAGGTTGGACAAATAAGAAATTAAAACTTAAATCCCTATACCAAAGAACCAAGCTAAGAAAATTTTAACTAAAGTTAGCATGCGAGAACGTTGTCACGTAATGTGTAAAAAATAAATTTTAATGTTATTGACTCAAGAACAGTAAACCTAATATTGAATACAAAAAATATAGAACATAACTATCTAGTTACGGTATGCAATGAAAGGTTTATTGCTCATATGGCTACTCATAAACTCTGCATTCGCTAGTTCTATCCGACCGCAAACGTAAAAGCAGATGTATCTCTGGGATAAACCCATAGCCTGTAACGCACCATGCCCACTCCATCCAATCTCTTTAATCTCCGAATTAGTTCCGTAATATAAATTTACCTTTAAATCGAAACTCATTGCATTATAAGAGTCAAATTTGTTTCGAGTTGGCTAGGTGACGTCGCTGGCAATAATACGTTTTTGCGCTTAATTGGCGGAATAACCTGAAGTATTTTCTCTCTCCTCTCCAGCAAGGTGACAGTTAAATCGGCAATTTTTTTTCAATACTTGAGCGCTAGAAGTTACGTCACCTATCGTCGTTGAAACCCGTTTTATGCGATGTAACCATACATTTCCTAAAGTCGATGCTCAACGTGCCGGTCAGCCGATCTCCTGTGGGGAAACAACAATGCCACCCTATTTAATAATTTTTTATAGAATTGTATTTTTTATGTTTCGATTCAATAAACTGCCATATTATATGTGATGCATAATTGCATATTGTGTTTTTGCAAATTTCGTAGAGGCGTGGAACGACTCATTCCTATGGAATAATTCCATAATTACAGATTATTTACAAAATAAAGTAGGAGATGAAGCCTGGCTTGTAGAAGATTCGGGTTTGTTATATACCCATTATTAATCGGGGTATACAGGTTAGAGAAAGAATTGTTAATTTGTTTTTTAATTATGTAGGTATATCTATTAGTAATAAGTTTTATTTGTTTTTTAAGGGTATGTATCACCACCCTGACAAACTGATAGCCCTTGGTTAATAAAAAACATTTTTATGAATTTTTTATTTACAAGAAAACAAAAAAAGGAACTGTATAAATTCTTACCACTTTATGTGCATAACATGTCAAACAAATAAAGAAACAAAGTTTTTTTTTACAATAACAATATAACAAATAGATAACAACTCAACACAAAATAAATTCTCAATATCACACTAAATGTGTGACATTGATCAATATGCCTACTATTAAGTATGCCATACATTTACATTGTACGTAATGGTTTCTATACACGTGCAGGCAAGTCCGCACGCAAGTTTGTCCAGATAAGGCTAGTTTACATTGGTCGAGTAAACGGATAAGGAAAATGCCGAGTTAAGAAAAGCACGGCAGCTCGACTCATGTAAATAATTAGTCGAGTTAATAGGTATAGATTAAAGGCGAATAGCCGGCGAGTCGAGTGGTTCAGCGGCCAGCATAGTAACTTGCTCAAGTTGGCCCCTCCCACTACTACTCTACCGTGAACTTGACTGAACACTTGACCCGTCTAAACGTGTTTCTTGCTGTTAGATAGTAGAGTAATTCGCGCCAAAATAAAAAAAAACGGTTTGTGTTTGTTGATTGAAGTGGCAAAATAGTAAAAGTGAAGTGGAACGAAAATGATACCCTAAAATTTGTTGTACTCTATCGTGACCAGAATGTTCGTCGATGCACGTCGATTTATAGAAATAAAAACATGAGCCAGAGAGCTATCGAAGCTATAATGACCGAGATTTCTAGAGATGGGTTTGGAGTTGCGGAAGTTAAGCAGAAAATAAAAAATATTCGATCTACTTACAATCAGGAAGTGCAAAAAGTTAAGAAAAGTCAGGAACCTGCCCTGAAAATATGTACTCACCTGCTGTGAAATGGTTTGATATTCTGAATGAGATATGAGAGGTGCAAAGGATCCACGTGAAACCATTAGCAACTTGGTAAGTTTTTTTTATATTATTAATTAAAATTTCTGTATACATGTAAGAAAAATCTTTATTTCATATAACAAGTAATGTAAGTGGTTACATACGTGCATACTTGAAAACAAAGTTATTTTCAATTCGCTAATAAGGTACCGGTACCAGCGGTTGCTGTGTACTGCCAAGGAACAGTGCCCTTGCCATTAAAGTAATCTTTTAGACGATCTCTAATTTTTTTTGATAGGTTTGTTGTTCGGTGACCTCCAGCTTTTTCCACATTTCTCAGCTCTCTGATTTGGGACCTCCAATTCCCAGGAATTATTTCGCCTGTTTCACTATTTTCTTTATCAATGGCACCTTTAGGCAGATAGGTTAACTTTGTGGTGATAACTAGCCAATTATGAAGCGCACAGGCAGAAGCGACAATTTTATTAACAGTGCTTAATTTGACATTCAGCTTTCTATCAAAGACTCGAAACCTACTGACCAGAATACCAAAGACATTTTCAACTATTCTTCTGGCGCGAGTTAGTCGGTAATTAAAAATTCTCTCCTCTTGCATAAGAGGTCTATTGTAGTTTGTGTAGGGCTTCATTATGTAGGGTTTTAAAGGAAAGGCGTCATCTGCGACAAAATAGCTTCCATTTGGGAGTAAACCAATTTCTAGCGGTTCTAAAATTGAACAATTTTGGAAAACCATGCCATCTGACTCTGAACCTTTCTTCCCCACTTCAAAGTATGAAAAACAGAATTTAAAATCCGCAACTGCTAACAAGACAACCCTGTTTGTGCCTTTGTAGTTATAACACTTACTTCCCTCGTCTAGCTCCACAACATAGTGGAAAATTCCATCTATCTTTAAGACCATTGCTTATAGTTTTCCATTCTATATGGCTGGATGGCACCTGAAACAAATTTAAATATTTATATGTACTAAAGCCATAACAAATTATATCTGAAATTTTTCTCTTGTAAAAAGAGTGAACTAAATAATAACTAACCAAAACTAACCACAAACAAAATGGGACAAAAAAAAGGCCGGTATGGGTATTTTAATCGGGTACAGTGACGTCGGTTATCGTGTACTTTTAAACCATAAAGTAATAGTTGCTAGAGATGTTGATATTGTTGAGGATTGGAGATTAAATGAGCGACAATTCTGATATCGATTCAATTTATGAAAACTACGACAATGTGAATAATATTACTAAAAATTCTCAATATCAAAATATAAAGAATTTTTGTGAAGACCAATATCGCCGATCGAAGTCTTGTTCTTATAGAAGGGATCATCAGAACCGCCTCCTACCTAATACTGTAAGTTGCAATTATTTGTTAATGTCGGAACTTGACGAAATAATTGATAATATTGAAACGTTAGCTATCGATTTAAGTAATAATACACCTTCAACCAGCTCAGGTCAGAAAAATTATTTCGCAACAAATTTGGAAACTATTTTTGAAAAACATAATTTAGAATCAGACAGTAAATTTAGTGAATCTCTTAAAGTATGGCTACTTTTAAATCTGAATATCTCAACTGCGTCCCAGAATTCGATGGGAACCCAAACGATTTATCTAGATACCTAACTATTTGTCAAACTGTTATTGATAAATTTTATAATGGTAGAGAACCTAACTCTTTCGAAAATATTTACTTGTTGAATTGTCTAATTAGTAATTTGAAAGGAAATGCAAAAGTCGTGATCAATCTTCAAACATCCAGTACTTGGAATGATTTAAAAAATATTTTGTATAGAAATTTCGCGGACCAAAGAGACGAATCATGTCTTAACAGAGTTTTAGTGATGCTCCGCCAACAGCCAAATGAAAAACCGACTCAATTTCACGATCGAGTTTTGCATATCCTAAATTTGATTTGTTCATTTATTGATACGCATGAAACGACTAATGAAGCAAAACAAATAAAACGTAAACTCTATAACGACCTTGCTTTGAAAACATTTTTGTCCGGCTTAAAAGAACCTATTGGTACAACCATTAGATGTATGCCACCTGATAGCCTGTCGAAAGCCTTAACATTTGTAATGTAAGAAATTAACAGGCAATACTTTCAAAATATGACCAAAGTAGTTCAAAATCAGCCACCTCAGAATTTAAAACATAATAACCAGCATTTCCAAAATTTTCTTTCCAAAGAAAATATGCAATTTAATGGGCATAACCCAAATCATTTTAGACATCAGCAACAAGCATTTCCCACCGGTCCAATTGATATTACGCCAGTTTATAGACCGCCGCAAAAATACTATACAAATTCACAAGTTTTTGGCAGACCCCAGAATGTCTTTAGACCCAACCAAATTAAAAATCCACCTCCACCTATGCCTATGTCTGTGTCTACGCGCAACAGTGGCAGACCAAATTTCAATAAAAAAAATAATTTTAAAAATAATCCTATTTCAAGCACATCTCAAAAACCGCAAAAAATGGAAGTCGAGGAGGTGTACAACACGGAACTCGATCAATTCGATCAATCTAATCAATTTGATCAATGTTATTATGACCCATATTACCCTGACTATTATTCATATTGTAACAGTCATTATCAGCAAAATAATCCAGAGTATTTTGTATCTTTGGAACAACCTACAATTCAGTCTGATAAGTTGCACCCTGAATGTTTTCAGTCGGTACTCACTACGTCATTATCTGAAAATGATAACGAGTTAAGTGGAAATGTAAATTTTATGGAAGCTCCGCAATTAGACAAGAAAACTTAACACCCACGCATATTTCTTTAAATATGTCAAATTTAAGCGAATTACCTTTTATTATTTTTCCCGAGCACAACTTTAAAATATTGATAGATTCCGGATCAACAAAATCCTTTATAAGACCTGATTTAGCACAGAAATTCTATCCAAATTGCATTCGCTATGACCCATTTATTGTTTCTACATGTTACCAAAAATCCGCCCACAAATATAGTTCTTTGTTACCTCCATCAAAAATATTTAATTTACCAAACCCAATGAAACTAAAATTTTATCTCTTCAATTTTCATAATTATTTCGACGGTTTGATCGGAACCGATAATTTAAAATTACTGCAAGCCAGTCTAAACTTTGAAAAATCTTATCTGATCACTCCATATACAGAAATAAAATTATCTTTTCACCAAACAAGACAAAACAGTTTAAATTTTGTAACTATTGCCCTTCGCTGTGAACAAATTATTAATATAAAAACTACAATTAAGAATGGAGAAGTAATTATTCCACACCAAAAAATTAACATTCCTGAATGCTTGACTATAGCGCGAAATGGAAAGGCCCTTACCTCCATTTTAAATAATACTTGCGATCCCATTACTTTAGATTTTTCTGAACCAGTCACAGTTGAAAAATTTTGCGAAAAAGCAATTCAAAATATTAATTTAAATCATTTTGATGATAGCCCCCAAAAATTTGATGTGTCGCAAATAAGATCTAATCACTTAAATGCAGAAGAAAAATCTGAAATTTTTAAGCTCTGTTCTAAATTTTCCGATATTTTTTATCAAGAAGGAACGCCTCTTAGTTTCACCAGTAAAATCAAACACCACATTCGCACAACCGATGAGGTGCCGGTTTATACAAAAACCTACCGTTACCCCTTCATTCATAAAAAGAAAGTAGAATCGCAAATAAATAAGATGTCTCAAAATATAATTCGATCTAGTAACTCACCATGGTCATCTCCTATATGGGTGGTACCCAAAAATATCGATGCTTCTGGCAAACAGAAGTGGAGGGTAGTCGTCGATTATACGAAATTAAACGAAAAAAGTTTGAATGATAAACACCCTCTCCCCAACATTAAGGACTTACTAGACAAACTTGGCAAATGCCAGTATTTTACGACACTCGATTTGGCAAATGGTTTTCATCAAATCGAGGTAAACGAACCTGACATACCAAAAACTGCCTTCAGCACAGAAAACGGTCACTATGAGTTCTTACGCATGCCGTTTGGACTAAAAAATAGCCCCGCAACATTCCAACGCGTTATGGACAATATTCTACGAGGAATAACAATCGAAAAATGTGCAGTCTCTCTGGACGATATAATAATTTTCTCTAGTTCTCTTCAAGAACACATTGCGAAATTAACCGATGTATTTACTCGTCTAAGGGAAGCCAACTTTAAAATACAGCTCGATAAGTCGGAATTTCTCAGGAAAGAGGTTGCCTATCTTGGTCATATCGTAACACCCGACGGCGTGAAACCAAGTCCTGACAAAATAACAGCAATTCAAAATTATCCAATCCCCACTACCACAAAACAAATAAAAGGTTTCTTTTCTTAGGCCTTTTAGGTTATTACCGCCGCTTTATTGATTACTTTGCACAATTGGCAAAACCGCTAACAAAATGTCTAAAAAAGGAAAATGTCTCAAAAATAATATTCAGCCACCCGGGATATTACAATGATAATCAAAATTATATTAACCTTCTAAACATTTTGGAATCTAGGATTGAAAATAAAATTATAGAAATCCTTCCGCATCAAAAAAGATCTAAGAGAGGGCTAATAAATGTACCCGGATCTGTTTTTAATAAGGCTATTACAGAAAATCTTGACTCATCTGACGGCGAGCATTATGAACAGCTTATTAAAAACTTGTGGCGCAACGAAAATGAGTTAGCCGAAGGCATTCTAAAACAAAATTCTTTATCCCTTAACATTCTTATAAAATTTAACCAGACTTTGCAGAAAATGTTTCAAAATGACAAATACTTAGAGTCAAAGATCAATCAAATAGCTTTTATTGTTCAAAAGTCAGCCTATAGGGAGAACGTACTAATTATTAAAGATATTTTGGTACAAATGATCAACACCTATGAAGTAATTTTATCAATTTTACAAGGCTTAGAAAATTCAATAACTTTCTCAAAATTGAAAATTATTCACCCAAGTATAATTAAGATTAACGACTTATTTAAAGAACTTCTTATTTTGTAACGTTAGAAAACACTTTTATTTTTGAGAAATTAATTACTATTGACTGTTTTATTTTGAATAACAAAATCAATTACCTTTTGAGAATACCAATGACTAATCCAATAATTTTCGATTACTTTCATCTCTACTCAATCCCCATAAGACACGAGAGTTGGTTTAGGGTTGTTTTACCGCGTGCAAAATATTTAATAAAAAGTGAATTGCAACATGCATACTATAATGGGCCCTGCAAGGAGGCTACTAAAGGTCTGCACCCAACAAAAAATCAAGAATAACGACACCAGCAGTCCTTGCGAAATAGCCTTATTGAGCACAAATCCACAAATCACAAATTGCCACAAAACACAACTCAAAATCACCCAGCTAATAGTTAATCAACTAGAAAATTCCAATCAATGGATTTTAGTAGTCCCAGATGTACAGAGCGTTAAACTTAAATGCAACGCTCAGGATGAGATTCAGAATCTTCATGGGACATACCAAGCCAAAATTCCAAGAGGATGCCTCGTCAAAATTGATCACACAATAATTAGTGATGTCAGATCAATCAACCTTAGTACTCAGCCAATATTATTTCCTGATCTGCCAGATATTCCAACACAACAAAGCCAGATGGATTTAACTGTCAAATTAAATGAAGTTAAGTTAGATGAACTAAACCTTTTAAGGAATGAAATTCAGTTAAATTACCCACTTCTGAAGTTCCCGGAGTTTTACAAATATCCGAGCATATGGACCATCCTTGTATACATGGTCATAATCAGTTTGTGTCTATTTATTTGCTATAGCAAGAAACAGCAGCAAGAAGTGGAAGAACCTAAGGATCCAAAATGTGTTCAACTACCCCTCTTGATGGTATAGTTGAAGCTTACGGGGGAGGAATTATCTCACTAGCGAAGATCCAAGAATGCTGACCCAGCATTCAAGGTATTGATATTAATAATTATTATATTAATAATTGTCGGCGGAAGGTTTTAATAGAACAACAATGGATATATCACGTTGTTTATTAGCAGAATCAAATGTTGACAAAAAGTTCTGTCCTGAAAATTGTTTGAGCAGCAACTTATTTAAAAAATCGTAAATTACTGTCTAAAAAAACTCCCTTTGAAATATTTTTTGGAAAAAAACCAGATGTTTCTAATTTACGTTTGTAGGGAAGTAAAGTTTTTGTAAGAAAACCACAAAGAAAAATGGGACAAAAAGGCCGGTATGGGTATTTTAATCGGGTACAGTGACGTCGGTTATCGTGTACTTTTAAACCATAAAGTAATAGTTGCTAGAGATGTTGATATTGTTGAGGATTGGAGATTAAATTGGCGACAATTCTGATATCGATTCAATTGATGAAAACTACGACAATGTGAATAATATTACTAAAAATTCTCAATATCAACTGGATCTTTAAATTCCTAAATCTTAGAGGCGTGAAAATATTCCATGATTACGTGGTATATAACAGTAGTATCTTTGTAGATTTTTGTAGAGCTGATATAACAAGTACATCTGGGGGGGGGGGGGATAGATCAATAGATTTAAGGTGAACTGAAAGGTAAAATTAAAGAATATTATTGTCGAATATGTAAACATAAAGTGGAATTGAACTAAGTAAATTGAATCATTAATTAAACATTATAGTTTAGAAAATATCTAGTGAAGTGAATAATGCTCCTCAGGAAGTAAGTTGGAAAATTGAGTCAGATACTTGTGAAAGAGATATTAAATATAGAAATCTGATTGGTACATTGCTTTATATTAGTTCAGCTACAAGACCAGATATAAGTTTTAGTGTAAATTATTTGAGTAGATATTAAAATTGTTATAATAAAACACATTACAAATATGCTTTGCGAATTTTGAAATATTGTTGAATAAAGTTGATTTATAAAATTAATTATAACGTGAACATTCCTGATTGTTCTGTTGATGCCGATTGAGCTGGTGATAATACAGACAGAAAATGAACAACGGGTTATGTGATAAGGTTATTTCGAAATGTAATATATTGGGAATCTATAAAACAAAGATCTGTGGCAAAAGCTTCAACATTTGCGGAGTATGTAGCATTATCGGAAGCGGTGAGTGATTTAAAATCTATTGCGGAATTACTAAATATGTTTAATGTTAAACTAACAAAACCAATTGGTGTATACAAAGATGACTCGACTCAGGCATTACAGATGTAGCAAAAAACAGAAATTTTACTAAAAATTCAAAACATATCGAGCCTCATTATCAGTACATGAATGTGTAAAGAAAGATGTTTTTGAAATAATTACGGTGGATACTGATGCCAATATTGTGGATATTTTTACAAAAGCGCTATGTATTGAAACTAAACTTAATAATGTGAGTATGACATAAATGTAAGGAGGCATATTAACTATGTGATACATTGATATTGTACATAATATGTGTGGCCATACTGTGCGTGTTCAGTGACACAGAAGAAGAGTGAGCAGCACCATAAAAATGTAATAAATGTAATATTAAGAAAACAGTCTTTCCTTTCGGATCCACACCCCAACACCTACCTATCTTTATTTGAAAGTAATCTTTTATAGAGTTTAAGATGTTATTATGTTTTTTCATGTCCTCACATTTTCAACACTCCATTTTTAATATCTCTTAATTCATCAATAGTAGAGTATTCCATTAATAATGTTTTTACTTTTTACAAAACTTCTGGATTCCTCCTGCGCCAGTTTTTGCTGAGTCGAACTTGCTGACGTTTCGCCAATCATCCTGTTGGCTTCTTCAGAGCTTGTCTGAAACTGAACAGCAGACTGTGGAAGTTTCTTTGAAAAAAAAATTAATAATGTATTTGTGCTTATTAGTTGATAATTTGTGATTCTGAAACCATAAAATGCATTTGCATTACTGATAAATAATAATATATGTAAAAAATTGAAATAAACTATGAAAAATAATTAATTATACCTGCATCGTCATCGATCAGGGCAGTCTCATCAATTTCAGGATCAGGTGTATTAGCAATGTCACTTACGGCCTTAATTATTAAGATGTAGACATTAAGTTGTGTCTAGGAGCAAAACACACTGAGATAGAATTTTTCTTTTTGCAATTATTGAATTGACATTTGACTGGGTTTCAGTGGTTCTAACATATTGCAAAAGAAGAATTATTACCTTATTTTCACATAAAAAGCCACAAATTTAGAAAATAATTATAAACAATGAAAACTCAATTATCTCAAAACTTTGTTTTTTTTTGTAATTTGCTTATAGGTTTCAATATACAGGATGTGAGAATTAAGATTTCAACTAACATTTGCCACATTTATTCAACAAATCTTTAAAATAAATTAAATAATTTAATAATTTATACCGTACTGCACGGCAATAAAATAAAAATACTTACACCACATTCGACACCACCTACACCTTCGAAAAAAGTTGTCCTTAAAATTGCAATAATTCTTTCTTCAAAATTGTTTAATTTTGACTGAATGCTTATTCCTCCTCCAATCTGTGACAAATCTTTTTTAATATTTGATGCCTTATTTTGTCATATATTTTATGTCCGCCTATGTCAAAAACTAAAAAAATATAAGCATAATCTACACTTATATTGTAAAAATATTAAAAAGTGAAATTTGTACATGACTTACTTTTTGCGATTTTTCTATGCTTTTTTCTTCATATCCTAGTGTTTAAACTTTAGGAAAGTACTTGCCACAATTTGCAGTGAGTTATTTTCTTAGATAGTTGTTCATAAGTTCTATAAGCACCATCCAATGATTTTTGTATTAATTATCGAAGTCATTTATATGATGAATAAATAATAAGGTATATTAGGAGTGTTTATTTATTACTGTAAATAATTTTTTATAGTAACGATAATTCTACAAGTGTTTTGAGTTTGACAAATTCTATATGTAATTTTGGAATGTAAAGTGTAAAAGAATTTTACTTTATTTAATACTTCTAGGTCCTTACTGTCAACCCGAGCTGTTAATTTCTGTTAACTTTTTGTTTTGAGAGAAATGGAACACTACTGTTATGGAACGTCAATCGCAGAAAAAGGATTATCCATATATAAGAAGAGTTTGGAGACTTTCCTACAGATTCGTATCGTATCGACGCGTTCATCATTTTTCGGAAAACATGGCGGAAACGGTTCAAATCGAATTTTCATAATCCGGACCCGTATCGGTTCGTAATTTTTTGTTAAAAATTGTTAGTGAATGGGTTTGTCAGCGATCAACAAGGAGACGTTATCGAAAAATTCTCAACGGACTCACTAAACGTGCCCACTTTAAATGTTAAGAAGAGAAATAGATTTGGTGCCAACGGACTGTAAAAAGTACAAGCCTTTTTTTTCGAGACGCTATAAGAGTTGGGGCCTGGTAATCGGTAAGGCAAATTTGTATTAAAATATTGTTTCATCAATCGGTTTGGTGAGTTTTTTCCACGTGTATAGTTACAATTTGAAGGTAGTTGCTGTTTTTCCACTATCAGTAAGCGGTTTCGTCCTCGACCGGTGATTCCTTGTGGGGCTCTGGCCTCTTGGTCCAAGTTCTGTTATTCACTGTAATGCAAATCTTGGATTGTCTTTACTGTTTAAGCAGATTTGCATGTATTTTCATCTTGGAGAGTAGCGGAGGACATTTCTTGCTTGCAATCTTTCAATCTGCTATCACTTGCCGGGTAAAAGTATTGTGTAGAGTTACAGTTCTTTATAGATGAATTTGCAAATGGCCCGGAGATGTTTAAAGATCAGGGACCTTTCATGGTCATAATTGAAGAAGTAGAAACAAAGTAGAAAACATCCATTCCATGAATATGGGAAAATAATTCTAATTAATAAGGTTCTTGAATATTACTAAAAATTGTATTAATAAATTAGGTATCTAATTCAATAATGCTGATTCTGCTAATAAAAACTCGTATGCAACAGATAATAGATTCAGTAAATAAATCCTTCAAAGATTTTTCAAATACAGAGGTTTGTCTGGAATATTGGAGATGCCATCAACGAAGATGACTTTTCTGCAGAGGTGGAAGCCAAAGTCAGAAGAGGTAGTTCAGTCACACAATTCAAAATCATTACTGTGAGAGTCTAGGTTATTGATGGTTTATTTCCTTTTGAAACGCTTCCAACTAAGGATTGTATAGTGACTTTTGAATGTATTATTTTATTTTTTAAAATGCAAAGGCAAGAGTCAATGTAGTTTTTGTGCTGAAGATCATCTTGTGGGACAAAAAAATTCAGCTTCAAAAGAAAGACAAGCGTCTATTACAACACCTCAACGTAGAGCATATTTGTACCAAGTCCTACGGCAAAATCTCCCCATACTAGTTTGTATTCACTGTAAGAGTGCTCGCCTCTCAAAAGACGTCTCTGATTTGGTGTTTTGGTGACGGAGTCCTCTTTATCTTCCTTAACAAGCCCCTAGTCTACTAGTAAAGGAGTTCTGCATGGCACTCTGTTGGCATTCCACACTCTTACAGTGTGCTGAGGATATTGAGCTCCTATATGCCAATCGAGAAGTATTGCACATGTCTTCGCTTATTAATCGAGTCCTAAAAAACGTGCACGACTATCTATGTACTCTAAGTCATTGGATGTTCTTTTCTTCCCAAAAAAATGGACGTCACCAACACGACCTCTACAACCAGGTGATGAAATGATGACTGTAAACAATCGATGAGTCTTGACGAATGAGAGAATAAATGCCGGTCGCTATAGGATAATGTTTTAATTTGTTATGGTATTGGTGTGGTATTTGTTTTAATTATGGAATTTGATATAGTGCGCGTAATTTCAGCATTGGACAGCACGTGACGATTGTCTAGGCAACCAGTGAATGTCTTCATCTCCCAGCAGTGGCGTGTTTTCCCTTTTTAATTTGTGCGAGTTTATTTTATATGGTTCTGTTAGTTGTTTTTTTAATATTTTGTAATTGATTAGTGTTTTATCTCCAGGCAATTTGTACAAATATTGATGTTGGTATTCCTTCACTAAATATTAATTATGCACCGCCACTGGCCCACGCTGCAGGCCATCGAGTAACTTTGGATTCGCGGGCTTCTGCAATCGGTCAGTTGATAACATCCCATTCTGAAATTACGTTCACTCTACTAAAAAAGTGACAAATTAAAAGTATCTGCTAAAAAGTATCCGCTTATGTGAATAGTTTAGCCGTCGATACCAGCAATCCCAAGGTATAGTCCGTGCCAGAAAATGTTGCCGACAAATATTTAGTTAGTTTTTGTTGTACCATATATACACCCTCTCAACTCGATAATAGAACAGAAACTAACCAAAGCTAACCCGGCAGCATTGGATTACGGTCAAACATTTAACCCCCTCCTAGTGCTAGTTGCCTTTAACTTTGTTATGCAATTATATTTACAACGGCAATCCTTCAGTTTACGTATGTGGGGAATAGGGAAATTTTAACTGTTTGCCAAATGACACAGCGACACACTGTTCCGAAGTTGTAATCTTTTTTCGGTTTAATCAGGAAATTATATAAACGGAAAATTGTAATTCTTTAATACGGGCTGTTATAATAATAATGTAAGTTGCAACTCGATAGACTTATATAAACCAAATTGAGTTTGTTCTGTAGCACCTGTGCGACTGATGACTGGAATAAATTTGGGAAAACAGCGCTTTTAGTAGCTAAAATTTTTATTTAAACTCCACCTTCTTCCCATTCATCACCCGATCATCACAGACCGCTTACACCAATTCTTTTTCTAGTGACTTGACTTTCAGCCAACTAGAGCATAATAAGTTTCGCTTAAAAAAACAAGTTTCAAACATGTTTTTGCAGAGTGTAAATAAGGGAAATACATTTTATTTATCTTTTTCATAAATCCAAAGGACAAAAAATAAAAGCGAACTCTGTTCTTTTAAATATGATTTTTATTTATAAAACAGCCAAAACAACGATACATTCCAAAAAGTGTATATTTTAGTGAAACTGGTCGCTCGCCTTTCAATTTTTTTGTGAAAACAGCACTTGACACTCATGACAATTCTATGAAAAGTGTAACTATCGGCGCCATGGAAAATAGAATTTGTAAATTTCCATTATAAAAAATAAACTAAAACAAAATATGTTTGTCGATTTGGTAGAAAAGTTTTCCAAATTCTATTTGAAAATAATTACCAAATAACCTGTCTTAAAAGGTCTAATTCCTTTTTATCCAAAATCGGCTCAAAGCGACAATATTAATCGTTGCTAATCTGCAAGGCGTAATCAATATTAAGAAAAAGAGATAAAGGTTGAATATAGGTACAAAATTTGGAAAATATTTGAAATGGACGAACAATTATGACAGAAATAATGATTAAAAATTTGACAACAAACACTGAAAAATGCTATAAAAACTATGGTAAACGGAATTATCGTGAATCAAACTGGCGTTCCCATCTCTAGGGCAATTTCCCTATTTAAGGTAAATTTCGCTACTCTGGGAATTAAGCAAAACTACGCGAGTTTTAGGGAAATTTTAAAAGTTGCGAAATAGATTTTTTTATTATCTTTAAACATAAATTCAGACTAAAATAAAATTTATTAAACTGTTATTTCAATACCAATTGTATTTTTAGGTAGAGGTTCATATTTATTTTCAATAAAAATAGTTTAATTTTCCCAAATTGGCATTTAATTGTATAATTATCTACTTTTTCAAATAAATTTAGTCAATTTAAAAAAATAAAGCAAGTAAATATCTGAAAAACCTAGCGAATAAAGCCTCAATTTGGCGAAGTTTCAAAGACTACAGGGAATGTGTCGTAACCCTTGGTGGCAACACTGTATCAAACTTTGTATGGTTGTTTTAATTCTGTTTCTGTTTTCGTTGAAAAATGTTCGCTTTTAGAAGCCAAGTCGAAGACGGAATGTGGCCTTGGAAAAGTTAGAATTTGATGGTTACTATTTTTGTTGTCTGTTTTGAAGTAAAATTGTAGAAAAATTATAAACTTACTATAGTAGTAACTGGAAATAACTAAAAATATGTTTACTGAAGCGAAGAAACTTTAATTGCTCCGTAAAAAGTTATCGTTAGCAAATGATCAAGTGAATACTGGCATGTCTGAGGTTTTGGACTTATCTTTTGGAAACTGCGATCCTTCATCAGTTATTTCGCGATATTTTCCAAGTGTACAGAATGTAGATCAGAATTTTGTAAATCAGTTTTTGCAAATTCAAGATAATCTTAATGAATGTTTAAGTAAAAATGACTTCCTTAAGCCACCTGTAAAGTATATTTATAATCCAACAGAATATGCGTCCAAGACTAATCAAATTTACATTAAAAAGTATTGTACTGGTCCTAAAAAGATACTATTTATTGGCATGAATCCAGGTCCCTTCGGAATGTGCCAGACTGGTGTACCATTTGGTGATACTTACTGGGTGAAAAATTGGTTGCAAATAGATGGTGAAGTTTTGAAGCCATTAAAAGAATGTCCAAATAGACCAATTTTCGGATTCCAATGTACTAGAAAGGAACAGAGTGGAGATAGATTTTGGAATCTGTTCTCTGAATTATGTACGGATCCTGAGAAATTTTTCAATTGTGCATTTGTTTATAATTATTGTCCTTTGGCATTTATGGATGGAACAGGCCGAAATTTAACCCCAGCTGATATTAAGGTAGTGGTTTAGTACACTGATAACATGTTGACTCACTTTTTTATTAAAACATCAACAGTTAAACACCCTTTTTCCTTTGTTTCAGGAGCGCAAAAATCTCGAATTAATCTGTGACAAATACTACCACGAAGTGCTGAAGCTTCTTCAACCTGAAGTTATAGTAGCAGTTGGGGATTACATGGAGAAGAGGACCAAAGCTGTTTTTAAAGTTTATGAATTCACAAACAGTATCAAACTGTTTCGAATGCCGCATCCTAGTCCTAGAGCCGTTAATAATCAAAACTGGTCTGAAAAAGCAAAACGTTTTCTAGAACAACATAATTTGATGGAGTTTATTCTTTAAAATGGATAGTTGGTTAAGTGGTGAAAAAAAATTTATGGAATTAGCATTTTCTTATGCCCAGCAGGCTTTACAAAATCTTGAAGTTCCAGTAGGTTGTATATTTGTTTATCACAATGAAGTTTTGGTAGTGGGAAGAAATGAAGTTAATCAGAGTCGTAATGCGACACGCCATGCAGAGATGGTTTGTATAGATCATGTGCACAACTACTGTAAAGCAAATAGGTTGGATTCTGGTGTCATTTTTTCCCAGGTAGTAGTGTATGTTACAGTCGAGCCATGTATTATGTGTGCAGCAGCATTGTACAGTTTAAATGTGAAAAGTGTTACATTTGGATGTAAAAATGACAGATTTGGCGGGAGTACAGTTTTCAATGTCGCAGAAAGATTGAAAACCGAAACAATAATCAAGGGAGGTTATCAGGCCGCTAAGTCAATGGATCTACTAAAGAAATTCTATAAAGGGACAAACCCAAATGCACCCCCCTCGAAGTCAACTAAGAAAGTGTAAATGTTTAATTTTGAAGTAGAAGCAGTATTTTTTGTGTTTATACTTTGTTACATTGTTTTTATGTGAAAATATTTGGAAAGAATATATTTTTAAGTTTTGTATACAATGTATTAAATATATTGATGATTGATATTAGGATTAATTAATGAGGCGGTCAGGAAAAAAAGAATTATTTTCAGTTTTATTTCATTTTTTGGGCATTCTGTGCTATTAATGTTCTGAGCACTTATCTACAAGAAATTTTACTCCAATAAAATAAAAAAGGTTTTCTTAATAATTTTAGATCCGACTAATGTTTATCACAAAATTTAAAATATTACAAAAACCAATCGATTGAATTACACATGAAATATGTCATCCCAATCATTTCCTTATATTTACCTATCAACAATGCTCAAAGGTTCAGCAAAGATAGCTGTAATTTGAACCCTTATTATAATTAACGCGCAATTCTTGAAAAACCATAAATACAAAAATTTTGATTCATTTGAAAAATGTTCTTCGTCTAGGGTAGCCTATAAGATTTTAAATGTAAGACATTGCAAACGTAAATGAAGGTGTTTGCTTTGTATGTAAAAGGTTTAATTACTGAGGCGGTGAAGCAGCGACAGGAGCTCCAGAACAAACTAAAATGGAAAATCTACACGCTTAAGCGATATTTTTCAAACAGTTTTAATATGTGTTGTCAGGTATAAGATCTGTATCTCCTGATTCTATAATTATTTCATAAACTTGTTTAAAGATGATCTATAAGTAAACGTGTACTGCTCTATCAATTTCAACAATTAACATATTTTATTTCCAAGAAAAGTTTCTTGCAATTTAATTGAGGAATAAGATGTTTATACCTTATTTTTTATTTTACTGCCGCTGTTTTTCTTTAAATTTTTTAGGATTAAAATTTGGAAACTTGGGAAAAAAACTGTTTCAATTAAATTAATAAAAACAAGAACCTGCAAAAATTTAATCATGGTTTAACTATGATAAAAAATGTATTTACATTTTTTTATACAAAATTTTCTTAGATGTCAATCTGTCTAGATTGGAAACTCCTATCTTAAATAACACACAAAAAATTGATAGCATGACTCAAATAAATACTTGTATCTACAATACCACATGATACGAAAAAGTATGGTAATATAAATTTGTTATAATGGAACTGAAGAATCGCAAAAAAACATTAAAAGCTAATGAAACTTTGAAAATCCCAGGAAAAAGAAAATTACAGACTTATAAACATATAAACATCACAAAAATTGTATACTAAAACTTACAATATACAAGAATATGAATATAAAAAATTTAAAGCTGTATTTAATGAATATGTTATTTTTGTTTTTCACATGAGAGATTTCAAGTTGACACAGGCCCTAGGCTGGAAGGAGAAGGAGATCCATGACCATTACTTTTTCGAATATTCAAAGTTGCATTTATTAGTTTTGGACTCGCTGCTTGACTAGAACAACTACTGCTGCTATGGGATGATGAAGTACTACATGAATCACTTGAATCAGTTTCAGAATCTTCAGAATCAGACTTGCATGTTCTGTTCTGTTCCAATTTGCTTTTTAGTACCTCATTCTCATCTTGCAAGTTTTCCTTTTCTGACCTACATTTTTCCAATTCTTTTTGTAATTTTGTAATAGTCTCCTCTAACTGTTTTTCTTTTGGCTTCTGTGCAATCAATTCTTGGTAGCGGTTGTCTAATGCAAGATATTCTTGTACCAGCTCCTGTTTTGACATTGTGAACAATTTTTCTGTTTGTACTCTTTCATATTGATCATCAAAATCCTTTAGTAAAAACTGCTCTTCATCATCAGGAGAGGAGTAAAATTCATCACAAGAATCGACACTAAAACTAGAATCTCTTGTTCTAGTTAAAGTTGAAGTTGATGCTGCCTCTTCACATTTTAATCGTTCATCCAAATCTTCTATCATAAAATGGTCTTCTAAAAGAAACTGGTTGTCATTATGAGGCGCTTCAGGTTTGTACATCTTAGTTTTGCCCATTTTGTTGTACTTCCGACCGTATTTCAAATAAGGTTGCTTTCTTTTGGATTTCCCGCGTCGTGTTTTCCGCTTTTTGGTGGGAATATCTGCATCGGCCACCTTCGCGGTGTCGTCGGCGAGCGTCGCAGCGCGCGCACCCTTTTGTTGGCCAACGTCATCTTGAGAAAGATGGTTGGTTTCAACGGTCTTCAGATTCGATTTTTCTGCGTTGATGTTCGGGCTTACTTCACTCATTTTATTTTTTCGGAATAATTCACTGAAAATTATCTCTATAATCGTTCACTCTGGAAACTTATCTTGCAATACTCGTAACAGAAACTCAAGACCAACTGCACACCACTCGAAGAAAATCGCCATTTTCATTTCATCTAGCTTTTTGTTGATCGGTAGAGGACGCCACTATCAATTAACTGTTATGAAATGGTTGCCTTTCTTTAGGTGGAACTTGCATAAAACTTCCAGCGTTGTCATAGTATTAAATTTGCTTGGCTCTCGAGGACTTTGCAGATATTTATAAATTATTATGGTCATTAGCTTTTAGTGAACTTATTTACCATAATTTTAAATGGCAAAAAACATTACAGATACTGACTTACATTTAGAAGAGAAACCATCTATTTTCAGATTAGCCATGTGAGGGTAATTCAATACGATAACACATTTTTAACCTGTCACCATTTGGCAACCTCGACTTGGGTGTCATTTTACTCATCATATTCAAATAAATATATTATTTTTCTAATCTTTCTTTCCATTATAATTTATTAGAGCAAATGTATTCCGAGATCTTTACTAAACTCACTGGCTTGATTTTATTGTGCGCGGGCGTCCCTGGTACATATTTATATTTATGATTATGAGGATGTAATACATTTGTGATGGGAGGGAAGATAACCTTGGTATAATATAAAATGGAAACACTGAGGATTTTCACTAAGGCGTATTATATTGGCTAAGAATACCGTATAATCCAAATTGCATTAGTAGCCTGTTAATTAATTCTATACCATAAATAATTTCCCACATATTTAAGGATTATGGTGTTAAGCTGCCACCAACGCATTAACTAACGAGTAACCATTCCCGTTCTGTGGAATTAATCCAATTTACGGCTATATAACGAAAAAATCAGAGAACTATTTGGTTTATCGATAAATTATTATTCCGTTTTGTAGATTTTGCCAAAATGATGCAACAATACTTGAAAGAGCTAGAACAGGTAGAATAAATATTTATTGCTAATTATAATTTAATGTTTTGGATTTACATAATCAGGAACCCTTTGACTCTGAGGAGTTTGTGGAAAGATTGGCTTGGAGAACTATAGCAGAAACTAAAAGTGAGGGAGACGAATATGATTTGAATCCGACCTTACTGCATGAGTCCTTTGTGCAAGCTATCAAGTGATGATTTTTTTACACTAACTTAGTTCATTTCTTATTCTGATTTACTTTTAAGGGATTTAACATTATTACAAGAACGACAAGAGAAAAAATGCGAACGTTTGGAAACCAGTGTTCGTGAGGATGAAGCTTTATTCTTTAGAGAAATATATAATTTGCTTGAGCAAAATAAGGTATTAAATGAGTCTCTAAGTCTCTAAACAAATCAAATTCCCTTAAAACCGTTCTTTATTTATTTGGTTATTACATTGCTATTCATTTTAATTTAAATTTTCTAGCATTCTATTGAAACATTCCAAGAATTGGACAGCAAGATTAATCATGTAGCAGCAAAAGTACTTCATTTGGGAGATCAATTGAACAGTGTTAATGAGCCTAGGGCTAGGGTTGTTGAAGCTCAAAAAATAATGTTTCATTTGAGTGAATTTTTGACAAATAAGTCCTTAATATCATCAATTTTTAATGATCCTTATAGGGTAAAAATGTATGTTTTGTTAGGATAATAAACAATCAAATTATTGGGTTTTAGATTGACGAAGCCGCAGATATTATTCAAAAATTATTTTCATTATCCCAGGATTTGCCATCCCCTAAGTAAATGTGATTTTAACAAATATAAATTGCAAGATTATTCTTCTATATAATTAAGGTTCATTGACTATTAATTACATATTCATTTTTAGGTTTGAAGGTGTTAAAAGAAAAATTGAAGATATATATGTGGAAATAGAAAAATCTTTAATTGAAGACTTCCTAACAGCAATGAGTAAAGAAGATTTGACTAGGATGAAAGCTATAGCCACAGTTTTATTTCAGTTTAAGGGTTATTTGCAGTGTGTTGATGCATATATTGAGAAAAGTCAGGCGGTAAGGTTTTGTTCTTATTTAATAGAATATATTTACAGTATCTCACCAAAGATATTGTTTTAGGGATGCCTTCTGAGTAAGGATGTTTTTGCCCACTTACTTCCTCTTTGCAAACATAACTATGACATTATTAGAGATGTCTTTATAAATCCTGAAAAAGTTATGTCCAAATTTATTTTAAATCTGTATCAGTTCAAGTTGGCAGATTATATTGACTGCAAGTTGAATGCCAAATTGGGCAGTTATAATTATCTTCAAGTATTATATGAACTGTATTCAAAGTAAGTGGAACACAATTGTTTTTATGATCATGATCTTTTAAAAAGTTGTGTATTTATGACATTTTAAAATTTTTGTTTTAGAACCAGCCAGTTTTCTAATGACCTTGGTATATACAATCTTGGAAGTGACAAAAATTATTTCAATAAACTCACATCAAATATTTTTAACAAATACATTAGTGATTATATTCAGTAAGTATAGTTCCCTTTTAGCAAAATTTGCATGCAGCTATATACAGTGTTAGTAAAAAGTACGGGAACACTTAAATATCTTAAAAACTGCCAAAACTGAAACAATTACCTGGGGGATTTTGAATATGCAGAATTTAACAATGCTAACAGCCTATTTGGAATGCATTATTTTTGTTGCAATGAATTGTGTATGTCAAATTTAGTAAGATCTCATAATTTTAAAAGTTTGCAGAATTTCGGAGGTTTTTGAACACTGAACACACTTCTAGTCGGTGAAAGGTTACCAGAGTGATAAATATTATCGCGAAAACTGACAACATTGCTATTGGCATTCTTGAATTCTGCATGTTCATTCATTCATTCATGTATTAAATTTTATTGTTTGAGATTGGGTAATTTTTAAGATATTTACACTTTCTGATACTCTTCACTGAGAAAGCGGTATTGCCGTAGCTCAGTAATAAATAGAAACAAAAAATTGAAATTATGAGAGCTTACAAATTTGACATGCTCAATTCATTGCAACAAAAATAAATTAAAATAAAATTATGACGTGAATAGTAAAAGTGCAGTTTTTGCAGCATTTTTGAATTCTGTGTCAGTTTTCAGGATATTAAAGCATTCCGGTATTTTATACTAAACCTTTAGATTTTGTTATTATTTTAACTAATTTTAGAATAGAGCTGAAATGTTTAAAAGAACGCTGTGCAGCTAACTTACAAAAATATTATGAAACCAAAAATCATCATAAGAAACAAATTCAATCTGGCGGGTAAGTTTTATTTTTTTTTTTACTTGAGGAAATTGGTTGGTTTAGCTGTAATAAATTCTTTACGCAAACATTGTTTGCCTGACTTTTCCTGTTCAGATTATTATAATTGCTCTATGAACTTAGTTCGGACTAGCTTCAAAAAAAGCTCTTTTGTCTTTTTACCCTGCTTAGATATATATCAATAAAGATAAAAAAAATGATTATAATTTCATTATTAATACTGCTGAACTATTTAAAAATTAAAGTTTTAATTGTATTTAACAATAGAATGGACTAGGTTATAGATAAGATTTTTTAATTAAAGATATTTTAATTAATAATATTAAATCATAAGCGAGAAATTGTGTCTGTTTTTAATGTTTTCAGTTGAAGATATGTTTTACGTTGACAGTATAATTTTATATTATAATAATTAAACTTCTATTTTTCAGTCCCTTCAGGTAAACTTGTGTTGTATTCACGAGCTAAAAACGACAATAACGACAATGGAAATAAATGAAACGTCTCTTATTCAAAATTATAAAGCACATATATTCTTTATTTTATTGTTTTTAGTTTTCAAGACCTGCGCAGGGATTTGCAGGCAGTTATCGGTACGCGAGCTAACATAAATATTGCGCAGATAGAAAATTATCATGGCGAAACCTTCTTATCAGAGGAGTTAGCCATCATGATTCTACAGGATACGAAAAATGCATTCTTAAGATGCCAATTGGTATGTCTTTGTTAATTTATTGTGTACAAGCTTAGTTTTAAACCAACCGGTTGGGTACTATAAGACCACAACTAGGTATCACACTTCCTAAAACAATAATTTTACCTGTATTAGTAACACTTCATTTTGTGCGTGGCGAAGAGGGGTTCAGGGAGGGATGCCAGTAGTCGTTCCAAGTTTCAATAGATTAGCATTGATTGGAGATTTTTTTCTTACAGCTGTCTAAACCTGAGGAGAAGGCGGCCAATGCCTATCAAATTCTTGACAGATTAGTCAACAGTCTGCTTATAGAGCATGTTGATTATGCAGTAGAAATAGGACTTCAGGCTATCCCAGTTGTTGAAGGTCCTAAAAGTCCGCCTGTACTGCACTTCTTTAAAATTGTTTATCAGAGTAACAATATTACGCACTTAGTTGAGAAGCAGTTTATTGATTTGGTGGTTCCACTGGTTGTGTAGGTATTTGATTGGATTATGACAGTACTACTAACATTGCCTTTTACTTATAAGATGGACATTCAGAGTATAGTGAACTCTCTTAGCCTCCTTTATATGTGGATTAAACTGTATAGTAACCAAGTATTTTTTGGGTCAATATCATTCGATATGTTTAGTCCACAAGTTGATGTTAAAAAAAAATATTAAATTACTATATCTAATTTTGATTTTTAACTCTAACACCTATCTTGTTTGATATAACTTTTGGACTAAACTATAATAAGTAGACCCTAAAATCTGCTCCTAATTATGGCCCATTCATTAAGATACACCCCTTATAATATTACGTCTAAAGGCAATCAGAGTAGAAATTGTTGTAGGTGAAATTTATTTAAAATTTGACTCATTTCAGTTCAATAGACCCAAAATTCCACTGTAAATAGGTAAATGCGGAGTTTTCATTATAAGCAAGTTCTCTATTTTCTGTGGTATATATCGTTACTATTATTAAATACATTTTTTCAGAAATACTCCCAAGTTCAATGATTCTGTCCAAAAGAAAAAATTTGTAACAGAAGATATTGAAAGAAAAATTAATACTGGACTAGACAGGTATGACACTAAATTAAAAAAGTAATTTAGGTAAGTTTTTCCTGATCATTTCTAGGTGCCTTAATGCAATAACAACTTGGATAAAACTTTATTTGCAATCAGAACAACGAAAAAGTGACTTCAAACCTGAAACTGATGACTTTGATACTGTTTCTTCACCGGTAGGTGTCTCAATCTCTTTTTCTGTTTGTTAACTATATTTAGATCTCGCACTGGGGGCTAGGGATCACTGACACTTTTTAGTTGATTTAGTTAGTTAAAAACAAATAATTCTTAAAAAAAATTATAACCCGAGTCACAAAGTTTTTTTAATTAATACTTTAAATCTAATAATATTTATATTGAAGAATAAAGGGGACTTGCTAGGAATTTGCACTAGTTCAAATTTTCATTTTCTTGTCCGGTGTTGAATAAGTTTTATTCTGTAATATTTTACAAATTTTTTGTTCTAGGCTTGTAAATCAGTGTCGCAATATATAACAAATATTATTAATGAAATAAAAAGTAATTTGGATGGGCATAATGTCACTGCTGTACTAGAAGATATGGGTATTCGACTGCACCGAACAATTTATGAACATATGTTGCAATTTCAGTACAGTACAGCAGGTAATAATATTTATTTTTTAGTGAATCACTCACAAATTCTATTTCTGAATGTTTCATGTTTATTTGTAATAAAATTACATATGCACCTATGTCCTACTGTTGCATATATTTTTCACTTCAGTTGGTTTTAATAGAATGTTTCAGAAGTGTTTTAAAAGACTCAATGTTCTGGTATTTTGTACTTTTTAGGAGCTATGGTAGCAATATGTGATTTAAATGAATACAGGTCATGCACAAAACGATTGGGACCTTTAGTTACAGAATTGTTTGAAACCCTTCATGCTCTCTGCAACCTCCTTCTGGTAAAACCTGAAAACCTACATCAAGTGTGTTCAGAGGATTCATTGGTAATACTTTGTAGCCAAAAGCTTTTGTATGTATCTAATAATAATTTTTCAGGTAAACTTGGAAAGGTCAATTTTGCACAATTTTATTCAACTAAGAAGTGATTTTAAAACTCAAAAGCAAACTATTTTGAAAGTTTAGTTTTTATAATCAGTAATGGATCTAATCATATTTTATTGGTACTTATATTAATGAAATGATTTTAAAAAATTATTAATGGTACAGAAAAAGGTATAATACTCAAGACAGTTTTTAAGTAAGCAGAAAGAGAAGGAAATAATATTCGTAGTTTGCATGAGGGACCTGAGAGCTGGCAGACTGTGTAAGATTTGATTAGTTAGTGTCGTCAGAAAACCAGATAATACATAAATGATCTTGTAAAGCAATATGAACAATATTGAAAATTAAATTGCTTAAGTTAAAATTTTTACGTATTTTCATTTTGCGCCCTGATATTCAATTATATCTAATTTATTTAAATCCTATTTTGGAAAACGCTGCAACTGCGATGTCCATACGCCAATATTACGAACAGCTATTCTGCTAAATGTTATAAGCAGTTTTTCTCTGCAGTTCATGTGCGATGCTCTGTATTTACACAATTCGCGCTTTTTTTTTGACATTTTAAATACTAAATAATTTTTTTTTTTTAATTATAGCAATTTCTTTTACAAACAAACTGCAACTGATCCCTTTTTTATGACACTACAGACATCCATGGCGTGTGAATTGCAACCAAAACCGACCAAAACTAACGATCCTAAAGCAAGAAAGAAGCACAAATCCGAAACTTCGTATGCCTTGCTAACCCGGAGTATTTCATTTATGTTAATTATATAAATTTCCCGGCCCGATAATTATAGAATGCACAGAATGTGAAATTTATTCATTCAAAATATTTTTCAAAAAATCGGAACAATGATGCCTTTGTATTAGCACATTAGTGTTGAAATGACGGATTCTGTAACCACACATTAACATTTTTCTAATTATTAGGTGAAAGAACGCTAAATTCTTTTGATTTGGTAAGTCCGTTTGGGTAAACTGACCAAAGACCTACCAATTACCATAGTACTGGAGAAACTGTTCTATTTTTTTATCCATGGGAATTATTTCTCTTTGATAAACACGCCAAACCAAACGCATTGGGTTTCGGCGCCAAGGCAATAAAAAATATTCCAGAGCAGAGAGAATAAGGTAAATTATCCAAATATGTTCTCCTAACAATTGGCAAACCGATTTATAATGCACTGCATGCAGTCACAACATATATAATTCTGCATAACATTTTTTATTGCTATGTGATGCCGGAGTTCAGTACAATACCATTTAATTTTTTTCAGTTATAAAATGGAAACAATGGAAATTACTTCACATTCTACTAATCACGTTTCTAAAGATGAAAAAATGGAAGAAATTTCGGCTGATGAGATGACTTCTCGTGATTACTATTTTGATTCCTATGCGCATTTTGGTATTCACGAGGAGATGCTAAAAGATGAAGTAAGGACTCTTACTTACCGTAATTCAATGTATCACAATAAACACCTTTTTAATGGAAAAGTGGTCATGGATATTGGTTGTGGCACTGGCATTTTGAGTATGTTTGCTGCAAAAGCTGGAGCAAAGAAGGTTATAGCTGTCGAGTGTTCTAATATTGTTGAATATGCCAGAAAAATTGTTCAAGCTAACAAGTTTGATCACATAATCACAATAGTAAAAGGAAAGGTGGAGGAAGTTACCCTACCAGATGGTATAGAACAAGTTGATATAATAATTTCAGAATGGATGGGTTATTGTTTATTTTACGAGAGCATGTTGGATACTGTTTTATTTGCGCGTGACAAATGGCTTAAGCCAAATGGTCTTTTGTTTCCTGATCGCTGTTCTCTATTTATAACTGCCATTGAAGATAGACAGTATAAAGATGAAAAAATTAACTGGTGGGATGATGTGTATGGATTTGATATGAGCTCAATTCGTAAGGTTGCTATAAGTGAACCTCTGGTCGATGTTGTTGATCCTAAACAAGTTGTTACAAGTCCAGCCTTAGTAAAGGAAGTTGATTTGAACACAGTAAAAAAGGAAGATTTGGAATTTTCTTCAAATTTTACATTATCGGTTCGTCGAAACGATTATGTTCAGGCTTTAGTCACATATTTTACTGTTGAATTTACTAAGTGTCATAAACGTATTGGCTTTACCACTGCTCCTGATGCACCATACACACACTGGAAACAAACTGTGTTTTATTTTGAAGACTACATGACAGTTCAAAAAGGTGAAGAAATTAATGGAGTTTTTACAATGAAACCCAATCCGAGAAATAACAGAGATCTGGACTTTGCCATTAAATTGGATTTCAAAGGCGAATTATGCGAGGTGCATGAAGAAAACCATTATCGTATGCGTTAAATTCTTTGCAGTTTTGTGTCCTGCTTTACTTTTTGGCCTGAACAGTTATTTCTTTTGTTGAGTGATATTATGTAGCATCTTTTTTTGGTTTAATATTTTTTTAAATTAACAATTTTTTTTATACTTTAAAGTTGTTTAAAACGTTACAATATTATGAATTGCAAATGCCAAACACTGTAATTTTATTAAGAAACTGTAAGTAACCTTTTACTTTGCTATTTAGTATATTATAAGAATTAGATGTATAATATTCAAATACAGTTTTAATAATTACTTCAATCATTTTTTTAGAACAGAATTCACCATAATAGATTACTGTTATAAATAGTAATTAAGGCAAGGATTTTTTTAGTATTCATTAGGGTTTTTTTTTATACATAAAATTAGATTTTCCATTTTGTAATGAATATCACTATTCAATCTTTTCATGGAGATTTAGAAAATTTAGAATTGACTTCCCACTCATATTTTAGTAAAATTGAGAGCTTTTGGTCAAATGTATTGCAGCATTCAAATAGATACTTTATAATTTTGTATTATGATAGTAGTAAGCAAGGGCATAAATAATAAAAATAAACAAATATGTTTTATACATTAAATAAGTCAAAAATAACCAAAACTATTTGTTAAATTTATCCAGCTTCCAGCCTACGTAGAGAACTTGCAGCTTAATTGTCATAAATGATTGGAAAACTATAATTTTATTAACGTCAAATTGACAAATATAATGCAAAAAAATTATAACCAAAACATTTTCACAACAAATAACTTCCTAGTCTTCCTAAATTTGGTAGACCCTGAAATAAATGAAACTTGCTTATTTTAATCCCACTCTTGCTATTAATAGTATACCTTGTCCAAGGGTAAGCTTTGGTTTAAACTAACCAAAGGCATCAAAGTTGGTCTACCATGAGCACATTGAAATGGCAACGTGCATTGAGAAAGTTTGCTTATGAGAGTTGAACATGTTTTGTTATCTAGTAAGTCACCAAACTTGATGGCAGCTGAAATATGGAAAGACGTTTTCTTTACGTTTATAATGGAACATCCTTACTTACCTCTACAAGCTTTCAAATTTATAATATTTTGAATAATTTCAGGAATATGGGAAATAGAGCCCCTTGTGGTTTTAACTAAATGAATAATTTCATGTAAAAGAGACTGCAGTAATTTTTCTAAATCCTCCAAATATTCCTAAACAGATGGTAGGTAAAATTATAGAGAATGTGAAGTCATTGTGATTTGCTTACCTCAAATCTTTCCCAGATACACAATGGAATAGTTAGTATGTTTATACCATTAGGGAAAAATTCTACCTCAAGTCCTAAAGAATTTAGGTAACCCAAGTGTCGCTTTAGAAGTGACAAATCATTTTGAGGTAAGAAAAATAGAAACTTCTGCGAACATGGCCATTTACTCTCTTTGTAAACTAAAAAATCGAGTTGTTTTGTATATATCGCTACAAGTTTCGCGCGTACTTTCTGAAAGTTCTTCCAACTTGATCCTTTCGTGAACCGCGTGCTGATCGAATAATATAATCGCGTTCTTTGATCTGTCTACTGTAGCAATAAATTTCTTATCCACTTGGCCAATTACGTCAAGATTATAAAGGATATCTTTATTAAAACTAACACAGTTTTCAAAATTCTTCAGTTTGTTTGATTTTTCGTTTATACGGGGAATGCAATTTTCGTACAATTTTCTCTTCTCTTCATATATCTTATTAAAGAATTTTGTCGGGTCTACAAACAATTATAATGGTCAACAGAGTGAAATTTCGACGTTTGCTAAACTTCGAAATTAACTCAACCGCTAAAGGAAGACGGTAAGTTTCAGGAATATCACTAAGCGGCATTGAATGTATTCGTGTTTGTAAATAAACATTCAAAAACTACTGGGCGTAGAAAAAGTAGATAGGATGCAACAAGTCAATAAGTTTTTTCAGTCACTCGTGCACATCAAACTCGTGACTAAAATTTTAGCACGTTAATTTGAAGGTCACAGAACCGTTGTTGGCTAATTTGAAAATGAAATAAATCCTGGAAAATAAATTATTTAATATTTTAGTATTTTAGATTGGACTTTATTTACTATTTATTTAAAATAAACCGGAGTGATTGAAAAAGTACCGGAAGTCAAAATTTTTTGTTTTAAAAGAAATCTAAAACGCTGGCAACGTTCTTATTATTGTGTCGGACAAATTAGCATTAACGATGAATATAAAAACGTGCCAGTTTCGTCAACAGGTATTATTCTTGCAAAGTTGATCAATGGCAAGTTTGTAGCGCCTGTTAAAGAATGCCATTAGTTAACGTTTAATGAAAAGAAAAACTTAGTCGTATAAGAAACTGTAATATTGATACAAAGATTTATTTCAATCAATAAAATTTGACCATGAAATTTGTTGTCTTCGTTTACCGTTCAGTTCAAATGTTTTTTTAAGAAATCCGAATTTTGACGGATGCACTTTTAAAACTGGTCAAAATTGGGAACATACCATCGCCTATATAGTTTTGCCACTTAATAACCATTACTTCGTTGTCGATACTTTGCAACATAAACGCATGCAACTTCGTCTTGGTATTCTGGCTTAAACACCTATCAACTTCTTTGTGTTTTTTCAAAATAGGTGACATACCTTTTGGTATAAAGCCCAATCTTTTATCAAAATTAAATTTGATTTTACCAATTTTCGGAACCTCAAAAGTTGATATGCCTAAAACACATTTTAATAACGAAAGTTAACATTTTGTCAGTTTATGGTGTGATCTTGGTCAAATCGCAGTGTTTTGGTTATTTGAAATGCAACTATAATGGATTCTGAAAAAATTCTAGCTATTATTTGAATTGTTAGTTTTATGAAAAAAAAAATTGAAAGAACTAACTAACCATTTTTCAAAGAAACTTTCACAGGCTACTGTAATGCTTTTTACAAAACTTCTGGATTCCTCCTGCGTCGGTTTTTGCTTAGTCGAAATTGCTGACGTTTCGCCAATCATCCTGTTGGCTTCTTCAGAGCTTGACTGAAACCAGGCGAAATGTCAGTAATTTCGACTAAGCAAAAACCGACGCAGGAGGAATCCAGAAGTTTTGTAAAAAGCAACTAACTAAACAGTTTTTTAATGAAAAAATTTTAAACGGTATCTTATTTAGAAATCAAAATTAGGACAAATATTGGTGTAGGCTTATTTTAAAAAAATATATTCTTAAACAGTTTTTATATGTTAATTAATCTGAGTTAACCATGTAAGAAGAAAATAAACAATAGGTGCTAAAAAAAAGCTCTAGTTCTTTAGCATAAATTCCATTAGAAAAAAAATCAGTTTCAACAATGCAATTTTTATGAGTTGATATTCAACATTGTAACAAGACACAACTACAATTACGGTAATAGGAAAATGAATCAATTTAATCGGAAAGATACACGTTGACAATAAATATTAAATATCTTCAAAACTGTGAATTTAAAAAAATGAAATAAAAATAAGGCTCTCAACGAGAATATTATACCAAATTTTTATGATTTTGGTACTTACGAAACTAAAATATAGAAAAATAATTCCAATTTTTGTCATTTTGGAGTTTTTTTGGACAAACAAACAATTATTATTCGTCATACAAGATCTTTTTTTAATATTAGCGCATCATCAAGGAACATAACGCATATTTCTGCAAAAGGGTCTTTCACTAAACGAATACAACCAGATTAAGTAGTTTTGGTTAGCCCGTATCAAGATCAGATTATTAATCAAAGATTTCAAATATGTTGACACTTACCGGTTCTTTTGTTAACATAAAATTTGTCACCGCGTTCATTGTACTGTCTAATCCAAATATTTTGCGAATCGGCTATAAATTTGCTCCGATCCATGGTTTGCTGTGACAAATTGTCCGAATTGGCATTTTCTGACAATATAAAATTAGCCTCAGTACCGTGTAACAACTCATTGTATATTTGTTTTTCGTGAAGCTCTTTCTCAAACATTTCTTGCCTTTCCGCTTCAGTTATCAAAGTTATTGCAAGATTGCTGTTATTGTCAAAACCATCGTCTTTATCAATTTGATCAAATTTAGTATTCTGTTGTGGGACATGTGCAATATCCTTGAATTGACTGTTCGCATTTTGGGAACTAAAAAAAAATATGCTATTATTTTCGAGTTCGACATTTTTACGCTGGTTCTCGGTTTCGGTTTTATTGGCACATGAAAATTCATATTCATATTCTGACACGTTTTCGGAAAAACCACGCTCACTTTTATGATCCGGCACAGTCCACTTTTTGATATCATTTCCTGGATCAATGGAAGCCATTTCTTTTTTAAAAAAATAAGTAGACTGCTCAAAACGGTCATGATGGTTAGTCGAGCGCATTTTGTAGTTTTCTTGGCCGATTTCATCGATGTTAATTTTTGGGTATCTGATCATTTGTTTCTCGATATAACAATTTCTGTTGTTTAATTCTTCACCCCGCTTACTCCGATCATTTGGAATAAATTGTCTATTTATCTCATTTGCAGGGTGTAAATTAAAATTGTGGGTAAAATTTTCATAATCGACTTTAATATTTGTTGTTTTCTTTGTAAAATATGGATTTTCACACTCGTATATATCGACTTTCAGTTTCTCTTCGTTCCGTCGTTTTATTTGATAAATATTTTTGTGTAATCCAACGAATGGCTTATATTTATTAATCTTGTTATGCTTGGCTGAAAACCCACCGACCGTTTTGTAAGTTTTGGCGCAAGGTTGTTTAGACTGGGAAGATGGTAAGACTTCACATTTGGCGGTTTTTTGCAAACGGGCAAAATTGAAGATGTTGCCCTCATCAAGTTTGCAATGACAAAAACGCAAGGCTTGAAAATCGTTAATGTCGCTTTCGCCAGAACTATCTGCGTCGGTAGTTTTTGGTACGAATTTAAAACGAGTTTCTTTGCGGACAGTGTTTGTCATTAAAATGGTATAATTATCGGAAAAGTGTTTCTTTCTTTTTGGACTTGTCAAACGGAAATGATCAAGATTGCAAGTCAGGTCGCTCAAATTACTTTGCGTGCGCTTCAACGCAGAGTTGCTTGTCAAATTGGTTTGAATCGCCTTAGATCGTTTGGTGTTTTTTTCTTTCATCCTTTTTCTTTTCATGTTGACGGAAATGGAGACGGTGCCATTGATTCCTTTTCGTTTGTCCTGATATTTATTTTCCACGACAAAATTAGATTCTAGGATAGTTTCTTGACTACTTTCCGTGCTGTGATTAATTTCTGTCGTTTGACAGTCCGGTTGATAAATCTGTGTCGATTTGAGGAACATGTCCATGATAAGATTCTTTCCATCACGTTCGTTGTTACTTTCTCCTAAATTAATGGGCAATTTATTTACTTTTTCGTCTACCATATTATCCACGTGAACGACTTCATTTTTAGTTTTGGCAAATTTCGGTTCAATTCTGATTTGTAACGGTTTCCTCATAATAGACTTGGGAATTTTTGATTTAAATTGGGCTCGCTCACTTTCCGTGTTTTGTATTAAGTAGTTTTCTGGGCTTACCAAGTTTTGCGTTTTATTTGCTTTATCTGCATTTGCGTATTGATTTTTTCCGCTCGACAGGTCATTTTCATATTCGGCGACGTTGGTTTCCGTTTTCTCTTTTTTGCTATTTCTTTTAAACGCACGCGCCTGAACGACGCCGTGCATGTGTGACATACCTGTACTACTTTTCAATTCAATATTTTGTTCAACGTGAAGAATCTTATTCTTGCTTTGATCTATTCCAGTGAACGACTTGACAATTTTTTCAACACTCGCAAATACTAAATTCCAGTTTTTAAATTCAACCTCAGCCTTGGATGAATTCATGCATATGTCTACGAAAGAAGGAGGACATTTAATATTTAACACAAATATTGGATATTTTTTGTTATCGCAGGTAGATTTTTTTTTCTGTTTTGCCATTTCCTTCATTAACGAGTGGCTAGTAAATTTTTGCAATTTTTGATTTATTATGGGTCGTTTGTTCACGTACATATATTGATATCTTGCTGTATTAACGAAGTCTTTATGTACAAGGCACTCTACGGTGAGTTTGTGTTTTGATACTTTCAGTAAAACAAAAGATTCATTTACATCAGGATGTAAAATTCGAAATGATTCAATTATATCGGCACTCTTAGGGCCGTTGAAGATTAATAGCCCGGTAACGTCATTTCTTAAGGAAAATGATGTCTCCGGATTAACTAGCATCAAACATTCTAAGCTTTTCTTGATTTCGTCTAGATCTAACTCTGGAACAATTCGATTCCTTCTTATCGGAAAATTATACAGAAAGTCATTGACTGTTACAGTAGTTCCACAACTCGGACGATATTTTACTCTTGTGACCTCTGGATTTCCATGGCGGTTTAAAATTTTACAGTAAGTTTCAACTGATTGTTTATGCCTGGACGTCATATTTACCGACTGACTTACATCCACCGTACTAGCTAATGCTTCTCCGCGAAAACCGTATGTGTTTATTGAATTTTTATTTTTTTTTAAATTACAACATTTGTTAGTAAAGTAACGGGTCCCGACAAATTCCATATTTTCCTTAGTAATCCCTTCGCCGTTATCTGCAACTTGAATTCTAAATGTAGTAAGATTTACTCTTACTGCTATGGATGTCGATTTAGCATCTAAGCTGTTGGAAACCTAAAAGTACTATGACATGCACTCTGGAATTTGCTTATAGAATTTAACTCAACTAGTTCAAATATGCAGTGAGAAATACTGTTAACATTAAATCCGCTTCTAAGTCTGGATATAATATCCAAGTTCAACTTCTGCACACGCATAATGAGTTACTTCAAGGAAAAATATTTGCAAAATCAATTAAGTCAAAACTGTCAATCTTATTTTCAAAAAGGTGGCTTTGATAAATTCAGTTCGAGAAAAACACGAAAAATTTTTGAATACGTCTGATTTCGACGGAATTATTGATGATTAAATGGATTTTGCCCATTTTGAAAGTGAACATGTTTAGACTTTTATTTGGTTGTTGTGCACCTCATTTTTGAAATAAAATTATAATAGGTAAAATATTTGACAATTTGTGGATTAAATCGGTTGAAAACATATAACACCTTTTTTATATTTTTAACTGTTCCATTCTAGAAATAGATAGATATTTCGTTTTTGATTTACATTTGCATTGAAAGCAAATCCGCACAATTTAAGATAAAATCTTTTTACATCTTAGTAGTCACTTAGAATTAATGTAGTGCACACATGTATGTGCAAGTTGTGCCAAACAGGACTGCAAAATTACCGTCGCTAAAGCAACAAATTTTCATCAGTCAAAATTTTTGATTAAAAACAGTTTATTCATAGTTATGTCTTCTTTTTTATTCAAATGTTCTTAAATTCTACAAATGACTATTCTCATAATAAGTCCCTGTTCAGTTCTCATTAGTTCACCCTATTTCAAACATAGGATATTGGATTCATCATTCATCATATCTTATACATGTACATAATATACCAGTAACACATAGGACAGTTGAAATATCAAAAATTTTTAATTTTTCTTTTTTAAAAGGCCAAAAGAAAAATTTTATTTTTTTATTAAAAGGTAGCAACAATGGACAAAGTATTCTTTTATTTATTAAACATTTAGCAACTATACTATACTATATACATAGTACTTAATTATTTTAATTTGAACTTAACGAAGACAAGTCACATTAAGAGAGACAGAGAGGGTCAATAAATGGTCAGTTGGAACAATAAAAATTTGTGGAAGGGATAACTGCAGAAAATGATAATCTAGACTGCAGGTTAATTCTTAAGTATTTTTTTAACAGCCTACACAATTTTTAAGTCAACCCTGATTTGCATCTTTGGTCTGTTATCGCTGGGATCCAGTATTATTTTGCAAGAACCCAAGTAATGTAAAGTGTGTAAATAAAACACTCGCAGATGCATTTTTTTTTAAATAAAAAACAACAACACTGTCTTATTTTTAAAATTATTCCTACAGGGAAGCACAATCGAAATATAATAACAATAATCAAAACAGTTACACTAAGAATAATATGCAATATTTTGATCTAAATGATGATGTTTGAAATACATTTTTTCAAATTTCTTAAGAATGTAACTCTCCACAGGTCTTTATTTACACACCTTAAATTGTCACAAAAAAATACTATACCAGATAGTATTTTCTTTCTGTAAACATTCAACTCCCTTTTTTTAACTCCTTGCTGTAAGTTTCTTTCAGCATTTTTAAATTAGCTTCCAAGGAAACCACTTCTTCAAATCTTTGTGCTGCCCTGGCTTGTGCAATATAATTTCTTACAATGTTCATTTGTTCTATTAGAGGATTTTCTTCTTGATCAACCTTAAATTCATTTGGAACATGTGCTGGGGACCAGCCTGTAGTTACAGCTACTTTTTGAAGCTTTGAGTTGCTAGGCTCAGGTAGTGAGTCATCTTTGAACATTTTTGAACACCTTCAATAACAAAGTTGACATTTAAATCCTGTCTATAAACCTTTAGAGAATTAATGGAGTTATTCTAGTAGTTTAATGAGTATGTTTAAAAAGTGAATCTTGACCTGTGAATCTGGACCTGTGTTAATATTTCTATTAACTTGCATGATAAGTATGGTTTTATCACCTCACCGATAACTAACAGGTTTTAGAAAAATTCAATTTGGATACATTATTTATTCAGTGAATCTAATATAACTAATATCTAACTCCTCATTTATATTCTCTCACTTCAAATTTTGGATTGATTAATTATTGGCAGTTAATACTTGTGAATATGAATAGAACCTACTTCAAAAAATCTTAAAAAGGTTAAAGATAGTCGTGTGTATAACAACTATTACACACCTGATGGCACAAAAAATATAGGTTTTCCAAATTTAATCAAATTAGAAATGCTGATCCAGTTATAATTAGTTATAATTCCATTATTGCTTCGCCTAACAAAACCATTAGGCATAATTAATATATAATAATAGTTATTTTGTTGACAAACACCTGTAATTTCTTATACATAGAATTATAATGCAAATACCTTTCTCTTATTCTCTCAAGTTCTTCAGCAGTGGGTGGTGGAGGAAGAGCTAGTAAATATTCTTTTATATAAACAGAAGTGGCTTTTCTTATATTGTTTTGAAGAGGAGCTGCCTTGGGTGTATCTGAATCAACAGAGAGTGAAGCAATTTTCTTACTCAGCGTATCTATCATTTGACCCTTTTCAGCAATGGAGGACCGAAGAGCTTGGAGATCTGGTAGAAAAAATGTTGTTTCACCAGACATTAAAGAGTCGTACATCTAAAAGCAAAAAAACAATATTTTGAGTTTGTAGTATTGAAACAATTGAAAATATGTTAAAACGCAAAGTCTCCTTGATATGAATATGAATATCTCCCAAGAAAATTAAACAAAACATATTAAGTACCTACTTTGTTATATAAATCAACAGAAGATTGAATTTGTGTTTTGTTCTTCTGTAGTAAGGAATAAAGTTGACAAATAATTGGTTGCATCATTTGTTCTACCTGTACTTTTCTCCTACTCTCTAACATATCCAAACAATATTTACAGATTCGGATACTGTTTAATTCATTTCCATGGTCCTTTTCAATAATGTTATATACTGGAGCGATGATAGTCTCTTAAAGAATTTTTTTTTCAAGAAAACAAAATTTCTTCAATTTTAGTGAAAATAAGATTACTTACGAGCAGTTTCATAAGATAGAAAATGAGAACATGATCCACACATAATACTGCCACATAATCTACAATGATGTTGCCGCCGTGCAATATTAAAACTAACAGCACAAGATGGACATCTAGATACCGTAGACCCATCCAACCATACAACTAGTTCCTGCTCCTGTTGTTTACGATCAGTACCAAATGTTCGTAAAAGTTTATCCAAGCGTATTATTAGCTTGTTTGTTTCAGCAGTTCTGTGATCTAACCTATTCCTTCGAATTGCTCTAAAGTAATCTGTATGAGATTTGGAAATTCCTGGATCTTGAGGATCACTTATCTCAATATAACACTTTTCAAGGACAATTTCTTTTTTGAAAGATTCTAAATCTTCATCTTCAATTTTAAGAATTTTTAAAAATCCTCCATAAATGTCTAAAATTTTTATATATTAAGAGTAAAAATAAAAAATAAATTTGATGCCATCAACCTTTAATTGATTTCAAAAATTCCTTTTCTTCTGAATGCATTTCTTGGAAGTGAACAATCAAATTATTCGGGGATCTCATATCTTTGCGACAAATTGGACATAAAAAACCTTCTTGAACATCAGACATTTTCTAATTAAATTGAAAAATCACTTGATTAAATATATGCCAAACCTCTAATCACAAAAGTATTTTGTGCCTTTATAGCTAAAGATGATAGAAACGAACATAACCTGAAAGTCACAGAAAACAGATTGTAATTGGACGTTGTCATAGACTAAAAAAAGGATCTAGTTAGGAGCCAAAAACAGCAATAACAATAGTAAAGGTAACATTATTATTATTTAAAGGTTATACTTAACGAGTTGTTAAAAAGACTTATTTGGATTTCTATTGCTTTTATATAATAGATAAATAGTTAAGACATATTTTAAATAAAAGAAATGGAAGTCCAAACAAGTAGTTTTATTATCATAATTCTTTCTGTTTTTCGTTCTTGGAAGAAGAAACATCAGTTTCAAGTTTCTTGCGTTTTGTATATTATGGGGATAAAATAGTTTAGCCTATTGATGATGTTATTTTGGATTTGAAAGGCAAATGTTTATTAGAAATATACATAAAAATATACAACTATAATGGCAAAACTTTATATTGCGTCCTACAGTCAGTCATTAACTTTTGAGGTCGGTTTATCAGAAGTATGGTCTTAACAAAAAATAATGAAATCAGTTGGACTCTGTGGGTTTGGATCGATACAAAAAGTTTTCTTTCTACGGTTCAATATTTTCTGCAAACATTTGAGAGCTTTTTATAACTTTTTTCTTACTTTTCAAATATTGCCAAAAATTTTGACACGAATTGCGCTGTAAATGTAGTTCAAGGTGAAATAGGAGTTATACTGATGATGATACTTAAGACTTCAAACAAGTCATTTTCAATAGCTTCGAGAAAATCGCTAATGGGGGAGAGAAAAGCCGATCCCGAATCTATTCGGAATATAAACTGAACAGTTAATCTAAGACCTCTTAGAAAAGTAATTATTATGTCTATGGTTATAAATATGTATTAGTTAAACCTATCTTGCTCTATCATTATCCAAAAAACGAGTTGAAGAATTGAACAAGAAAGCAAGTTTTGCACGATTAGTAGTTTCTCCTTGTCAATGTAAGCTATTGGATGCAAATAAATTATTTTTGCAGTTTTGTCGGAATTTTTATCATATTCTTGGATTTATATCAAAATTACAGGAAGTAAGTTGAATGAATATGAAGCTTCTGAGCTTCGACGCATCACCTGAAAATACCTAAAATTGTATATATTTCGGTAAGTTTAACAAATTTAACATCATACCGTATTGAACTATTATTCTTGTTTTGTCTTTGTTTTAGTCAAATATGTTTGTACTGCAAAAAGCTTATGATGCGTACTCATTAGAGTATTTTTGTCCGAACGAACCAAACAAACCCAGTCGAGTTCACTAACCCATTAATGCCCAGAAATATGAACTTTTTTTTAACAACTAAATTCATTGTTTTGAATTAAAAAGTGACGAAATATGATATGGAACTAATGTTAAAAAATTTTTTGGAAATGTGTTTTTTGAACCTTGACTTTCACTGGCGATTTTTTTGTTTTTTCGTCCTTGGTAAATTTCGAACTGTAAGCAATAACCTGGTTTGATACTCATAACCCAAGCTTTGTATCCGAATCGGATCGGCTTGCTGCGTATAAATTGTTGCGGCCATGTTTTCCATAGTAAGGAACCATCGACTCGTCTATTGAAATATTTGACTGTAAGGGTGCGTATTGTATAAATTTTTTGTTTAAAGTGTCAATAATTGGGCGCAACTTAGCCATTTTGTCCCCTTGAGGTAAGGCGTTGTTATCAGCAGCATGAAAGAATCTACATATTTCCTCAAACTGATTACGTCTCATTGACTGAGGTACCAGTGAATTATGCACATCTTCCGCTTCTTCCCAAAATATTCTTAGGCCAGGTAGAGGAACGTAACCGCTAACTAGAAGAATTCCAATAAATACTTGCCATTGCTTGAAAGCTCAAATCCAGGAACATTTTTTTGAGTGGCATAGCTTACCTATATTTCACGAGTTCTTTGACAAGTGACGGACTCATAAAAAGTTGAAAAAATTCGACAGGATGACTATCTTTAGGTAATGTTAATGGTGGTACCAGAGTACCACCCCAAGAGACATTTGCCCTATTCAAATCACCCTTCTCCCATTGAAATGTTATTTCGGGTTTACTCTTTTTTTAGGAGCTTGCATGCTTTTAGTAACTGACTGCGATTGACTGTCAACATTATCACTGTTCTTGATTTGCGGGTTATTGTTCAGCAATTTTCAATAACACAATTTTTCGGTAAAATAAAACGTCGGAAGATGACTAACACTGTGTATTTTGCAAAAGAAACAAATTATCCCGTCATTCTTATTAACGCTAAAAGTTCTTTCCGCTTATGTTACGACTGATACCAAACGACTCGCGTCTCTCTCTCCCCGAAGGCACCCTGCGCGGAACTTTATATAAGTTACAGGCATGCGCACTAACTCAAAACTGTAACATTAAGCAAAAATATTTAACATGTCCCCAACCTTGAAAGATACCACTTTCAACACAAAATAAAAAAGGTAGGGCAAAGCCAAAGAATTGTCAATACGACACTTCACTTCACTTCACTGGTAGTGGACAAAGTTTAGAAAAAGATCTTTTAATTGTTCCAGCTTGAGTTTTCAATGTCGCTACGCGATTAACACCGTCTTTTCCGGGATGTAATGTCGTAACTCTTCCAAGTTTCCAGCACATAACCGGTAGGTTATCTTCTTTCACAAGAACTAAATCACCTTCTTGGAGAGTGCTTTGAGTCTTCTTCCATTTACAACTTTGTTGCAATTCGGATACATATTCTTTATTCCATCTTTCCCAAATATGCTGCCTCATTTGCTGCAGGTGTTGGTATATTGAAAGTCGATTTTCAGGAATTTTCTGTAGATCCAATTCCGGTATCGTAGTCAATTGCTTGGTCAATAAAAAGTGAGAGGGAGTCAAAGGACTAAGATCATGTGGACTTGAGGATAATGGAGAAATAGGTCGGGAGTTTAGTATGGCTTCGATTTGTGTGAGCAGTGTATAAAAATGTTCAAAAATTAAATTTACGTTGGATACTACTCGCTTTAGATGACGTTTCATACTTTTCACGCCTGCTTCCCATAAACCACCAAAATGTGGAGACCGGGGCGGAATAAATCGCCACTCTACGTTTTCTTTTCCAAAGGTATGAATTAAATCTTTGCCATTTTTTCTAATAAAATTGTATAAAGCATTTAATTCAGAACTGGCTGCTACAAAATTGGTTCCGTTGTCCGAGAATATTTGACTCGGTTTCCCTCTGCGAGACACAAATCTACGTAAAGCTAAAATAAATGCATTTTTCGTGAGGTCGGTTACCAATTCCAAATGAATTGCCTTTGTCAGAAAACATATAAAAAGTGCAACATAAACCTTTGAAGTTTTAAAACCACGATCTGTTTTACTTTTCATGGAAAATGGACCTGCGTAGTCGACGCCAGTTATGTCGAAGGGATGGGTTGGACAAATGCGCTGCTCAGGCAAATTTCCCATAATTGGTTTTGAAATTTTTGGGTTGAATCTAAAACATTTGACACAATTTCGAACTGTCAGCTTGGCTAAATACCGCCCAGAAAATGGCCAAAATTTCTCGCGTATCGATGCTAATAAACGTTGCGGGCCTGCATGAAATAACTTTTCATGCTCGTTTTTAAATAATAATTTCGTGAACGAATGTTCTTTTGGTAAAATGAGTGGATATTTCTTTTCAAAATCATACTTTGCATTTGACAGTCTTCCTCCAACACGCGAAAGACCATCATCATCAATAAAGGGATTTAAATTTCCAATTTTATTCGAATTGAATTTACCTTTCTTGACTAATTCAATTTCGCGAGAAAATGATTCAATTTGCACTAATTTTGTCAAGCGTTTAAAAGCATCTTCAATTTCTTGAACTGAAAGTGGTCCGAACTGACGATTCTGTTTCTGTTCTGTCAAAGTATTTATATTAGAAAATAATTCAAATATACTAATATCAGAAATTTGACGAGCAATAAGAACCTTGACGTTGTTTCGCATATCAGGAAGCCCTTCTTCGCGATTTAAATTAATAGTGGGCCAATGAATTTCGTCTAATTTCAAATAATCTGGTCCTTGCCACCATATTTTTGCGCCTCCTATTTCGCAAGGCTTTACACCCCGCGACAAGAGATCAGCTGGGTTAAATTGAGTTGGAACGTGTTTCCACGGATTTGAACCAGTCAAAGTTTGAATCTCCGACACTCGGTTACTAACAAAATTTTTTAACTTATTTGGGGGGGTTTTCAACCACCCAAGTACCCCGGTTGAGTCTGTCCAAAATACACATTTTTGTATTTTCGGTCTTAGAGCTTTCAAAACTTTTTCATACAATCTAGCTGAAACTAGAGCACCACATAATTCCAATCGAGGCATGGTAATTGTTTTAAGAGGTGCCACGTTTGATTTACTGCACAATAAATTAACAAATGCCTTGGAATTTTGGTCAATGGATTTAACATACACACATGAACATTAAGCCTTTTCGGAAGCATCGGAAAAGAAATGGAGCTCAATATAAGTTGAATTTTTACAAATAACATTTCGATTTATTTCATTTAATTCACTGAGTTGCGAATAAAACTGGCACCAAATTGAGTAGATATGTAAAGGTAAGCTCTCATCCCAAGAAATTTTTTCAAGCCATATGTTTTGCAATAAAATTTTTATTAAAATTACACAGGGATTTAGGAGCCGTAGTGGATCAAATACTTGAGATATTGATGACAAAATTGTACGTTTGGTGATTTTTGAACTTTCCAAAATTTCACATGTATTGTACATTAAACTGTCGCTAGTTGGACACCAAATCAAGCCTAATGTTTTTGTGCTTTCATTTTCGCCGAAATCAACAATTTTTGACAAAGAATCATTATCAGGAATACATGACAAAATTTCTGGATTATTAGAGTAAAATTTTCTCAAGTTAAAGCAACCTTGGCGGAGTATTTCGGATACTGTTTTACATATTTGCATAGCTTCTTCAACCGTATCTGCGCCTGTTAGCATATTATCTACGTAAAAGTCCGATTTTATTATTTT